TTGAACCCAGTGCCGGCACCCGTCAAAGATCAGCACTAACCCTCAATCGATGAGAGATATTCGTCAGACTTGCGCTATGTGGACCACACTTGTTAAATCCGACCAATCCAACTAGTCTTCGCCGACCCTGAGTACACTCCTTTGTTTGTTCCAAAGCCTAAGAAACTAGCAAAAGAGCATCTTGCTTCTAGGAAGGCGGAAAGGCTGATGGCCCGGGTAGAATAAAGACTCATGACGAGAAGCGTTCGCCTTGGTGCTTCGTCAAGGGTTGTGTTGAATAATTTTTCGCAAGGCAACCAGCAATGAAACTGAACATGGGGGTTACCTGGATGTTGCTTACAAGACCTTGCAACTATGACCCGTAATGAGGCAGATTGCAGGCCCTCCGCTCCAAGGACTTGCAGCAGGCTTTCTATTTAAGCTAGAATCGGCTGACGATGCATAACCGCCTGCCCTAGCTTGTGGATCAGTTTTGCTGATTTATTAATCCTGTCCGTCCTCGCTGCCTCGGGCATTCGAAAATCGTCCCTCCTTTGTGCTGTACACTTCAGGTTGATTCAGAGCCACAGAAGCACGAAGCCACCATGGATCAATTCCACATCGGCTCGTGGCAGGACTATTCCCAGCCGGCTGGTGATCGGGGGAGGTTTACCATGAGCAAGAACAATGGCAATGTGTTCCTCTCTTTCTTGACTGTCTTGGTGACAGTTGCGGGTGCCAGCGCCTGGACCATCGTCTCTCTCGTCATCCACAGCTGGATTGTACGAGCCCGTCACAATAACGACGTGTTCGATGTTCAACAGCAAATCCTTCTCCGAAACGCAAAGACCCCGCTCGCCACCGTCGCCGAATTCTTCAAGCTCTGGCGCGCCTGGAGGAAGAAGAAGGTTCCCAATATCGCTCTCCGCACACTCTGGGTTCTCATCCCTACTCTATTGCTCTACGGCGGCATTCTGGTAGCATCCATCTTCGCCTCCAAGGTTGCCATCAACAAAGATGGCGGTGGCATCGCCCTCGCACGGGATCAAGGCTGTGGAATTCTCCCCCTCTCTGGCACCTACCCCGACGTCGAACAAGATATGATACGAAAGAACAAGATTGTCAATGACACCATCGATGGAAGGAACTACGCTATTAATTTCTACGACGTGGATAGCACCACTAGGTCTAAGAGTGTCAGGTCAACATTCATCACAGACGCTCTGCCATACACCGCCAATTTCAATGCGACTTGCCCGTTCCAGAACCAGACCCTCTGTCTCAAAGGAGCAACTATCAACTTTGAGTCTGGCGAGCTCAACTCTCACACCGAGTTCGGAATTAACGCGAAAGAGCATGACCGAATTTCGACACGAGCAAAGACGACTTGCACCATGGTTAACTTGAATGGCTATTGGAACGCTAGTAACAATCAAGTTTACATTTGGATGGGGCAGTCAGGAACGGGAAACTGGGGCTATACCTATAGATATAACTATGCCCTGACTAACTTTTCTATCGGGTATCAAATAGTGTGAGTACAAGGCTGTTTGCTCTTGACCCTCAAATCTTGCACTTGTTCCGATGCTGATGTCGGAATTTCAGAGACTTTACAGACAGCACCTTTTATAGCAACGACTCGGTCCTGTGGAATCGTTACGACGAATTCGCAGTTGAGGACGGTGACCTCACTCTCCTCCTAAACTCTCAGAACTGGATGAGATATAGTGCCCCGGTGAACGACCCGTTCTTCCTAGCCAATATCAGGGACCCGGGTGCCTCAAGCAGGTACCCCTATAAGCCAAACTACTCGATGGTCCCCATGGTTTGCGTTGATTCATACATGATATGCAATCCGGAGAAGGAAAAATGCTCCCCTTGGGCTCGTTATGCGGACTTCTACGCTACCGTGTTCAACGATACCAATAATGATATGGGCTTCAACGATGCCCAGCTTGCTACCGCAGCACGAATGGCCATCCACATGCAGCAAACAAACATCAACACAATCGTCAGCAACTTGGGCTCTGCTTGTAGGTTTTCATGCGCCTCACCCCGCTCCAGCCGATGCTAATCCTTTTCTCAGCGCTTTTTGCCAGCGACCATGTCTATCGCAACCACGAGTCGACGGGATTGCCAGATAACCAATGGCACATCGAGGCGACGACATGGTTCCAGACAAAATTGGCCAAGTTCCAGGCCAGCGTAGCCGAGTATGTCAGCAAGCCTGACGACGCAGTAGGCCTGCCAGTGCTCAAGCCCAACGACCCTAACACCAAGAACGAGTATGAAATCAGCGACGAGATCCTCAAGAAGCTCCAGGATCAGTGCAACAGCCAGCTGGTCATGGGCACGGCCGATATCGAGAGCTTCAGCTTGACGGGCACGCTCGTGATCGTTATTATCACCGTCTTTCTCGCCATCATCAGCATCTACATCACTGAGATCATGGACTTCTTCGGTCGCTTCGTGCCTGGCTCCAAGGGACATCTTGCCCGCGTGGCCGATGAGAAGCTGCACGTTCTCAAGCATGCTCTTTCGGTGCAGGATGGCCCCCAGAAATGGGATATCAGGGCTGGCGTGCCTGTGACAGAGGACAGCCACGGTGGTCAGTGGCCGAAGACAGATGTTCAGATGACTGACGTCCAAATGCCGGATGCTCAAATGACGTATGTTCACATGACGGATGCTCAAACGACGTATCCGGGTGCAGACGAAAGGCTCATGTCGAAGCAATATCCCGAGTTCAGGTAGGAGACGCTGCCTTGAGCTTGGAATAGATAGAAGACGATTCGGCCGTGAGTGCTCGCTTAGAATTATAAATGAAGAGAGCCTTGATTATCGAACATGATTAAAGATTAAAGATAATAAAACATTTCTTGCAAAATGAATTGCCTATTCCAACTACAGAAAGTCTTAAGAATAACCATCTTCTTCTACACTGACTATATGGCCGTTGACACTTTGGAATCAATGCTCTATGAACATCGACATAACTTTCAATTCTTACCATTAATGTTGACTAGTTAGATCAAAGACTTGATCCTCAACTCGTTTATAGCCAGCCAATAAACCTCACTGTTTAAAGGAACACTGAACACAGTATTGTTTTAGGAATGTTGTTCTTACTCCTTGAACGAGATGTTGCCGTGCTCTGTTGCTGATGAAGTCGATCAAGCGAGAGCTCAGCCGCCCCAATATTAAGCTTCCTTGTTCAAAATAGCCTGGCAACCGACTCTAACCAGAACAGAAGGTTTATAATATGTGCTCTAATCCAATTCCGATAATGTAGATCTCTGCGGGTAAGTAAATTGAGCAAGTGTCTGGTCTGTCACGCCAATGATCCTTTGTACACTAGGAGCAAAAAGGGTTGTAGATCATATGCCATAAATCCTCCATTGACTTCCACCGCCAAATCAAGCCGGCGCTCATTGACCACTTCTCGGTCTTGTCGGATGCACTCTTGTATATTGTATGGATTCCATATTTCCACGCTCCTAAAACCCAATGTTCTACCTACCACCAAGGAGAGGCCATGTCCTCACCTGGCGGCCCTTCGCCGAAGAAGTATGACGATCCATGACAACAACGCAATGATTGCAATTCCAGCAATGCCACCCACAATCGGACCGGCAATCCAGGCGAGATTTTCCTGTTTTGACGGGCTCTCTTGCGAAGGCGTATCAGAGGAGGGACCAGTTTCCCTAGAAGTTGATGTTGTGACTGTTGCTAGGGAGCTAGAATCGTCCAGGTAACTTGTCGATTCCAACGATGCACTCGTAGTCGTCTCCCGGTAGTAGTCCCAGGGATCACTGGTAGTGCCACAGCCGATCATTGTGAGAGGGACCTCGTCTTTCAAGTTCGAATTCACGTAATCCCACGCGCAGAGAGGGGCTGTCTCAGGGCTAGAGTCACGCAACAGGCAGAATTAGCCATGGTTCTTCACTGTGTTTATGATCTTCCTCTTCATTACTCGACATACCAGGTGACAGTGCTACGCGGATACACCGGCATGGAACCGCTCACACAAGTCGTCGCGATGGCTGTGCGCGTGTGACTCATATTCAGGCAAGCTGCGTAGCTGCCGGATGACGAGTAGATGAGTTCTGGCGCACACGTTATTCGGACATCTAGGAAGATTCATTGGTCAACTCCAATCTAAGGTTTCTGGTTCTTTTAACTCACAGCTCCCCGTGCTAGAGACATAGCCTATGAAGTTTGGAGCATATTGGTTAGGAGCTTGCGTCGTGGATGAAGGCTGCTGGGCTACAGGGGTTAACACTAGGAATCCTAATGCGAGGACTGCACAACCCCATTCTTGCGCTCGGAAAAATAAGTTTCTCATTATAATGATCTACAGAAGTCAGTGGAGAGAAGCCAGCCTACAAAGGGCAGAACGATGAGATGGGGCCAGGCTTTATATCATGCATAATATGCATGTAATATCCCTGGGATCGTTCGTTGCCTACCCGCCAAATATCCATTATAGCCAGTGACATAGGAGTGTCATTCATGCATGCTGATAAAGGCCGTGGGACTAGACCAACGATAACTCATATTTGCGGCTGAACCAACCCTCTCATCTTGGCAAGCCACCAGGAGCTAACACTGCACGTCTCACACGAAAGTGAATAGACTTGTGTCCGAAGTCTACGGATCCAAATATCCCTATTGGTTGGACTATGTCGCTTACGAGTCTCCCCTCAGCCGCTGCAATACTGTGCATTAGCGTGCTGCTGTTTTGATCACATGGTCGCTTACATTTGTTTCAGCCGTCTTGGCACTGACATGCATTTTGGCAAAGGAGAGAGTGATGGCGACTGGTCTTGTGTGTTATTCTCTGTGGGCATTTATCATGTATGCGTACGCAGAAAAGGCAAATCACTGCCACAGGGCAAAAGGTCAACCAATCATCTAAAACCATACCATTTGATAAGGGAGTTTCGGAGGAAAGTCCTATACACGTGGGGGTCGCAAATTGAGAAGTATATGAGCCGAAACAATGGCATAACACACCGATTCTAATTAAATGTCCCCTGATCAACAGGGTGAAGCCGTGCCTTGACCCCCGTCATCATTGACAAGAAGTATGCTGGCATCTCTCTTTCCGGGGGCACTATGACCTCGATCTCGAAAGCCATCACTATTCCTGCAACTATCTTCCACACCATCATTTCTGCCAAATGGCGACCCGGGCAAGTCCTAGCGCCTCCGCCCCAACTAAGGCTGTGCATTTCTATTTCTTTGGCACGCCCATCATCCTTCAGCCATCGTTCAGGGTCGAATAAGTCGGGATTTGGCCCACAAATGTCTTCATTACGGTGAAGCGCGATCGGGTTACATCCAAGAGTTGCCCCTGCCGGAATGTAATAACCGTCCAGGCATATACCAGGCGATGGTACTTTACGTGGAGGGGACATTGAGACGACTGGGTTCAGCCGCTGAGACTCTTTTATAACAGCCTGCAAATATGGTAAACTGGATGCACTTGCCCATGAGGCAGTGCCATCTCCAAAGTGCTGTCTCAGCTCGATTGCCAGGCGGGCATAAACATTCGGGTACAAGCCAAGCATTGTGATGAGAGAAATAACGGTCGATGCCATGGTCTCATGCCCAGCACCGAAGTTTGTGATGATCATCTTGCGCAGATATGAGTCCGAAAACTCAGGCTTGTCGCTGTGAAGCTGAATCAAATCCTCCGCCAGATCCTGGCATCCCTTTTCGCCCCGGTGAAATGCCTTTATCCGCTTAGACACTCTCTTATTCACATCCTAAAAGCAAATATGTGTTAGAATTTCATATCCATATAGCAGAGTTCTCGGACACTCACTGGGAAGAATGCCCGAAAGTTGGGTGGAGGCTGGAAAGTCAAGTTCCAGGCGTTGCCGAAAATCCTCCCAAATGACCTATAGCGGAGTTGTAGTTTGGCGGCCATGGGGAATATTCCGAAAACCGCCTTGCGCCTCCAGCCCTGGTAGCTGTGGGTGCTCGTGGCCCAGTCGGTGTTCTTTTTCAACATGCCTGGAGACCAGGATAGAACACTTGCTCCGAGGCATTCGACAACAGTGATGTGCACCCATTCCTTAAGGTCGAATTCGCGACCATTCATCTCTCGAAAGCGCGACAAGACTTGGCCTAAAGCTCGGTCAATAGAAGCCTCGTGCCTTGCTACATTTGCAGGGCGGTAAACTGGGCCAATAAGTCGTCTCTGCATCCGGTATCGCTTCATATCTCTTTCAGACAACAGATCTAGACTGTCAACTGAGTGAACTTGTAGTTTCCAATCAACTACTGGCTTTGAAAGAGTCGTGCCCACTATTCGCCAGAAACATCTGTCAGAAACTGCCTCACTTATAAGGGGAGATTCAATTTTTACAGTAAAAATCAGACTTCTCGAATCCGCTTCCATTGCCTAGCAGAATGAGTGTTAGGTGATCCAGCTTGAAGGCAACGATAGTCTGACGTACTGTAAATAGCTTTGAAGGCAGTTTTGGTATTAAACCAGAGCTCGTAAGGGCCTACGCGTACGACAGGTCCGTACTTTTTGTGCAGAGATTTTCCAAGTGCGGCGGCCTGCCCATTCCGTATTTGTACTGCATACCACACGCTTGAGATTGCTGCGAGCCGTGGTCCTGGGACTGAAGAAAACGGGTGGAAGAATAGACGGTAGGCGGCAACCGTAATGATTAGTATCAGAGTCGATACAAGAGGGTAAATCAAAACCGATTTGACGAAGAACCAGAGCCACGAAAGAAGGTTGCGAACCAGCACTAACTCCTCCATGATGACTGGAACCTGACGATTCTGGTGTGCCAAGTTCAGGCTGAACGAATGAGAGGTGAACCAAGAAGAAGAGAGAAAATCATCCCAAAATACACCAGAATAGCTTCATCTGAGCCGGCAAGCCATACATGGTGATAGTGTGGTTCTCCACTCTCGGACCATCGTATGCAAAACGTGCAAAATCCTGGTCGAAATATTGTGGATTTTGCTATGTGGGATGCACGTGACTTGCTATAGACGAACCCAGCCCGACTCCGGAGCACCTCAACCACCCTTTATCTATCCCCTCTTCTTGCTCGGGAAGCCATCCGTATATCTTGGACCGGTTTATGTAAACATGAGTTCGCCTACTTGATGTGTCTGGCGCTATTTTATGCGGTTAACCTGTCACCAATTCTCACTCCAATAAGAAATTGCTAGCCCCTGGCATATCAAGCAACTATGACGAACGCAGGTGATGAGTTCCTTCTGACCGGACATGCCTATGTCAAAGGTAGAGCTTCCGGGAAACTGGTAGCCAGTAATCTCGAGTTGAGTTTCTGGGGTGGTGTCAATCCCCTCACGGGCGAAATCATCGATCGGCACCATGACTTGAGTGGAAAGCACCTTCGTGGGGCCGTCTTAGCCATTCCTGCTGGTCGTGGCTCCTGCTCCGGGAGTACAGCCATGTTGGAGCTCATCCTCAATGGAATGTGCCCTAACGCAATCCTTTTTGAAAGGCGTGAAGATATTCTTACGTTGGGTGTGATGATCGCAGAGGAGATATTCGGCAAAAACTTGCCAGTGATAACTCTCGGCCCGGCAAAATTCAAGGAGATTCTCAAACAAGACGGTCGTTTTGTCTACGTCCAGGATGGTAGTATATCCGACAAGGAACTTCCGGAACCTCTGAGCATAGTGTCTCGAGACGATGATCTACGCTGTGGGGTACAGCTCTCAAGTCTCGATCACAGCATTCTTCAGGGTGCCTATGGAGAGGCTTCCAAAGTTTCGATGCGAATTATTCTGCGGATGGCCGAGTTGTTAGGAGCACAGGAGCTAATGGATGTTACTCAAGTGCATGTAGACGGATGTGTCTACACAGGTCCAGGCTCGCTATCATTCGCGGAGAGACTCCGTGACCTCGGAGGCAAAGTCCGTGTACCCACCACTCTCAACTCCATTTCCGTTGACCAAAAGCGATGGCGCAAATTGGGGGTCAATCCGGCACCTGGCGAGGCCGCTGAAAAGCTGGGGAAGGCATACACGGACATGGGCGCCCGGCCCACGTTTACTTGTGCCCCCTACCTGCTCGATAGCGCACCTAAGCTCGGTGAGCAAATTGCTTGGGCAGAGTCAAACGCTGTTGTGTATGCCAATAGTGTTCTAGGAGCACGGACCATGAAATATCCCGATTTTCTCGATATTTCCATTGCGCTCACTGGCCGAGCTCCCAAGGGCGGTCCGCATGTTGAGGAGAATAGGAAGGCTTCTTTGATTGTCATGCTAGGGTTCTCTTTGACTTCGGTTGATGATGCATTCTATCCGTTGATAGGGTACCAAGTAGGCATATTGTCCGGTAGCCGTATCCCAGCCGTAGTTGGTATTGACTCACTGAAGCCATCAAATGATGACCTCAAGGCATTCGGTGCCAGCTTTGCGACTACATCTAGCGCTCCAATGTTTCACATTGTCGGCGTTACTCCTGAGGCGCCAGATCTAGATGCAGTCATAGGCAAAGGCCAAAACCACCCTCACTTCCAAGTTGACCTTGATGATTTGGTTAGTTGTTGGGATAAGTTGAACAGCGCCTTGAGGAATCCTCAGCCCGTCGATCTAGTATCCCTTGGTAACCCACACTTCTCGTTCGCTGAGGTGAAAAAGTTTGCCAAACTATGCCGCGGCCAAGTGAAGAACAAGGATGTGTCTGTGGTGATAACTTGTGGTCGTTCAACCCATTCATTGGCAAGCCAGGCAGGTCTAATCACCGAGCTCGAGGGGTTTGGTGTTCGCTTCCTCAACGATACCTGTTGGTGCATGATTGATGAGCCCATCGTCTCCAGGGCCACATCCAATTCTATTATGACGAACTCGGGAAAGTATTCTCATTATGGCCCAGGTATCACGGGAAGACGTTTCTACTTTGATAGTCTGGCTGGATGTGCTGCGGTTGCTATTCGGGGTGGCCATGGAGGTTCAAAACCTCTATGGCTGCGATGATTTCATAACAGTTCCGGCGCTCAATCACACACAGCGGAACATGCTTAGTATTACGGCTATTCTTTCAGATATCATAGAATCGCAGTTCTATTTTATGGTCATTCTTCATTAGCTATAAAGCATCTATCTATAATCTTCCTGTACTGTTATACCTCCTTTTCTCCCTCACGAAGAAGGAGATGATTCCTCTTCTGCCTCCTTTTTTTTCTCAATCTTTATCCTAAGCTCTGCTCTCCATTTTATTCCCCGAGCTCTCACAAGAAAAAGAAAAGGGGTGAAAACAAGATACAATGCTCCGAAGATAGTAAAGGTCCATCCAGCTCCTATTGCCTCAATCATGGGTATAACAGCAGCGCTGAATCCAGCTCCAAGTAGGCATCTCACGAAGTTGCCAGCCGCCGTTACCGTGCCCGGCCGTCCTGGCTGCACGTCCACAAGCAACGTGTTGGACGTGTTGTTGTAACCCACCATCCCAAGACCCATGACAACCATAAGAAAGCAGAGCACAGCTAGGTGAGCGCGTGCCTGTATCGCCCAACCCCAGCTTATGACGCCCAAGCCCGCTACAACGAGGAGGGGGGTTCCAACGTCAAGTCTGGCACGCTCAATTGGGAAGTTTGAAAGATCGATTTGCCTGGTGCGGTCGAAGGGGACGCCCGTCTTATCACAGTAATAACGATATCTCCATTGCATCAACCTCCCAGCAATAGCTCCCGTGATGATGGATGAGACTGCGATTGGAAGGAACATGAGGCCAACTTTCGTTTGATTTAAGCCATAATCATTTGTGAGCTGTGTTGGCAGGGCGGCAGAGATACCGTAGAAGCCACCTAAACAAATGCTGCTTGATACAACCAATAAACAAGTCTCCTTTTCTGTAAGCATCATGAGTGAACCCAGGAAATTTGGCATCTCCAATTTCAGCTTTGGTTTCTTCGGTTCCTTTGGGAGTGATCCTGATCCTGTCTCGTCGTTTTTCACCGTTCTCTTCTTCATCGACTTTTGGAAAAGCTGCCATAGTGTCCGGTGAGTCACAGGAGCCGGTATCGATCCATCTCCAACAATTGTGCGGCAGGTTTCAGGGAAGAAGGTCAACAGAAGGAGAAACGTTACTCCTGCAAGGATAGCGCAGAACCAGAAAATGGAGCGCCATCCCAGATATTGCGTCAGAAGACCTCCTATAATGGGCCCCAGCGAAGGGGCAAGGACGATCGGGAGGACGGTGAAAGCTATGTAGGAGCCTCGCTCGGCGGATGTGGCAACGTCAGCCACCACGGCAGAGCATAACGCTACTGTCGGGCTGGACCCAGCAGATTGGACGCAGCGCAGGCCAAGGACAGCGCCGTAGCTGGGGGCAAGGGCTAGGCCGATGTTGGCGGCAATGTAGACGACGAAGCAGATGATGTAGGCTGGCCGGCGACCCCATCCATCAGCAAGAGAGCCGACAAACATGGGAACAACTCCCTGAAAGATCATGTACGTCGTGATTGTCAAGTTCACCTTGGCGCTTGATACTTGTAGATCCTCGGCGATCGAGGTCAAAGCAGGAAGATAAATCTGGGCCGTCATTGGGGAGAAGAAGGCTGTCAAGGCCGCGCAGAAGACAATCGCTCGTTTCTGCCATAACGTATATACAGAAAACCTGGGCTGTGCGTCTTCTTCGGGCTGAGAGACGGCTGTCTCCACGTCATCTGAGGTTTTCCCACCATCATCTCTCTTGGCCTCGACTGCCAAGACTGGTTGCTTGTCGGTTGGTGCTGCTACCGACTCAGTCATATTGAGTCAAATTTAGATTCTCCTCGATCAAATCAATGTGAATTGCGTCTCTGGAGCTATCTATAAAAGGCTGAGAAGTCCTTCTAGATATATGACATACATCTGATTCGCGTCACTTCAGCTTCAGGGAACGGGAGCGGGAACGGAGTTTATGTCGAGTTGCAGCCCCGCAGAGTTCACTTGCGTACCATATCCGGAGCCTATGAAAGCACTGGACTTGTAGGGGTCATTTCACCTAAACCATCGTCGATAGAGCTCTGCGACAGAATGATCGATTGTTAAGCTGCCTTTACCGGTGCCGATCCGGTGCCGAATCGGCACTCGATCTAGAGTCCCATCTTTTTCGCAACAACTCGGCTAGATTCTAACCAAACTATTTGGTTCATTGGTTTAGCCCTATTCTCTGATTTAATTATGTGCATGCTAGTTTGTATTGTTTCATTAAAAACTCATTCATATCTAATACTTTCAACCATCCAGCCTCCCTCCATTACACCGCAATTCGGCTTAAGCCCATATTGGCCCTCAAAGGCTTCGAGCAATATTTACTCATTCGATACCTTAAATTTCCGCCCTTACAATTTTCCAGGTGGTTAAAAACACTAAACGACAAGGACCTTGGTGAAGTGTCATATATATGGTGAAGGCGGTGGCCCAATACAAAATAATACAAACCCATACACGTGAGCCATACAACTGAGAGAATTGCGAAGTCCATTCGATAAAGTGCTCACATATCGGTATTTTCAATTTTCGTGTATCGAAAGGCTCGAGGGGAAATGAAGCAGCAGCTTCATGGATATCGTCAACATTAGATGTAACCGAAACGATATGGGGATGACAGAAAAGGACACAAGTGAATTCGCCCTGGTAACAAACCTTGCCTATATAGCCCCATAAAAAAGGGAGATGCCTCCTACTTCTGCTATGTGGACTACAATCTAGACGGTGTGCCCTCTATGCTGAGAGGAGCGTCGCCAGACTTGGCGTATGTGTTCATCAGGGGTATATGGATGTTAGAGGGCGTTGAAGAGCTCCTGGTACTGTAACGATCAATATGGCCGGGTTTCCTAGCAAACGCTTCCCTATCCCATCTGCAGAATTGAGCAAAGACAGCTATAAAGCCTGAATGTTAACGGTGTACCAGTAAAACCAGACTTTGTTGCCCAATCAGCTGATTATACTGAATTCAACGAGCTGATGTTGTTGGAATTCAAAAATGTTACTACCGCGATGATCTAATAGCGATATGCTAGGTGTTCTGCTCCTGCTACAATTAAGATAATTATGTACGAGCCTATTCCGTCTGTTTGCTCCTTTGTTTGAATGTCTCTGAACGTACTATACGTATTGAAGATGACCTACGAGCAGGTATAGATAAGTTTACTAGTATTATCAGATGACGTATTCCCTCACTCTGATCTAATAGTTCAACGCAAGTGAATCATCAATGATTGTTCACCTCAATGTTCTCCAAATGAAATGATTTCACACTCCACGTTTCACTTGTCTATGACTGACCATCAAGACCATTCATCAATATCTCGACAATCTTTCCCCCGTTGCCGGTCGCCTGTCTCATATATCTCCAATGTTGCTAGCGGTGTTCCTTCGGGTTGCTCATCTTCTTCCTACCCAAAGCCTAGGTATCTCCGGAGATCCCTGTTGGGTGCACTAGAGGAAAATGAAGTGGATCTATCACAAGAGTATACATCTGAACATTTTTAAAGTCAAAAACGCGGCAATCTCGAGCTTAAATGTCTCGCCACTGTCTCTAACCCTGAATGCGTTTTGTACCATGGACTAGAAGGGAGAGCAGGGCCGAGGGATGGCCATCACTGTGCGAAGAAATGATGGAGAGGATATCGTAGCACAGTCAAACTGCAATGCCAAATGTTTCACCTCAGGCAGACTACCCAGAGAGCGGCAGGCCGCGAATTGATGCTGTGCCCTCTTGCCTTGTATCCTGAGGAAACACCCAGGCTCCAACTCTTTGAGCCAGATACACTTTTGCGCGATGTCTCGTGCCAAGCTAGTTGGAAAGTCTACCCATTTATACCTCTTTGATATTAAGGCCAAAGGTTAATTGCTTAGAGACTCGCCGTGTGGCGGCTCATAACAGCTTGTCTCGGTCTACTGGATGATTGTTTGAATTGAGGTTTTATAATGGCTTGGGGTCTGTATGAGCTTTCTGTTGCCAGGACTGGGTCTTCTTCTGAGCCCCCGCTGTAATCAATTATATTGGAATCCAAGAATGATGCGAATACCTCAACGTGTCCTGTACAAGACTTTAGATGTCTGCCTATCATGAACCGGGGCAGTTGTCATCTGTCGTGATACGCATGGCGGAGAGAACACGTTGAGTTAAGCGTGACACCACTCTTGTCCTCACCGTTGTTAGTGACCGACTTACACGAATTCTTAGGCCATTCATAAACGAATAAATACTTGATTATCATGAAAAAAATCAGACCAGGAGCAATAAAATAAAAAGCACATTTAACTTCACAGAGCTGGAAAAGAGATTAAAGGTGTAGGGTAGTTAAATGCACTGGTGGGGGCTGGCACTTACAGGCATTATTAGTGGGCCACGTTTAGCGGCAGTTCAACGCAATAAGTCCACCATCCCGTCCGTCAACATCCACGTTGCATAAACATGTGAAGGACTTTTGTTAAGTAGGATTAATTTCTGCTCCCGTCCCATTTCGCCGTTGCTCCTCTCCTACGTCCCTCGCCATCCTCTAGAAAACCATGGTAAGCAATCAGACTCAACTTCTCCCCAGTGCAATGGCATGCCCGGCGTCGCTCCCCTGGGCTTGCTTTGTTCCAATCTGCCAGAATGCTAATGATGCCACCTCGCCTGTAGAACGTCGCCTACAACACGGCCCTGCGCCAAAGGAAGGCCATCCGCGCCGAGCTCACGAACCTCTCCTCCAAACAGGCGCCCTCTCCTGCCGAAATTGGAAACGTCTCCGCCTCCCTCGCCACCTTCACCAAGTCCATCGACGAGTACAACGCGCTGGCCCGCCAGGAAATTGTCCCCAAGAAGCAAGAAGAAGCCATCGAGCGCGTCCGCAAGTTCCGCGAAGACCTCTCGTCCTTCCGCTCCGACATCGATGTCCTCAAAAAGACCCGTGACGACGCCCTGCATCAGGCCAACCGATCCGAGCTCCTGGGCAACCGCCGGCCCTACCAGGCCTCCTCCACCCCCGAGAACCCATACGCACACCAGCCACAAACCCCACGCTCGCCGGGCCAGCAGCAGTATCTGTCCACAGGCGCTGGTGATGTGACCCGCGAATCCCACGCTCTCCGTGAGCAGAACTTCTTTGCCACCACCAATTCAGCCCTCGACGACTACATTGCTCGTGGACAGGCCGTCCTCAGCGACCTTGGCCACCAGCGTGAGGTGCTCAAGGGAACACAGAAGCGGCTCTACAGCGTAGCCAACACTCTCGGTGTGAGCGGCGACACCATCCGTATGGTCGAGAGGAGAGCGAGGGAGGACAAATGGATCTTCCTTGGTGGTGTCATTATCTTTTTCCTCTTCTGCTGGCTCGTCCTCCACTTCCTACGGTGATCGAAGCGAACACGATGGAACAGGAACAGCAAAAGGACACATTCACGGCGGCGGCATGGAGCTTTTGATTTGATAGCATGGTACCAAGATGGGGGAAAGAAAACCCCCTACACAGGGCCATGAGCATGGACATGACTATTTCTCGCAACTTTTATACCACAAGCGTCATTCTTCTTTTGAACCTTTCTTTTATTCATTATTTTCCTATCTTGGTTGATAAATACCCTCATCTTTACCCTCTTGTACGTGCAACGGGAACCAGCTCGCCCTACTCCCGCTGCACACCTACTCCCTCCACCCGTCGTTCTCGCCGTCAATATGCTTCAGCGCTATCGTGAACAAGACGTCCTTGTCCGTCTCCACCTGCACCCACCGCGTGTCCGGGAGCACATGGTTGCTCGTGCTCAGGTTGCCCCCCATCTGCGTCTCCCAGTCCGTCACGTCCCACTCGAGCCCCTTAGTCGAGATCCGGCTCGGCTCCTTGAGCGGGATGATGCCGACGTGCTTGCCGAAGACGGCCTCCTCGCCGTCCTCGCGGACCTGGATCCGATGCGACCCCGCCTTAAGGAGGAACGTCAGACTCGACCCCGAGAGCAGGAAGATGCGCCCGTCGCCGTAGGTGCGGTCCTGCTGGAACAGGTACAGGTGGTGGAGCTGGCTGAGCCCCTGGTCGACGCGGCCGCCGATGCCGCCGAGGGCGACGATGTCGATGCCGGTCGGGTACTTGTCGCGCACGTGCTTGATGGCCTTACCGAAGTCGGTCGAGTATTGGGACGAGTCGTGGATGATTTGGGCGGGCGTCGGCTGGGAGGTGTAGAAGTCGCGGACGGCGGGGTTGAGGGAATCGAGGTCTCCGATGATGACCTGGAGGTTAGACTGGGATTCGGTGGACAACGGTCAGCTGTAATGCTTTCTTCATGTTTGGATGGCGCAAGGTAGGTAGGACAAGCTCTCTGGTATGCCAGGTAGAGAAAAAAAACACATTTCAGGGATCACTCACGAATTTGCCCTCGAAGGAGGAGAGGTCCTTCAGGCGATTCGCACCTCCGTCTGCTGCGACCCGAATTGAAGCTGTACAAAATCCAACACACACGTCAGTCTTGAGCTTCTGAGAAGCCAGGGGATTACTGTAAAAGTTAGCTGCTGGTATGGAATTTTCTCTTACAGTTTCTCCAGAGTCTTCGTAGATTGGTACCATTGCGCAAGGGCTGGTTGAGGACGACGAGCGCAAACGCAGGCGCGGTCTCGCGGCTTTGCAGCAGCTTGGCGGGATACCACTCTATCGCGGTCGGAGTCGCATCAGAGGCCATTTTGACGTCAGTACAGTGGGATCGGCAAAAGGGCAAAGAAGACGCCGCACTGCGTCAGAATAAAGGAAGAAGGGGGGGAGGCTAGGTCAAGCGGGCAAGAAGAGAAGAAAAAAATGGGTGGACAGAAAGGCTAAGTGCAGCTGAATCTGCGCTGAGCTGCGGCGCACCGTCCAAAGTCTCGATGCCCCTCGTAGCCGCAGGTACAGAGAGTCTACGATTTAGAGGTAGCAGCCGATGCAAGCGGTTGGCCCTGTTGCTGCACGTTCAGTTTATTTCCAGGATTGAGATATTTTCGAAAGACCTCTTTCGATAAACCCAAACCCCGCTTCTACACGAGTTCCAGTTGACGAGCCACACGTCTGTGTGCTACCGATGGTTGCCTCCCGTGATCCTCTGTCAGGTGTTCCATGTACTAGTCACCGAGACACAGAACAAGAGATCTCAGCTCTCCAGGTAGGAAAGTATGGCAGGGCAGACCCGATGCACAAGCATGTGGCACCCTTGTTACATGATCGACATCAAGAGCAACGCTTCCAACAAGAAATTATCCCCCATGGCCCAGCTGGCTAAGGCGTCCGACTGTTATTCACTAACGCAATCGGGAGATCGACAGTTCGATCCTGTCTGGGGGAGTTCTTCTTTTTGACTTTTTTGTATCTTGCATTCTTCGGATAAACTCTGGCTTTAGCTGCCAATTTGATGATGTCGGTATTGGTGCTTACCAACCAGCCCGTGAAAACCCTCAGGTCAATTACCGGCAACTTTTCTGTCCCATCCGCGAAGCCTGCGATCAAACGTCACTAATCCGCCTTCCTTCTCTTCTCCCACTTGTCTTTCCTTACTTGGCTTCACTCAATTAGCTACTTTTTGTTTTGAGAACGAAATATTGCAAAACACATAAACAAGAAGAAAGCACAATGTATCGCACAGCCCTACGAACGGCCTCGAGGCCCGCCCTGCGCTGCATGCGCCTCCAGGGACAGACAGCCACCAAGCGATTCGCCTCAACTTCAAAGCCCGCAGACAAGCCCAGGAGTTGGAAGAGCTCAGCCCTCCGATGGGGTCTGGCCGGCGGTGCCATCTACTACTACTCCAACAGCACGCTCTTCACCGACGACACAGCCAGTACGTATCCCCAGGAAAAACTGACCATGTCGGTGTCGCGTCCTCAGGACCACGCTAATGGGAGGCTGCGATTATAGCTCAAGCCAAGACGATCCCCGAACCTCCCCAATTCGCCGAGTCCGACCTCCCCACCGTCGATTCAGTGCTCGAGGAGAAGCGCAGGCAGATACAGGCCAAGATCGAGAAGGAAGCTCCCGTGCCCACGTCCAGCCAGGAACCCGATCCCGATGCCGCACCAGTAGGCGCCGAGGGCGAGGCTCCCGCGGACGGGGAGGGAGCCGGGCAACAGGCGGCGTTCAACCCGGAGACTGGCGAGATCAACTGGGACTGCCCCTGCCTGGGCGGCATGGCCCACGGACCCTGCGGGGAGGAGTTCAAGACGGCGTTCAGCTGCTTCGTCTTCTCCGAGACGGACCCAAAGGGCATGGACTGCATTGACAAGTTCCAGTACGCGATTCCCGGCAACATATATCGAGGCTTTTGTTCGTAATTCATTAACTAACCTGTCTCCTTTCTGTAGGGGCATGCAAACTTGCTTTAAGCAGTACCCCGAGATCTACGGCGCAGAGCTGACCGATGATGGCGATGACGACGGCGACGATACCGCCGCTGTTCCCGCAGATGCTCCTCTGAACACCGAGGGCGCACCCGCCGCCAAAGCCGAAACAAAGGAAACTCCCGTCGAGACCTCAACCCAGACCCCAGCGGCCGAAGCTGCCCCCACCCCCAAGGAGGAAGTCAAGCCAGCGGCCAAGGAGGAGCCAAAGGTAGAAACCAAGAAGGAGGAGGCTCCCGCACCTTCACCCCGCGTGGTCGAGCCTCCCGCTCCCGCATGGGAAGACGCCCGTGGGGCCAACACAGAGGGCGACAAGCAATAAACGGAGAGGACCCAAAAAAAAAAAACAAGAGGATATTTGAAGGAGTATTGGTTTCACAGATGGCGAAGAGTTATCGGGAACCCACGAAGAAAGGCATTCGTGACGATGTTTAGGAATGTTTTTGGAAAAAAACTAAAAATGTACATTATACGCGGGCTCCCTCCATACGGAGGATTGCGGGGAGCGCCTGTACTAAAACCCTGTACACTGATGATACTGCATAATTACACTGGCGCAGAGAGGTATAGAAAGAAATAGACGACTCACAACTCTTCTATTATGAACGTGGTTTATGAACCTAGATTGTTTCCTTTTCCAGCATGTCACATCAAGTCGCGACTTGGTTCTAATATCAAGTGATTGAAAAAAAAAAATAGGCGAGTATTTAACATTATCGCAACTATCATACTACACAAATCGGTATCAAGCAATACACAGGGAAAAGACAAAGTATCCTCCGAATGTTTCTCGCCGGTTAAATCGCCGTGGACGCCATGAACGAATAATGGAGAAGTGAGAGAAGGACCACGCCGACTAGAAATCTCCAGTCGGTCTCCAATCCATCTTAAGAGAGGTGAAGATGCAAGGAAGGGCAAGAGAAGTCATTCTTCTTTACGAAGATCCGTCCTTCTTGGTCTTGTACAGATACCGCCCGACGACACTCTCGACGGCACCCACGCTCGCGACGACGCCAGCGCCGATCCCGATGTCCTTCCACGACAGACTGCCGCGCTGGTACAGGCCCCAGGCCTTGTACCCGAGGAACGCGCTGATGCCCACTACGGTGGCGAGGTTGACGGCGGCGACGGCTCCGGCCTCGTTATCAGAGAGGCGGGCGAACTGGGCCTGCAGCCAGCTGTCGGCCGACTTGACCTGCTTCCTGGCCTTGGCCTTCTTGGAGGCGGCGGCGGCGGCGGCGGCCTCCTCCTCGCGCTCGAGGCGGGCGGCCTGGGTCTCCGTCTGGATCTCCTGCTCGAGGAAGTCGGCGGGGACGGTGTGGACGCTGGGGAGGTCGACGTCGATGAGGGACGCTGTGGAGGCGGACTCGTCGGTGATGACCTGGGGGGGTTGAGGGGCAGCAGCCTGGCAGAGCGGTTAGATGGACTGATGGGCTATGTGGTGAAGTATGGCGGCGATTTGATGGATAACGTCGCGGGAATGGAGAAGTGAGAATTGGATTTCATGCTATTGGTACATACCTCTTCAGGGCTCTGCTTGGGGCCAGAAGCAGCAACGTCGGCGTAAGACACTGGATGGTGATTAGCAGAGCAATGGAAAACAGGTACTGGGAGAATATCTTACTGGTTGTAGATGTGTTGGGCTGCGTGCCAAAATGAGGTGTGAAAATTTGGAGGAGAGGGTGCGGGATGGATTGGAATTGGAGGGATGGAGGGTAGATGTGCGTGTTGAGAAACCAAGAATCAGTACTTGCGGCAGATATATGCCCAGATAGCAGACAGGGCTAGATCGTGTGATGACGGAAGAGCGGCTGATTCGCACGGAGGCTGTAGGAGAAGCCAGACGAGTCGAGCACGCTACAAGTCGCTGTACCTGCCGGCCGAGCTGCTACTCCTCTGCCCTTTCCCTCTTCCTGCTCGTGCTCTTGCCTTTGCGCTCCCGAAGTTGGTATCAATGACGTAGCCAAACCCCACCTGCACCTGTGCCCAACCACCAATAGCGGCTTTTCTGCTTCTCCATCGCGATGCGTTCCGAGGCTACCCTATGTCGAGTCTGTCTCTGCTTTCTCCTCGTCTGCTACCCAAGGTACTTGTCGGCCAGAACCCATTCTCGTGTGTGTCTCGAAGTTTGCTCGCGTGCAACCCAATCGCCCATTTAGTATGCCCCCTCCTGCACGAATGGAGTGATGCCATGGGATCACAGTCACTTCTTCACTTCGCTGTCATGTGCAAATATGCCGTTAGGTGGGGCTCGAGCCTAGTTAGTGGACCTCCCCCTCTGCTGTCCACTGCCGCCATCAGCAATTGCTAATCGAATCGGGCCCGAGTCAGGCAACGAACGACACGCACCAACTGGAGGGGAAAATAACGGGCTCAGGCACAGGAAAAACCACCCTACGAGATATCGGTGAGTGTGCGTCGGGAAATTGCGTAGCGGCGATGGGAGTCTGTAGATGGTCGGTTGGAGATTGACCCTTGCGTTGGTCTTTGCCATGCTGGCTGGCCCCGCGTATGCATTGAGGCCAGGGCGGTTTGGGCAGCAGATGGAGATGGAAAATTTTTAGGGCAATTGTTTTTGCGAGCCATCGACCCTGTTCCTGAGATGGCTCGAATCTGGGATCATCCAGGGAGCAGTTGCGTCATTTCAATTTATTAGGGGTAGCAACGGCTACGGTGAGAGAAAACCCCTGGTGGCAGATCATGATGACACGAGATGCATCTCACACAGTGAAAATCAAGGCCCTAGTTTGGATGGAACCCCCCGAAAGATGTATTCTTCCTTGGCTTCTCCATCCTTTGCAGTTCAGTTCCTATAAACATACATTATAGTTAACAATAATCAAACCCATACTGACACCAAGCTTTGTGCTTCATAATACGTCCTGACGACTCCCCCCGTTTCCAAAAGCACTTTCCTTGATAAAACGCCCTTCCCCTGTCCATGGGTATCAAAAAGTTCAATCTCTTCCCCTCATCTGTTTTTTTTTATCTCCCGCTCGTCTTTCTCGTTTTGCTCGGGTTCCCTTTCATTGAAAATAACACTCCCAATCGCCTGGCACACAGGCCGTAAATGCAACATGTTCCCATCAAGCCTCGCATCCCTATGCCGCCCGTCATGGTGGGTAAAACCGAACACGATGGAATATATATAGTGGTACAAAATTGTGTGCCCAGTTGAAAAAAGGGAGACGCCGAAAATGATTAAAAAAAAAAAAGCCAGGGTAAAAAAAATAAAGGCTTCGCCAAACACTCGCACGCGTGAAATATGCTCCTGGTACAACCTCCCCGCTTCTCACTATGATGTCTTATTCAGTTGGTGCATCTCGCGGAACTTGCCAACCCAATGCTGCCGAACGTTTCTCGGCATCTTGCAAAATACCATGGCCTTATTCTCGATGCTGAGCACGTTCTCAGAAATCTTAACCTGCAGGTCGAGCTCTTCCTCGGAGAACTCCTGGAAGAAGATGTCCAGCGCCTGCTCCCGCCATCGCGGGGCCGCCCGTGTCCTGAGAGCCTCCAGGAGTTCCTCTACCAAGGGTAGTTGGGCACTTGATGCGGTCTGCTGCATATGGCTACCCCCTAATGTGGGCGGTACCGTAGGGACAGCTGTGGATGGCGCAAGAAGATCTTGTCCGCTCGTTCGCCGCCGCTTCTCTGACGGGAGTACACTGCTGGAGGGTGCCGCAGCTGATCCTCCCAATGCTGGCGCTGCCCCAGCCAATGGCGGTGATCCGGTTGAATCGGGCTGTCTCCTCTTCCGTCCCAGCTGAACCTGGCCAGTCAATGTCTCGTCTGGAGGTGTTAATGCGCTTGATGTGGCTGGTGTTACCACTGTCGGTAATGGTATCGCTCCCGTCGGGACCTGCACCTGCGCCTGCTGTTGTCCCATCGATCCGTTCGACGACCCTGTAGGGGTCTGGCTGAGTGTCGGTCTCTGCTGCTGCACACCGTTCGACGTGGTGCCATCCCCCGGGGACTTTGCGTTTCCTTGCAAGTTTAGCACGCCTGTTCCCGGCATATCTGCGTCGTCGACAGGTGCCCCGTCTGTCCGCCGCCGTGGCTTCATTATTCTTTTCGGCGCACCGCCCGACCCTATCACGTCTGGGTATAAAATCTCCATGAAATCTTCGTGATCGAACGGCCGGCCTCGCAAGGCTCGAGAAAGGGGTTCTTTCTAGAAATATAGCATTGCGTAAGTCAATGGGATCCGTTCGCTCAAAGAAATAACGAAAACACAAACGAGAAGCTTAATTGAAAGGGAAACCTGGCAGAAACTCAGAAGATTGGGCTGTACCTCAATATGTGCTTTCCACGCGTCTTCCGTGGCCGTCACCGTCCTCATAATTGGGTCATACATAAACTCGGGATCCTCGCGCAGCCCTCTCCAGAGACGGAATCTCTTACGTGCGTTGTCGCTCTTGTTGATCAGGTGGCTCTTGGCTGGGTAGGCGCCATGGGTAGCCTGGAGGGCCTGGGCGGCCCGCTCCCACGCCTCGGCCTTGAAACTGCTATTCTCGCGCAGGCCGAGCTGGACGCTCTCGCATAGGCTTCGGAAGAAGGTCGTCTCGTAGGATGGGGTCCAGCTGAAGCGCGGTGCTCGGCGGTCGCGGTCAATGCGTACGGGATTGACGGGGCCATCCGCCCCAAGGTTGTCGATGTCGTCTTCAGACATCGCTCCGTGCTCGTCTTCCTCGTCTTTCTGATTGCTCCCAGGCGTGTACCGGGCGTCTCGAAAAGAGTATGTTTTGCTCCGTTCGCCTTCCACCAAAGGAGATGGCGAATCTTGCTGGCCAGATAGCGTCGGGTTTGGGGCGAATCGGAGAACTATCCCGAGGCCTCGGAGCCGGTCCCTAAGGGCAAAGTTTATCCCACGGCTCAGGTGTGGCGCCGAGACGTGTGGATACTGGACTTTTATTGTGTTTATGTGTTTTCATGTATAAAACTTGTCGTGCCCAGGCAACTGCACAGTACAGGCGATGGTAGACTGCGGGAATGATGGGCTCAGGTCCTGGACGGTCGGACAATGGTGGTCGCTGCCATTGCTTGCTTGGGGTTCGCTCGGGGTGGAAGTATAATGTTTGTCGTCCCGTTCTGGGTTCTTGGAACACCCCCAAAGGAGCGCGTGAACCAAAACCAAGAGGAGCAGGTCGACGCCTCGTCGCGGGATGGGCACAAGGGAAACGAGCGTCGTAAATCGGACGAAGGAAGCGGCGTAGATATCGGACGGGTTTCGAGGTGGCAGGCTCCGCCAAAATGGGTGAAGGTCGGAGCGGTGATGGCGGGTGTAGAGTTAAAGAGTAGTACGGGAGCCTGCGATTGCGGAAGCTGGAGGCGAGGAGGAGATTGGGGTGCCGCGATGGGGTGCCGCGAACGAGCTTGTATTGAAGTGAGGTATAGCGGGAGAGATATTTGGGCTGTGAAGGATGCGCCTGGTGTTTGGCTCCGTGTGCGACGATGGCGGTACTTGGCCAGCGGGCGGGAAACACGGTCGCGGTCAGGTATCGACGCTGCTGTTAGGAGCTGAAGCTGAGGCTTGCTTGGTGCGCCTATCGAGGTACATTGAGGTACACCGTACATGGCAGGTACGGCTGGGCCCAGGGTCTGCGGAAGCAACAGCAGGCCGGTGATTGGCGGAGGAGCGTGGAGTCCCCGCTTGGTTCAATTTTTTGACGCGTCACGTGGATGATCTGGTGGACCCATAATCCCGCCTAGCCTCCCGAGTGAGGTAGCAGGTACATGCAATAAAACCATTATTAATTTTGATGAATGATGACCAACGGGTGCCTTGCCGTAGCTGTCATTTGGCTGCAGATCGCTGGAATGAATCTTCTAAAACCTGCTGCTGTCTGCGACTTTAAAACATGCAATTCTAGATGGCTTTTGTTGATTGCTGTGATTCGCATGTCGCATCTCGTCGCTGTTTAGTTCCCTTATGCCGCAAGTCAGGCAGCAGTTTAACGGGAGCGGAGCAAGTACCGTCCATGTACCTCGCGGACCCTGAAAGTGATGCGCCGCTGACTAAGTGGGTGCATGCATGGGCGATCTGCCACCACCAAGTACCGCAGCGGTACATTTGATCATGCTCCTAGATGACGGCTTTTCTGCAACAGAGTCTTGGATATCGCCGGAGTAGTAAAATCCCTGTCCAGGGCAGAGCTCCCCACTGGTAGCGCGGGATGTGACACTGTTGTGATGCGGTGTGGTTAGTGGGCTGGTACTGGCAATGCGCGCCTAATGAGAATGGTGAAATGGTAGAGGATGAGCCATAATAATCGCTCACTGGCATCTTCATTGGTACGTGTGGCATATTCTCCTGGCTGGACAAAAGCATCCGCAGTCTGTGGGACTTGATGTCGTCATATCAATATGATCCATGCATCGTGACCTTCGAGCCTTCTGTTCCTACGTGAGGAAGCTCTACCTTCCCTCAACCACCTTCTCTCAACCCACCTACCTGCGAGACCTTCGAAAATTCACTTCGTCTCTGTCGTGTCACATCTGCCTCGTATCTTGCTACCCTTGCCAAGTAATCACCGGCACTGACATTACACCGATAGGCGAGGCGCCTGTCCGTTGGGCTCGGTCCAATGTGCGCCTGAGCTTCATGGATGGACGTGGCGCACCCTTTGAAACGTCAAAGCATCGTTTCTGCGCTGCCGCCCGACGAGAATCAAAACATTGGGAGCAGAGAATCATGCAGTCGGCGGACAATCGAGTCACTGGACCAAATCAATTCCCAGACTAGTAATATGTACAATCGGTTTTGGCTCGAGCATCAATTAACATTATCCCGATACGTGATCAACCATCTCCAATCAGGCCCTTGTCCCACCTGGTGTTCGTGCTCGTCTTCTCCAATCACGTCCAATATCTACAGCTCTCCCTCTCCGTTCTACAGGAGCGCGACGAGACCAGCGGCGACCATGACGGGGATGCTTCCACCAAGAGCGGCAGCCGCGCCAGTATCCGTGGCCTGAGCGGAGGCCGATGTCGATGTAGCGCTGCTGCCACTGGTTGCGCTGCTGCTGGTGGGAGTGGCTGCTGCCGATGAAGGGACGGAGCTGCCGGTCGCAGAGCTGCCGGTAGCACTGGAACCGCTGGCGGTGGCGGTGGCAGAGGCCAGAGAGGAGGCGGCAGAGCAGAAGTCAATGGCGGCGGGGAGAACTTTTTCTACAAGGCCATGATTGTTAGCGGATTCATCGAGTGGTTGTGCCCGTCCGTGGTCCCATTGATCTGGGCTCAGGAACACAGACAGCTCCATCACATTGCTTGGAAATGCATCACGTACCGACGGAGACACCAGCACCACAGGCGGCCATCACGCAAGAAACGGCAGCGTCGTAGATGGCCTCGTAGTTGGACTGGACGCACCAGCACACAGCATCGGTGAGACTACAGTCGGTGGCCTTCTTGGTGCCGTCGTTCAGGCAGTTGAGGGAGCACTCGGGGAAGTAATCCTCCTTCTTCTGGCCGGAGACGAGGCCGAGGGCAGCCACGATGAGGATAGAAGCCTTCATGATGGATGGATGAGTTGCGGGATGAGAGTGCGGCTTGGATGGACACGTGAGCCAAAGCAATTGAGTGATGATTCAGCCTTTCTACGCAGACCAGCGGGAACGAGGAGAGGAACGACCTGCCCTGGTTTTATGGGGAGCGAGGCAAAATAAGGCTCTTCCCAACGATGCTATGAGCAACCGCAACGGCACCTACGGGAGAGGGATGGGGCGGGAAGGCAATAATCAGACAAGCCATCAGTCCAACAATCTTATCAAATGGGTACATCCATCTCCATCGCCTTCAGCTCGTTCACGTCATGCCTAATCCAGGTCTTGGGCTGCCCCGTTCAGGTCAGAATGACCTCGGCTCGCTGCTTGGCAAACCACCAACGCAGGTTCGCATTGTGCCAAGTCCAAAAGAAAGAGACGCATCGCTCGGCACGTCGGAAGCTCGCTGCGTGATTTGAGCAGTCGATAGGTCTCGTTACAGACTAGTTTCTTCCTCTCTCTCACTCTCGCAACATGTGACAGGCTTCCTAGACGAAACACCTGCCTTGTCCGAAATCGCTCTCACACCCAACGAGGGATGGGCCGCTGGGAAGGGACTTTGTCTGCCATCTTCATTTCCATGCCAGCCGCTCGATTCAGCTCGAGGGAGCTAGCCCGCATTAACGGCTCTTGGTGATCCGACGGACCATCCAGGAGTCTCGATTCAAGTGTGGGTGGAGAAGACTGAAGAGATAAAATTTTATCAGATCATCAGATAAGACGGGATCATTGGTCTTGGCGCGTCTGAGTCTCCATCTGGACCATCCCCATTCGATCTAATCTCGCCCGTTTGCCCCTAGTTTCTCTGCAACTCATCATTCCAGCATGGGTTGACCAGCTTTACGACCTGGCCATTAGTCACTGGCCGTTGGGGCCTGGGAGACTCGCTTCCGCTCGCCTGAACCTACTGCTTGTTTGGGAAACTGAGCTCCCCTGGCAGCTCCATTGTCCGGAACCCCCTGTTGAGAGTTTGGTGTTTGCCAATGCCTCTGTCAATGCCCGAGCCCTGAACTACTGCTCTGCCCTACGGTGAACTGACCCCTACATGACCCGGTTGGCTCCCAGCTGCTGTCCCTTCCCTGTCTTTGCAGGTCATTCTTCGATATTCCGAGAGCCGATCGCGGTTGGATATTCGCGCATTTCTGGACCGTTTGGATTTAGTACCACCAGCTGACTGTGGTTCTTTTTTTCCCTCTCTATTCTTCCACCAACTTAGTCCACTCGTAACATTACCTAGCAAATAGTGCCGCCCTCCGTCCCCCTAATTGCCATTTAGTCAAGTCGTGTTTGATCCATGCTCGTAAATCTCGGCAGGGGCGCCATGCAGCGAGTATAATATACACACCCGTGCCGGATCGACTGCAACCTTGTTGGACGGCCTCTTCTCAACGGACCCTAGGAGCCTCGGCAGCCCTTGTCGTTAGTTGACACGATACTCAGCGCTTGTCATCGCTCCACACGAGCGCACACACAATTTCAGTGCCGTGCCTCCTCTTTCATCTCTGACTTTTTCTTTCTGATCAATAATCGCCCACCTGGAGCCCTCTCAACTACGCTGCGCCGGCACGTTTGGATAAGATGGGCTTGCTCAACTTCAGCAAGAAGAAGTCCGAGGTCACTGAGGTTGCCGAGCAGCCTCAGCCTGCCTCTGCCGACAAAGATGGCAACCATGAGTCGAACGTATCCGAAGAGAAGGGGCATAAGGATGATGGCACCGTACCGGAGGCAGGAGGAAACTACCAGTCTGGTGTTCAGGCGATGGAGGCCGTCACCACGGTGTGGACGAAGAAGCACATCGCCATCGCATACGGCATGTAAGTCATACTCGATCAATTTTGAATCTTGAGAATGTTGTTCTGCAGCGTTGGGCTCAAGAATTGAGTTCCGGGAAATCCGGGATGCTGACTGACTTTCTAGGATCTGGCTCATCTACTTCGTCATTTCGATCCAGGAGGTTGTCCTCCGAGCTCTCAACCCCTTCGTCGTCAGTGATTTCTCGAGGCACTCTCTGACACCCGTTGTCACCATCATTTCCAGCATTGTTGGTGGTCTTTCAAAGCTGCCTATCGGCAAGATTCTCGATACCTGGGGCCGTCCCCAGGGTTTGGCACTGACCCTTCTCTTTTGGGTCATGGGTATCATCATGATGGCTGCTTGCAGGAATGTCGAGACCTATGCCGCTGCTCAGGTTTTCTCTTCGGTTGGGTAAGCTTTGAACATTTTTCTCTCGTAGCCAATCCTCCTTCAAATACTCACGATCGATGCTAGAGCCCAAGGTGTTAGCTACTGTTTGACCATCTTCATCGCAGATACGTCGTCCCTGCTTAACCGTTCCTTGATGCTTGCCTTTGCATCCTCGCCTTATATTGTCACGCCCTGGATTGGTGGACCGGTCTCAGACAGAATCATCGCTGGTATCGGATGGCGCTGGGGCTTCGGCATCTGGACCATCATCACGCCTGTCATCGTCATTCCACTTCCCCTCCTGTTCTTCTACATGAACAGACAGGCCCGCAAAGCCGGCGTCCTTCCAAAGGAGTCCAAGCCCCTGACCTTCCAAGCAGTCAAGGACTTCATCATCCAGTTCGACCTCCTTGGACTCCTTATCCTTGCAACCGGCATGTCCCTCTTACTCCTCTCCTTCTCCATCTACTCCTATCAGGCGGACCAGTGGCGCTCGGCCCTGATCATCTGCTTCCTCATCTTCGGCGTCGTTCTCATCGGCCTCTTTATCGTCTACGAGATATACCTTGCCCCCGTCAAATTCATCCCGATGAACCTGCTAGCCGACCGCACCGTCCTCTTCGGCGGCATCATGTTCACTTTCATCTTCGCCAACTCCGCCATCTGGGGCTCCTACTTCACCTCCATGCTCATGGTCGTCTGGAACACCGGCGTCGAGAAGGCCACCTACATCTCCAACATCTACCGAGTCGGCTCCTGCTTCTCCGGCCTCGTCCTCGGTTACGCCGTTAGGTACACCGGCCGCTTCAAGTGGGTCGCCTGCTACTTCGCCATCCCCCTCATGATGCTCGGCGTCGGCCTTATGATCAAGTTCCGCCAGCCGGAGGAGAACCTCGGCTACATCGTCATGACGCAGATCTTCGTCGCCTTCGCCGGTGGGCCTATCGTGCTCGCAGGAGAGATGGCCATGATGACGCCCCTCGAGCATCAGCATGTTGCGGCCATCATTGCCATCCTCGACCTCTTCTCTAGTATTGGTACCGCGGTTGGCTCCACTGTTGCCGCTGCTATCTGGACCGGCACCTTTAAGGACGCTCTTAGGAGGCATCTCCCTAGTGAGAAATTGGTTGATAGCATCTACGGGAGTTTGTATACCCAGCTGGCCTATAAGCCTGGCACTGAGATCCGCCATGGCATCTCTCTTGCCTATGGAGAGTCTCAGCGATACATGCTCATTACTAGCGTGTGCCTCCTCGCTGGTGGATTGCTGAGCTCTTTCTTGTGGAGAGATATTTCCCTCAAGAACCTCAAGCAGGTTAGAGGAAACGTTGTCTAAGATGGGAGGCACCTGGGCGACGATAGATATTGTAATATTGGTGTGGGGTAAACTTCGCGTTTCTGGGGATCCCTTCAATAAGAGAAACCGGATTCGAACTACTGAAAATAGGAGAGAACGGAAAGGGTTATTTGTGGACTTTCAGGATGAGCTCTATCGGATGATTTATTTGACAATGTAAGGCCAATGTTATGTGTAATAGTTTATATAGTAGAGTTGGAATGTTTGGATAATCAAGTTACGGAAGCAGGCTGGGCTTCTAGACTTCATCTCCGAAGTAGTGGAGCCCTGTTGGATTGGTGAATGTTTAGATGTGATACCTAAGTTAGATCTGTGACCATCAAGATGCGTTGGGTGTCAATCCTGTAAACCGCAAGAAGGTGTTTCAGTTTTGGCTGATGCGGCTAACTCTTACAGCCTTGTCTTGGTTCTACATGCTTATGAGGAAACATCCGGCTTGTGACGGGGAAGTACATTGCTCAAGATTGCTCTGAGTATCATGGGGAATCAACATACCTTTCTCTGGCAGGCCTGTAGTGTTCCCGGACTACTTAGACCGAGGGCGAAATATTTGGATGGTCTTAAGTTGAGCCGGCTGAGTGCGGGGAGGAGGCCCATTTCTCCCCTGTCTTGTGGGCTGAAGACCGAGTCGTCATAAAGGTGAAACATACGTTTGATTGTGCTGACGCATATTTATGTATTGACAGGGCGGTGATGACGTAGGATCTGGTCCAGATGCCTAAGCCTCACGAATTCTTTAAGCTGACTTTAATCCAGGACAATTTTTTGTGAGGTTTTACAGTAAATCCAAATAATTGGATCTGCGCGCTATGTTTTTATGCCAGAATGCGAGCCGCAGCAATGAGAATCTGACTTCTCGAGGATGATTGATTGAATCCGGGAACGCACTTCTCGTAATGTGAGGCAACTCAAGAGCGTTCTCGTGTGCTTCAACTTTAGCTAAGCCGGTGTGGAGATCCATCTCCTCCGGCGTGATAAATCTAGTCCTCTCGGCAATGATCCAGCCAAGGTAAATCACCACGGTAGAAGTTAGTTTGTTACTCCAGACGGAACAGGCCTTTTCAAGAGTAGACTGACGGAAGAATACAACGATGAATTGAGCGGTGAGGTGAGCGGTGAGTTGAGCGGTGAGTTGAGCGGTGAGGTGAGCGGTGAAGTAATAAGCGGTGAGTTGAGCGGTGAAGTGAGCGGTGAAGTAATAAGCGGTGAGAAGAGCGGTGAAGGAGCGGTGAAGGAACGGTGTAGAAGCCTGTGAAGCTCCAGTGGCCTTTAATGGAAATCTTAGCGGAGCAATGAGTCGCGTGATAGAAATGATGCAAATTAATAAAACCGATTCCACACAACAGGTGAAGTAGTGCCGCACTTCAAAAAGGCCAGACAAGCGACGGCGGTGGATAGTCACAAAGCTGGCAAAGGAACACCAAGGAACACCGCGCTGGGCATTTTTTGCAAAGATCTTAGGGGCTCCGTCGTTCTTTGCGAGACCAAATCTTATTCTTGAGGTAGGGAAGAAGAGGCCGTTGGTTTGGTGCAGCTCTAGGCTGGAGTATTAATACTTAGAAGATGCTCTCCCGAAAACTTGACGACTGTGACTCACACGACAGCGTTGCAAAGATCTGGAAGAATGGAAATCTCTAATCTGTTCGTTGCAGTGGTGAATGGAAACTTGGCAACATCCAAGTGCTCAAAGGCGATGTGAATCTCCGCCAATATAAGCCCTTTGTTTCAATAAAGTACTTCTAAATGATGAATAGAAAGACTCAATTGACTAGAAGAAGATCTAGGAATAGCAAGAGGTCTTCGCCGGTGCAACGGGATTTACATGCATGTTGATTACTAGGAAGATGACAACCATGCCAACATATGACGGCATTCAAAGCTTGCGGCGACTGATACATCCATTCTGACGAAGCGGGAGTTTATGCACTGGCCGTGATATAGATTGCAACCTTAAGAGACTACACCAGCAATAGTGAAGATTTGACTGGCGACAAGTCACCATTTTCGGCCACCGTTCTTTATATGTCCGCCTACAGAAACTATTGGTCACCTCACGACACACTTATTGACAAGCTCTTTAACATAGACTGACAAGTCGACATGGGCATCGGCCGCTAACTCTTCAAAGGAACAGCTTGGCAGCCGGGGTTTGAGCCCCTGAAGGTGGGTGCCGATGCTAGCGAGCTTATCATTCACTTTGGCTCTGAGCTTACACAGAAGTGCACTCAGAAAAGGACGGTTAATTAATAGGTGAATCACATCCGCAAGGCTGGCCAGCCCTGAGCTGGCACTAAAGAAGCAGCAGTTCTAGAGGACCACGCACTGGCTATAGGATCGGTGTATCTCGTGCTAGAGAGACGAGTCTTGAGGATGATGCATTGCCAAGATGGCCCCTGTTGGTCAATGCCGAGTCCCACCGGACCTTTGACCAGGCTTGATGCCAAAAAACCGCCAGAACACGGGACAGCGTGGGTGTCCGTCATACTGTATTACAGGCCCTTAATTTGTTTATAACGTCCTAGAATAACCTGCGTCAAACAGGGTTTTGTTCTAACTGAATGGCAGCATCGCCGAGGCGTCAACAGCGGATCATCCAGGGAGATGATTATTAACGTGGGGATCTCTGTTTGAGACTTGAATTTCTTCGCAGGGCTTAAATTATTGAGATCCTGGTATAAATTCCATTCAGCCCAGCTTGGAGATTCGGAAGATTTTCTGGCATCGAGCACGCAATCTCCTCTTAAACCCCAGCTCTTATTAAGTTCGCTGCGCTTCCAACACACGCTTCTCCACGCGACAATTCTACAATTTCCGACAAGTAATCACAACAAAATGGTCGCCATCCAAAACATCTCTTTAGTCCTATTCGGGCTGGTTGGACTATCATCTGCTAATGGACTCGGCCCGTTCCGCCAATGCCTCACTACTGCGGCTTGCGGTGTTAGCAAAGTCTGCAACTTCGAGACTCTGACTTGCATCACCAACCCAATGGTCTCCAAGCGCGATCTTCTAGTCGATCTCCACGACAGGGCTGTCTTTGGCCACGACCACGCAAAGAGAAACATCCCCGGCAAGCGCAGTGATTATTGGGGGCGCCGGAACCGTGAACTATGAAATCAATGGTGGATGAGAAGCCCAGTAAAAGGCGACCACGCTTGCAGCATTTTCTGTGAGCCTCACTTTTTTTTTTTTTTTTTTTTTTTTTGCTTTTCATATTCTGAGACTTTCGCCTCATCCCTAAAAGGAGGGTTCCATATCATCGCAAGCATTGTTTTGGTCAATAGCCGGAGTTGGTTTTTTCTTATTGCATTTCTTGCAACCCTTTTCTCTTCATACTATATATTTCTACATTCGATCATAAATTATCGTCATTACATATCTTCAACTTAACAATATCTATAATCCATGCTCCTGCCGTGTTTTGAAAATATCATTTGGAGTTGCTTTCATGGGTGCTTGAATGCTGAATACCTCAATAGCCGTTACCATGAAAAGTACCACGTCGTCGAATTTCGACATAACATGTGCAGGGGAGTGGCTTTAGTCTTTCAGCTCAACTAAAGCAATGGATCGGGTCGGTTGAGGCTCACTCAGCCCTACCTAAGTACCATCTTACTAGAATGAAAATTTCTCTACATCACGCCAATTCACGTTGCATTCTGCCCCCCACTTCGACCTGTAGAAACACCAATCTGATCTTGAATCAGTGGGAAGGTGGGTGTTCGGTCAGCAGCAGAATCAGGTTCTTCGCATACGCAACGAGACCGATTCGGAAGAGGGGATCGAGGTTCAAGATAAGCCCCAACCGGTGGTTCAGGTGAGTTGGTCGGGAACCACCCCTTCTGGGGAACATTACGACATCCACTCAAGGCTGAATGCAAGGCAAGCACGGTCAGAATACTACAATTTCGCCGGCGCTCACGTGGAGCTCCCAGACGATGACGCAATCTAGGCATTTGTGCCTATGACACTGGTCAATGCAACTTGGAATTGTGACGAACGTTGTCATTAACAGCCCCCAAATCGGTGAAATAGCCACGTGCCAGCACCTTGGGGGCTGTGATCAATGTAACGAACCAATCCTGTCAGCAAGGCGGCGGCAAACATGTGTATACTGTAAGTTGGTTGGCTGGAGTGTCCCGCTACTAACAGGGAAGGCCGACCATTTTTTCCACACTTGGAGTCACCTTTAGGCCCCCATTGGCCTCTTGATGGCATCGATTGGCCTAAGATTCTTTGATACGAGAAACCAGCGGCCGGTGCTGCCAGTTGCGAAGAGGGAAGCAACATTCTTGACCCAAAAGCCTTTGAGATAACCATTCTGGATGACTCCATTGGATTACCCACTGAGTGACTTACCTTGAAATGGAAGATCGTCTTCTCTTTTGTGTGTTGGTCTTGTTGGTTGGTTGGTGGGCGGGGCAATGCTGAGCACCGCGCCTCGTAACTCTGGTCGCCCCAATTGACTTTTCCTCTTCTTCTTTTTGTGTTAAGTACACCTCCTGAAGTATAAAACACGTGTCTTTAGACCACTAAACTCTTGCTTGAGCTCTTTACCTTTCTTCATTCCATCATTGCCCAAGGTCTCAAATTTGGTTCACTCATCTCATACCTCGCTATTAATCGAAACATTGACCATGGCTGTCTCTTCCTATGCTGCATCTAATCTTCTGGCACAAGTCCAGGGCCAGACGATGTATGTGCCACCTCTTGATTGTCTTTATTCTCATTGGAATCAAGGGGTCAACCCACTTGTAGAGGAAATACGGCCTCTTGTTGAAGAGCTTCTGGTGCGGTATGCCCCCCAAAAGGAAGATCTGGACCACGTTCGAGCCTCTGCATATTGTCTTTTCGCAGCTACGTACGTATTTGTTTCTCCTCGTATATTTGACAAAAAGTTGTGGGATGGTTCTGAGACTTAATCAATTACCCAGATGGTATCCAGACTGCGATTTGCAGCGACTGCAGTTTGCCGTCATATATGCAATCTTTCTTTTCTTTTGGGATGACAATATGGATCGTGAAGAAGGATCTTCTCATCGAGAATTGACCTACAATATCAATCTTGGTACCCAGTACCGCTCCGAAGCCAAGGCATATGTCAATTGGCATCTAGGTTTCGAAGCCAACGGTTGTCCTGAGCCGGAATACCGGAATCCTCAACTCGAGATGTTTGGCATGGCGGCAAAAATCTTGAGGAAAATGACAGATAAGGATACTTTGAGTCGTTTCCGGGATCACCTGTTCTTGTATATCGATTCCTGTCAAAGGGAACAAGAAGATCGCCTTTCTAGGAATTTTCCATCGGCCCAGAATTATTGGGAGATGAGACTCGGCACCAGTGCAGTCTATACATTTTGTGCCTTTTCTCCGTAAGCATTAATCCGGTGCCCACCGAAGTGATTCACCCATTGGCTGACTTGACTAGTTTCATCTTGGGGCTTAGCTTTCCCAAAGCGTTGTTGGACTCACGGGAGATGTTGGACTGTTGGACCGAAGTAAACAAGAACATTATCTTGTACGTGCTGAAATTTGATCGAATATCTTTGGACTTGCTGATTGACTTTTCATATAGCGAAAATGATCTTCTCTCATTTAAGAAGGAAGTGGTAAGTCGATCGCATGGCTTCACTTATGCGATCTGGAAGAGTACTGAACAAAGTCCTAGGCTGATGGAGCAACGACTACCTTGATTCCAGTCCTCATGAACGAGCACTGCATCTCCATGAACGAAGCTGTAGCCCTGTCAGTTGCAGGGCTTGCTGAGTGCTGCAAGAGATTTGACATGGCCGCTGCCGCCCTGAGGAAACGGGCGATGGAGTTTGACATCAACGTTCAAAATGATGTTGGACGACTAGTTAGATGTTTCGAGACTATGCAGAGCGGGTGCTATAACTGGAGCAAGAAGACCGACCGCTATGGTGTAGGGCCATACCGTAAAGAGGATGGTTCTCTCCAGTTCCAGCTGTGATAGACATCGGATCGTTTTATTGTATGCCCCTAGAAACAGCCCGCTTGTGGAGATGTTAACCATGGGGACACATCCCCTAAGAAAGTCACTGTGGCCGATGTGATGGAGACAAGGGGACTGAGGGAAGTTGGGCCTTTCCATTATTTGCTGACCAGGATTGGATTGGGACTCTGATGAATATTATTGTTGGATCTGGTGAGAGGTATACTACGGAGGACTGCAGAGTATGGATAATTGCATTGAGGTTTCTGATTCGATTCATCTTAGAATTAAATCCTACTAGACGTGTATGCATTCCCCAGATCTAACCCCCCCGCCAATCTGGTTCAGTTCATGAATGAGGTTAGCATATCTCCTAATCCCTTTCTCTTCCGGCTTTTGACCTTTGCCGGCCCCTGCTGCCCTCCTGAATTCACATCATTCGTAGCGGTCTTCTTGTTAAGGGTTGGCTGTTCAATTGATTTGCCCTGTAAGATTGAGGGTCTGATGAAAGTAAATCTCTTCGTGGCAAAAAGACCGTGTTTGACGTATGACGGACTAAGTGAAATACCACCCCGCCCACTGTGGCCAAGGAACAAAGAGGCAAAAGGCTTAGAAGGGAGTACAAACGGGCCAGCTACTGCTTGCAATCCCGGTGACGTGCCTTGTTTCTCCAGATCCCGATCATTGCTGAGCTGTCCAATGATTGAATAGAGCCAGAACGCCCAGGCCTCGAAGATGGCACCGTGACAGGCGCGTGTGGCCGTAGCGGCACCGTTGCGTTCCCAGGATGGGAGGCTGCCGACGATCTTGGCTGAGTCGGTGAGGTAGTCGATCAGCTCAGGTGCCTGGCGGTCCGGTACAAACTTGACCTCGCATCCTGAGTCGGCGCAGAGGGAGAGGAGATCGGCATCCACGCTGCGGGCTAATTCCCTAAGGCCTTTTGCCTGTCTCTCATCTACGTGTGAGAATAACGTCAGGTAGCGCAGGAGAGAGTCATCGAGAGCCATATTTCCGAGCCTAGCAGACTCCCAGCCCTGGTCGATGGCCTCTTGCTCATGTGTTGGCCAGTCTTCTCGTGCCCCGATCACGTCGTAGAGCACGAGGGAAGGAAATTTGGAAACCCAGTGGAGCGATTTCTGAGTTGTAGACTCGTCACCAAAGATACGCAGAACACGTAGTAAGGGAAAAGGATCTGGCCTTTCCGTCCACCCTCGTATTAGGCGGTCGCTTACATCAGGGAAGTCGGCGCCCAGTTCATCTGCTGGACGAATAATCTCCAAGACACCCAGATTCCGGATATCGGTCAGCCACAGCATCTCGGAAGTGGTGAAAGACTGGCCGCCACTGATGGCCAGATGGGTGATGAAATCTACCGACGGCGACGTGAGAGGCTCGATGTATCGTTTCAACTCGACTCGTGGCTGGCAGATGTGATGGCGGTAGCGGTATAGGCTCAGCGTCCTCTCTTCATCTTGGGGGAGGAGAGCCTTGGAGAAGATTTTCCACGCGTGAAGACAGAGTCCGCTTTGGAGGGAATAATGTCAGCGGCTCATGTCAGATCAGAGGGTGAGTGTATTGGCTCGACAAACCGTGCTTCGAGAAATCGCCAGATGCGGCTTACGAGACGAGGAGGAAGGACTTCCAGATGGCGATCAGTCACATCGCCGATATGATTCGCAACCACCTCGATGACGGTATCGACGAGCGAGCGAGGCCCACGGGTGCCGCGAGGCTTGACGGCGGGCGTAGGGCGTTTGCGCGACCAGTCAAGCTCATCTCGAGAGATGCTCACGCGAGGGATCACGCATTCTTGATAGACGAGGCCACTGTCGGGATCGAACTTGCGAATGCCCTGGCGAGACATGGCGGTGCGTTTTATGTGCGGTTGATGTTGCAGTGCGCAAAGTCACGTCACATTTCATTGTTGATGAGAGAAGCGTGTTCGGATGAAATTGCTGACAAATTTTGAGTGTGGCCCGTCAATGAGCCCGAACATCCTCGATGCAACATCTCACTATTCGACACATAAATTTTCATCTCATGCTTAAAGACACGAGAATATCACCTCTTTCAAGATTCGACGGGTGTTTGAGTCAACTGATGTTGGCAGAAATAGACCTTCTTCCTGCCCATCCACAACAGTGGACTATCCACATTAGAAGACATTTGACAGCAACTGGGTGTAGAATGCGTGCGATTATTCGTTCACCATATTTCATGACGCTTCACTGGCCGTTTGAAATACTTTTTCTCTCCCTCGTTGCTGTACCTCAAACATACTACATGCCATATGGGTCTGGTCGACTATGAATGCATTGATGGAGTTGCACCTTCTTTGTCCCAAAAGGAAACAGGAAGAATGAAAGAAAGGTCTAAATACGAGCTGAGCTCATCTAATGGATTGGTTCTACGGCATACCCAGGGGTCTGCGTAAGTTGGGTACGTTGAGACAGTTGAGCAGGGTGCAAAGAAGGAAACTGGCCATAGCCTTACATTTCATATGAACTAACAAGGTAGGTGATAGAGGTATATGTTATTGCTAACTACTTGAGAAGAGAAGCTATACTTGAACTAATTTGACGAGTAAGTATATATATGGTATAGCGAGATAGCTGATACATGTTATGTTATACATTGTACCATTTCGTATGTAGGATATGTTAATCATCAAGCACAGGCGAAGGAACAAAATATTTAGGTACCTTCAATGGCTATGCACAAGGCGCAATAAGTAGACCCTTTCATTCTAACATTGACCTTGGCATGGCATTTTTGTTGACAAGGTCACAGACAGTTACCGTTCTCTCACTTGTTCAGCTAATCGGCGTTTGCCTTGTAAATGAGGCATGAATGGCTTGATATCGAAAGGAATATAATCGCACCGTGGTAGATAGTAAGTAGGGTTACATACCATGAGAATGTTACGTTTATGGTAAGCAAGAGCATTAGAGTAGGTATACAGAAAGAAGTGCCTGTTCATCTAGGAAGGCCAGCCAAAATATGGAGACGATTTTGTTGCGTGGAGCCTCTGGGAGATCAAGCTCCATCGCAAGGCAGACTGATGACCCCTGTCTTTTCCTCTCTGGACAAGCCCAAGAAAGGCCTCAACTAGATAGTCAACATACCGAGGCTAAACCCACAGTATGAAACACAAAGAATTCGCTCTTTGGCTTCCGATCTTTCACTACGCCGTCGAGTGTATAGCACCACCAATATGCGATCCTCGGTGACCGCAAGGTTGCGTTCCGCCTCCCTTGCCGTTGGTCCTTTTAAGCCCTCTCATATCACCGACTCGCCTGACCTGCCCCGGACCAAAATTGGCCCTGCCCCGGAGCACCTGCACACACAGCTACTTCAATTGTACTGGGAAGGTGTCGAGCGGGATGTAGAGCTCATTATGCGCACTCTGGCCGAATGGCGCTCCGAAGACAATCCGCGAATGGAAGAGGAGGAGGATGGCATGGTCATCTATGGCTACGAGACATTTCTAGATCAAGTCTGTGAGAGTCAGCGTAACAAGTCTTGGGAGAATGGGGTGTCCGCACACACAGCATACACCGATTCCTTGAGGAATCGGGCGTGGGAGATCCTTGCAGATGCCGAGAGCGAACAGCGACGAACTGCCGCCAGGAAGCTGATCGAGTATGAGAATAAGAAGGACACCCTCAAACATCGCGCGCGCATGCTTCTCCAGGCTGCCCAATGGCTGGACATTGACAAAGTCGTCGAGCACCGAGAACCAATTCACAATGGCCTCAGACTAGCTCCGGCCCAGCTGAAGTTAACTATGGATCCGAGCACCTCGACGTTGAAGCACCTCGACGTAACCTGTGGCCAGTGCCACACAACCATCAGAGGCTCTATGTTCATCAAGATATCCGACTCCAGCAAGGTTCTGTGTCAGACCTGTTATTTCAATTCAGCAAACTACGGCAGCCAGGACTATTATAAGAAGCTGAAAACATGTCCACTAGACGAGGACATCACTGCAGAGATCAGCCAACAGCTTTGTGGTTGTAGTCGAGTTGCACAAGCTCAAGCCGAAGGGGTGGAGGGCAAGTTGTTTCCTATGGATGGTGACTTAGGCCAAAGACACATCAAATGTGGACTGACAAATTTGGACAAATACCTGGCCGAGGCAAAGTTTGACTCGACGCGGCTGAAGCAAGACAAGAACAAGTCGTTGCAGGAGATATCGATAGAGATGGTCAGCGACACTAAGAAGGCTTCAATAAAAGGGTTCAGAACATCTGGATACCTAAGCCAGTGGGAGTATTACATGCCAGAATTTGGGTCAGATGAGATTCACAGGGAAGGCGGAGGCACACCTCCCTATTTTCGCCCGGCACAACCTCAGCATCCCTTTGGGCATGTTCATATGGCTGTGAGATTTGGAATTCTTGTCTTTGAAAACGGAGTAGCCAAGTACGTGTAATTTTCCTGGGAACGTGTGAATTCAACTAACTTCTGTGCCATAGCACCAATGGTGGCGTTGTCATCACCACTCGAAATCAAATTAACCTACTCCCACCAATTGAAGTGTCGGTAACGGGTGAAAGTGAGCGGAGCCTTCTTTTGACTGGGCATGATAAGAGGGTCCTATATAGTCAGAGTAGGCCCCGAATGCTCAAGCGATACAAGCTCGTTGCAAAACAAGTGGTTGGAGGGACATTTTGTGGGTATTTGGATAAGGAAGCAGAAGACTACATTCTATCCCTTCTATTAGAAGGCAGCGAAGTCAAAGGAGATTCTCAGATGGAGTATATGGACTTACTGACGACCGCCTTGAAGGAGTACCTCTTCGATTATGTTGATTTTCACCTGAGAGCAATCGCTAGCAGGCTCACGGACGCAAAGTTTAATCTGGCTTGGAATTTTGCGTCCAACAACTGCAAGGACTTTTGCGAAAGTCTTCTTGATTTTGATCATATCCAGCCACTGTTTGGCTCAACCATATCTGAGACCTCCACCAAACCAGCCTATCTCATGAGCTTCGTGACCAAATCAAGGGGTCCACTGGTTGTGACTCCATGGTCCAAACACGACTCACCAAATGGCTTCGTGGAGGAATACCTCCTCCGCATACAGCATGGACGTCACGAAGACTCTGATCTGATTGATAGTCTCTCAGAATACTGGTCAGACTTTGGGGCCTTTGATAAACCATTATATTCCAATCAAAACCTATTCCCATGGGACTGCACCGAGGCCTACGGCGAACATCACATCAGATGCGGGTCATGTAACATATCGAAGCATGTGTGGGCGTCCCCCTTTGATGCATGGTCTATTATATCCATGCATCTTCAACGCGATGGTTTCCTCTACGCACAATATCACCCGGACACCACCTTTGCGAAGAGCCAGGTGGACCGAACAGAATGGTTCCGAAACAGACTCGGCCTCCTTCTAGCACACGACAGTCTCCTCACAGCAGCCACGGCTATGGCCCAGAGCCCTGAAATCCGGAAAGCAACTCAATGGTTAAGCGGGCCGGACGTTGCCCCGGAAGTCCAACGAGTGAAGCTGGGTAGCATCCATCGAGCACAGCCGCACAGTCATCACTTTGACCACTCCAGGACCGGGCGTGGTGGAGCAATCGGGGCGCTGTTTGTGGCAGATTGGATTAAAGGTTCACAGCATTCGAGAAGGCACGATTATGAACAAAGGCGAGACCAGCAGATGAAACGTAAAGAGACAAGATATGAACAGTCGTATGGGGCTGTATCTAAAAGCCATTCCAGCAGTCGCTACTTCTCAGAGGTGTCATACGCAAAGGCAGATGCTTGGGACTGGTCAAGGACTTCGGGGAACATGTGGTATATGCAGGAATATGCAGGAGGATATGGGGGAGGCTCAAGTGGTGATGGAGGCAATCATAAGGGAGGTGATTCTGGAGGTGGTGGTGACTCTGGGGGAGGCGGAGGAGGTGGTGGCGGTTGTGGTGGTGGATGTGGAGGAGGGGGGGGAGGTGGTGATTAGTCGGTATCTTGATCTTACTTAGCCGTTACTTCTATCTTGCCATTATTTCCTGTTCTCTATATGAAAACAAAACCAGACAAGATCAACTGCATGACAATGTTATGAGTTGACAATGTTATGAGTTAGGAAACTCCTGTGGAGACGCAACTGACACCTGAAGCTAAGGTTTCTCTACACAACCTTGAGTAGCTGCCTGGACGTCCTGACATGTTTGCCGAAATTTATATCACCAAGCTTACACGGACGTGCGGCATATTCAGAAGCCGAGATGGCGATCTCCCCCTAGAAAGGGTCGGACAAGGGTATGTGGGGATGGATGGTGGCTGTGCGGTTGATAAACTCGTGTGTTTATCCACAGCAAGGCAGATTTTGGATAATGTGCGCATATTTGGGCGCCGCCAAATGCAGGACCGTATCATGAGACTTGTGATCTGATATGACAGCTAACCTCACACACCGATGATACAGTCTAGGATCTACGCACCTTGATTTTCGCCAATTCCCTAAACTAAAGCCATACTCAGCCAAAAGATGCCTTCAAAACTCTCATTTCACGCTCCAGGGCCAAATATTCCGAATGATAATATCTCATCTCTTCATAGCCAGTCCACCGTGTCCGCCAATGCAGTATACAACAAGTATCTGTCGAATACCGCACCAACAGCTACAAAGCCTGAAGAAGCTCTCAAAATCCCCGCCCCTCATCTTTTCGAATTTGCGAACCCAAAATCATTCTGTTCGTCGACTTCTTCGGGCTTGTTATGGAATCCTCCTCTTATTGCAGAATGTGCGGTCCATTTGGAGTTCCTCGAAACGCTCTTCACAATGCGAACTCGGGTTCTAAATTCTAAGAAAATCAGTGCGGCAATGGGATATTCGAGCCTCATTAAACCTAGCGATATGACCATTTCGAAATGGCACAATGGAAAGTGGCTGAAGTACATCGAGTTTGCCGTTATTCGTTTCTTTATATGGAAAGAGTCCCTGAAGCCTGGCTCCAAGAGTGTTGACTACTGCCCACCTCTTGATGTCTTGATGGTGTGGCATTCTCTTCTTCTCAACCCAGTCATGCTTCATATGTACTTCACGGAAGATCCCATCATTAATGTCAAATTTCCCTGGGAACGCTTCCACAATCACCTGAACAACAAAACTTGGGAATTTAGCCTTACATCGCGTGAAAAACAAGATTTCATCAAGCAAACGGCGATGCGATCGCATCTCTTTACCATTTTCAAGGAGTGGCCGGTCCAGACTGCCCCTGTCAGGGAGAAAACCTACATTGGACTGCACGACTTTTCATTTGGTAAATCGCCGGCGGAAAAGCTCTCACACCTGCTCCCCAAAGGAGAGAAGGCCAAGTCGATCCAGCTTTACTCAATGGCGTTTAAACATGTCCCGGTTCATATCGCAGAGGAGCTTCGCGATGCCGTAAAACGCCAGTTTTTCTTTGTGGGAAAGATGCATGATCACCTCTGGATCCGCAGTCCTGGTCTTGAGGGCACTCTAGAGAGAGCCACGAACCGGTACGACGAGTTCCTTGAGCTGATGAGTCGGGAGCCTGGAACTATGCTCGTCCCGACGCTGGACATTGATCTGATTTGGCATACACATCAGTGCATGGCCTCACAGTATGCAGAAGATATGAAGGCGAGGGTGGGCCGATTCATCAATCATGACGACAAGAATCCCGCTGTTAAGCTCAGCAGCGGGTTTGATCAGACAGCAGGGCTGTATATGAAGCATTTTGGCAAAAACTACTCGATCTGTGGCTGCTGGGAGTGTGAGCTACTAACCTCGAAGATAGGGCGGGTTGTGAACTCTGGAGAAAAGATCGACATGAATGGGCTCGTCAAAGATGTAGAAGACGAGATGCTGTATTATCGCGCTGCCGAGGTTAGGAGAAGGGAAAAGAAGCCCTTACCCATCCGTTGAGCAGAGGAAAGCGTGTTCTCACTTGTCTTTTGGATGGTAAATACAACAGCAAGCAAACTAAATATATTGAGCTGCTTTAGAATGACTGAATTTGGCCTCCGGGGCTGCATAAAACAGCGCATGCACGAATTGGTATGGTTGAGCCGGTGTTTGCAAACAGAATCCATGTCTAAACATATCCGTTGATTCGTCCTACCGCGCCAGCTAGTATCAATATCATTTGACTACAGAACGATAAATATCAATAATACACCGCCTCAGGCTTTCTCTTCACATAGACAAGCTGTCCCGAAGACAACGAAAAGCCCTCAGCAGGTGGTGTTGGAAATGTAAGCGTGAAGAGGACGTGCTCTAATTCCCCGAGTGCTTCAGGCTCTGCTTCTCCAAACATAGCAGCTTGAAATTTGGATCTAACTTGAGCTCGTATCGCCAACTCAAGTTTTTCTTCCTCTTCCAGGTAAGGATAAAAGCCAAGGTGTCCAAAGCTCGACGACTGCGCAACTTTTCTCTCTTCCCACTCGGCTAGTTTCTCAATCTTTCTTATCCCTACAACATTGTCAGTGAAAGGATATTGTGGCGTGTCAAGAATTTCACTATACCGCAATGTTTAATACTTCCTGTCTGGTTGTTAGCGGATGATTTTTTATTTGTTTTTGCAGAAGCTTTGTGGTTGTTCATACCTGCCGTAAGAAAGAGAGTATAATAATAAAAGAGGAAATCCGGTGGGTTGATAGAATTGTTTGAATGGGCTTCCCAAATACTCTCTCCCTTTCCCTCTCTCAAGGTAAAAGCCTGGCAAACGGAAATAAACATCAAATTCTTCAAGGCATCCTGGCTATACATATGGGCGGCTGTTGATGTAAGTAATGACGATGGTAAAGGGGGTAGATGCCGAGAGGCACTCACTCTTCGCAAAGGCATCCTCTGGACCAACCCTTACTTTATCATCTGCAATAAGGTCCACGAGATCTGAAGATCCATCGGCATCTCCACATACATACTTGCGCCATAACTTCAAATAAAGCCAATATATTGCACATTTCGAGGTTTGGAGCACGGATTGAAGTGACTTTCGCGCTGCTAGCAGAGCTTCTAATTGTCCTACAATAATCGACTCTGCTTCAACCTCGATGTGAAATAGAGCCATTCTCCTGGCCAAACCTATGTCTCCCAGGGGATTGAGGTCTGCCTCTGAATACTGTTAGCGTATCCCATGGGCCTTGTTCAACGGATAAAATCTTCTTACTCTTCTTGTGGAGTTTTTCATAGATGTCAAAAAACTCTAGTCTTGGATTTTTCTGGCGATTTATTTCTCCCGTAGGGCCTATCAGCTCACGGTAGGCCAACTGCTTTTCCATAAATCGTTTAGAATCAACGCCCCACGGTATGGACATCTCCCTGTATTGAAGAGTCTTCTGAGATCCCATATTCTTAGCAAGAGCCTCTAGCCCTTGGAGATACTTTAGTCGAATCTTCTTGTCGGGGCCAACCGCGATTTTGAACGATTCACATGGGCCACTAATGTAAGCCTCGAGTATCTTGAGGAAGGTGGTTTGGTTCTTGAAGGCCAGAGTGTCGCTTCTGTCAGCGTTTTCCAGGAAAAGATTGTTCAGTATCTGAACGTGTCGAGGGCTAATAGGATAATATGGAAATGTGAACTTGTCATTTGGGCGAAACTTCCCATCATATTCCGGTAATTGGACAATATAATCTCCAACGATTTGGCTGTAAGAGTTCGTTGCCTTCTCAATCGGGAGGTCATGCAGGAGAGACTTCGATGGGCCAAAGGGCTCCCCATAGGCTGCGTCATATGTTTCTTGACGCCATTTCTTGACCTCGGGATCCATGTCTTCCCGGTGATCTGGCAGTGCTAAAGACCGTAGCACGACCACTAAACGGGGGGAAATGGTGGCGAATTCATGAAAGCTGCCATGGTAGGATCCGTGTTCTTCGCCCGTGTTCTCATCTTTTATGAAGGTGTTGGGTCCTTCAAACATATTGTAGCAGTTGTCGGTCAGAACAAACTCATCCTGTGGATCAACTGGTGTACAAAGAGCCATGTAAAAGAAACTGACATGGATAATGAACCAGCGGGCATCGTCGGAGAACATCTGGCGCGGAAGCTCTTTCCTCCACTCTCCCTCCACATCCATCTTCAAATTCATGATACATTCCAGATTATGGTACCAAACATCTCTCGGAGTAGAGAATCCGCGCTGCCTCATATACTCGTGCAACCTTTCGCGGTCGTCAGCGTTGTAGTCGCTGGCCCTATCATGGTAGAATCGGCGATGGAAAGTACTACCACGGTACTTCAATATAAAGAAGAACTTTCTGACATCATCCCGCTCAAGTCTAGTCAGCGATATGGCTCCATCACCGGCCTCGTAGGACTTGACAATCCTCCGGAAGATGGAGCTCGCATGCGATTCCAATTTGCTGAACATGCTTTCAATACGGCGCTGCTGGCCAGTTGTTGGCTGATTCGGGTCCAAGTACATGCCGGGGGAGCCAAATATTCTCTTGACTGGCCGGACATCGATTGAAAAGGGTGCGGCCTGGAGGTTGACACAGTTCACGACTAGGTCGTTGGGATATTTTCCCTTCTCATGTCTGCATTTGCACTTTTTCTTCCCAGCCAGCTCGGCTTCAGGGCACTTGAAAGGGTACGCAAAGTTCCTGATGAGAAATTGTGGGATGAAATGCTGGTATTCATTTTTGACAGACATCGTGAGGGCCAGTATTGTTGACTGGGTGTTGAATCGTTCGTGACAAGTAAATTGAGTCGAAACAACCAAATGAGTAGATACGGTAGATGAGATAGATCAGTAAGTTCAATAAGATGAGTAAAATTGGAGGATGTTGACGTAAAATGAGAAGACGTGGCGGAAATAGAAGAAGATTATATCGTGGAGGTGCTTTTGTATGGTTGAGGGCATCACCGTTGGGCGTGAGGGCATTACGCCCCCGCTCGGTTGGTTGCTCTGAGGTGTCTCAGACAAAAGCAACGCAGCTGAAATTCCTCTCCACCCTATTGGCGCTCCAGTGATATCTTAATTGACGGCCTCCAGGTGAACACCAATCAAATTCCGGATGCCTGCAACTGACCCCTACCTTTGGTGGTACTCCGTCAGCTCTCATTGCTACCAACTGTGCCTATAAGTACCGCCCCCAAAGCAATACCCTCGTTCGATTCCTCTCTTCCTCATCCATCTACTTCCGTCTACATCTCCGCTTCATTGCCTTTCCGTCTCTTTGATTATTAAAAACACCTACCTGGTCTATCTAGTCATTGAAAATACCTATCCTCAAAGGCGTCTAACACTCCAGTTCACCAGGGGCGGCACCGCATGCTAAATCACGTCATGCGGTGCCGCCCTCCCTCACACGTCGTTGTGCCGCGCCTCTACCACATTCCTGTTCAACGACTTCCCAATTATAGCCAGTAAGTTGTTTCTCTTGATGTGTTTGAAGCTATTTAACATAGTTATACGAGCAATATGCTAACGGCGATTTCTAGGTCAGACATTCTGCGAGCCAACGAATGATCAGCTATGATATTTGACGTTGATAGTGTTTTGTCAAGGCATTGATGTTGCCATACCTGTCTTAGGCAACAGAGTCTTTGCCTACACATAATCCTTGAGACGTCAAATATCAGATCGGATACTTTGCCGGTCTCTAGGTATTGTCGCGTGGCTTCCGAACATCTCTCATGACCTCTTGTGATGGTGAGATCTCTACCAAGCGTGATTCATCAATTATGTCTAGGTTCTAACCAAAGCAGAGGTACCAGATTGCTGGACCCGGATAGCGTCGGTAAAAGGTGTCCATTTACATACTTTGATCAAAGTCGAGGTATCACTATACAATAGCTTTGCTTGCACAACATACAACAAACTTCAATACCCACGAGGTGGGTAATCCATTTCCGCTCAGCTGGTTCGCCATGGATCAAAGCGAGCCACAACACCATTTTTTCGCATCCTTTTCGGATGGCACCATTGACCCCAGAGTATTAACACTCCAAACCGTCTCGGAGGACCTCAATTTTGAGGAAGAACAAGATACAAGTGCGTGCTCATCTAGTGGGTTGGAGGATATTGCTTTCGACGAATGTGATCCAGGAAGCATTAGTGAATGGGACCTCGAATACCCGTCCTCGCTCGCTGAATCTCCCAACCTACAAAATCATGAGATACTAGATCCGAGCAGCATCTTTATGCACCAAGAAACGGGTATGTTTCTCAGTGATTACTCAAATTTCTTCACTTGCAACGATGTTCTCCCTTTGTCCCACGCAGGATACCCTTCTTCAATGGCTTCAATGCCTGTCCCGGTTTTCTATGATCAGGCTTCACAGGCAACACAGATGACTACTCCGCCTGGGCGCCCATTGCTGCCAAAACCAATTGGTGTACCCAGCCCAGAAACACCCTCGCAATGGGGTGAGAAGGAGGGTGCAAAGGAACCAAAGAGACGTAAAAGAAAGGACCCTAAAGACCTCAAGTAAGTGCTCATCCCCAGTAGGAACTGGAGAATTGAAACTGATATTCTTACGAAAGGAAAAATCAACGAAAGGAGTCCAAGCCGGAGAGATGCCCTATGCGTATGTGCTCTGAGCGCTTTCCATACAAGAGGGAACTAGACCGCCATATGGTATCTAATCACCGGTCGGAGGCTGCAAGAAGGGGCCTGGATGTTTCCAAATGTAAATGCCCGTATTGTGGGAAGGAGTTTGATAATATTCGTTATGATCGTTTAGTTAAGCACATGAAATTGAAGCACCCTAATCATTGTTTGTAGTTAAACACTTGTGCAGCTCAGCCTGTGAACATGCCACCGGGGTTCCGGATTCTCGAATTTACGGTTTCCCTCGATTTCAAGAGCCCCGTTTCCATGATCTGGGAATAACCGGGGGTTGATAGCCTCTCCCGTAGCACCTTGTATTAGCCCCAACCTCAAAAATAAACAGAGGCCCAACTGTAGAGCCATCTGAAACATCAAAAATGCGTAATCTGGGAATCGAACCCAGGGCTCCCCGACGCTGCTCGGATGGCAACGGAGAATTTTACCACTAAACCAATTACGCGTTTGGTTGATGGTGATGGCTTCATCTGTTTAGCACCTAGTGCTTTTGCTGCCCCTCACAATGAGAGAATACTGAACTAAATATGCAATTTCCTTGTTCACATCTTCCTAAAAACGTAACTTACAATCGAATATGACAATAAATAGACTGTTGAACCATGATAGGTGACAGCTTTGCATGGAGCTTCTTTGCGGGCCATTATATGAACGAGTGCTTGTTTCATTAACATGAATGCGCAAAGTAAATCTATTTCCTTTTTGTTCCAGAATTACCAAGCATCTTGCTACATTACAGAGCAGAGAAGCCCTCCTGCGGCGACTAAAATCCCATTAACTGTTAGTCGCGACATAAGAAAGGGGAAAGTCAGTCTCACCAGCAGCGATAATGCCAGACATGGCCCCGGCAGCAACCCCATTTACCGTCCCGTTTAGAGCTTGGTCCCTCGTCTTTCCTTTGAACGCTGCATATATCCTACGCATCTCGCTGGCATCTCTCCTGGCTATCCTGACCAACCTCATAAGTTCCTCATTCTGGCTCAAGAGGTGCCTCTCAATGGTAGATGGTGAAGCTGATGGTGTAGCCGATGGCGTGGGAGACGGCGTCCGTCGCCTGCTCGCTTGATTCTGCCCACTTGAGCCAGAGCCGTCGCCTGATTCTGGGGCTTTTGGGAGGGCCAATGCCATAGCTCGGCTACTATTTATGTGGTGAAGAGAATCCTCCATATCCTTTAAGTCCTCCTCTTTGAGATTTACCTGCTCCATGAGGTGGTCTTCAATCTCATCGATTTTCTGTTTTGCTCTTTGGAACTCCTTTTCTCCAAGGTCCGCCATCGACTGTCTCAATGTTTCCTTGCTCTTCTCTAATTTCTCTAACTCTTGTTGCCACGCGGCTTTGGTTTGCCGTAGTTCAACAAGGTGTGATTTACTACCACCATAGATGTGTTCCCTTATCCTCTCCTCCAACTGCTGCAATGCGCTCTCCCGGACTTGGCGGTGTCTATACACGTCGGCGGCAACGATGGCTCCGGCTGATGTCTCACCTATTGTCTTCTTTTCGTCTATCAATTCCTTTTGTAGTCGTAGGACCTTTGGAGCATAAAGGTCCGATCGGCGTATGAGATGAGCCAGGATGCGCTCCGCTGAGAATATCTTGTCATTGTAGCCTTTTCTCCCTGTGACATGGTGCCTAAACATTACTGCGCCTTTGGATGTCATCGAACCATAGAATTTATCGCTTCCAGCGAGCTCGGCCTCGCGGGCATTGAGTGTCGCCCTATCATATTTTGTGGAATGCTCCGGCCACATCGTCGTGGCAATGGCCAAGTTATCGTACCTGTCAAATCCACACATGGCCTCTACCATCTCAATGGTCCGCAGGTCGGTGCCAGACACTCGATTGTCGGATATTGGATGTAGCAACAGCAGGCCAGAGATTCGCACGCCATTTGAGTAAGATGCGCCCAGGTAGGTGGCCAAGACACTCAATGTGTCAATTTCTGACCTATTTGTGTCATTGAACCCAGGAGTGTCAATTAAGTAAATGCGACGCCCCTCCCAGTTCATGTCAAACACATCTAACGAGTCGGTGCCTAGCCAAGATTATTATACAGCGGCTCGTAATTGAGAAGGGGGAAAGGCCTCCTACATGAGAAAAGACCGTGGCTAATATTAGTATCTTTCCCTGTGCAGCGGGATATGAAGGTACTCTTGCCCGAACCTGTTCTACCAAGGACCAAGAAAAACCTGTCAGTGGCACGGGGCTTTGTTGCGCCAATTAAAGCTGAAAGTCGTCGGGCCTGATCCTCGAGTTGCTCATTCACGCTCTCTATCTCGGGGTTCATTTTGGTTTTCTAGAGATACGCGGAGAACAATTTGGCTCCGATCTTGCGATCAGAGCTTCAAGAAGACTCGACCGAAGTGCTTAGAAGTGCTTATACCGGTTGATGCTGAGAAGTGCAAATTATTCAACTCCCGACACGCGAGACCGTCTGGTGTGTTTGGGTGGGCTCAGCACTCCCCAGACTCATCAGTGCAGCGAGAAATCTGCCTCGGCGAACCAACTTCCGGTACACGGCACCGCTCAGCACTACAGCAGTGGATAGAGTGGCAGTGCTTCAGGGAGGATGCAGATGTGCAGTGTCCAAACCAATGTGCTGTGTCCGAAACCCCGCTCTACTCATCGGCCGATGAGGGCAAACTGATTGGTGACACTCTCGTACAAATGGCACCTACGCCACCGTTAAGGCATACGATAAGGCATGCCGTATTGTCCCTCCCATAATGGTGGTCAGCCGGGAGGACGCGGGGCACCATCACAGCAAGACATGCCTATCGCGGCCGGAACGTGGAGATCGCTCTCATGATGGGCGGATCCAGCAGTCAAGCGAAGGGGGGAAGGGAGGGGCCCCTGGGACACAAAGATGCGCTCAATATGGTGTCATGCTTGCCCGAGTGACCCGTGGAAGCGCAGCTATTAGTCGAATCCGAGCATTTATTGGTGATGTGATGCGTTTGTGGCTTACTCCTCGCTTCCTCTGACTGGAGTCAGCTGCGTTTGATAACCATGTGTGTCGTGCGTGGCGCGAATGACGGCCCTCAGGAAAACATCGCAGACGTAAATCTGCAGTTTCTACCGTTGCATCCACAGCAATCATGCAGCTATGCGGTCATCCTTGGCCACTGGGCGAGGCCTCTGCCCAATGGCTGCGGCCTGTGAAACCGCCAATGCAACCCTGCCTTTTACCTACATGTGCGTCCCATCCAAGATAGTTTATTTCTGGCCCGGTCGAGCAGCCCAACCTGCCGGGGGTTAGGCATCATTTCCAACACTTTCAATGTTGACACGCATGAATCCGCAAACAAATGTGAGGCTCGTTAGCTCAAGGCGTCCAGACTCGCAGCATGTTGCACAGGCAGTGCCTCATCCTCTTGAAACTTAACAGTCACACAGGTCCCCGCCGGACGGAGGAATATGCCGTGAATCTTTCTCTCCAAGCGGCCTTATAATCGCCTATGTGACCACCATGGCTCTGGTGCATGCTGGGCCTACCCACTCGCGTAAGATCCCAACTCGAGGTATCACAGCCATGTCTGACGACGGATGTGAAGAATTCTATGATGCTCCAGCCATGCCGGAAAACGATCAGCCAGAGAATGTGGCCCCGGCCGCCCGGGAGCCACCAGAGCCTGAAGACTTTCGAGGAGGTCGCTCTCCGAGGTATGCTCACTCCTGCTGTTTTAGCATGTACACATACTAATCAATGTCAACAAATGCAGACCAAACGATGCCTTCATTGCCGTAATGGGCGTCACGGGGTCGGGTAAGAGTTCATTCATCTCATTATGTTCAGGGAAGGCCGTCAGAATCGGCCACACTCTTGAAGCATGTACGTGACCCCATCACTCAGTCTCCTCTTGGAGCACCTTGAGCCTAATAGGAACAGGTACGGCCATTGTCGATGTCTACGCATACGACATGTCGCCCGATCAAACCGTATACCTCATCGATACCCCTGGCTTCGACGACACCAACAAGAGCGACACAGAAGTCCTCAGCGAGATTGCTGTCTGGCTCGGAAGCTCATACAAGAGCAAGATCCTGCTCAGCGGCATCATCTATCTTCATCGCATCACCGACGTACGTATGCAAGGTTCCGCCAAGAAGAACCTCCTCATGTTCAAGCAGTTGTGTGGTCAAGATGCTCTGAAGCAGGTAATTCTTGTGACGACCATGTGGGATAAGGTGTCGCAGGAGGAAGGAAAAAGGCGAGAGGATGAACTGATTCACACCTCTGAATTCTGGGGCTGGATGGTGAGCAAAGGAAGCTCCGTTCGTCGACACGGCCACAATGAAAGCTCGGCCAAAGAGTTGGTACACCAGCTCATCGGACACAGCAACTGCATCACCACAGACCTGCAGAAGCAATTGATTGACGAAAATCTCACACTTGATCAAACCTCGGCAGGTCGAGAGCTCAAGAGCGAGTTGCTCAAGGAGCAGGAGAAGTGGGCAAAGCGGCTGCACGAGGTCGAAGAGCAGATGAGGGAGGCCATTAAGCAACGTGACCAAGAGGCAGAGGAGGCCCTCAAGGAGGTTCGAGATGAGTACACTGTCAAGATTCAGCGAGTCGAGCAAGATACCGTGGCCCTTCGCTTTAACATGGAAAGTCTCATCTCGCAGCGAGATATCCGCCTCGGCAAAATGCAGCAGAAGATGTACGACGAGCAGAACGCCCACACCGAGCAGATAAAAGAGATGAGGGAACAAGTGGATAGCCTACAGAATCGTCTGAGCACCGAATATATGCACTCCGAGATGGAGCACCACCAGAAAAAGCTCAAGCCATGGCCCTGCCGCAAGGGGAAGCTGGCATTTTCTATCTCAATGGCAGGCGTTTACTATACATGTATAAGCCCTGTGATTACTCGTTGGTAAGTAGGCCACTCTTCTGGCTCTATCATTGCCTACAGCCTTGCGTTTCCTTCTCCAAGAGTCTAACATCGATGGCTAGTAACGAGGGACCTGGTCAGACACCGGCATCAGGATCGAAACAGCTCCGCTCCGTTTTTCTTGGGAAGAAGTGCGGCGAGAGCCCAACCTGGCTGGCCCGTTACTCGGATGGTGTCGGTACGTGAAGCACATCAAGACTGTTGTTCTTTGTTCCGCCAACTCAGCTAACCTAAACTCTCAGAGATGAGTGAAAATCTGAAAGTGGAATATCCACGACTTCAAGAAGCCCTGGCGACCCATGGAGTCGATCATCTAAAGACTTGCACCCTTGGGCCCAACCAGACCTATTACGCTCGTTGGAAGTCTTCGTGGAGCTCCAACGTACCCGATAACCTCAAAAACACTCTCAAGATATACGATCCCAAGAAGCGAGATGGCGCCCGCATCGTTACCGTGGGACTTGGATACGATGGCGCATATGTCATCGCCTATAGGAACAGTCGGGGTGTCAAGCCCTCACATGGCTTCGCTTATGGTCTCAAGGGGCACTATCAAGCTCTTAGGGAAATACTCTCTAAGAAAAAGAACTTGAAGATTGTGGTACGTCTGTTCATAATTTCCACACTAGCACATGAAGCAAACTGACCATTTCAAGGCCATCACGCTTAACCCTGAGAATGCGACAGATTTCATCATCATTTGGGAGGAGAAGGCCTCCAAGGGCAAGTCCTACAGGATGCAATGCTACAGTCAGTATGAAACTGTCATCAAGGAGGTAGAAACCTGGTGGAACTGGCGATAAGGAAGTGTTTTCATGTACGCTTCCGGCTTGTATACGATTGGATTTATTTTGTACGCAACGATGGGTTATATTCTCGCCAGTGTCTCTAGGCTGGTATCATCTCTCACTTTTTCTTTTGTCCTTCTTTTTTCTCATTCTCAGAATGTTCTATATACCCAGGATCAGGACTAGTTTCAATAATTAATTATTCGCCAAAGAGATCATCCTTGTTACGGCAAGTGAATGTGGTTGGGTCCAACTTCGACCAGGAGACCCGTGTCCAGCATCGTGGTAAGTAGCCGCAGACAAGTAGAAGCTATTGTTAGCATCGCTCAGGTTGAAGCCAGGGTGTTCTTTTTTCCCAATGTTCTAATTCACGACTTTGAACCACGAAAGTACAAATTTCGCCCGCGTTTTGTAAGGCTGGCCAAAATTGATGAACACTCTCGGCTGGAGGTGGGCATAAGGTTTGGGGAAAATGAAAAACTTTTAACATATCTTCAATTCCTTCCGAAAGAATGAACAAACAATAACCACAGTTAAGGATTAATTGCTCAGCCTAGTGTCTTCTCGCGTTTTTTAATTTTTCACACGTCAGTGACCTAGAGTCGATTTGTGGATGCCATTTAGCTAGGTACCCTATACCAAGAAATCAACATATTGTCAATAAGAGTTTGCTCATGTAAAAATCCTTTGATCATGCACAAAAGCGTTCTAAGGTGTTTCCAGTAAGTTATTGGCATGAAATTACTGTATTTTCTTTCGCTGGTGCGTTGCATATCGAGTAAGATGTCAAAAAAATCAAATCCGTCTAATCCGCTATTGATGAGGTCAGTCTTCAATGCATATAAGCGCATAAGATAACATTGACAACTTGTCCGCAAGCCAAGTACCAAAAAGAAAAACCTCGAAGCTGGGAAGGAAAAAGAAAAAAGAAACCAGTGAAACTTGCATTTGCAAAAAAAAGAATCGATTATAGGAATAGCCCGATGCGGGGGTCGAACCCGCAACCTTGAGATGTGAACTCGTAAGAGTCTCACGCTCTACCGATTGAGCTAACCGGGCACGGTTAGTTGATGAGTTACTGATCGTCCCAGCGACCAATATGAAGTGCTCACAGCGATCTGATTAGGGCGCTGCCACAGAGGACCGGGGTGATTTTTAGCGGCCTCTTGCACGACACGGCCCTGGATATCGTTCTGGGGGCCTTCCCGAGGTGCTGTAAAATCAATTTTGATGCTGTAGGTTGCACTTCATGACATTCACAACACCTCCAATCGGCACGTTCGGTGGCAGGTATCAGTCTACAGCTTACCGGAGTATTACCAATCTTGCTCAGACTGAAAGCTTCTCGGCAGACTTACTACCTTGCTACCTTATCTAACCTTTCCTCTGACCGAGGCTTAATTTCCCCGCAACAGCAGCCAAAACTCAGAGTTGATTAAGTTTCCTTCTCCATGGGGATCACGCATTCCAATGAAAATCCCTGAATAGGTATCCCGAGACGATCAATGGAGGTGAGCCAGAACACCGTTTGGCTGGGCAGCGAGAGACAGGGCTGCACCCCCAGACCGCCTCAATTGACGATGTCTCGTTCATTGCAGTATATTCACTCATTGATGCAATTTTTCTTTGCAGAATGACCTGAAAAAGATGGAGAGTGAGCAATAAAGATCTACAAAATTTAATGCTGCTGCCTGCTGGATGGAACCACCAGCTAAGACGGGCAGTCCCATCAGACCAAGACCCATTTCACATTTTACTATGGGTAAACTGGAGAACTTGGGAAGAGAAAATCGACAGTTTTTCCTGATATCTCTCATGATCATGGTGATGTTTCAAAGGCCATGGTAAGCATGGCTCCATGGCCAATGCTACTGCGCATGAGAGAAATATGGTTGACTGACAAGGGGCGCATCAGCCGCTCATCATCGGATCGCGGGCACCATTTTCTGACCCTGCCGGTCGATCGTGACTCTCCCAGCAAGGATGAAGGACGCAGTATCAATTGTGGATCTGTGCCAAGAGCTTGATTGAACTCTCCGATCGATCATCAATCGTTGGCAGTTCCGTTTCAGCGCAAGCGTCATCATCTGGCGTGCGCTACCCAAAGCCAATTGGGCACAATCTGCTGGTCATGAGCCCAGAAAGCGGGAGCAATTGGCGAAAAACAAACCTCGTGGGAAGAGGGCCGCTTTCGACATGGTTTGAGATGAATATCAATCAAGCTTCTAGTGTGGCACGTTCTGGACCGTCGACACTGGCTCGGGTGAGACCTGTCTTGGCCCGCGTCCAGCCCCCCCATCACGATTTCGTCCTTGGACCTGGATGACAGGCGTCATTTGCGACAGACATCAGCCAGACAAGCAGCAAGAATAAGCAGCTGTCCCTCTTGCCTAGATGGAGCAGAAAATGGGGCTCTGGCCGGCAAAGGCGTGCCGACACTCTCCACTTGATGCTGCACGATGATATTATTCCCGACTTAATAGTGCACATCAAAAGTCACAACGTCATTTCAGAAAAACTGATAGCCCAGATGATGGTCGAGCCACTTTTTGAGGCGACTGTCCAACGTCTTCTGGCCGTGGATGATGCCATGGGTAGAGTTTTCCTGTAGCTCGACCCTGCACACCACCAGCCGGAGCCAAGTCTAATCCTAGCTGCAAACAACGGGCCGAATCTGCGGCTTCTGCGTGGGAGGACCAGTGGCAATGGGAGCTGTTCCCATTTGAGACATCCATTTGACAACTACCGGGAAGGGAGCCAGCCTGAATACGTGCCTTTGCCTCATCCGGGTGGCTGTTTCGGATTGCCATCGTAGCCGGCTTCTGAGACAGGAGTAATCTACCTGCTCGCAGACCGCCGCCTGTGGTGATTAACCCTTTGGCATGTACTCATCAATAGACTGGTTTGCCGCCCGGTCTGCATGTAGCCATCCCAGAACACCGCCATCATCCTCGACGTGCGGTCGAGCCGCCCCAAGTGCGGACCCCCTCCGCCGGATCCCCAGCAGCAGCTCCACAGGAATGACCGTGTCTTGTTCGTGCCCCCATTGTTGATGATGTTTCCACCGCAGGCAACCGTATTCTTTTGCTTCCGTGACAACCGAGTGCGTGCAAAACAACGGCCCTTGCGCATGTAGTCTGGGAGCGGCACTAGCCTGGCTGGTCCTTGCATCCTGCATGTTGTAGTAGCGCAGGGTTATGGAATTGAGAGCCGTAAAGGGCCCGTCTAGAAGGTGATGTCAGTATCAACTATCCCGCATCCGGCCCCTCTGGGGAGGAGTTGATCCCATACGCATCCAGAGAGCTCTCCATGTGCTCGCTCTGCCCCGGAACTCCATCAACTATAAGGACTCTCCGCAGTCCCCGAACCTAACGTTAATTCTAATCCCCATCCTCATTGTGTCATCTAACAGACAGGGCCTCATTACTGGCCTAACGCTCTCCTTTTCGTTTTGGATATTCTTTTCACCCAGTAGTCGGGGCTTCCACCAAGATGCCTTCTAACCACATGAAGGACGGCTCTGCCGACCTCGTGATCCATACCGACCTTGAGCGCGCCAGCGAGAAGCTCCGGAGTGATGGTTCTGGCTCAGGCTCAACAGAGCATATCAGCCACAGCACCAACAGCGACACCATTGCTGCATACGAGGGCAAGGGTGCCAACATTGAGAAGCTGGGCACCCACGACAAGTACGAAATCACCGAGGATGACTGCTACGAGGAACTCGGATACTGCTTCCCCTGGATCAAGAAGTGGTACATCCTCACCGTCATCTTCTGGGTCCAGGTCTCCATGAACTTCAACACCTCTCTGTACTCCAATGCCATCCCGGGCATTGCTGAGGAGTTCAACGTCAGCGACCAGGCTGCCCGCTGTGGCGCCATGATCTTCCTCGTCTTCTACGCCTTCGGATGCGAGCTCTGGGCTCCCTGGTCCGAGGAGTTCGGTCGTTGGCCTGTCCTCCAGTTATCTATGCTCCTCGTCAACATCTGGCAGATTCCCGTTGCCCTCGCTCCCAACTTTGCCACCGTCCTCATCGGCCGAGCCCTCGGTGGCTTGTCCACAGCTGGTGGCTCCGTCACTCTGGGTATGATTGCCGACATGTGGGAGGCAGACACCCAGCAGTATGCCGTCGCCTACGTTGTCTTCTCTTCCGTCGGTGGCTCCGTTCTTGGCCCCATCGTCGGTGGATTCACCGAGAAGTACCTCCACTGGACCTGGTCCATTTGGGTCCAGCTCATCCTCGGTGGTGTTGTTCAGATCATCCACTTCTTCACCGTCCCTGAGACCAGAACTACCATCATGATGAACCGCATCGCCAAGAAGCGCAGACAGGAGGACCCCAGCGCCAACGTCTGGGGCCCTGATGAGCTTGTGCCCTTCGCCGACCGCTTCTCCGCCAAGGAGATCATCTCTACTTGGCTTCGACCCTTCAAGATGTTCCTCACTGAGCCCATTGTGCTGGTTCTGTCCCTGCTTTCAGGATTCTCCGATGCCCTCATCTTCATGTTCATCCAGTCTTTCGGCTTGGTCTACAAGAAGTGGGACTTCGACACTGTCCAGATTGGACTCTCCTTCCTCTCCATTGGCGTTGGATATGTCCTTGCATGGATCCTCTTCATCCCCGCCATCCAGCGAAACATCAAGGAGCGGGCTGCCAAGCCTCATGACGAACGTGCTCAGTACGAGTCGAGACTGTGGTTCCTCCTCTATACCGCACCCTGCCTGCCAATTGGCCTGATCGGGTTCGCCTGGACCATCCAGGGTCCTCCCATTCACTGGATCGCATCCATGATCTTCGCTGCCCTCATCGGCATCGCCAACTACGCCATCTACATGGCCACCATCGACTACATGATCTGCGCCTACGGCCCGTACTCAGCCTCCGCCACCGGTGGCAACGGCTGGGCTCGTGATTTCCTCGCCGGTGTATTGACCGTCCCCGCCCTCCCCTTCATGCAGAACATTGGAGCCGAGAGCGGCCGCAACCTGGAGTACGCATGCACGATCCTGTTCGCCATCTCGTTCGTCCTCGTCATCGCCGTCTATGTTATCTACTGGAAGGGCCCCACGCTGCGAAAGCGATCCCCCTTCGCCCAGAAGCTGGCCGAGGCGTCGCGCACGGAAGGCCACGGCATGGGCCGACGAGTCAGCGCCGCGCACGATCCCGAAGACCGCCGAAGTAAGTACCCTCTGATCCCCATGTGGAATCTGGAGAAGCAGCAGCTAACATTGACACCCGCATTAGGCTCGCTTGATCGACCAGGCGCTGGAAGGCGATTCAGCCAGCAGCATCGGTTCTTTGGCGAAAGCCGTGTCACTCCACGCGGAACCCCACGGGGCACTCCCTGTGTCAGTCGGCGGGCTAGCTTAGCCAATATCCACCAGGTGAAGGAAGGCTGAAGATGCTTATTGTGTTTTGTGTTTTAATGTTCTGCTGAAAAGTCCGGCTTGGGTGTCTGTGCCAGGAGAAGTGTGTTTGATATCATTCCCGTGATGGGGTTAATTTTTGTATTATTTCTGCTGTGATACCTCATATATACCTAATCTGGACTATATAAAAGAACAGCGACTTGAATGAGGCATTGATTTCAAATTAGAGCACTGACCCGAGGCTTTAACTTGATCCATGCATGGCTAATTTTAGGGAAAACGTGCTAACCAAGGAGCAGACAGGATACAGGGACTGCCTTCATGCATTGGTCCACGTGATGCGGAATCCTGCTCTCCGAGAATCCCAGAATTTCCCATTCATCTTCCTCTCTTCAAATTTTTATCGGATGAGGATACGGATCCTCTCGGGTGTAAGAGACAAAACGAGTTTAGGGCCACCTCTGTCAAAAGAAACTTCACTCTCCACCGGCACTCTCCGGCCCCCTTCACCGTTTGTAATCGTTTTTCTGGGTCTCGGAGACCGACTGAGTGGTACGATTTTGATGAGTCGGTGACCAATCCTCGATCTGAGATTTCAATCCAAATCTTGGGGTTTTATTCAAAGTTGCCAGGCCGGAAGGATTCAATTGCCAGGAGTCTCTGTCCTAGTCTTTACAATTCGGACAATTGCCTGTTTTCTTATTCAATTGACAACTAATTATTAAGCTGTAAGTCATCATGATCAGCGAAAAGGATAGGTTCTACGCCACTAGTGGTGATATCACGCCAGATGGACCGAGCGTGTGGCATATCTTAGATTGGGACCAGCGGCGCAACATATCCGTTAAAATGTCCCAAGAGCTCGATGACGAGGAGCCCGCCATTGAGCAGCTCAAGAAACATATCGATGAAATCGATCCCGACATTTTCCTGATCCACGTTTCGCCCAGTGGCAGGCTGATATCCAGCTCCAAAGACCCCAAGTATGACCAGGCCATGTCTGTTTATTATCCTCCCATCAAGGAAGTGACACCTGTGGAGGGACGTAACCCAATTCGACGCTCAGAACTCATTGAAATTGATCGGCTTGGCCCTGGCACTGACTTGGTGTTGCATGCATCCACAGGGGCTAAGGTATGTCCAACTTCGTCTAGGGAGAGAAAGATTCAACTAATTATGATGAAAGCTGGAGTTTAAATATTACTGGGACCGAGCTTGGATGTTCCGAATCTGGGATGAGATGAATCTGTGGAGACGCCTTCCGTGGCACCCGCAGATCGCAGTCTTTGAAAATATCGTTGTCGACGAGGGAGGTTCGAAGGTCATCGGATTCACAACGGAATCAACACATGGGGCGTCGCTCAAAGACCAGAAGCGGCCAACATTCAAACTCAAATGGCTCAAACAGTTAATCAATGTCGTCGATGACCTTAACCTGAAGTACGGCATTCAGCATCAGAACATCTCCACTGAGACCATCATTGTCGACAGTGAGAAGGACTCCATCAAACTAACGAACTTCAACGTGGCCGTTCATGTTGGGTCTGAGGATCTCTTTGGCGCCCGGGACGACATACTCGGTGTGTCCTCTACGGTGTATGAATACATCACTCGCAGAGGAGATTACGACCAGCGAGGTTTTAAAAACATCAAGGCCAAAAATTGGGTCCAACATCCCGAAGTCATTCTAGATGCTCCCGGCCCCCAGTTCCATGCCTTGATCAAGGAGTGGCAAGACCGCCGGGCCTCGGGGCCCCAAATTCTATCTTATAAGGCAGCGCCCGAACACATCGAGTGGCCGGTCATGACCGAGCCTGAGCCCATCTCTCGCTCATATATCATGCAGGATGGATCAACCCGCTCGAAGTCCATTGTCACTTACTGCGAGCGGCGAATTGACGCCCTTGCGAATGGAAGAGAGGTTTTGAACTGGGAAAGACCTCCGCAGTCCAAATTAGCCAAAGGAGAGAGGGTTCTCGCGACGGGGAAGAGGGTTGAGCAGCGAGAGTCGAGCGCCACAAACGGTACGCATGAGGAGGAGAAGAAGGAAGCGCCGGCAATGTGCCCTATGGGGATGATGAAGATGCAGTCCGGTGGGTATTCGATGGATGACATGGACGAACTGCTCAAACTCTGCCCCTTTTCTGGCCGCAAGGCTTGATCCTGTATATAAATGGCTTCCATCTCCTCTCTCTCAAAGCAATGAAGAATTTAGAATATCGAAGCGAGTCTTTCAGCTAGTTTTTGGAGTATCTTAGAATGAGTTCACATTCCACGAATAAATCATGTGGCTTGTTGCCCTCAAACAACATTGGAGTTAACATTGGAAAGGCATACAGAGCCCCTGATACTTCCGCTAAGGCCATTCGCTTCGAAAACGTACTGGATGTGGTTTTCCACGCATTGAATAGATATGGCTCTGGGTTAAAACATAAAGATTCATTCACTCGAGAGTTAAATTTTGATTCAGCCAGTTGTGTATTCGGCATAGCCCTGCCCAAGATCGTCTTCTTCCGTTGTAACACATGCTTCGAGCTATAAAGAAAAGAACAATGGTATGCACCGAAGGCGGAGGAAATCTACATCAGTGTTTATCCAATCAAGGTGAAAATCGCTGCCGTCAGCTCAAATAAGGCTCTGAGACGAACTCAACAAATATTCCTAGTCTCAAGCCATCGGTTGCCATACGGCAAGGCCGGTTTCCAGCCTACAAGCGTGGCGATCGACTCGGATCATCCAAGCCATCGATGACGGTGATGACAGATCATAGAAACGCCCTTTATCGAAATAAGCTACGGCAATACGTGTTGCAGACATATTTGGCCGACTGTGCGGCAAAAGTGCAAGATATTCTCACAGCTAGAGCTGTATATATAAGCCAATATTGTCATACAGCAGAGCTTAGCTGAGGCGGTGGCTGCTCACGCTCACGCTCACGCGCAAGTGGCCAAGCATTGATGAGCATGACGGAATCGGCTGCGGGACAGGCAATAGTGCTTCCGCATGACATACTGCCGTCTCCAAACATCTTGTTTTTGCCTATATTAGTGCTGTATTATTCTATGGGATCTTAGTGGCATACGATATCATGGCCGCACAACGCGGAGCGGAGTCCGCGGAAAGATGTCTGTCTTCCGGCTATGATACGTAGATGCTCTGTTGCCTTGCTGTCCAACTGCCCTACTGTCCCAGAAATCAGACTCCTTGCGTACAGAAGAATGGGTGTTGTCGGCCCACAACCAATAGCACCTGTTTCAGGATGTGCCGAATCATAAATGCCCCTTTACATGTCCGGCCCAAGTGTGCTTTTAATCCCCCGGCCACACACATTTCAAGACAGACACGTCTCTATTTGGCCGGCTCCCCTCCATTGGTGCGAGACCACCAAAGCAGCGCGCGGTGTGATTACGCGTTTGTAAGACAATCAACACAGCTATTACTATTCGGGGATCGTGGCTGCTTCCTCCATGGTTTGCTTTGCCCACCGTATTTTCAGCTGTATGATGTATCTCATCCACGTGGCGCTCAGCTGGGCTCGGCATACAGGTGTTTGTGAAGGCTGTACACTGGTCTGACCAGCCACTCTCATGCAATCAGCATGCAGCCCAGTCCAATAACAACAGAGATGCGTCAAAGCACAGCTGCGGGTTGCCAAATCGATCAGATGGGTGGCAGAATAAAAATAGTGGGATCCCGACATAAATTGAGGTTGGCAAACTGCGGGGGGGAAGCCGCGCGCACCGCTCAACCCCTTCTTCTGCCGTCCCTCTCAACAGCACATCCTCCGTGCTCTTCCCCTCTCCATCCATTCCAAGTCTTCGACGATATTCCTCAATAACCGATGGCGCCTGTGTCCCTTTCGCTAAATGACATCCAGGGCCCACTCAACGTGGAAATCGACCTGCAAGCCAACCGCATCATCATCGGCTTCCCCAACCCAGAGCAGGCCAAGAGCTACCACAAAATCGTCCAAAGCCGCGACCGGAATGGCATAGTCTCTTGCCAGTTGGACGGACACAAGACATCGCTACGACTGCCAGGGAGAATAATCAGCATCTCTGCCAGCACGCGATGCGGCGGCCTCTGTTTCAACTTTGCCGACCTTGAGCTGGCCAAATGGTGGGTGGGTGAGCTGCTGATCTGGAAGTTTGTCGAAGGGAGCAACAGGAAGGTCTATGTTGACCGGCGCATTGGCTGCCCTTCAGCTCCGCATACACCGGGGGGACAGCATACACCCACGGCCGTACAGAGGATGGGGCATACCCGCGGCCTGAGCATTGGAACCATTGGCACGAATCGAATCTCAGCTTGATGCGGCGGGAACACTTCCCGGCATCGGACGGGTCAGGCTCCGAACGGGGGTTTAATTGAATAATGCGTTGGAATGAAAGGGTGAACTGAAGCATATGAATTCAAGATATCGTTTAGAAATGCGTCTAATCCCCCTTAAATGTTGAACCGTTGTCTGTTGGGCCGGTGGCATGTCATGTTGATACTGCAACATTAATAAGTTTATTTTGCCTGTCTATCACCACTGATCGATCACTTATTGCTTGATACTCTAGCAAGACTAATGTGTCTTCTTGGCTTTGAGTATCATTCGACCTTCAACTTGTTCGCAAGGTTGAGTGCGAACGTTTCACAGTTGTACCTTTGGTGATGATATACCTTTCCGGCTATCTCAGCTCTGGCTGTATAGTCTGTTAATCGCTTGGATGAGCCAAAAGAGGAGCACAATATGTACCACTTACCAAGACTCTCGATTTCTTCAATTGTCCAGTCGTTGTTTTTCACCACGCCAATGTAGTCTCGCTTCTCCATTGTTCTCCTTGTCGCTTTGTCTTGGACTCTCTCGTAAGGAATGCATCCGACTAGGAGCTGGGCTCCATTACCATTGTTCCTCAGCTGCCAGGTATGATCTTTGAAGAACAAGCCGTATGCATAAAAGCCTTGCTTATAGTTTCCTATAACAATGTCCTTGTGTTTGCCACCCATGGTACGGATAAGATCGTTGAGGCCGTCATATCGTACCCCTCGACGATTAATGAATTTTTTCGGCCGCCGATCAAGTCGCATCCATATGTGTATCTTATCGCCTTCAGCTGGTGGTACTCTCAAGCTCCACCGCACAATTCTCGGCTTGTTATACTGAGAAGACATGTTAACGGTAGCTGGCGCTCAACGGATATATACTTTGCTGTTAGATAGAGGGCGCCTTGGCCGGTGGCTGGCAAAGTGAAAAAGCGGTTTGTAAATAGAGAGTAGGTGAATCTGAACATATCTAAACTGCGACAGGGCGATTTATGGACTATATGTTAGGCGGTGGAATAGTACAAAGGTCTCTTGAAGGAGTTTCTCTGAAGGAGTTTCTTTGATCCAGCTGCGACAGTCACAGCACAAAGGTGTTGGTTGGTTGGTTATCATTCTACACAATGCCAATGGTTTTGATTTGACATGGGATTATCCTTCTCTGCACTATGTGCTTTCATATGTTCTTGGCATGGAGCTATATTTGATTCAATTATTAACACTAATCATGATTGTATAGCGTGAGGATTGATCCGCGTATATTTCCATGAAGGATTCGCGAGTACCCCCCCGCCTTATCATTGTCATCTCTTCTTTAAAGACAATATAAGTGAGAAACGGAATTAGCGTTCCCGTCATTCTAGACGACACTACATTTCTCAACCCATGCTGGATCTTTAACTTCAGCTGGAAGCTTATTAGGGGAATTAGGGAAATCATTAAGGACGTTCTCTTCGTCACTCACTGATCGAGGATTTTGTGCGTGGTCAGGGTCCGCTACGATATAGCTATATTTAGCTGATAACCAGTACCTATGGAGGTTGGAACCCCTTACTAGCTCTGAGAGCGATCAAAGCAACTAGATCACACACAACTGGAATTACCAGGACCTGGCACAACAGAGAAGACCACTGCCAAATACCATAATGACGATCTAATGGATTCATATTGAAGCTGGAAAATGCGAGGCCCTCGCGAACTTGAGGCCTGCAACGTCTCGCATCTAAGCCGAGGTCTTGTTTAGATAATATACGCGCAGATGATGAGCCGTAATGGTATGTAAATCAGGCGAATTCCGATGAAGATTGATTGCTCATCACCAGAAACGTGTGTAAAGGAGCTACAGACTATTGTGATATCTACTAGATAAGTTAGTCTGTCAAAGGAAATCGAGTCCGAGCATGTTCTGGATGCACCGGAACAGCTAATGTTAAAACTAACAGTGCTTACAACGTTGACATCGAATTGGCCGCCCCATTCTCCAATAATGAGCTCTAAAGTATCTTCCGGAAATTACAAACAGACTCAGGGGGAAGAGGTACAAGCTAAGTTATGTTTAAAACATTAGCGAGATGGAGGCTGGCAAGCAAGGTGAGTGAAGAGCCGGGAAATGGTCCTTTTTCCCCTCCAATTGCTATCATCACTCTCAATGAACGCCACTTGCTTTAAACTGGATTTATCACTAATGCGACGTCTACGATCTCGTATGCTGGTAGCGGATGTCATGGCTGTTTATTAACTCACGTACTCATGTGATTGGATCTAGTCGGGGTTGTAGGATTTTGTGCGTGAGATCGGTGACATCTCTCATGGTAGTTGTATTGCCATCGTAAGCGAAATCATTCAAATCCGATCAATGCGAACCGCGAGTGTGTGGATTGCGTTGCATTGCCCCAAGGTCTAAATTGCAAGGGTATCCTAGAGGACGTCGAGGCGGGACTTAGACTAATGCGCGCTGTGGTATCATGTGAAGGTGAACATGAATCCAAGTCCCTTCAACTTGTGACAAATGCGGCATCATGAATGAATGGAATGGGATATTGATCTCCCGCGTGGCACAATAGCTCATGTAGCTGATCGCTACCTTGGAGAGAACGAATCCGTGAGGCGCCTGATGCTCACTGTATGATGCGTGTCACTGTGGCTGGATGCTCTGTTCTAACTGAATTTGGTCCACTAATTTCTCTTCGGATGTTGGGAAACAGGCGTGCATTATTAACCGCGAGAAAAGATCCCGAAGGAAGCTGAGGGAGGAATCTTGGGTGACATCGGGTCCCTCTACCGACCGGATGGAAGAACAGTAAGTCCCGACTGCTCATATAAGTGCACCGAGAATCACCCAGATTCTTCTCCAAAACATCATCATCCATAACAAGAGTTAGCCAATCAATATGACAGTCATCACCGTCGCACCGGCTGGCCCTAAGACGGCTGCAGCCACGATCCGGGCTCTCTTCGAGCAGGCCGCTGCCTCCGGCACATCCATCCAGGTCAGAGCGTACTATCGCGACACGGCCAGAGCGCCTCAAGAATTCTCGGCAAATCCCAGCTTCAAGGCTGTGAAAGGTGACCTTGAGGATCCATCGTCGCTTGACTTCTCGGGCTCTGATGTGGTTTGGACCACCACACCACCTACTCCCGACGGGCGCGACACAGTCGCCCAGGCTGAGAAAGTGTCGCTAAATGTGAGAAATGCTGTAGAAGCAGCTGGCAGTGTCAAGAAGCTTGTGCTTCTGGGCAGTATCGGTGGCCATCTTACCGAAGGCGTGGTATGGTTGTTCATCTTGATGAGATCTTGAGTACCATTCAATTGACGATGTTTCACAGGGAGAGATCAAGTCAAACAATGCGGCGGAGAGGGTTCTATCGCAAACAAAAGTCCCCCAAATTACCATCGCAAGGTGTCATTATTTCATGGAAAATTGGGCAATGGCAATGGCGACACTTAAGGGCCCTGAGCCCTTCATCTTTTCAACTTTAACCCCCTTGGATTACGCGATCACCATGGTGGCAGTCAAGGATATCGGCAAGATCCTGGCGCGCGAGGTCTTGACTGTCGCTGGAGCTTCCACGAGCGACCAAGGCAAACCAAATCCATACATCTTTGAGATACATGGGGCAGCCAAGTATTCCTCGCTCGATGTGCAACGAGCAGTCTCGAAGGCGATTGGGCAAGATGTCGCAATCAAACCGGTTGAGAAAGACCAGCTAAGCACCTTCTTTGGCCAATTCATGTCACCTACCGCCGTGCCTGACATAGTGGAAATGAGCCTGAGCATTTTGCCCGGAGGCAAGATGGTCGAGGAGCCCGATCCCATATCTCGTGATATTGTCCGTGGCGATACGAGCCTAGATGAGGGAATCAAGGACATCATAAGCCATGCTCGAGCTACGGCTTAGCTGATCACTGGCGATGAGGATGGGATTTTTATATTTTTTTCTGCTTAATATTAGGACCTCTTAGTTAATGATAGTATATCCTGGTACCAAATTGATCCCAGTATGTTTCCTGTTGAGTCGAATACACCTTAGATACCGCCCGCGAGGCCATGGGGAAGCTTTGGAGGAGTACAGCTCTGCCGATTTGGATTATTGCCTTCTCATGCCTCGAGTAGGCTAGGCACCCTGGCAAAATATTGAAACAAAATGCCACCTAAACGATAACTCTTGGCCGTCGATCTCCACTGTAAGCGTACAGAAGAGGAGAGTGAATTCTATGCGAGCGACCAATTACAGTAACCCCCCTGCCACACGCCCTATTCATGACTTGCGTGTGGATGACGACACCCAAACTTTATAACCCTCATCTGTCTTCCTGAATCCCGTCCTTGGATATTAGCTCTTCATCATCCCTGCACACAACCACAGCCCTGCAGAGCACCATGAGTTCTCAATCCGATGTACCAGTCTTTCACTATCTCGCCCTCGGACGGCTCGGCCGGGGTGAAGTTCTCAAGTAAGAAATTGCCTCTGCCATCTATTAGACCTGATTGCTGGAACTCGAGGCGCGTACTGACAATCAGTTCCCTCACAGTCTATTTCTAAAGGATGCTGGCGTCGAGTTCAAAGAGATTCGGTACCCTTACGACGAGACATGGCCGGCCCAAAAAAAGAAGTTACAAGAGGAAGGCATTACCAAAACAGGTTTATTGCCCGCACTTGAGTACAAGGGATCAATCTATACCCAGGTAAGGATTTCGTACATTCCAAGCTCAAGCACATTCACGTCTAACTCTGTTCCCAGCACATCCCGACCCTGCGCTTCCTTGCGCGGGAATTCGGCGGCTATGATGGTGAAACAAGCCAAGAAAAATATCTCGTGGATGCCGTGGCAGATATCTACATTGACTGGCGGGTATGGAACATTCAGTTTGCCGCTTCATAATTGTTGCTGACCGGCCCACAGACACAGTGGGTTGCTGCGTTGAAGGGAGTAACGAACGAGTACAAGACTGAATTTCTCCCGAACTACTATGCCCAGATTGCCCAATACTATTCCCAAAATAAGGGACCTTATCTTCTGGGAGACAAAATCACATACGTTGACTTTGCAGTCTACCAGTCAATTGATAACGATATGAGGATTGGATCGATCCCTTTGCCTGTAAGGTGGCTGACGGAGATATATTAACGGGTTTTTGCTGACTCTATCCTAGTCTAAACTTCCAGACGAGCTTGTTCAGCTTATTGAGACAATCAATAAACGGCCAAATATTGCCCAGTACCTTGAGAAAAACAAGTTTACTCCTACATAACCTGGTCTGCTTGCTCGTGGGCACGTGCTTCAAATGGCGTACGCCCCTTTGAGCTGCGAGAGTCGGGTCATTCAAGCATCTTCGGGTTTACGGGATCGTCAAATTTAAGGATAGTTGGATGAGAAGTCCGATAGTGATTATGTATCACGAACCGATCTTACCCATTTTCGAGTTCCATCGTATGGGTCTATTTTGCGGCTGATGCATGTATCAATGATGGAATATGTTTTATGTTCCTAATGTCTCCTCATCAATTAAGTGGCGAGTCTCTCCTACTCATAATCTGCTCCTGAATTTATTGAAATCCCAGACTCAGTATCGTTGGCGCTCCCGAATTTTGTCATAACCTCCTCATGCTATTGGCAATTAAGTGCCCCATATCGAGCCAGCTGTCATAAGTATCAGTGATCCAAAAAGTGCCATGATAACATGAAATCAGCCGTATGATTTTCAAAACCAGGGCTTCATTGCAAGTCATAAGAGGATGAGGGCATGACATGGCATGGTCCAGCCGTGTCGCAGCGATTAACTCTCTGGGGATGTTGGACATCGTCCTAGCCCTTAATGCTCTATGGACAGGATCTTTAATACTCTAATATCAGACAAAAAGTATTCATTCTATTGATATGTCTGGTCTGAAATCTTCTATTATTGTTTTTAACTCTATAATCGAACTCTTTTCCATCGGACAAAGAGTGGTGGGTGCAAGGCTAATATTTTTTTCATTGTGTTGAGATGTCGGGCTCTGGCATCTTCCATTGCTGTTGAACTTTATACTCACTTTCTCTTATGCATAAGCGTAATTCATTGGATATGATGCCGTGGCAACGATAATTTGTCATAGCATTACGAAATGAGCAAATACTTGTAATCGACCTTGAATAAAACTCGTTGAAACTAAACTCTTCGCCATGGAACCCGTCATATTGATTATTTGAGCTCCCTTTCCGATCTTCAGCCTCAGGAAAGCTTCCATACCCCGTTTTGATTGAATCTCATAAAGAAAAAGGAAAATGGTGAAATTTAATAGTATTCTGACATTTTTGGTTGGACTAGAAGTTGAACCTATGTCCTTCTTCACTCTAATGACCCTTACTGTATCATAGGTTCAACCAGATTTCACCGTCCTTTCTAAAATCGAAATTTGGGTTAAGCACAACGTTCAGCAGCTTGGGGTTAAGTAAGGATTAGGGCGGCATCGTAAGCCTTGTATTTACGCCATTTGGTGCCCGAATGACCTTGAGAGTTTCTCCAGGTCATCTGAGGCGAAAGTATCCCTAAAGCCAAAACTATCCACCCCGTCGACTGAATACGGATTGCCTTATCTAGAGTCCACGAGCTCTCACCATTTCGCCTCCAACACTCGAAATTAGATCTAACCTACCAAGTAACCAAATATATGCAAACCAACCGGTCAAAGACGCCCCGAGATACTCACAACTTACTCAATTCATCCTCCCCAATTTGGTGGGCATGATGACACCTCCTCTACCCAGCGACGACTCTTGGGACATCGACCCACCGCCGTACACCTGCCTTCAAGTATCTGATGGTGAAGCTACCGTTGCTGAGCGCGCTTGGGACCTGCGGACGCCTTCAAGATGGCGCGACCACAAGTACCACAACTTAGTCTTTTGTTGCACACCCAAGATCTACCACGAAGGTGACAAATTGCTGCGACGCAGGTTTAGAAGCATGAAAGCTCATCTTCATTGGCGAGCTGAGCTTCTTGCCGTCGCGAGGAATATTCCCAACTTGATGCGTTCTAGCTTTCATATTTCACGCGCAGACTTGATACCTCGAGCTGGACGAGTTTGCTTAGATAGAACGTCAAGGGCAAACACTTATAGCCTCGACCCGTCTTGGAAGCATGGAAAGACCTTCTTCTTCTAGCATGCTGTTCCCTCTCCCGAGTGGACGGCTAGGCATGAGGTATTTACTCAGACCATTGCTCTTGCCGAAGGCTTTGAACTCGACTGGGTCACGGCGGACACGGTCATTCAGGCCTACGCATTCCACTGGGATTGGATGTTGGTGTACAACACCAGTCCAGTGAGAGCCGACGCGAGCTTTATTACTCTATTCGACCGGATGCCTATGGGTGGATGGTGGCCAGTGCCAAAAGAAATGCAGACAACGCGGAATATGATGCGGTTTTGGAATTGGACGAACAAATGGAAGAGGAAGAAGGAGTTCGGGCAATGGCCAGCTTGTCACATCATCACCAGAGGCAGAAAAAATCACACGTGGTAGCTGCACTGTTTTTCGGCACCCTACTATTTGTTGCAATATGGTTGGCTAAAATCTATATGCCAGGATGTTTGGGTGCATGATTTGCTCTCTGATATTCCTGATATAACGCTACCGATCCCTACCAGGCTTACGCGATATAATCAAAGTACTCATTAACAATCATGTTTTCTTTTTTGAGTGGCGTTACACGTGATGACATTCTCACCCAAACATGAAACCCCGGAGAGTCCGTTTCCCCTTTTCAAGTTGTTTATCGCAGTTTTCAGTTCAATTTTGGTTGAAACAACGCCGTCCAGTTTTCCGCTAGTCGAAGAGCCAACATCTTGCAACAATGGCTCCCGCATGTGTGACTTGCAAGAAGGCACCGCCCGAGGTCGCCATCAAGCGCTGCGCCAAGTGCTCCTCAACACCCTACTGCTCTCGAGAGTGCCAGAAGGCCGATTGGAAGAACCACCGCAAAGTCTGTGGGAAAGAATCAGCGGGCTCTTCTTCCTCTCCCCCCTCCAACCGTGGTAGTCAAGCATCTCCGCTGAAAGGGTTGGAGAAATCCGTCACGAGACCCTTCACGAGAATCACCAACGGCACCTGGCTTCACGATCGCCCCGAGACTGATGTTTATCGAGTACTCATCGATGCATATCGCCTACGAGTCGAGGACGAATACACAATAGATGGGAACATCGACAATGATAGTCTCTACGGCGGGTCTGGAAGTGGCCTGAAGGGTTTCCATCGGTTTGTCGACCGCGTTGCCTCACATGCCGGTCTGCTCCCCTCATGGTGGAATGCCGAGAAAAGGGCCTGCTGCGAGAGACTTGGGATGGACCCATCACAGTGGCAGAATCTATGCCGCGCAGTTGAAAAGAGCGATATTATTGAACACTATGGGACGCCGTTTTTTCACATGGAGCTCAGGATGTTTGCATGGAAGGTGCTTGGTACTGGCATTGGCGGTCAGGATGGGACCATGGTGTTAGAGATGTTGGCCTCCAGGGAAGTTGATGATGGGGGCAGCGGACAGAATCCAGGCAAATTGGCGGCAGTGGTGGATCTCAAGACAATGACGACATCTATTCTGTAGGGGGCTTTCACCGAATTTCTGATACAGCAGGATGCAGGTCAGCGAAGCCAATACCTGTACATGATCACTGCCCACTCGTTAAGCATTTTTATATTGTGCAATATTCCAATCGTTCTGACATATATTTGCCACACTGCAGCGTTTCGTCTGCCAGTTCGAGATGGCACTTTGCTTTGCTTCGCACCTATGGAACTGTCGAACGAGTTCTGACTCTGACCCTGAAGTTGGAAGGCTTCACGAACCAGTAGGCCGTAGTTTTCCAATCAGCTTGTAGACCATCAACCAGCTCGAAATCAAAGTCTCGGAGGATGCGAGGCACAAGCTTGCACATTTCCAACATAGATATATGCCTCCCAATACAAGTCCTCGAGCCAACGCCAAACTAGAAACAATTGTCAGCCATGGAACGCAACTAAAATTACGCCAAGAAATACATACGGGAATCCAACTTCGGTTCATTGCAGATAGTTTATCGGTATCCGTTGTGAGCCATCTTTCGGGCTTGAAATCATCAGAGTCCTTGCCCCAGATAGCTTTATTTCGGTGAACCGCCCAACAATTGACGCCGACGATGGTCTGTGGAGTTGATGTCAGAAAATAAAGAAGCAAAAGAGGATTTCACGGTACCTACTCCCTGAGGGAAGTATTTCCCAGCAATAGTAGCGCCTCCTTCTGGCACGATTCGTTCAAGCGGTTGCCCAACAGCAGGATGCAGTCGTAGGGCTTCCTTGAGGACGGCCTGTAAGTATGGCATGTCTTGGCTCTGCTTGTAAGTGGGAGAATCAGAGAGCTTCCCATCTTTATCAAACGCAATTATCTCCTCTCGTAGCTTGTCCATGCACCCCGGGTTCTTCAGAAGATAGTAGAGCACTGCTGACAAACTGATTCCTGTGGTATCGGAACCAGCACCTATGTTCATTGAACAACCTGCGAGGATATGGCGCGTGGTAAATCTCTCGGGGTTGGTTGTGTTTTGCTTCATAAACTTGGAGACGAACTCCTCGCTTCCATCTGCGGCCTCTTCGTAGATAGCGGCCGGCTTGGCCTTGTACGCGTTAATCTTCTCCTGGGCAAAGTTTGTAACATACCCCATCCCTTGCCCATCTTTGCTTCCACTCAGCCGACCTAGGAAGCCCATGGCGGTAAATAAATAAGGATGAATGTAGCCGTAGATGCCGACTGTGGACGAATAGTAGAAAGAATCTTCGAGGGACTTCATCACACCGCCAATGTCTTCTCCGCTATCCAAGGTCCCTAGGCGCTCAGCAAAGGTGATCTGAGAGATGACATCAAGAGCGTAGCATTGCAACCAATGTCCTATATCGATGGAAACACCGGCTACGGACACTTCGTGTAGGCGCTGGTCAAAGAGTCTCGCACACTGGTCGACGTATGGTTCAAAATTTACCAGGTTTGACATGGAGTAAGTGGCTTGAAACTCCCTGCGAAGAGAAGCATGGAATCTGATATCTCTCTCTGTAAATAAATTCCACACGCCTGGGACCATGAAAGCGTCGTAAAATGATGATTTGGCAAACTGGGTGCTGTGACCATATATAGTTTTGATCGCTTCGGGGCTGTTGAAGCTGTATCTCTTGGGCCCATATCGAACAACAGGGCCTGTTGGCACCTAGTTATTGTCTTGTTCCACAAATGGCCTTTCGGTGGGCTGACATACCGTAAGTTTCATGAAGCTGGCAATTCTTTCTTTCCACGTGGCCGGTGTGGACTTGCACCAAGTACCAGACATTTGTAAATCGCGCCAAAAAGGGCCCAGGGACATTTCGTAGAGGCGCAAACAAAACGCTCAGAATGAAGTAGACAGCATACGCCACAACCACCAGACCAAGAAGGAGAATGATTTGCATGTTTGCAGTATTTGTAGGCTTTTTTTTTACTGTTCGTACGGCGGAGGCTGGCGGCGAATGTGACAAATCTCAGCGCGAGGAACATGCATTTATAGAGATTTGGTCGTCCAACATTGAATCATTACATCTTCCCATAATGAGCCGATTTTGTCCGTTCTATAGAGGTAATGATCGTCCCGAGCTCGCTCTTCGCTTCTTCATCAGAAGTCCGGACAGAATGCATCACGATGGGGACAAGCATCAGTGACATCGTTCACCAAGCAGCACGGGGAGGTTGAGCAAATAGAGATCAACTCCGGATTATGTGGGCTCTCGCTTTTCCAATCATTGATTGGCTATTATTCAGTTTCATAGAAAGAGAGTGATCTCTATTAGCATTCCGAGGTTTCCAAATAGGGCTCGGAATGAATATGGGTTTAGCAAACCCCGCAGATCGGCGGAATGAATGAGATTTCCGCATGCCGAGATCCCGAGTCCAATACGAAATCAGGAATGAATCCCGCTTACTAATAGCATTTAAGAATGTATTTGAAGAGCAATGAAACCTCGTTTTTCATGCGAAGCTCTAATGTGGGCGCCGTGCATGGAACTTCAGCTAAGCGATGCAAATTTATACCCCGTCAAGTATCTCAAAGGGGGCCAGAAAATAACATATGATCCAAATGACATAATACTTACATAAATTATGAATCTATTTTTAAAAAAGAAAAAGAAAAAAGAAAATAAAAAGAGTAAACTATCACGGCTTTGTATATTAATCTGGCTCTTACCCAAGATGGTCATGGATATCAGAAACATTCAGAGTGCTAGTAGGTCCCTAATTAACCAAAAGTCTTCGACCTTGATTATTGTGCCCATATAGATTTTTGCTCGAGCTCGTGCTGCTGCTACTGTTCCCAAGTCACATAAATGGCTACCGTTGAATAGCTTTTCTGCATCGCCGTTATTACTAGGTTAGTGACGACAGAAACGACTCTAGATTTCACGGCCGGCCGTCATTGAGCCGCAACAGAAACCGGACCCGAAAGCGATGGATCGCAATGATCCGCTAACTGGAGTCTCCCACTAAGGAACGAAACTCCACAAAATATGACCTACGATATCTTAGATTCAATGGAAGCTTCTTCACCTCCTTGGGTAGGTGTCATCGGGATTCTACATTGCAAGATCGGGAACAGGGGCCGACCCATCCTCGAAATAGTGGATCGTATCTCGTAATTTTGAGACACTTACCAGGTAGTGGGAGCGCTACTGATTAACCCTGCTTTGTTGGGGGTTGGGATCAGCTAAATAGGTGGTGTGCCGAAAGACACGGCGAGATGAAGAGAAGTTTGTTTGAATTTTAGGAGGAACTCTCAGTAAGGGAGTTCTTCGTTGTATATTCTTATGTTTGGAACACAAAATGTGACAAGGTGTCCAACTCGAAAACTGAGCAAGGAGGAAGCGATGGAAGCAGCAAAGAAAAGGAGGAAAATAAAGTTTCGAGCAGGCTGCATCCTACACAGGAGGCCGCACGTGGGATGGCCAACTATTACTGCCTGAGTTACACTGCTTTTGTCTGCGTTTATGTTACTTGCTCAGCGCCGTGGTAACAACCTCTACTTAAGGGTATGACCGGCCTCCGCCCAATCACACCCAAGTACGAACTCAGCAGCCACCACTCTGCCAATAATGTCGTCGGTGGCTTCAACTAGCTTGCTGGAATGGCTGCTTAGATGCGACTCGCGCGTCGCCCAACAGTATGTGGCGGCTGATCTAGAACCGTTGGAACGGTTACGTAGTGTGATAGAGGCTTCCTGGTGTGATGAGGTTTCCCCGCAAACCGTCTGTCACCCAACTATGATGACGACCATTTATCCCAGGAGCTCGGATCCTCGGGGAACCAAGGAATTTGTCTAGAACACAAGCACAGACCCAACCTGCGACCGGGCATCGAACCTCCAGAAGCTGCTAAACAACAATAGCTACGCCCTGAGCAAGCGATAGATACGCATACGAACCTGTCCCAAATCGACGACGAGCGCGGAGAGGAACACACAGATGTGAGTTCCGGTGACTTATGCGCACATTTCAGACACCCGACCAGGCAAAGAAATGGCCGGCGATGGCTACAGCGGCGGAATCGTTGTTACGATTGCCAACGCAATGGTAATAGCTGGTTTCTTTGCAATATCACTCTACAACGTCCTCGAGATTAATATCCAAGTTTTCTTCACGTTCCTGAAATGGAAGGGCCTCTATTTCTGGAGCTTGCTTATCTCCTCATGGGGGATTGTCCTTCATTCCGTTGGATTCTTGCTCCAGTTCTTCCAGTTCTGCACAAACGACTACGTCAATATCACGATCATTACCCTTGGGGGCGTCCCGATGGTAATAGGGCAGTCTGTCGTGCTCTATTCTCGGCTACACTTGATAGTTTATGACAGGAGGAAGATCCGATGGGTTCTCGTTATGATTATTTCAAGCTTCTTCCTATTTACCATCCCCCCTACGATTCTCAACTACGGCTCCAACTCTTCCAACCCAGCTCCCTTCATTGGGCCCTTCAAGGTCTACGAGAAAGTCATGCTCTTTGGGTTTGCAGCGCAGGAAATTACCATCTCTGGAATCTACTTGTGGGAAACCCGGAAGATGCTGCGAGTCATGGAACCTGGGATGAGCGAGGCCCCTCGCCGTGTGATGAGGCACCTCATCTATGTCAACATTTTGGTCATCTTGATGGACCTGAGCATTATTGGCACGGAGTTGGGCGGCTTGCACGATATCCAGACCACCTACAAGAGCGCCGTGTATAGCGTCAAGCTGAAGCTGGAATTCCCGGTGCTGAACCAGCTCCGCAATCTGGTCAAGAGGGAAGGGCGTGGTTACAGCTGGTCATCATCCCATCTATCAAGTGTAAGAAGCCCTGGTCAAGGACACGACTTATCGACAAGGCGCCATTCCTCAGTCATGCAGCCAGTTTTTTTCCAACAACAAATAAGCCCTTCGGTTGCTTCTCGGCAATCTCCCCTCAAACCAAGGGCTCTTCCAGATGTGGAATCCTGCACGCCGCCCGAGGACTATTTCTCGAGTGGGAAACCGCCAAAATGATTTACTCTCGTCTTAACTGAGATCGAATTCCTGGTACAAGATCACGACTGCTTTTATTAGGCCCTGAATAATTTGGTCAGAGTCTACGACCAACAGGGTTTGAGGAAGAGATTATTGATATCCGACCCCCGACGTCCCATGTCCGGCCAATAAATAGGTTTCATGGCATGCGTCTAGGACCCTGTCGCGCGCCCCTATCTGATGTGGGCTAGGATTGTGGCAGGCTCACTTGGATCGAGTTTCGGAAGTCATTGACTCTATAATGGCAGTTCCCTGGGTGTCAACAGCAGCACAATGTAAGGATTGCTTCTAGGTTGTAGCAGCACACCGTACTGACTCTACCTAGTTACTTGGTGTATAACGAAATTTCACTATCACAAGTAATCGCTATCTTCCCACCCTAGATAAGTGGGTATACCATTCTACTCCTACATCTTTCAACTCTTGTTCTCAGCCCGGAGAGCTTGGCTCGGCCCGAGAAAAGATTGAAGTCTAAGTCTTGCGAGAGGAACAGAAAACACCCGATCATACTCCCGTAGGGTACTGATGAGCTTGGCTTGGAATCTTTGGTAATGCGATTTGAGTCGCAGGAAAAAAGCGTGCAGCGAGATGTTTTGTTTTCTAGCCTATGTAGACACTGTATACCCTCCTCAATCAAATTGTGGCTCTATTAACTTGTCAAAAGAGCCGTTAATTGCTTCCAATGGCGATGAAGTGGTGCATAGAAGCTTGCGTTCAATTGGCAAGACTTCAACCCTTACTGAGCATTGATTTTCCCCACCCAATTATGCATCGAGAGTTCATATTAGAGCTCTTTTTACAAAAATGCAACGATAGCCGGTTACTCCAGCACGGGAGAGCGAGATTCAGCGAAGTGTCTCCACGCGGCGTCTCTCGGTCACCGAAATGATTCTGATTGGCTCCCACTCATATCCGAAGGCTGGTAGGTTTGGCTTGGTAATCCGCAAATTTGGTTGTCTGGGGCCATGGTTCGTTAATTTTATTAAGCTTGGATGGATTAGAATACGGACAGAATGGGACTTGATAAGTATAAAAGATCCTAGATGGACCGCCTAGCAGAGGTTATCGCTTTTACTACAGAGTATTTGCATCATCCCAGCCACAACACCGTCAATCGATCAGTCCACAACCACAAACATGTCTCGTGCTCTACTTGTCCTAGGCGCCACTGGAAAACAGGGCGGGAGCGTGGTACAGGCCCTTCTGGCCAAAAGAGCCGACTTCAGAATCTTGGCCGTTACAAGGGACACCGAGTCGGCCGGAGCTAAGAGACTGGCCGCCAAGTCCCCAAATATTTCTCTTGTTCAGGGCAATCTCGATGATACGGAGGCCATTTTCCAAAATGCGAACAAAATTGCCAAGACTCCCATCTGGGGAGTATTCAGCGTTCAGGTAGGCAGCTATAATTACTTGTCAACTTGCAGCGATGGCCTAGTCTAACATGCGATACTTGCAGTTGCCCGCGATGAACAAAAATGGTGCAAAGATCGAAGAGGTGCAGGGAAAGTCCCTGGTCGACTCTGCTTTGAAGCACGGCGTAGAACACTTCGTGTACTCGTCTGTCGACCGCAGTGGCGAGCGCTCAATTAACAATCCTACCAACGTCCCCCATTTCATCAGCAAACACAACATTGAGCACCATCTCATCAACAAAGCCAAAAACACGCCAATGTCCTGGACGATCCTGAGACCTGTGGCGTTTATGGAAAACTTCCAAGTGGGCTTTGTGGGAAAGATCTTCGCAACGGCGTGGAGAGATAATGTCAAGAGTCGCCCTCTCCAGCTCATTGCTACCGAGGACATTGGTGAATTTGCCGCAAAGTCGTTTCTCAGCCCCAACGAGTTCAATGGTAAATCCATCGCCTTGGCCGGTGACGAGTTGACCTACAGTCAGCTTGTAGACGTCTTCAACAAGAAGACCGGAGCAGCACCGCCAACAACGTTTGGATTTATCGCCAAGCTGTTGCTGTGGCTCTCCAAGGAGATGGGCACCATGTTTGCCTTCTTCGAGCGGGAAGGATATGGAGCGGATATCAAGGAGCTCAAGAAGCAACATCCTGGATTGAAAGACCTGGGCACTTGGCTCGAAAGCAGCCCCTATACCAAGGCTAAGAAGCTATGAGTTTGCCTCCGGGATACGGCATACGCACGTGGGGTCTCATCCCATCACACAATCACTGTTCATAATGTAATAATAGTCGATAGTCAGTAGAAGAAAGAAGTGATGAACCAAGTTATAGACGCTACCTTTCCATTGGCGCCCATTTTGAGCGACTATACCGGGGATCTCCACCCCGATCTCGCATCAAGTCAACTGCGTCAATCAAGGCTCGAATGGCACCATCCAGCCAATTATGCAACTGTGCCGCTGATAAGACTCAGTGGCCCCTCACGCAGCTCGGCCGATAAGCCCTTCAATTACAAATCCGCCCGAGGTTCCCCTGGAAGAACATAACCATCTACAATCACGGACAAGCAAGAGCAGACCAGACCTCAGTTTCTACAGTTAGGTGCCAATTGGAATATCTGCAGCCATGACTCTCATTAAGCTCCCCTCCGGATCGGACCTGAAGGGCCACAAGCTCGTTCTATACGCCCCTCGACCAACTCCACCAGAGGCTGTAGCGCATCTCAAGGCCAAATTCCCAGGCCTCGAGATTGCTGTCTACCACAAGCAGTTCTTCGACACCGACCCTTATCAGGACATTTCCCGGGAAGAATGGAAGAATGTGACAATCTTGGTCACGGGCTCCATGATCCCTGATCCGGAGGCCGTGCCCAAATTGCAGTACGTGCAGCTCTTCAGCGCCGGAGCGAACCACGTCGTGAACAAGCCCCTGTTCCAAGAGACAGATGTCGCCCTCTGCACGGCCAACGGAGTGCATGGGTAAGTACTTGATTCTCCTCATTACATCATCCTCGATCATGTACATTGGGGCTGGCAGAAGACCGCTTTCGCTAACAGTTTCGCCTGCTAGTCCTCAGATTGCCGAATGGGTCATCTCAACCTTTTTAGCACACCAGCATCAGAGTGAGTCGTCTTCAAGGGAAGCCAGAGGGTAATCTGCATACTGACTCAATCGCCGGTAGTTCCTCGCTACCTTGAACAGCAGCGCGAGGAGAAATGGAACAGAGCCGACGACGAGGAGACAGAAGATGCCGTGGGGCGAACAGTGTAAGTCTCATCGTTCAAGATGATGCTCAAATCGCCACCTGTGCAAGTTTCTGTTCCTAACATTTGCAAACAGCGGAATCCTTGGGTATGGAAGCATCGGCCGCCAAGTCGCTCGCGTCGCCAAGGCCCTCGGCATGAACATCCACGCCTTCACAAACCACCCGCGCAACACTCCAGAGTCGCGCCGGGATGAGTCCTACACACCAGAGGGCCTGGGCGACCCGGAGGGTATCTTCCCCAGCAAGTGGTTCTCCGGCGACCTCCACACCTTCCTCTCATCCGGCCTGGACCTGCTGGTCATTTCCGTACCGCTGACACCCAAGACTCACCATCTGCTGGGCCGGGCTGAATTCCAGGCTCTCGCGGGGCGCCGTACCTTTGTGTCCAACATTGCGCGTGGGCCAATCGTCAAGACGGACGACTTGATCGAGGCTCTGGACGCGGGCACGATCCGAGGCGCGGCGCTGGACGTGACTGACCCGGAGCCGCTGCCGACAGGACACCCTCTATGGAAGGCCAAGAATGTCATCATCACTCCCCATGCGAGTGGCGCGTCGACGGCGTATTATGAGAGAGTGTTGAAGATTCTTGAGCTGAACCTTGGCCGATTGTCGAGGGGAGAAGAGCTCACGAACAAGGTAGATAGAAAGGAGGGCTACTGATAGAAAAACGATCGAGGAGGGTTATTTCAATATGGCGTGCTCATACTGACTACATTTTCTCCGTCTGTGAACACGAGTGCTGTGAAGAACGGGCGACTCTCTCCAGATGGGTCTTATCGAGAGTGAACGAATGAGGATAATATTGATGCCGTAAGAACTGCTCCTGCGGCTGCCGATGATGGTGATCCCGGAGATCACATCTCCGGGCCACGGACCTGAACCCGGAGTCCGGTATGATCAACCCTGAGTGCCAAGCTCGAATGAGCGGTGTCCAGATTCAATGTTGAGATTTGATTCCATTTTCTTCGAAGTGGCAGCTAAATTTAGCGACTGCTGCCTATCCCTAGGCATACCGCATAATGTCATTAGTCTTTGAGAGAAGAGAACATCTAGTCTTATCTACCAAGATTCATCCACGATGACGAGTCTAGAGAGCAGATGGGCGGTAAACCCCTGAGTTTCGTTTCAAGTTCCCACGGCATCGGCGAGCACAACCTCCGTCCACCGATCTGTTAGCGGGGCTGGCTCTGATCCTTTCCTTCAAAGAGCATCACCCTCCAGCGATCAGACCCTGCTTGCTGACGCTCATTGGCACCTTCAGTGGAGACGTCGGCATCTCATCTCAATTCAAGGCTATGCACGCTTTACTGATGGCAGTGTCACCCTGGTTGGGCTGAGCGATCGTCAATTCAGCCCTCTGAAGGTCCTAAGGCTCAAGGAGGGCAGTCATAGACCTCTTCTCTTGTATCATATAAAGCATGGAAAGTCGCTGGCGAAGATTACAATATGTCTCACTACGACAAGCTCATAGTCAGTCTCTATTCAACCGATTGAAGCTCCGGCAGCAAGGCACAACCTCTACAAAAACTTATTTCGTCTATTTATTGAAGATTCTTATACAATGGGGAACCATATGTCGAGGGATGGCAATGATGGGACCTGTCCCCATCATGATCTCACTGAAGGTACGGCTTGACCCAACTCGAGCTACATTCCCTTTTATTTGGCTAACCATAAGCAAATCCTCGAGCTAATTTCGTGGGAAATTTCTCTTTCCACGAGTTTAGCATGATCTTATCAGGAGCGTGTTGTGGGATCACGTCCCTTGTTATGGTTTTCTTCACACAAATGCATGCAATTCATCTTTCCAACCCAACAGAACAGATCAAGTACGCTTCGCTCTTACGCACCATACGTTAACTATACTAAGATAGGCGAATAGGATCATGAAAATAGGTGGTCTCATCACTACGTACGCCTTGGTATCTTCTTCTCAGTGGCCTTCCCGGGTGCTTCAGTGTACATGCATCCCTGGCTGGATGTGATTGAGGGAACAGCTCTGGGATCCTTCTTCCTTCTTCTTTGCGACTACATCTCTCCCAGTCAAGAGCAACGCGAGGTTTACTTCGCGACAAAACCGAAGCGCGGCATCAGATGGTTCAAGGTGAGATGGCTTGCTTCTATCATTCTTTGCTCTTAGGGATCCTTAGGTAACCCAAAGAACAGCTTCGATGGCTTCAAATTTTCCAGTTCCCCATCATTGCGCTGATCCTAGCAATCATCACCAACGCCACTGCAGGAACAGGAGCTTTTTGCGAATGGCGAAGAACTCCTGGATCTCTCAATTTCTGGATCCGCTTGATCGGGGCAATTTCCCTGGTGATGGTGATGGTGGCTATTCTTCAGGTTTATGGCGCGACCAAGGTTGATCTCGCCCGTCACCGCCCCCTTGCAAAGCTATTTGCATTTAAGGCAGTCGTTGGCTTGACATTCCTTCAGACAGTACGTCGTCCTACTGCTCACAACTCATGAGGCACAATTCTAACACCCATGCTCTAGCTCATCTTCTACGTCCTCACCAGTACGAACACGCTGAAGGAAACCGACACGCTCACTTTCGCCAATGTGAATATCGGTATTCCTAATCTCATTGTATCCATTGAGATGATCCCGCTCTCCATCTTTTTTCTCGCCGCCTATCCATGGAGCGTCTATCTCGTCGACAATTCAAGTGGCAGGGCCTCGCCGGATTCCCAGAATTCTATCCATTACAACAAGCCCTACCAGGGCGGCCCTCTAGGGATCTATGCATGGATGTATATGCTCAGTCCTATTGACGAGCTGAAGGCCGCTGTATTTGCTGTACGGCAGTTCTTTACCCACCGAGTCCCTGGGCGAGGAAGCGACTCTCATGAGAGCGAGCATGTCCCTCTTGCATACCAGGGACAGCGCATGGGCCCCTGATCATCCATGTCTTCGTGGTTTCGTTTTTCTGCCGCCTTTCCGGAGTATTGTTATCGTAAATTGGCGAACCAATGTGTAGGCTTGAAAATCAGGGTGGTTGGGTTGGAAATAGCATGGGCCACTGGCTATTGAGGGGCGAAGGATTCAAATGGGTCGAAACATGCAAATTTCGATCAATCATATTTCTTATTCGTCAATTCGATCTCCGACTTCCAAAAGATTTTACCATTCCTAGTACTCAGAGTTTTGTTATCGCTCTCACGGACTGTGATCCGTGAAGTGAACCCTAACAATGGGGCTGTGTGCCATCGCGGTTGCGACTTTCTCTCTCCTCCTTCTCCCAGGATCTGCGATCGCTGGTGAAAGTGGCACCGGCGGGTGTATGCCACACACATGGGACAGTCCTTCACAACCTACTCCCGTCGGATCTCCGCGCCCCGGTCCTCCTAGAGCCACGCCTGCCGTTCCTCGGAGGAAAACACTTGAGGCGGGAGACGTCAATTGTCGATATGAGGGTAGGACATACGATAAGGTAGATGCTTCGACTTGCCAAGTCCTAGCAGACCGATATGGCATAGATATTGGCAAATTCTACGAGTTGAATCCCTTACTTGAGGCGGACTGTAGCAGGATCAAGCCCAATACTGAGTATTGCGTGACCGGATGCATGTGCCCATTTCCCTGTCTAAGTCCCCAGCTACTAATTAGAACAATAGTTATTGAGCCTCTCAGGGCCTATGATGGGTTTTGCGGTCCCTTTTTCAATAATGCTACCTGTCTTTATACGGGTCAAGAATGTTGCAGCAGGGAGACATGGACTTGTGGCAATAGCGGGTAAGTTGAAGCAACCCAAAACTTCACAGATTACGGGCTAATGATCATTTCTCTTAAGACGTCACTGTACCCCTAGCCTCTGTTACAAAGACGCCGGAGCTTGTCAAGTCCGTACTGTCGAGTCAACCGACGGAATATGCGGACGAGTCGAAGGCAGGCATACATTCCGCACATGCGGAAAATGGGGAGACTGCTGTAATCTTGAAGGGAAATGCGGGAAGGGGCCAGAATTTTGTGGCAGAGGCATATGTCAGGAAGGGCAATGCAGTGACCCTGATTATCCAATGGATTATTTTCCACAAGCGCTACCATGGGAGTTTGGAGAGGGTCTACCGTGATCTCAGTCTTGTATTTTCATTCATTTAGGACAATTCTCCAGTTCGAAACACGATCCAGTTGGAACTATTAACATATCAACTCTTCAGTAGTCATGAGGCCGCAACTTGTCTGCCAAAACTTGGTTGGTTTGCAGGGTGCAGGGCCAGCTTTATTTTGGAAGCTAGATGGCGGCAAACGTGAATTGTATGTCAAGATGCAACTATTAATCAAATTTTAGCTATTAAGTTATTTAGTTCTTTCACCCGCCTTTTGTTCAATTTTGGTTGTGGTCAATTCAGATTGAAATGACCTTGTAACCTTGTGTAGTTTAAGCAAGCGCGCTTCTGAGCCACAACCAACTGTTTCAAAAGTTGTATTATGGCCATATCTAATCATCTTTAACAAAGGGCAATCCTGTCTAATCACATATATCATAGAACCCGACGTTTGCGATTTTCTCGGAGTGAGAGTGAGGTGGTATAGGGTAGCGCAACTCAGAACCAACAACATAGACCAGCATTTGAGTGCACAGCATACAACATCGGACCGATTATTAGCTATGGCTCAAAAAGGAAGACCGCCAGGCTACAAAAATCAATATTATTTAGGAGAGAATTTAGTTGATTTATTGGATTTGTGTTCGACCCTGCTTGACAATAGGTGGGGCAACTTCCACTAGACCATCTGAGCCGCGACTCTCTATGAGGCTGAAGTGTACCTAATCTCACGGGCCGAAGAGAAGAGCCAATGTGAGCGTAGCTGGTCAGCGAGTCACGGAAGGGTACACCGTGATTGACTATGGCTGGGGCGCTGCTGAGCTACAACGGTCCGAACAAGCTCTTCAGCTTGGGTGTGGAGTTTTCCTAAGCCTTGAAAGCAAAAGAAACGCTGCCGAGTTTACCTTGCTAATATAGTCTCGGTGGTAAGAGCTAATATCCATTTGTATTTCTGTATGGCAAAGTCATCGCAGCTTGTTCTATCTTAGCATTGCGAGTTCCGTTCATGGGCCACCTTGCGAGTAAGTGGGACAAACGAATCTGGAAGAAACCGCGATATTGCCTAGGAGAAATCGACGTGGTCTATGAATGGTTTCACCAAGCGAATGCAACCACCCAGCATTGTCCGAGCTCGAATACGGTGACGGCATAAAAAGACAAAGAGCGCAAAGTCGTAATATGCGGGATGCTAAATATGGATACAGACGTGCCTCACGTCGTACCTCGTCGTCAATGCAACTAGCTCAGCTCGGGGAATTAGATTTGGCACCGTCAAGCCGTCACAGTGGGTTCCTCTCGACCGTTCAACCCCAACGTTCGCCACCGTACCTGTTCTTCCGAGATGCTGCCAAGTGGGTGTCTACCTGCTGGAAACCCAATAACCTGGCCTGACAGTACCACCACCGTGCCAGTGGGTGGAGAAAAGATCTCTATCCACTTCCCGTAGCTGAAGTCGGTGTCCGGGCTGAATTCATTTCAGCTGGTCTGAAAATGGAAACAATATTTGTCATCTATTGGCCTCTGAAGAAACACGCTTGGATTGATCATCGCCCGGCATTGATGAAAGCCCTCGTATTACGAAATAAAGAACGATTGTGCGCACGATCAACTTTATGCAAGGGAGATCGTTTCTTACGGTGAACTGACGTTCATTTCTCTATCGAGCCCGACCGACTTTGGCGCTAGATGCGAACAAAATGAAAAAGCCAAGACATTCGACGTTCATTTGGGATGCAGATGCAGACAGCTGAGACCGACGTACAGTAGTGCAAGTGGGTATGATGAGAACACGAGGAGTGAGCGGAATCTGAAACGGGCAGCATTCAGGCCGGCCCCTCCAAACGAGGATCAGGCGGGACTGATTATGCTAACCCGTAGCGTCATTTCTGCTCTGCTTTGGGCGACGAGAAAAAAAAAAATCAAAAAAACATCTGGCGCGATGGCGTAAAGTTGACGCCAAATTGGGCCAGCTGAGTCCGGTCGCTTTTTGATGGGCCACGTCTGACCGAGCCACGTAGTCGAGGCAGCTTTGTGGGCGTGTGTTATTGGAGGGGAATACGTGAGACGGTCTTACAAACAACTCAGCTGCTTGGAGCACCTCCGACTCCCTACCTACTTCGCTTGAAGCCAACAAAGGCGGGTGAGACAAGGACCAGGGGTGGATCTGCCACCCCCTTGCTGAACATCGCCAAGAGTTCTATCCTTGTCACGGCTGAAGATCGGGATCGGGTAATATCATGATGATGTGAATCGCTATGTTTTCTGTGTGTTCTTTGTCTGGAGGGGCCGAAGAAGACGCCGCTGCTGAACTAGCGTCGACGCTGTTCTTTGATCCTGGTCGAGATTGTCGGCTCTTAGCTGGTGCTAACAGTCGATCCGTGATGATGCTAACCTTCTAGAGCTTGAGGCAATGCATCATTGTTGCCGGCCGGTACTTGAGGCTTGGCCCAGACCGAAAAGCTGAATTCCCACATTGACGGGAAGGGAATACGACGTGGCAGCGTAATCGAAAAGCTTTGATGCTACCTGAAACCCTCTATTACTGAAACGTACTTCTTGCAGCCATCGCCTCCGCTCCCCTCCACATTGACCTTCTATCTCAGCTCTTCTTGACGACCTCACTTGGTGCTGTGGTCAATAGATTATTGCTTCGAGAACGTCGCACAGTGTTCTTCATAAACAACATTACAAACGGCTACCATAAATTGTATGGTAATGTCTTTCTCCGACATGGACGCGATGCGGCCGTCCACTCCCCAAGACAGGATTGTCTTGCTAGGTGCCCGCGGTGTGGGCAAGAACTCGCTTCGGCACCAGGTTGTTTCATTCCTATGTCTTTGACAAATTCAGGCCTGGACAGCGGAACACTAACATCACGCATAGTACTCGGATGGCGTGTTCGGTCATATCAAGAAAGAGTTTCGGCATGTACCGTGCCGCAAGATTGTGACGGCGGCAGGCCAAACTGGTCTGGTGGAGGTGGAATCGATCCGTTACTTAAACGAAAATGGCCGACATGAGATCCTCAACAACCTCAAATACACCGACACGTTTCTGATTGTATACAGCGTCACCTCCAGAACCTCGTTTGAGGCTGCCGTGGAATGTTATGGCTGGATCCACTGGCTCTTCTGGAGCAGCCGCCCTGGCAGTCCGGATCAATCCCAGGTGCCAGTTATGCTTGTTGGGAATAAGAATGATCTGGAGGGCTGGCGAGAGGTGTCAATAGGTGAAGGAAGGAAAATGGCTCGAGAGCTTGGAATTGGGTTCTGTGAGGTAACGGCGAGGGATCCATCCGGTGTCAAAAAGTTATTCCATCAGGCCATCCAAACGTCCCGGCAACAAAAAGATGGTTTCCCTGAACGCCAAACAGCGGATGTCTCGCCAGTTGCATCTACCTCGTCAATAACCCCTCCGACAAGCCATAAAAAGGCATCACTTCGAAGCTCGCGATCCCGGCTGAGCAGGCTCACGACATGGCGCAGATCCATAAGCTCATCTAGAAAGGCGTATGTTCCTGGGTGGGATCCCAAGACCGACTACGGCAAGAATGAGTTGCAGGAGGGTTTAGTAGCAGCAGCCAAGGCGAACGACCCTCATACATTTAGATCATATGCTCAAGCAGGCGCGCAGCTGGACGGTCGTGCTATGGGCGAGAAAGGAAGTGTGGTGCATATTGCTGCCGCCGCTGGCCATCTTCAAGTCCTGGAAGTCATCATCCAACGAGAAGCAGGAATCAATCTCCCCGACCTTGATGGAATCCCTCCGCTGCAGCTGGCTGCCGTGAATGGGCACCACCAATGCGTGAATTTGCTTTTGCAAAACGGCGGAGACATCGATCAGACGAGTCCGCGATATGGAACAGCTCTGAGCGCTGCGGCATCACGGGGCCACGTGGATATTGTGCGTCTCTTGCTTTTCATGGGGGCCGAAGTCGAGGTTGAAGCGTCTCCATTCGGTAACATGATGCAGCGGCTGTCCCGTACTTTCGATGCCAGCATCGTTCAATTCTTGCACGAGCCGGATGATGATGCCACTACAAGCTCTAGCCTTGGCGAAGTGCCGTCTCATGAAGCATTATCCCGAGATGTCTCCGGTGTCACGACTCCAACTGGGTCATTGGATATGCAACTTACCAAGATTGAAGAGGTCGAAGACATGGTAGAGGGAGATTCAATCAGTCGTGAACATATACCGGCAAAAGATGCGGTAATTCGATACTCCCAGGAATCAGATTCGTTCGAAATTGACTTCGCAAACCACGATTGGGTCGCGAGCAAAGTATCTGATTATGCTAATGACTTGCACACCGCAAGGAGTTCGCCCATTCATATTTGTTGAAGGGTGAGAATGCCCTTGTTTTTTTGACAATGTTTGGTCGCATGGAGAATCATGGGTGGATTTATGAGGCGTTTCTGCGTCTGGCGCAAAAAAGGATTGCTAAAAACAGCATGGATGGGTCATGTTTGGGTTGATTTTGAAGTTTGTTTTACCATGTTTTAATCGTTTGCTGGGTTCATAAGCAACAGGTGCCAGGGATTGATTTCAGGCGGAGCTGGTTTCTCCGTGACATTTATCAATGATGGATAGGATAACTATCGTAATGACATATATCATATCTTTTGGTCTCATATAACACTTAGAATTTGTATCTTTGAATCGTTCAATCCTGAAATATTCCTTTACCTGGAAGAGTGCCGCGGTTATGTTGAGCCTAGTCCTTTCTGAGTCTCACCCTCGAGTTGCATGTGGCTGATACCCCAACTCATCACTCTAGTAATTTTCCTTTCAATCAAAAGAGTCGTTTTTTATCCAGTTCGGACAATGTGCATGCATCATATAAAGTTGATTTTGGAGATGTTGGAGGTGGATCGGCTTGAAAGTAAGCAATGTCTTACTTCTCGGCTAAGATCATGAAGGGGTAAAACTAAATCGATTAGAACGAAACGCCACATTCGTTGACAACATTCCAGAAGTTGGCTGTACAAACTTGAACTTGACAGGGTGTCCTTCAGACATATAGTCATGGCCTCTTTCTGCCCACGTCCATTCATCATGCACTCAAAAACATCATATGCAGCACAAGCCCGCAAAATGAAACTTCTTAGCAGTATCGTTTCCTTCGCTATACTGAGAGCTGGACTGGCTCAGGGGGCTTCGATTTCGGACGCCTCTGACATCGTACGAAGCATTAACGCGCTGGAGTGTCGCTCAAACGTTACTGTGTGCGTTGAATATGTCGGTCTCCCGCATAACCTAATATTCATGGATGGCTCTAACAAATAAATTCACAGTGCAAAAAGGTCTTATTTCTTAGACATATCAAATCCTCATATTATTTCTGACTTGTTTGCAGAATATGAAAAAGTCTTGTCTCGATGGATCATTCATCATGGCCAACGGGGGAAATCGTAGAGGACCGGGAGGATCGTGAGTAGTTGACCCTGTTCAGGCCGAATGACATGTCGAAACTAAGAATTTTGAAGGTGTAAATGTGTTTATCCATCGAAATGTCCGCAGATTTGATATCACCAGCTTTGAATGGAAGTTATAAACATGCTGAAAAAGGTTTACACCTGGATAGCAATTTCTGGTGGCGAAAGTGGACAACTCGGTGCACCCATTGTGGAGATGTAATTTTGGTGCTTGGTGTATGTTTGCCGACGGAGATTGGACGAGAACAAGGGCTTTTAGCCTGATGTCATAGGAAAGGAACGGAACATTAGGTGACTTATACAACAGCTCAATTTTGAAATGGTAGCTACTACTCATGCCGATGGAATTCGTCAGTCGGTAGTTCTACTTGCCGTTGACCGCCATCCAAATTCGGTCTCTGGTATTCTTTCATTTTGTTCACCGGGAAGCTTGTTAGGTCCAGCCTGGCCGCCGACCGCGTGGGAGGGCTTGGGATCTAATCCGGAATCGCTCTTCTAGGCTTGCTGTCTAGCTCTGAAACGACGGAACTCGTCTGTTGCCGCCTCCGGAGACCTGGTGAACTGTCGTTGAATGCCTTCCATGTCCAAACCACCATATTAAGCCGCCTGCTATAGCAATACCAAGCACACCACCTACAATTGGCCCCGCAATCCAGGCAAGGTTCTGAGAAGGTGGTGCCGGTTTGGGTGGGTTTGTACTGGTGGCTATTTCTGTACTTGGCTTCGTCGGGAGTGCTGCTTGGGTCTTGGTAAAGGGATCGATGGGATTACTGCACACTGAAGATGCTAAAAGGGCCACCGCATAATAAATTTGGGTCTGAAACCATGTGTTTTTGATCATCATGAAAATACAATTGCGGGGAGCGTGATAGAGTCCGTGAAGTGGTGAAGGGCTGGGGTTGCAGATCGGTGCTACCCTTTATTATAAACTCTAACGCTCCAATCTTAGCTAGGCGATGGATTTATCTGAAAAAGGAATGGTGATTAACTAGCCTGGGTGTTACAACTTGTCGCACATATTCGCCGGCACCGAGAAGCCGAGTCACCAGGTCTAGAAAGATTAATCTCAAACTCTGTCAAGTCTTGGGAAACCTAGATGCCGGTTGGTGGCATCGTCTTGCCCTTATTAACGTCCATTTGCGAGGCGCCGTTTAAGTTCACACAATTTCTCTTGATGACTATATCACCGATTACAACTACACTTGAGGCTGATATTCAAATGGACCATTATGCTGCATTCTCGTGACACAGATAAAGCGGATCCTCTTTCTTAGTTTTTAGTGTTTGGAGACTGTGGCATAGATTCAGACTGATCTAGGTACAGATTTATCTAATTAGAAACCACTCAGGACGCCTCAAGGCCATCGTTATTTAGATAGCTAACTTCTCAGCCTTTGGCGTGGGTACACCGTACGCCCGGGAGCGGTTGTAGGAGTTGCAAGAGGAGCAAAACATCAAGATATAAGATGATTCACTCAGACTCTTTCAACTGGAATAATCTTCAACAGCGAACTCTGGTAGGCTCATGTAATACCTCTTCATGTCAAGGTGTGACTAAACACGCGCGATGTCAGGATCATGAGATGTGAGGACGTACCTGCTGTCCCAAGATTCCGGGCACCCGATGGCAAGCCGTTCTAAGCTCAAGTCGCCTCCATCGCCTTGTTCAAGCAGTACCTAGGCATGTCTACCATTGTCCAGAGTGATCTTTACTCAAACTGACAGTCTTGATTGGGCCAAAATGATTTTAATATAGCTACGCTTCGAGTTCACGACTGACCAAGTCCCCGTAGCACACGAAACTTGAGGTGGCTTATACAGCTTAAAGAAAGCCTCACTTAATATATATATATATATATCTCATGGCAGCCTCGCCTTAGATTGCAGATTTTCCTCGTCACTACAAAGACAATTTTGCGAGGTGCTCTTATTCTTAGGTAGCACTAAATATGGCTCTTATCCCTCTCTCGCTGCCTTGAGCTCATCAATCTCGCTTTGGCCAAGAAGCCCAAGGGCTTCCCGACGAGTTGGTGCGGACGGGTCAAAGTATGGCTTCTCAGCCAAAGAGGTGACCCTAGTTCCGTGTCGTGGCTCAGACCCGCTATAGTCCCAGCTAGCATTGTGAATTGTGATACTGCGAAAAATTGATATTAGCGATTTTGGCCATACAGAAGATTAAGGGGAGAGAAGTCCATACCGATTATCCCACAGGACCGAGGTTCGTGGTGTCCATCGCCAGCGTACTTGGATGTCGACATTCTGCTCATACACATCATACAGGTAATTCAAAATGACATCACTCTCTGCCCTGTCAAGTCCTACAATTCTATCCGTCATGGCTCTGTTGACCCAGAGTGCCTTCCATCCTGTAGCTGGATGAACTCGGACAATGGGATGGATTCTCTCAATGTGCTTTGGTCCTGCTTCTGGATTCTCACGGTCCAAGTATGTGTGAGCAGAGCGGTATACGGCTTGCTTGCCATCAATGATCTTGCGGAATTCCGGAGAGAGTTTCTCATAAGCGGCGTAACCACTGGCCCAGAGAGTGTCTCCACCAACAGAGGGAATGGTGTCATTATGGAGGTGGGTGATGCCTGCAGGTTGGCGTTCATGAACCAGGTCAGTGTGCCACCTTGATGCACCACCTGGGTTGCGGAAATTGGCTGCTCTCTCGGTGGCCTGGAGATCCGGCCAAATGACCGTAGCGCCGAGCACACCTGGGACCTGGGGGACTTGAGGCTATACGGATTGTATTAGTTAGTGCGTGTGCAAATGAAAAGAGAAGAGGTCTAGCTGCTTGCTACGTACGTGTACTTCCACTTCTCCATACCAATCACCAAGCTCCTTCTGCTGCTGCGGTGTAAGGTCTTGGTCTCTGAAAAAGACAACGCTCCTCTCGGCGATGAGCAAAGCTAGTTCATCCCGCTGCTGGTTGGTCAAGTCTTTAAGCTGGAGACCTTCAATCTCTGTACCAATATACGCTGTGAGATCGGTTACTTTGGTGGCGGCCTCCAGCAGACTCTTCTTCGACTTATCGGCGCGAGCACCAGCATCAACATGGTCGCGCGGGATGTCGCGAATCTTGAAGGCATCTTGGAGGTAGATAGGGCGCGAGGGACGGTAAGGATATCCCTGAGACAAGTCTACGCCTGCCTTTTCGAGCCTCTTTCGTGCAGGCTCGGGGATGTTGAGAGTATCCTTCTTAGGGACTGCCACATCCTTGATGCTATCGTCAATAGGTGCTGGGGCCATTGTGTATTTTAAGAAGATCTTCTGAGTCTAGTTCATCGATGGGTTCCCAAGATATATTCGATACTTGAGAAGGGAATTGATTATTATATAGTGGCATTCGGGGCTTCCCCCGCACGAGACAATATCATGCCGTTGGCCCATCTCTCATTGCCATGACAGCCCATAGATGACAAATCCAACGGCTAAAATAGATTGTATGCGTGCGGAAACTTTCGTGATAGGCAATATTCTGGCATCATAAATAGTCTTGCGAGGTCGCTCCACGTTATCGTACCAATCGGCGTGAGGATGATGACGATCTAAATGGGGTCAAGGTTGCTACCGGATGTCGCCATACCCTTCGACGATGAGGTGTAGCAAATCGACACGCGGCGATTGGTCAATATACCTGCATTAAGGGTCAGCTGCTGTAAGGCGTCATCTATCTCTCCGCATCGAATTCGTGGAGAGTAATAGCAAAGGGCTCCGTGGACTGGTGCCGGACTCCGGCTTCGCAAGCCAGCTATTTTCATTATAGAAACATGCTAGTAGATACCTTATTGTCTGTATGGTTTCAAAAGCAGAACTTTTGACTAAAGAAATACAGTAATATAAAGGTCTTGACGCCACGAAACATGCAGACCATATTATCGGTTGGCAAAGCTCGAGGTGCAACGTATAACCTATCGACTAAATCATTACTATTCTTACCGTGATAGCCTCTGCGAGGATTTCACCTCAAACTGTGAGATACCTTGATCATTAACACCTCATTCTTGTTAATGATGAAACACAAGCTTAGCTTGTCCCAATTCTTGTCGCGATCATTGGTTGAGATAACTTATTCTGTGGAAAATTCTATTTGGAATTTATTTCTAGATCTTTACTCCTTGTACGGCCCAAGGCTGTGCGTTCTCCCTGTCCTTCTTATCTGTCCAAGCTACTTGATGCTCGTTCCAACGTTCATGCGGGTGCTTGTCGAAGGCGTGGTTGTAGTAGTCGCCTACGGGGACATACTTGTTGCATAGAGGGCAGGAGCGATGCCCAGTTTCCTGCATGTGTTTGTTCCTGGAGACTTCATCAGGTAAGGAGACATCGCACATCTCGCAGCGATTTGGTGCATGGTAGCCGTTTGTGGCATAAGCATTGCGTTGGAGGGTTGGCTCCGTCTCTGGCATTATGCAGGATATGTTCCCAAAGAGACGGCCAAATGGATATGGAATGAAATGCGTTCCTGATCAAGGAATCTTGGAGAATGAAATAGTGCTCAGGAAACTTAGGTTCTTGCGTGACGTTGAGGTATCCTGGAAAAGCATCCAACTTATGTCACCTAAGTCTGTTGCAACGTCGCCTTATACCAGCGCTTACTGTGGCTTAGACATCACTGCCACCTTACAAGTGCAGCTTCTAATAAGCTAATGCATCCATCATTACTTGTGATACGACATGCTACTTTAGGATAGCCGAGCCAATTTATGAACGACGCTAGATCAAGCTCCTTGAGGAGGACGTGAATGCACTGCATGACATCAATGCAATCAATCTTTGCTCAGGCGAGCTGATTACCAACATATTGGTCAACGACTATTAGTAAATACAGACGTAAGGTAGCGTCTCTATTTACAGAAAATGTTCTGTAGATTTATGAATAATTGTTCTACAGGGTTTATAATCTATACGCTCCAAGGCCTTGTTAGTATCTCTGCTAAATATTTAAGATTAGTATTGAGTATTCCTCTGTTCATGCACGGGTTCATGCTCAATGCTCAATCGATCATACATTCTCCCTCTGGGTTATCAAAGCTTGAAATTTCCTGAAGCGTTCTCCCCGAGGACACTCCAGTGCTTAATCGGTACGATGGTCTCAAATTGGCTTCTGAAATATGTATCAAGGCTATGTCTCCGTTGCGCCAAAAGGTCCAGGCAGAGGGGCCAGTCGTAGTGACGAGGAAAACTCCGAATGTTATAGTTGCGTATAATACTATCGTACCCGTTCCCCCAACAAGCTGTATTAAATTATGATCACATTTACTAATACGTAACAAATAACAACAAGATAGAAACAAACGCATAAAAACAAGGCGTCAGTCAGTAAGATGGTGGATATTTCCAGACAGTATGAGTCTCGATTATGCTTCTTGCTCAAGATTTGTACTTCAAAGTTCAAAGGATCTTAATAATGCATGTTCCATCCTCCCTACCAGCCTCCACAAATTTATCAATAGCAGGGACTCTTGATTCCAGTACCGCCTTTTGTACTTTGGAATCGTCGGTTTCGAAATGCCCAACCCGAAAAAACTGTCCGTTTACACCTTGTGCGCGAATCAACAGAATCCCCTGCATCTTATCCATCTCCGTAAGTGTATCCGGTGCGTTGAGAATAGGAAGCATAAATATCTCACTCTCCTGGGCATGAATAGCTCCTTGACACGTCATGAGTGTGAATTGGCGATGGGGTTGGCCCAAGGCATAGCTATGGCTAGATGGGTCCCACGATATGGTGAGACCCCATAGTCTCGAGTTTACATCAAATGATCCGAGTGCTTCAATCGTGGTCACTCTTAGAGGTCCCCGGATCCTGATAAAATCATCGCCGATGCTCCTCACCACGCCGCAGGCTGAACGAAGCACCGTAACTTCTACCAGATTGCAATGGTGTTGTATTGGTTCGGATGATTCTGAACTGAATGAGTCATACTCAACAGTTCCATCGACTGACGCCCATGACCAGCTTGGAGCTCTGTATTCCGAAGGTTGCGAATTGGAGTTAAGAGTGTCCGTCCGAAAGGCCCTTTTCCAGAGCAGATCTTCGAGAATGGAGCCTCGCCAGCAGCCAGCAATATTCTCGTCTTTTAGCCAAGGAGCCAAAGCAGAGGCAATACCGCCAATGGCAATGAGCTTGTCCTTTTGTTTCGTCAGGGCGCACTTGGTGTAATCAGCTACGTACCGTCTCCATTGATTATATTCCTTTTTCACCTCGCTCTCGGGACCAGACCTTTTCATCAGCTTCCTAGCCATGCTACCAGGCCGAGACGGCTCTATGGATGTTGGTGCAGGCTTCTGGCAGATGTTCGGAATCTTATCTGCTGACCAGATGGTTCGAGGCCCTATGGATGCTATCCATTGATCATTCTGTAGAAACCCCTCTGGAAACGCTTCATTTGAAGTCAACTGCATACACTCCCAGTATATCTGTTGTTTGGAAAAATGCAAAATTCTGGTCGAGAGGGTTCGTTCTTGGAATACCCAGCCGCGAGTGTTGAGCGGCGCGTTACGCACATCGATATCAAAGGCCTGGGCGAGAGCGAGATAATACCAACCGCAGTATGGTCGCTTTGGCCCGCCGTACCAGTTTCCTTGCCAATCCACATGGACCTGGAAAGGTCCTGTCGCCAAGGAATCCCGGTCGTTAAACAAGCCCTCTCTCCCGTCGATGGCAGCCGTTGCTGCTATGTTGAGTGTAGCATTTAAATACACATCCGACATAGTTGCTGCCTCACGATCCCAATCATCAGGAGAGTCTTGGAGAATACAAAGGGAATCAATCCATATGTAGTCAATGCCTAGACGACTGACAAGAGAGATAGCGTCTTGGAATGTCTTAGTCAAATCGAAACTTGATATCCCCTTTTGGACCTTATCGATGGTATCCTTGGTCAAGCAAAAGAATTTATTGGTCCCCCATCTATGGCTTAATGATGCATATTGTTTCGTAGTGGGGATATCTGCACCTTGGCAAAGCCGAACGCCTTTCCCCTTTGCATCAACTTCTAACAGCCTTGTGGGCTTCCAACCTGAAGTGGCAAGAGTGTTATTGCATAGAGAATGCCCGTGTTGGCAGCTGTGAAGCCATGCATTTATCTGTGATACGCAGGCATCGGAGCCCGTGCATTTAGAGGAGATGCTTTGAGAAGGCAGAACGTTCACTATGAATTGGGTATTAGTAAATAATCGTTCAAATGATAGAATCAGTACTTGTGATACCGTCTATTGTAGAATACAGCTGGAATACGATGTTCTTATGACCATCGCATTTGAACCATATTTCTTGCTCGAATTCCCAATCATCCCATACGAGATAGGTCATCGAGATATCTTTGCTCCTGTCTCTGACCCCGGGTTGAGCCTGCACGCCGCGAACCAGACATTTGCAAATGAAACATCCAGCATCTGCCGCTGCAGTTAGATTGTCAAGGGTTTTATGGTGTGGTCTTTCGCATTCTTTTTTGTTTGTTTCCGTCTGTACATGGACTGCAACCGGCCCAGTGAAAATATTTCGGCACAATTGGCAAAGACCTTTGTTTTTCTCACTGGAATTGGTAGCCATCGCCATCCTGGTCCTGTATCTGACTCAATATTGAGTTGGAGATATCGGAGAAAGGGAGAGCTCGTGATACCACGCCCAGTGATGTTGAGCGAATATGTCCGTTGCGCGAGGAATGACATACTAACAGTATGAGGGGAAATCTTAAAAGCTGGGAGAGGGGGTGAGAACTAATTATCTAAGCCACAATTGACAGAGGCGCGTATTTAATATTCCGTGTGTTTCAATTGCAGAGCCAACACAAGCGAGATGGCTTAGAAATTACTTGCTCATTATTGGGTACGCGGACCAACAAGCACACCCTTCGCCCAAGGAGTGCCGATGTACTTCTATCTCTAGTCGGCTCTATTAAATCCCATAATCTATCGCCAGGATCGTCACCTCTTTTGATTTCTTATGAAGACTGTTGAGGGCCAACATCCATAATAGCAGTGCTCGAGTTAGTTACCTATCACGCGACCTTTGTATCGGCTGTGATCGCTACCTTAAAGCTTAAGCTAAGTATAGAGGCGGAAGGACGATGACGATGATTAAGATAAACAAGGTCTTCTCGGATGAACAGGTCTTGGGGAAATGGATAATCCAGTTTCCTGTCTTCTCAAGAGTCACGGCAAGCGATGTATATGAGTCTCAGTGAATGTTGGTATAGGAAGATTCTACGGAGTTCCAAAATTAGGCAACCGGGTTTCTATAGAGCCTTAGGCCAGTGTCAGGATATTCGAATGTTGGAAAAAATTCTCCTTAGGCATCTACTCTTTGATCCACCAGTGCTTGCTTAAATGTGCAGTGCCTGCTCTTTGTTGAACGACGATCATGCCTAGATCTAGGCTAGACACTACTCATATAACTGTACAAACATGGGACTCGTCGTGATAAGACACATCGTAATAATAGGTGCTAATTACACATCTACCTCGGTGGTAGCTTCCCTTTGACCTAGCTTACATGGGTTCATCCCTGAGGTTTCCTTCTTGAGTAAAGGGCTTGGAGTTGTTGACTTGCGTTTCATAACAGCGGTATTAATCGTATTGCGAGCTGGTAAGCCAGCATTGCGCAATCCAACCTGCAAAGCCCATAGAGCACGACATTTCAGTTCCACACTGACACCAGTGATAGCGGAGACAATCGGGTTTAACAGGCAGATATAAGTAGACTTGATATGTGTGGCAGGTTGAATTTTGGATCATTTAGTTCGTAATGACATTGTGATATTTCCACTGCTTCTTTCCACAATGGCATCCTCCGATGAAGCGCTAGTTCCTCTATCCCAAGGCGTTGGCTATGGAGTTGTTGTGGGAGTCGGGCTTGCCTTCGGCCTTGGCATGATTCTTGTTACACAGTTTCTGAAGAGGTTTTTAGGAGAAAGGTCTGATCGGTCTGAAATGTTCATGGTTGCGAACCGATCTGTTGGAACTGGCTTAACGGCATCTGCAGTGGTATCTTCGTGGATGTGGGCGTGAGTTGCATCTACAGATGTGTTTCTTCAACTATTGGCTAACCATCCTGACGACAGTACAGCTATTATCTGGACGGCTGCACAAGGTTATTTGTATGGAATTGCTGGTATGTCTCTCAGTCTCGACAATTTATGGCTTTCCAGCAACTGACATCAAATCTAACTAGCTCCATTCTGGTACGCTGCGGGATGCACCATCCAGATCGCCCTGATGACCGTTCTAGCTATCCATGCCAAAGTCAAGATCCCGTGAGTGGCTTCGGTGGCAATTAAGTCATCCAATACTAAATCCAAGCAGAAATGGGCATACGGCACTGGAGATTGTTCGCCTCCGATACGGCTTTGAGGCACATATTGTCTACATTTTCCTCTGCCTTGTCACCAATCTTTTATCAGTTACTGCCATGATACTGGGCGCAGCAGGAGTCATCACAGCTCTGACAGGACTACACATCATCGCGTCGACCTTCCTTTTACCGATCGGTGTCATCGTATACACTGTTGTTGGCGGGCTAAAAGCAACGTTTCTCACCGACTACGTTCACACTCTGGTCATCATGATTCTTCTTTGTTGGATAACCATTGCTGTTATAAATAACGATGCAATCGCGGGTGTTGGAAGTTTCTACGATGCCCTCGTGGAGGCTGATAAGACTACGAACATTGCTGGGAACTATCTCGGATCAATTTTGACTTTTAAGTCCAAGGGCTCTATAATCTTTGGCCTAGTCCACTCGTTTGGTGACTTTGCCCTGGTCATTATGGACACGAGCTTTTGGCAAAAGGGTTTTGCCGCCGATACTGTGGCTGCAATGCCGGGATATATGCTAGGTGGAATTGCTTACTTTGCCGTGCCTTGGGCAGTCGGAACAACGGCTGGTTTGGCCGCAATTGTGCTTGAGAAGAGTCCTCTCTTCCCAACATACCCGCGTGCAATTACTATTGACGAAATCAACGCGGGTTATGTCCTGCCATATACTGTCATGTCTGTGGCTGGAAAGGGTGGTGCTTTCGGGCTGTTGCTGGTAGTTTTCATGGCAGTTACCAGCACCACAAGTGCGCAGCTGATTGCCGTCTCCAGCATTGGCTCGTTTGATATCTACCGTACCTATATCAACCCAAAAGCCACCGACAAACAAGTGATTCGAGTCTCGCACTGGGTTGTTGTGGGCTTTGGAATCTTTGCTTCTGCTTTTGCGACGGCACTTCACTATGGAGGTGTCGACCTTAACTGGATGGGTTACTTTCTGGCGACTATCATCTGCCCTGGCGTGATTCCAATGGCGTTGACCATTCTTTGGAATAAACAGTCTAAAGCTGCTGCTATTGTATCACCCATTTTGGGACTTGTATGTTCATATCTACTCCGAATCTCGACCAGATGCTGACATGATGCACAGGCTTCAGGTATCGCCGCATGGCTTGGCTCAGCGTATGCATACTACGGCGAGCTGACAATCTTAACGACCGAAGCTCAGCTGCCTTGTTTATGGGGAGCAATAACTTCAACCTTTTCATCGGGAATTTATTCTCTCTTGATCACGTTCATCAAGGTACGCCCGGTGTTACCTCTTCCCATTTCCATGACACTTCCTGACCCAATCGTCACAGCCCCAAGACTTCGATTGGCGCGTCTTCCTCCTCTTGACTGAGGTCAAAGATGGCGCACCTACATCCGCTGTCATCGAGGTGGACAACTTGGATCAAGTGGAGCATCCCTATCCGGAGAAGGAGTTGCGTAGAATGAACCGCGCGAAGACTATTGCAGCGATTGCCAGTGTAGTCATTGGGTTGGTGACCTGGGTTGTTTGGCCGTTGCCACTCTACCGCGACTGGGTCTTCAAGCCAGTACGAGATTTCCCGCATTCAAATTGTTTGTTTCTTTGCCTAACCTCATCTAGTTTTTCATGGGCTGGGTTGTTGTGTCCATCATATGGCTGTTTTTCTGCCTCTTCGTATCCTCCATTTACCCGGTGTTCGATGGGCGCAAAGTGCTCGGCTTAGCATTCAAATTAGCATGGCGAGCTCTGCGTGGAAAGGGGCTTCCGGAAGAGAAGGTAACAGAAGAGGAGCGCAGCGAAGATGATGGGCAGGTGCTAAGTGATCAAGAAGCCACGAAGCCTGGGAAACCCCAGTAATAGGAAGTGGCTCATATGACAAGCGGTCTTACGGCATTCCGAAACTAGCGACTAAGTAGCGGCCTCGCAACTTACAGTCAACAAAATATTATAGATTATAGATTGAATAGAATGGCTTGGCGTTCTGGTTGGAAAGCCTAAGCCGTCCAAACTTCTGAATGTCCACCCTAGGCACCCCTCCCAAATGCAGCAATAATCGCGAAAATGCATCATTATCAATTTTACCGAGCTAAGACCAATAGAGAAACAACGTAGTTGTGAGGTTCATCCCTTCAAAAGGCCGTCGGATACACCCTAAGAATACGTAGCTGTAGTCCTAATCCTAACACTGCGGGAATGTCACGGTCGCCAAAGCATAGACCAAATAGTAATACCTTCGCCGTCATCTTTAGGCAATCCATCATCTCCAACTACTCCCTTTCCCAAATTTATGTCTCCAACCACTTCAAATCCAAGTTTTAGATATAGCTCTCTAGAAGCATCCGTTGTAGCCTCCAGCCAGATAGGATGCTTGCCTTCTCGTGCCCGATCTTGTAGGTGCGCAAGCAGCTTGCTTGCATGGCCTTTTCGGCGACGATCTACATCTGTAGCCATGATGAAAATATACCAGTGTTCCTTTTGCTCAGCTCTAGTAAATGCCTTTTTCATCAAAGGCTCAACACCTCCACTGTACTCGACCATAGCGCGCTGTTGAGCAAGGTTTAAGAATTAGGGACACGATATTCACACGTAGACACAGTAACGGGCTCCAAAATACCTTGAAGCATCCTATGCCTATTTCCCATAAGGCCGTAAAAATACCGGCAGATGGAAGTGTCCAGAGATTTTCCATGCTCGTATTTGGCGGCATGTAAAGGCCGCATGAGCCGAAATCCTCGACTTGGATAAACACACCACCGTTGAGACTTCCCTGTGTCAAAAATCCGCAGAGCAACTTTTGGAGCATTACTTTCCGTTTCGCATCAGGGAGATCGTACAGGAGCCAATTGTAGACCGGGTCATCCTCAAATGCTGGAGCCAATATCTGCACGGTCCTCTCCAAAAGTTCTGCGATGACGGAAACCTGTTATCAGTATTCGATCGGGCTCTGTCAAAGTAGGGAGGGAAAGTAGTATGAAATGTCTACCTTTTCCGCCACTCCCTATCTGTTTTTCACCACCCGGTTCAACCGCCATACTCTCTCAATGAGTGTAATCGCGCCAAGTCTCGCGGAAATTGAGACCACTTGGCGCAGCTGGTAACGCTAGGTTGACTTGTCCAACCTCATGTGCGAAGTTTCGAGCGGCATGTACGTACTGAAAATGGGATCCCGTAAATCAACCAGTGCCTATTACAAGTAGTCAGTTTGGCGATAGGTACGAGGAGTCATGAGTGGGAGAAAGGGGGTTGTTGCGATGTGCAACCTTCTATAAACAATTTCCCACTTCAAGGTCAGTGATGAATCACCTGATTGGCAAATACATTCAACAAAAGGAAATTGGCCCATTAGTGGTAACTTGAGATTATTAACCTAATAAGGAAGAGTCTGTAAGCTTACTCTCATCAAGCAGCAAGGTTTGTTAGACACCGTCCACTAGCCGTAGTTTCCCCTGTTCCGGAACCCCCGGCCGCCTCCTGGTGACGGGTGCAGCTGAGTCTCTAAACCGCTCGGTACTTCAGAAAGAGGATATGAAAACAACTAAGTAATTCTTTCTAGGACAATGGTATTGTTATCCGCAGCAATGGTGTTAGAGTGACGTGATTCAGAGCCGAAAGGTAGTGCGGGGATTCTGCCGCCGAGGATGCACTTCATGCAACCCACGGAACCACATCAGCCTCGTAGTTTTCCTTTAGATGCCCACCTTGCCTCTCTTTTGCAAACCGAAATTGCAGGATTAAAGACAAGATTATCTTGTCCTCTGTTTTATTAGCAGATGCTTTCGACCTTCACGGCACCTAACAGAATCAGCTTCTCGTCGCTATGTTATAATACCCGAATCGCTCTTACAACATCCGGCACCGAGAGTTGTGTTCATGATGCTAACTAATTAAAGATATATCTCAAAGCTTAAAAGGATTGTGAATCCACGAGACTGTAACGCAACCATTCCTCAGCTACTAAGCCACGATTTCTTGGCAAAATTTCCCAAGCCGGTCATCTACGGCACTTTCACAGTCACGTCAACCAAAAGGATAGAGATTGGCACCACAAGGGTAGTCAAGATCCCGGGCAGGAGTGACTCGACGTGTATCGATATCAACTTGCCATCATGGCATACGTTGCTGGGGTGGCTCACTACCATAAGCCCCCTCTCTTCAGATCCGTGTTCAAGACATTTCTTGAGTCGCTGATTAGGAATATGATGCTGCGAGATGTGTGGGGTTATTGGTTTCTTACTAGTCACAGTGGTAAAGTCTTGGATCCAGATCTGACCGAACTGCGCCAGCCCTGGGCGGACCCAGTGGTAAGAGAAAACATTATGGTATGCAATCGACCTATATAAGCTTAACTTAGATACTGACTTCACTCAAGTACTCCGGCCACCTTCTTCAGATGGTATCTTTATATACAATGCTTTTCAATGATGACAAGTTCAATGAAGAAGGCGCCCTTGAGTTTCACTGGTGCCCCGTGTTCTAAGAAATGGGCCCAGAGAGATTTACATATAATAGAGCAAGCCTTCAAGCTGCTTTTGTCAAGGAAATGGAACGAGAGGGATGGTTGGGGGTATGCTGTGAGTCAAACAGCATCTTCATCGTTTGCAATCAATTTCCGGTAATTGGCCCACGAATTTCCAATCAGTTGTTGATGGCTGACAATAATAATACACCGGTACAGTTGATCGCCATACGTTATAACGACGTACGCGATGGAACTACTTCATCAGCCATGGTTCTTGAACAGTATCGAGCTGCATGGGAAGGGAAGGGCATGCTTCAAGAAAACAGTCTCTATATTGACTCGTTTTCCCCCAAGCAGGATCGCAAGCGGCATGCGAGAGATGTCGGATTCACAGCTTGGTAGGAGACCTCGATGAAATTACTCCCAACCCATACAGATGGAAAACAGGGCCGCTGCATTCCTCAATTCTTGAAATCTGGCGAGTGCAAATAGCGCGTATAGCACTGTTATTAGGTCCATACCACTGGACAGTACTTCGTTGGACGATGCATATGAGTTGTTTGCGATCAAAACGTTAAAGCCTTGAGCCACAACTTAACTGCATAAACCAGTGCTTGGATACACTTCAATGATGATTTCCGAGGCAAGTGATTCATCGACCCTAGAAAAGGACCACAGGTATCGGAGTCTGGAGGATTGAAGCATTGGCGCCAGCTATCCACGGTCGAAGACAAGATATTGACACCCCAACGGATCGAAGAAGGGAAAGCGCTCAGTCAAGCTCTTGGCGGATATTGGGTGCATATCGCTGAGGAAGCGGTTGACGGTCCCATATCTGGTGAGTTCAAACTCTTGCGGAGGCGATGTCTCCAAGCGCGCTGGGTTTCTAGGATTGACCGTGAACAGATGAAGATTGTCATCTCTATCAGGACCGGCCTTTTCTTTTATAGGACGAGAAATATACTCTATGGAACCGGCGATAGTTGTGGCAATCGACACAATGACGAGGGCGATTGAGTTTGATATCACTCGCAGCAAATTGCAGAATTCGAACATTACTAGATCGATAACCACTTCATGCATCGTTAGACAGGAAAATATATGCATAGATCCAGCCAGTAATTAAGCACTAAGCATAACCAGAAGCCTGGTAGGTGGAGAACCAATGGCAAAGCGGCAGGAAACGTTCGGCTCGCTCACCTCACGTGTGTCCTGTCATCAACGGGGAGGAAGGATTGTGTCTCAGCCACCCCCACTACAACTTCTGCCTGCAATGTGACAGATGGTCTTATGATGAGCTGACCAACAAGACGATTAGGAACCAACAGTGGCTGGAGGAGGCTACGCTGAGCCCCTCAAATATCAGCCCGGCGGCTAATCTCGACTCCTGCTTAGCTGAAAAACAAGGGGTTCAGCCAGCACGTTCCTTTCCTCATTGATTCAGCAATGAAAATCTCTTACCGGACCTGTCCCCACATTCCGTCGATCTACTGTTTCGCCCATCCTCGAGACCGTGTTGGCTCGCCAAACGCTGGCCTGAGCTTATGTCAGAGGGATCAATGAACAGCAAAGCCAGTACCCTGTCTGCCTGTGACTACCTGGTGTTCATTGCCAGGTATCCCATTCCTGGTTTTCAAGTCTCCAGCAAAGGTCTCAGTGGTTGTGCTGGTCGTGATGTATCCATGCTGCCCACCCACTCACGCTGACTACAGCCCTGTAGTGCGTCTTGACCCCATCTCAAAGGCTGCTACGCTCAATCACAGGCCTCAGCAGGTCCATGTACCTGCCAACGGGTCCTGTGATGGATATCCCCTTTGCTAGCAGCGACATGCAGGATGGCCTTGCATGAAAATGGCGTAACCGCTATCTAAAAATAAGCGGCCATACGGGACGAGTTTGACCTCCCCGGCCCTCGATGGACAGGTAGGAGCCAACAAAGCAACCCAGCAGCCGTTAACCAGAATTGCCGAAGCTCCCAGCGCTTCCCAACGTGTCGATATTGTCCCAATGCCGCCCCACAAGATGACAGCGCCAACTGTGCTTACGATGTTGCTCTCTTGCTATTCTGAAATTGCTCGATCTTGTGGTGTGCTTGAGGAATGGCACCTCCCCGAATGGAGAATCATGCGGCGAGGCAATGCCCACCTCCCGGTTCGCCTTACTGCCTCGCCTGATCCTCTCCACATCGGCTCTTACTGCGCGGGACCGAGTACTTCTGTTGGCTTTCCGGACGAGATTGATTGACCCTGTCCCGTATTAATGCTACTACAAATATTCCGTGGTCGCCCAATCGAGTGTGTTCCCCTCCTCCCGTCTTCCATATCTCATCAGTGTTGCTACTCACCATCGGCTGCACGCCAAGTCTCCCTCGTTCCACCGCCACATCCCATCCACAGTTCGTTCACATAATCACTGCAGAGCTACCCTCTTGGCATCATGGGCGATCAAACTACCGCTCCTGTTCCCGGCCCGCCGCTCCCCGCTGGATGGGCTGCGCAGTGGGATACCAACTACCAGCGATGGTGCGTTCAATTGATGACGCCAACTTGAGGGCGGCGCTGACAGCGCGTTATTTTCACGCAGGTTCTACATTAACACTCACACTGGAGTCTCCCAATGGGAATTCCCTGGGGCCGCTCCCGCTACTGGGGCGCAATCGTCTCACCCACCACACCCACCTGGCGCTGAGGGCGACAAGGCGACACGCGGTGAGGCTGAAAAGTACCAAGGTGAGAAGTCCGATAAGGACAAGGACAAGGATGAGAAGAAGGATAAGGATAAGGATGAGAAGAAGGATAAGGATAAGGATGAGAAGAAGGATAAGGAAGAAAAGTCCGACAAGGATAAGGACGACAAGAAAAAGAAGGACAGGGACGGTGGTTCCGATGATGAAGGTGGAGGTGAGAAGAAGGAGAAGAGTGGCGGTGGTTTTCTCTCGCTGCTGAAGAAGGGTAAAGAGCTGCTGGACAAGAAGAAGGCAAAGGACAAGACCAAGAGCGGCGGCCATGGTGGTGGTGGTGGCCATGGTGGTCACGGTGCACACGCTGCTGGTGTTCACGGCGACGAAGCCCATCACTCTGGCGATAGCGATCGCGAGGAGGAAGGTTCCGAGAAGTCTGGGAGTGACGACGACGACTCATCGTCATCTGAGGATGAGGACGAGGATGAGGACGAAGAAGAGGAAGAGGACGAAGAGGAGCAGGAAGACTATGATGAGGATGATTAAGCGAATTTCATGTGGCTACGACAGTGTGATGTCTCAGTTTGGATGTCTAGAAGAAACAATATTTCATTCAATCAACAAGTCAAAGACCCGACCGATTTCCAACAGAGCTGTTGAATAGACAATTGTCTAAACACAGGAAGAGGGCGGTATTGATGGGGCCACGCAAGGGTTCCATCGATTCATGCAAAGGCACGAGTTTGACATAGCATGCTCTTTTAGAGACGAGTAGGACTCTCGCTCGTACGGACAAGCCCAAGATTCTTAGCCTCCGCTTGCACCGTCGCTGAAATGGTTTCCTCCAGACTTTCTTCCTCAGGTTCCCAGTCGAGATACCTTCGAGCTCTGCTGGCCCCATATCGAACGTTGGTTCCATACAACACATTGCCGTGAGGCAGAAGACTTTCAAACTGATCTGCGTCGAGCTCTTCAACCGACGTGTCAGATAAAAGTTTGGCGCTCGCTGCCGCTGATGCGATCCGTGTAGATATTTCCGCCAATGACTAAGTTCAATGTGTTAGCTGATTAGCACTCACTCCGATTCAAATAGTTTCCAGTCGTAAGCATACCAACTCCCCTACGCCAGTGAAATATAGCCCTCTTGGCCCCCAGAGGTTCTCTTCTTTCCTACCCTCCACTGCCTTCTCAACAAGGCAGACAATGACTTGGCTCAGATCTCGAATATGGATGGAGCTCCAACGGCTCTCGCCAGGCCCAACTTGAAACGCTCGACGACGCTTCAAGGTTTCTCTGGCAAGGTCGGGGAGCTGCACGCTCCTCTGATTTACCGGGCCACGACCGGGCCCATAGATCATGGGAGGGATGACGACAGCAGTGTTAATGTGAGGAGCAGTGGTAGCCACGTCCAGCATATAATTATCGACTTTGCGATAAGGATACTTCTTGATGAAGGTTTTCAAGGCCTCAAGATCCAGAAGATCATCCCAGGTAACATCGCTACCTGTACCAGAGATTCGAGTCTTGTCCGTCACCTCCGCCGCGGCTACAACACTCCCTCCGGATATTTGTATCCAGTAGGGGGGCCTGGGATCTCTAGATTTAGGAGATAGAGCCTTATGGATTGCTTCTACGCTTTGGAGATGTCCTGAAGCGGCTAGATCTGGAAAACTCGTGGTGAGAATTAGGAACTGGTATTGAATATTCGTCATGCTGCTTACTGATGACAATGTCGGCTCCGCTTGTTTCTCGAGAAATGAGACTGGAATCATCCAAATCTCCCTCCACTACTTGGACTTGATTGCTATCGAAGGCCTCCTTGACAGCTTCAATTTTGGCAGCACCTCGTACCAAGGCCTTCACTTGGTATTCGGGGTGCAGTTTGTTGATAAGATAGAGGAAATCGCCACCAATGTAGCCCGAAGCACCGGTTCTAGAGATATTATGGTGAGATTACTTCAACTGGGAAACATCTCGTTTAGAGGGAGTTCGACCAACAAGAAGATCTTGGCCATGGTTTTCAGCTGGCAATGCAAATACTTGCGCAAGTATAGAACGAGACGACAGAAAGATGCAATTTTACGGAGAGTGTCTCCTATGACCGGCAAAGTTCAACACCTCATCCTCTTTTATACCTACAAATGCATTTATCGGTCATTAGTAAAGGATATGGGAGGCGGAGACGGAGGCGGACAAGCCCCACTCCGCGGAATTCCGTGTCGAAGATGGCGATTAGCAACCTGAGTCGCGACATATTGACGTAGAACTTTCAGGAACACTACTATAGATACGGCATTAGGGAAATGAGGCACACCACCTGATTTGTATTCAAGTTGTTGATAACTAAGTTCATATACGTTGGTGCATGGTTCGTCCAAAACGACCTTCTGCCATGCTTCGGAGAGACTTTTCTAGTTGTCTCTTATCCGCCGGGAGTCGTTTCTGATATTCATCGAGTGCCAAAAAAGCTTCAAGAAAACAATCCTTCTCGTATTCGTCTGCGGCTTCAATGCTGAGATAGACTCGGTTTAGCAAATCCATCGCAGAAAGAGGATCTTGGGTGGCCATATATGGGAAGATCATCCATAACTGCACACAGATATTTCGGTACCGGGAAAATGCAATTGCTTCTGGGGAGCCATATATAATCCCGATGTCGTAAATAAATCGCCGGATGACCATATGAAGAAGAAGCATTCCCGCAAACGCCTGTGCGAAGAAGAGTGATCCAAACTCATACTTGCTCAGAGTAAAGAGTTCTGCGTCGGGAATTTCACGCAAAAACCCCAGAGAAGTCGCCTTCTCCGTCACTCCGGCCATCAATACATCCATTTCCCCGTCCAAGGTGTGAAGTGTATCAAGGAGTTCCACCTTCTTGTTCTCCATCTTATCAGGATCTTTGCGGAGGGACTTGGTTGTTTGGACCCAGTCCGGCCATTTAGCTACGACCCCCTCCCCCATATCAAAGTCAGCGGGAAAGCATTCCTGTCCACGAGCTATCTCCTTCTCTCGGGCGGCTTTTTCTGCGATCATTTCCCAATTTTCTTTCAGCATGTAGTTCTCATCACCTGTCAATGACAATGCAAACTAACACCAAATATTAGAGGGTTTTTTTCCCCGGGGCATTTCTGACAAACATGGGAGGATAAACTTACCAGGGCGCCTTGGTTCTCGAAAGTCAACAAAACATCAAGTCCATCATCCAGATTAGGTGGACCTTTATGCTGAAGCACATACTTGATGCCGTTTAAATGCTTAACCAGGTGTTTGACAGGGCCAACGCCGAACAGACTCTCGGTGCGCTCCAGCAGCGCCATTGCACCCAGAGTCTCCGCAGTGAACGCCGTCTTATTGTCCTGAACAGCCTTCCCAAGACTTCGGAGCGCCTTTCCAAAGAGCTTTAGGGAGATCAACTTCTCCGCGGGCGCGCGGCGACGATAGTCCGCCCATGCGGAGCAAAATACAGCCGTGCAGTCTCGTAGACAGGTGCTATGTCCCAGTCGCTGCCGGACATGCGGTAGGTAGCTCATCAACCTGCAGACTCCGTTGTCGAGGCCATCCCTTAGAAGCATATTGAGCTTGATGGCAAGTCTTTCAGCTGAAGTGGAAGGCGGGCTGGCGCGAGGTGCTTGGAGGCGCATAATCGATATGGAGGTTCCATTCTCGAAAGTTGATGATTGGCCGCGCTGGACGAGCTTGGCAAACCCGGTGCGGGTATTTTGTGATTGTAGCTCAGGCGATTCGAGCCGTATCCTCCGTTGAACTGGAGGCGCGGCTCGGTGGACAAACTTGGCGAGGGATGTCGGCCCCTGGCAGGCGAGCCTTGAGCGCAGACATTGTCCACAGGCTGGCCAATTCTTATCACACTGGACTTCAATTAGCTTCTATGCCATTGCTGTTAATGGACTACAGCGGTGTTGCTGAGATCGTCCATCTGATTCTGGCGCTTCCACCCACTGACCTTGATCTTTTTCCGCTTGCAGTCTTGGCAGGCTGTTGACTTGGGAATGCCAGGCATAGCGACTCAGGTCAGGCGTGTTTGAGCCTACGACAGAATCAGAGACAACTATGGAGTTGGAAGTCCCCCGTTAGAGCGAATGGTCGATGGTAGGCTGGCGGTGTGTAGCAGGACACGCGTTGAGAGAGAATCACGCACGAGAGGAAACTGGAGAATAAGCTGACATTTAGCGACCTGTTTGCTAACCCACAGCGGGGGAAGCGCTGTGGCCAAGAAGTAATCTCACCATGTCAATCCCTAGCTAGATGTCATTGTTTCTCATTCCCAAGTCATCAATCGACTCAGTATGTCAGATCTTCTTATTAGTTTATCGCGTATCTTCACAATAAGCATAAGCAAAATGACTGAAGTTCTCATGCTGTGAGAAAGACCTCAGAGAGCCGAGAAGGGATCTGATCTACTACCGACCTAGCCTTGAGTCATTCCTCCACCAACGAGCAATGACGACTCTGCCATGGTGAACAAGGGAGAATGCTTTCGATTGCTTTGCGCGAGCTTGACAAGCACCCCTCGCGCGGTCAAAACGATCAAAGGTTCATCTCATCTGCAAAATTTCCTACAGCAAGCTTATCGTGTGGTGAGTATCACCATCCGATCGGCCTAAATTATGAGTCAGTGATTGAAGTACGCTTTACAAATAGATCGATATAATGGGTGGGGAAAACGATTAGGCCTTGATAAATACAGACAGTATGATGGTGGTTACGAACAGATACGGAGGCCCGACAGGAAGATATCAGACTCGCCATCCGCCTCATCTTCATTCGAATGGTGTCTCGGTATCCCCTCACAGACGGTCTTTGCATATCATCACTGCTTAGCTGGCAATCATGGCTACGCCGGCTCCTCTCCACGACATGGGCTCCGTCTCCATCCGTCCGGTCACGCCAGACGACGCCGCAGCTATTTGCGCCATCTACAATCCCTATGTCGCGTCCACTACCATCTCCTTCGAAGAGGCGCCCGTCGAACCCACGGAGATGGCTCAGCGGATCGCGAAAGTGGAAGCAGCCGAATTGCCCTGGCTGGTCGCGACAACAGGAGGGAAACTAATTGGATACGCCTATGCCACCAGATGGCACGCTCGGCCAGCCTACCGCACGTCGGTCGAAAGCTCCGTCTACATCGACCAGCAGGTCACCAGGTCCGGGGCAGGGAAGGCATTATATAGCGCCCTGCTTGATGAGCTACGTGCGCGCGGACTGCACGTAGTGATCGGTGTCGTCGCTCTTCCTAACGAGGGAAGCGTTGCATTCCACGAGTGCTTTGGGTTTCACAAGGTTGCGCATTTCAGCGAGATTGGTCGGAAGTTTGGGCGCTGGATTGATGTGGGATATTGGGAACTGAAGCTAGAGGACTGATTTACAATAGTCGTAAACGAGAGGTAAATAAACGGCCATATAGGTATATCTTGCTATCTCTACTCGATACCAATCTTGTCGACTTGAAGAAAATTTAAGGCAGAGGCACATTCATGGCACGGAGGCAAGAAACACTGCCCTGAGAAGGGCGGAGGTCCAGTTCATCAGAGGTACACAGGCTAAAAGTCTGCCTGCAGCGATGGATTTCCGCGAATTGAATACGACTAAATTACATAGGGTAATATTACAACCCCAGTCTCGCAATCGCCCAATCTTATGAGGCAGTCAAGTTTGTTGGAGGCTAAAGGCAAACTCATCCGATACGAAGGGGGGCGCGGAGGCTCAGCCGAAGCACACCTTACCGGTGGCGAGCCTATGTCGCCGTTCTGTTGCCAATGAACTCCGGTTAAACACGATATCTGGACAATTTACACTCTGCAATTTCCGGCATCTATTGTGCCGCTACGCTCTTTGCTCCCAGAAGCTAGGCACGAACGTCGCAAACCTGCTACCGACCAGGTGATATGCAAGACATTTACCTAGGCACAGCAGATAATACAATATTATAGAGTCCTACGAGTTCCAAAAATGCATCCTCATGCATGGAAATGATAATCTAATGCCAACTTGTTTCATGGAAAGAGGGCATGAACGATTCCGTATCAACTGGGCCTTTCATATTTCTAGGCAGCTAGCAGACTGCGCTCCATTGTGTCATTCAGGCAGCCCCCAACCAAGCAACTACGCCAACAGGAGACCAGAGTCAATGCGGTGGCGCCATGACCAGTTCATGCCCCTCTGCAGCCAACCTCCCGCGCGGGTGAGCAGTTTGAGCAGTTTGGGAAGGATTCTCGGCCGTGCCGTGCAGCGAAGCGAGAATCCCATCCAACCTCGTGTTTCTCGCTCGAAAGACGCCGAGCTATTGCATGGCCAAGTCGTATCTGCCTATACGAGGGAGGATCAGGCATAGATGGAGCGAACTTTACACAGTTGAGGCGAAGAGTTGGGACAGTGTGTGACTCAGTAAATGAGTAATCTTTACGAATGCAAAAAATACAAACAGATCAACAGGCTTCCATTTCCCAGTACCCAAATCCCTCCAAAGTTCCTGAACCGCCCTACAACAAAGCAAGCCCAAAGGTGTAAATGCAGAAAAACCCCTCTTGCGCCGTCAATGTAGCTCTCGTCTCAGTGTACAAGGCCCTTCCCGATCCACAGTATGGTTCCAAATGATGTTGTACGAAGGTTCGTGTCTTCATTACTTCGTTAAATAATACAGGTGAATGCTGCTTTTCCCCTCCTCCCAGTAGTATAGTAAAAAGCACTCAGTAGGTGGCAAGCGTCGTCTTGTCCTTCCACCTCTTGCGGGCGTTGCGCCGCATCTGCTCGCTGATGCCGTACGTCAACGAGTTGGCCATGCCGATGAACTGGGTTGTCGCTTGTAGGGCTTGCAGCCATCGTGGGGATCCGCCGAGCGACTCGGCCAGTCGGTTTGCGATGCCGGGAATCCAGAGCATGATGTATGCCAAGGGATAGCCGTTCATGAGCATCATTCTTGTTAGGTTCGGTGGCGGCGGGAGGGTTGAGTGTGTGCTGCCGTTCGGGTCGGAGGGGCTCATCAGTTCGCCAAAGTCGTCGTCTATGCCGCCGCCCTCGAGCTCGTAGGAGACGGTGTAGGAGTGTCGGACGAGGATGTGCTGGGTGTCTGAGGATCGGAAGGTCGGTGCGTCGCTGTCTTGGGATCGGCGCTCAGTGAAGGAGGAGGCGCCCAGGAGCATTCGAAGAGCGTTGTAGGTTCGTTGCAGGTGGATGTAGATGTAGGTGTAGATGGATATCGTAGCGACGAAGATGGCAAGTCTCCAGCCGTGGCCGAGAGCGTATCGAAGGGTCAGGTGCTCGGAGCGGATCCAACACCAATTGCCGCTCACATAGCCATAAGAATTCAATCCAAGGCCAATATTGCCTACAAATTGCTTCTGTTAGTCGGGGTCAAGATGGTGGGCGATTTGGCGACTGGGACTCACTTGTAATGAGGCCGGGGATCCAAGCAGCGACGCAGATCAAGGTCCGGGCCCTTGATGAAAGCCCATTGACCCAATTATTTCGGAAAACGGTGAGTAGTACAGTAATGGAAATGATGAGAATGTTGAAATCGATCGTTTGGACGCTGAGTTGGCCAATCCAGGCATTGGCGACACAAGAGGCGTTGGGGGGTAACTCGGGCGATGGGAGCTTGCCTCTGCCAATGGCGATTGCGCCGGAGATGGTGTTATTCAAACTGTTGATTAAATCTAGGGACTGAGGGTTAGTTGATCGGTACGCCAGTGGCTGTAAAGGGGCCCGAAGAGGTCGAGGGCTTGGGGAGAGGCTGCCGCACCTGAAGCCAGAAGGTTGATGATGATGGAATGACGGAAATGCCTTCGCGGCGGGTTCGCAACTTGCAAGACGATGACGGTAAGAGATGCTAGAAAAGAGAGTAGCGAACCGATGAATGTCGGTATCGCGACGACCAAGTCGACGGGCACGTCGGCCTCAGCCATGGTGTTTGCTGCCTATCCAACAGCTTCAGAACAGGCTTTCATCCCATTGAATGACTGCGATGAAAAGAGAGCCATCGATATGGAGGAGGGTGGGCAATACTTGAGGAGCTCAGACCTGGCCATCGACCGGCTGGTCCAGGATCCAGCCACACCACCAGCACCGGGGACCAACCAAATAGTCCCAGACCGGGGTGTTACCCGTTGCTGTCCCCTGTCTGACTAATTTTTGGAGGATACGATGCTACGTTCCTCCTGCTCTCCATGCTAAGCACCTTGCTAGGGCTCGCTCGTACCTGAAAATGCATGGACAGATCGGCCTCTAGCTCAACTAAAGAATCGACCTAGACACTTGCCTTCAGGTATACTCGCTTGGTCTATCCAGGACTGGGGAGAACAGCGGACGGATGATGCCGTGCAGAGTGACTGCGGGCTTTAGCTCTGCCTCTAGCATGCTGCATGGCTCGACATCCCTAACCCACCGTCACCCAAAACAACCGTCCAACGGCCAGGGGTAGGACAGGGATCATGTCAGGAAGAAGCAGAGCGCGGCATTGCATTGCATTGGTTCAGGCAAAATCCACCGCTGGAGCGCGGCACAGGCCCTACAAAAGACGCCGCAATGTCCTCGCACAAACCGAATGGGATGGCTCACATCAGCCCGCGTTTAAATCGCCTCGGTGGCGATGGAGTGACATGAATCTTTATTTGCACTGCCGTCCGCCGCGGGGTCCGAGGGGATATAACTTATAAGTGAACAGAACAGAACTTGTTCACAACCGCCACACAGTACACACATTGACACACTCCTCGGACGATGGCGAATAGCCGCCGTCGACTGCTAAAAGTAGAGAGAGGTCTATGCAAGGTGCGGCCGATCCTATTAATAGACAACTCTCTCACCACTCGGCACACCACCACCAACTGCTTCCCCCATCCCTCCCGACTCAACCCTAGACTTGGCTCCTCAGTGGTCTGGGCGCTGAAGATCACGGCCTGTGTCCCAAGCAGCCCCCAATTGCCGAAACATGGCCCCCGGCCAGGCAGAGTCGGGATCTCGCTGGGAGGACGAGCCTTCTCGGCAACCTCCAGGGGCTGTATTTAATTAATTCCAACTAGCCTAGATCGAATTTTTAGCTCGTCAACTTCCTGCCTTGCTCGACGACAAACCGTGGACATTGCAACCGTTCAGGTGAATATTCATCATCTACAGAAGGACTTATTCGGTGCCGCTCGGCGGAACCGTCGCAAATCATGCCCAAATCATCGAAAGAGGTGCGATCAACTCGCCTCATCAGACTGACCTGATCCCACTTGCGTTGCAATCAATGGAAAAACCACCCACTCGCCTGCATGCGGGATTGCGGCACGAGAGAGGAGGCGGTCTTCTCTACACTCTCTAGCACTGCGCCGCGCTATAGGGTAACTCGTCAATACGCGAGGGACAAGCTGAAACACACTCCAGACAAGGAGTCGCTTCTGAAGCAACGCAGTAATTGCGCTGCTTTTCCTTCTTTTTTAGGGTAGACGTAGCCGAAACAGAATGCTGTTGCCTTAAACCTAGCTTGTTTCAGGGCAACGGCCCGATCAGGGTGTTCTGCCCATTCTGGCTGTAGAATGGCACAAACCCACCTCAATCCAGACGCTGCTCATAGCGGCCAAACAAACCGAGGAAGCGACGCAAGGGTCGCTTCGCAGTGGATAGCTTCGATGCCAAAACAAGAATGTAGATATCTGGGATCCGATTCCTCAACATGGAACGTCAAGAACTGTTGTTGATCCCCATTTGTTGACGATGATCGTTCATGTCGCCCTGCCAATCTCTCATGAGACGGCCCTGTCTGCGCGCCCATTTTGATGGATCATCAAACCGGGTAGTGTACATGCCAAACTGACGCCAAACATTCCCTCTTGCCGACCCTGCACAGCGAGCACAGACAGATACACGAGATGCCCTATCGGCACCCAGCATGCTACCAAGACAATTCCCGGAATGCTGGCTTTTAGATTTGGTCTAGTTTGACTTGCCGGCCATCCGTGGACATCTTACCCTAAACTTGGCATGGACGGATCATAATGTTGAGACTAAATGATATACAAACCGCCCATTGGACTGCATGGGAAGACTATTGCCCAGCTGAACGTAGCCAGGTTCTAGACCGATCACAAGCAAGGCAACTTGAGTTCGGCCAAAGTCAAACCGGACACCCTCAATAAATAGCACATGACCAGTTGCCAATCCATTTAACTCGCAAGGAGGGCCACACAGCCCAGTTCCTGATTTTTGTGCTATTATATCTCGCAACTGCCGTATCTCCCAACGCTCCCAACAGGACTTGAAATTGTAGTAGAAAAAGAAAAGAACCATTATTAAAATAAATTCACAGGACTGATCCAGTTGCACCCATCCTCCGACAGCCTCACAGCTTCATCCATATCCCTCCGTCATGATTCGCGAATTACTCTTCCCTTGGGCCCTCATGACAGTGTCCGCCCTCAGTCTCCCAGTCACCATTATAAAATTCCTCGTCGCTGGCGACCTCCACGCATTTACCTCGTGGTCTACCTTTCGCGACGCCTGGTTTGCCGTCTTCTGGATCAACGTCGGCCCCCTTGCTAAGCAGACCGCCGCGCCAAATGTGATCCCTCTCCTCCAGGGCCGCCTCAAAGATGGCAAAGTCCAAGAGAAGGTTGTATCTCAGCCCCTCCACGGCACCGTGCTGGAGATTGGCCGGGGTGTCGGCATGTGGACTCAGTTCTATCAGAAGACCATCGATGAGGCTGAGAAAGAGGGCACCGCTGGCCCTGATAAGATCTACGCAACTGAGCCTAATCGCTTCTTGGCATCTACACTGAGAAAACATGTGAAGACGGCGAATCTTGAAGAAGTATATCACGTGTTGCCTATTGGAGTGGAGGGTCTTGGCAACGCGACTGCGTCAGGGGCAAAGATTGAACCTGAGAGCCTGGACTGCATTGTCACAGTTCAGGGCCTCTGTTGTATCCCAGAGCCGGAAAAGAACTTGCCCTTGCTGTATCGGTATTTGAGGAAGGGAGGACATTGGTATGTTTTTGAACATGTTTGTAACCATGAGAGTCCTATCCTCTCTGGCATCCAGAGTGAGTTCCTTCTGGCTCCTTGGCTAGAACCTAATCTGACATCTCTATAGGCTTTACGGAGATAATTTGGAAGCCAATGGTTTGCTGCCATCTTTGCCGCGACACTGCAAAGGCACTGCGTGGCCTTGGCAAATGGGAGGAAATTGACCTCGCACCGCCTCAAGGCGAGTCGCCTTATGAAATGATTCCTCATATTGTAGGAACGTTGGTCAAATAATTCTGTTGAGTTATAATTAGACATCTACGTCTAAGAATGAGCCGTGACGAGTGGAAAGAGAAGGATACTGGATATTGTTAACAAGTTATGTCTTGGGCGGACCCTGATCACGCCATTGCACGCGTCTTTCAACCTCAGTCAAATTTACTAGTATACTCTCTCTATGGTCCTTGGCCTTGCCTCCTTTCCACTTCTACGTCTCTCAAGGAGAAGAAGCTCCCTGTGAAACTGGAAACGAAACCAAAAAAGATAGTTGAAATGAAAGCCTAATTCAAAAACCAGAACACGTTGACTAGCGATCGTGTGTAAAGAATACTTTCTTAGTGATGAAGTACGGAGGTTCGCAGCAGTGATTGATGGCATAATTGGCATTCGATGCACTAATTTGACTTCTAGACTTCTTGATTATGTGAATCGAAGAGCAGTCTGCAACTTCGAATTTGTACCTAGGAGGTTGGATTAAACGTTTCTTGATACTCCTTTGAACAGGAGGGAGATAAGTGTATCTTAGGAATAATGGTGAAAGCACGAGTGTTTGAGTCAACCAACGCAGTAGTATGGACTTATCTTCATGCCTTGTCTTATTAGTTGCAAATTGCTTTCGCTTTTCGCTTCTTTGAATTACTTTGGTGCAAGCCGCTGAGCGCATTGATATGTATAAGCACTTCCAGTCTTGTTAGCAAGGATCAAGCTGCTCATCTAATTTACTTCACACTTATCTCTTGGAACACCTGAATTCACCGGAGTCGAGGCTTCGGTTAATCCAAGTCGCCCCCAAACCACCAGAACCAGATAACATACCCAGTTGGCTGGATGTCCTCTTGAAAGGGCGGCATATTTGTCCCCCGACCGCTTGATGACAGAAACCTTCGCCAAAAAACTAGTGAATTTTTGTTATGACTCTATATCCTTACCCCGAAGCAGGCATGGTACCAAGCTCCGTCGATTAACCTTGAGGAGTTGATAGACTGTCGCACCTTTTCAGAAGCAGCAGGCCCACGATAAGCTTGAGCACCAGTTCTCCAATCCCAGGTATGTTAAGTAGCTCGCCGGTTTCTTGTGATTCGCATGACGATAGCTGAGGGGAAATAGGAACCCGAGAGTTCATCAAATAAACATCTGGCTGTTCTCGAGTGACTCTGTTAGATATTACATAAATAGATTTAGCACTTGCCCTTTTTTTTCTTCATACAATTGGCTGCACCTTGTAGCTCTGTAATGACTGCTTTAAGTTATTGATGTCGCTCTAGTTGTACTGAAATGTCGGGCTAATCGATGAGGAAGTCGCCAGAATGAACGCTATCAATTTCAATAGCTTTCCCCTTCAATGTCGACGGCGAAGACCTTTGCGATGCCCAGCCTCTGTACACATCGTGCTGACCACTACGACTGTGCTGAAGCTATGCACATGATTTAATGGTAGACACGCAACGAGCCATGTGCTGGAGACGCAAGATATACCGCTGTCAAGAAGTATGGACAGGCCTGACATCAAGACACTGCTTCCTCGCCGCTTGCCGTTTGGGCAATCTGAGGCAACTTCATGTGCTTGGCCTGATGGAACATACTCTAATAAACAATAAAGAACATAGGGCCGCTGGGGGCAACCTGTATTTGACTTGAAAGTACCTTGCCGAGTGTCTGGAAAGTGGAGATAGAGACCTGGGAGTCTAAGCACATGCATGCAACTTTTATTACAAATAACTGCAATGCAAAATTATTTCAAAAACTAACGACCTATGCCACAGGCTGACACCACTGTGGCTTGTTGTGAAGCAATTGATTCATGTTGGCAATTAGGGCATCGTATCTTAGGTACACTACAATGTCCGAGGCAAGGATGGGTGCGATCGCACCTGGATACCCTAAAGCCCTAAGTGGTAACATTGTTGATGGTCAGAGAGAACAAAATCGGCGCGTGTGACGTGTAGTTTCTGCTGAATTGAGAAGCGGATGGGGCGGGAAGATTTAAGCTGACTGTCCGTAAGATCTAACTATGCTGCGAGCACGTAGCTCACTCTCACGTCATGAGAGAAAACAATGACATCTCGCGGGGACATGTGCTTACTTTTGGATCGAGAAGAAAAAAAATATCGTAGAGGGTATTTTGACGCGACCTCTTCACAGAATTACTACTGTCAGTGCAGCGTCCAGCCCCTACAGATGAGAACCCGGAGGATACCATATGAAGTAGCCGAAACCAGATATCTGGCCGTTAACTGCTATCTCTCCACATGCTAGAGAATTAGTCATGTCTCGATCGACAATCAATTCACGTGCGTTGGCATGCGCGTGGGTGAGTGTGAAACAGCGACTGGACAGGCCGCAGCAGAAGCTCTCCGGCTGGGCTCGGGCATAGGGGGCAGTGTTGACGCAAACATGTTTGGGGAGGGCTTTTGTATTGTTATGCCGTGGTCCCAAGGAGCTGGGGCACTGTACCGACTGGCTGGAGCCCATGTGGTCGGTGAGGCCTCTCATCCTTCAGCCCCCTTTGCACCCGCTGCGTCTCAGATAGCTAAAACAAATCATGGCAAGCACGGGGGAGAGTGCGTAATAGCATGCCATATTAGTAGATGGTGCGCCAGATTAATGTACAGCGAGGTAACTTTGGAAGCAGGCCAACAGGGCCGTAGCAGGGTGTTGGTAAGATGGATCCTGCAGCTTATTTTTATCACTGACAAGCCAATGAAGGGTCTGTATGTTCCCCATACCGTCACTGGGGGCTGAGCCTGACTCAGGCTTCCTAAAACAGACTTGCTGGAGAGTCGGTCTGTGGTCTACTATGTAAGTAGAAGATGTAGCCGATGGCCATCGATGAAGATGATTCCAGGACTCTTTCACATCATCACATTCTTGTGAAGGTTTACCGTTTCCTTTTGTTTTTCTCTTCTCTTCTATTTCCTTTTTCTCTTCTTCTTGTGGGCTTTTTTTCTCACTAGCTTCACTTTTTTCTTTCTACGTTCTTCTTCTACTAGCGGTCTTCTTTTTCTTCTCTTCTTTTTACTTTCATACCCGCCGGAAATGAGCCTCCACATTCGCCAGTCTCTTCCCCAGCAATTGCTGATGGCGATATACTTGGCATTCCTCCTCCCGTCGTTAGCGTCCGCCGCCCCAGTAGATATTCTTGGGATCAAGGTGCACACTAGAGACACTAGTGACGATGGCTACAAGATCAACCCGGGGATGGTCGCTGGTGTAGCATTCGGTATCCTCTTCGGCATGAGCATCCTCTTCACGGTAATCCGAGCCATCATCGAAAGGAGGAGATTCGCCTCGTCAATCAGAAAATCTCCCTCTCCCCCGCCTGTAGCCTCGACAGCACCAAACGCGCCTCGGGTCGTGCTGGTATCAGAGGAGAGCCCGATCCAAGAGCCACTGCCGGCATACAAGCTCGAATCGCCTGTCAAGATGACAGAGGAGGAGATCGAGTACCATTCGATTCTTGCGACAAGGACTCAGCGACCCCCGAGCTATTCGTCCACAGCAGAAACACTCAACGAATCGTTATATACTGTGTCGAGCTTCGAATCATCAGACACCCGATGAGCTACTTTTGATTGATACATCTGTATTCCTATATATCTGCTCAAGGTTTTCTTGGCTGCCTGGAAGTAACCTGTGGAAGATGGCCCGGTTCCCTACCAAGGACCTACGTCGATTAACCGTACACCTCCTATTATGATCACGGAGAGTCAAGCGAATTATACGACAACCACAATGACGAATTTATGACTACTATATTGATTCACTGAAGTAAGCGCGTCTCACAGCGTGTTGGAGCATGGCAAAGGTAGATGACTGTCCTGCTACCAGCCATAGCTAGAAAAGCTGATGTGGCGTTTGGGACCGCTCTGTATGCCTTCGTGCGACTAAAACTTGCTGAAGAACATCCGGAGACTCGTTGAGGAATCGGCGCAATAGGGCAGGGAAGGCGGTATGATATATTTCTTTTCTTAAACAATAGCATAGAGTGCTTCCATCGTCGGCAAGCCCGATAAGATTCTTCTTCATCTCTTCTTCAATCATGTCGCAGCCACGCGTACACAGTGACATGTAGTATTGTATAACGGATGAGGATAATACTCATCTAAATCTAGAGAAGGGATGTTTAGGTATGGAGTAAGTCAAAAATGACCTTGTAGAGGGTCAAGCCAAACCTCAACACATCGGACCAACTTCAATATGAGCACCAGCCGTCCTGGTAGCGTCAATTGTCCATCAGGATCTAGATACGTTCAATTGTGCCGTCTCGCAAAGCTCTGATCATCCACAGTTTTCAATGTGAGGTAACGTGCCATCTTACAATCCCAATCCTCCTCTGCTGCACGCGAGGTCTTTGTGGACCGATTGCCCTCATGCTTCTATTCTTTCTAACGAGCTCTTCACAGCCACTTACTTAGTTCAAGGGATAGTATTGGTTAAAACTGCAGACGGCTCTCATTGGCTCTCGAGATTGGGCTGTTAGGCACAAGCTTACTGTGGAGCGGCCAAAATCTTGGGTGACCAAAATCTGGCGAAGGCGACCGAAAGGCAGCCAGAACCAAAATCTGGAATGACCAAAGTCTGGTGTGTTGATAATAAATAGCCCGGCGAGTTAGGATATGAGAAGACTCACCAGCGAGGGATCTACCTGGTTCTTCAACTTCGTATCACAGGAGATCAACTCTTGCTTCATATTTTTTTTTTACCAGATTTTCATCTTCGTCTCGCGACGTACTAATAAGACTGTCAGAGCCAATTCTACTACACCAGCAACAACGGAGCGCGCTCGCGCTGATTGCTGTGCCTAATTGACTATATAGCCTGTCACTGACACCAACAAAGACTATGGCGAGCTCATCCAGGACCATCTCACAAACGGTCTGGGAAGCGCAAAAAGAGACGATTCTGCACCTACGATTCACTGAAGGCCTTCCTCTGTCGAATAATAAGAATGGCGGTAGGACGGTGATGCAGGTTATGCGCGAGGACCATCAATTTGAAGCAACGTAAGTTCGATTTTATGAACCTTGACACAACACGTCCAGTCCTCCATGGAGTGAGATGCTGACAAGGGTACAGCCAGTCGCAGTATGAGCAACAATTGAAAAGATGGGGCGCTGCTAAACATATGAAGCAGAGTGATTGGAAATCAATCCTCCCCATCTATAGTCGTCTAAAGCAACGAGGTCTCAGTCCCCGAATTAGACTTGGAGAGACTGTCTTGGACGAAAGAAGGGTGATCAAAGCACAACGACGCTACTTCGGACAATCGGATCAAGTGCGCATCGTTTCAACAAGTAAGTTGGAATCGTAAATAGGGTAGTACTGATCGCTAATGGAAGTTTACAGCGCCGAGAATGTCTTTTGCACAGAACAACCTTCTCCGGCTAGATGTTCGCCAGCACAGTGGCGAGTATGTAGAGTACTCGGAGTTTGATGCAACATTCAATGCCGAATTGATTCCAACTTTGACAGCTCCAGTACAGCCAGCGACTGCTAACTCTCACCGCCAAGATCAAAACATACAAGACAGTCAGATGTTGGAAACAGGCAGCCGTTCCAATCCCACCCTTGTCCCTGAGATCGATATGCAGAACGACTCTCTCCCGATAGAGGTTCATTTGCTCAGTGGCGAGCATCTGGAGTACTCAGAGTTCAATGAAGTGTTTAATGCTGGGAGGACTTCAGGTTTGACAGTCCCAGTACAACCAACGAACATTACCCGTAATGCCCAGTTTCAAGCGCTACAAAACGATCCGACATTGGCATCAGGCAGCCTTTCTAGGTTTGCCACACTCAGCCCTGGGTTGGATATATTCCGACCTAATACATCACCCCTGGATATTAAGTGCGACGATGGAGGCATTTCTCTCAGGTCCGTTATGCAACAGCCTTTGTCACCTAGTGACCCGGGCATTTTTCTCGAATCTTTTGCCCTGATGTCCCCGGCACGAAGCGTAACACATGTGAATGAGAGAATTAGAACTCCAGGCCTAACAAGATCAATACGATTACTCTTTAAGCCCTACGTGGATTCGATACTCGATAGCATCAGCCCAGATATTGAGCAAACTGAAAACGAATTTGGGAATATCAATGCTCAAATGATAGCGACCAGGTTAGAACATCTTTTGTTCGAGGATTCTGGTCACGCTTCTAAATGCACCTCTAGCTTGATGTCCCAGATATCTTATGCTGTCTCTCAACTTCCCCGGATTGTTATATCTTGTTTCGTCAATAACCTTGCTGGCCTCGACGAGTTTCCGCTTTGTCTTCTTTTTGGGTTAATTAAGGCCGATGCGAATGTGAGGGAAAGCCTTCTCTCAGGCCTTAGGTCAAGTAATGTCATATTTGCAACAGCACTTCTCGATTGTGCCTTGCGTTCTGCAATTCGGGCTGGCGACGAAGATATCTTAGCTATCATATTGGAAGTGACAAAGGGGAACATAACCAAAATCGACCTCAATTCTACGGTCTATCGTTTCAATGACAAGCAGTGCAGTCCTCTCGGATTAGCAGCCATATTGTGCTACCCGGGGGTTGTCCAAAAGCTGTTGAACTTCGGCGCAAAGGTCGACGTCGGTGCACTCAATGAGGTTGTTTGGGAGTGGTACGATTCTCCTACAGACCGGAATGAGAAAAGGGACGCAAGACATCAGATCATTGGAATTTTTCTAGCAAATGGTGCGAGTGCAGACTGTACAGCGCTGAAAAGAGTTTTGAAATCTGGTTTTGCCACTGGCAGCACACTCATATCCTTAATCCGCACCACATTCGGAGAATCACATTGGGAAGTGTTTAGAAACTTGGGAAAAGGCTATTTTGCCAGTGTGATGAAGGAATATGCTTGTGTTGAGACACTCTTCTTCGAGTTTTCGAAAATCTGCCAATCGATGGGCTGCTCAGACATTTGCAAGAGTGCATATGCTGATATATTCGACAAAATCCTCAGATACGCCATCACGGACGGCAATATTGAACTCGCGAGCTCTGTCTTGGACCATGTTCAACCAACAGTCTGGTCGCTTACCGCTGCGATCCGGACCAAATGTTTTGAAATGATTCAAGTACTTTTGAGTAAAAGGATCGATATCGATGGCTGTGCGAGACGTTTTGAAAACCTAGCTTTTGACTACAACCACCACAACTGCGGCAGCGACTCCGACGGCAGCCGCGATGACGACCACGACGACCATGGGAACGACTACGACAACTGTAACTGTACGCCGCTGATTGACGGCAAAAAAGGATGGTATCGGCCAACCACCCCGTTAGCCGAGGCGATTCTATGGCGGAACCAAGATCTCATCAGCACACTTGAAGAATGCGGAGCACTGGACGGAGTGCGCGATGGAACACCCGGTCACCTCACAGCTGCGCTTGTGGCTGCTGTTAGAGTAGGAGATGTTCCGCTTCTGAAAAGTCTGCTTCGTCTAGGCGGCGCTTGTAACTTTTATGATGATCTTGAAGTTGCGATTGCAGAGGCAATATGGGCAAGAAATGTTGAGATGACTAAGATCTTGTTCATGCGTCGCATGAATAAGGATGCTTCCATGTGGCCGAGGTCCCCAGATATTTGCCATCTATTGATAGCTCTGAAAAGGCGTGTCTACGAAATAGTTTTCTTCCTTCTTGAGTATGGAGAGGATTCCCGGGAGAAGGCGCGTGTTGTTCTAGAAGCTGTGAGGTGGGGAGACGAGGCGGTCATCGAATGCATGCATGACTTGGAGTTCTTTCAACCAGCCACTTTACCGCCGTTGTGGTGGGTCTATCCACCTCCCGTGTCAGCTCTTGGTGAGGCAATGGCGGCTGGCAATGCCGAGCTGGTGAACCGGTTGTTGAACTGGGGAGCAGATCCATCTGACCACATTCCTGTCGCCATTACAATTGGAGATGAGAATATGGTACGGTTTTTACTAGACCAAGGCGGAAAAGCCTCTGGGGTTGAACAAGCAATTTCAAACGGACGATATAGCATCTTGGAGCTGTTGCTTGACCGCGGGGCTGCCCCCGTATGGCTCGAGCAGACGATCGAAAGTGGACGGCACGATATGATGTGTTCGCTACTGCGATATGGCGCGGATCCGGCGGATGATGGCGCATTTTCCGTTGCACTATTATGTGACGATAGGAGTTTTTTGAGCACGCTTTCTGACGCTTTTTCATCACGATACCCAAATGGAAAAAGAGGTTTTGGTGTTGGAGCCTTCGAAACTGCTCTGGTTCACTGCGACACCTCTGTATTGGAACAGTTGCTTGACCTTCAATTAGATGTGAACGGTTACAGGCCTGCGTACCCCCACTGGACTCCGAATATTCTGCATATTGCTATTCAGCAAGCAATGGAGGGGGCTATTTTTGGGGGTGTTGTGCACAAATGCAATCCAAACGGGTGCAAAGGTGATGTGGTGAGGCGAACTGATTCAGAGTGGGAGGAGATCCAAACGTTGCTGCTTGATGCTGGCGCTGACACGGAGAAGGTCAGTGCAGGCTTGACAGCGCTTCTCTGTGCTATCAACACGCGAAGAATACAGACTGTGAAACTTTTATTGGACAGGGATATAAACGTGAACCGACCGGTAAAGCGAGGGCTTAGAAGAACGCCTTTACAGCAGGCTTGCGAGATGGGTGATTTTGAGATCATTAAACTTCTCCTCGGCAAAGGCGCATCTGTCAATGCCGCTCCAGCAATGAACGGCGGCGCTACAGCTCTCCAACTTGCCGCTATCAAGGGGAGCCAGAGAATTGTCAGATTACTCCTCGATGAAGGGGCTGATATTCATGGGCCGAAGGCTACTTTCAACGGGCGAACGGCCCTTGAAGGAGCAGCTGAACACGGAAGACTGAGTATACTTAACACGCTACTCACCGAGGGGGCATCAGGCTTTGGTGCAGATGAGATTGAAGGCGCAATGGCGCTTGCTGAGAACGAAGGACATCGAGGATGTGTAGAAAGGCTTAAACTGGCGCTATATCGACTAAGCAACGACCACGAATCCCCGTTATCGCTGCGTCTTTGAACTTACAGTTGGTCATAAAGAAGAATCAATTTGTGTTGTTACTATCAAACCAAAGGGTTAGGGCAGCGAGGCTGAAGCAATTCACCGAAGTTGTAGGCACGGAACATTAGGTATTCACTGTATACCTAGGTACTTGTGGTTATTCACCTAATCGTTAATTTAGTGGTTTTACTTTTGTCAAAAATCTAGCCAAAAATCAAACCCAAGGGTAAAATTACAACAATTAATTGCAGAAATAGAACCATCAAATTCATTGTGTTGAGTTGTTGGGCCCTGGCAGCTTCTATTGCTGTTGAATTTCATTCTCTTTCTCTTACGTAAAGCATTCAAAGATGAGTTTCTTTGAGTCGCAGCGTGTATTCTCTATTCGCCCTTGTCCAGAGTGGGAGGAAAGATATCTATCATCAACTGCCCTGCATCCTCCCGAACACCACCAAGGATCCCATCCGTCAGCACTGGGCCAAGCGTGACATCAAACATGTCCTGAGTGTATTGATCGGGCATCGACCAATGCTCCCCTTCATATGGTGTAGAGAGCCCGGCCATGAAGCCCGCATCAAGCATGGCGTCGATCTCGGGCACGTTGTCCGCAGGTTTCTCGCACTTCTCGATCTTACAGACACTCTTCTCAATCTCCTTCACACACGGCCATGTTTCCTTTATAGCCTGCATGGCTTGGACTATCAGGTTCATTTCCTTCTCCATCTGATGCATATCCTTATCGAGCCAGCGTCGCATGAGGACGGTGCTTGCGGCTACAGAGAGCGTATGCACGAAGTCGAGAGGAAGCTCTTCGTAGCGATAAAGGCGGGAATAGCTACGCATTAATCGTAAGATGGCTTGCAGAGACTCGTAGCATATCTCCACATCTTCGCTTGAGGAAATGTCAGGGGTCTTGAATGAATGGCGAGGTGGGCGGTGTAGAATTATCATCGAGGTGTGGAATTGCATGCTTGAGATTTGTCAGAGGGGGCATATTCGAAGTGTTATAAATACTTACTGGAGATAGAGCACGCATGCTGGAACATGACCGACAGTCCACTGATTCCAATACAGTTTTCCAGGTAGACTTGAAAGCCACTTAGTTAGATCAGTATGGATGCGCTGAACTGTGGCAGCGATAGCGGCATTGTGAGCTCCTGGCCGTCGATTCTCGAATAGATCTATGATAATGCAATGCTGAATCTTGGATAACTCCGCCCTGTAAATAAAGGCACCAACGAGCGCAATCCCGTCTTCGTATGCGGTAATGGATATACCTGGAGCGATGTATGTGTCTAGTAGTCCCTCCCAATCTGTTGGGTACGGCAGACGAACGGTGTTCCGGACATCAGACTCATGAGGATAGAGAGCTGGAGGCCGTCCAAAGTAGAGACTGAGGTTCTTGTCGGCGATGAACGTAGCCCAGTAGACTCGTCTCAGTATCTCGCGGTCTACCTCTGATTCGGCAGAGCCACTCCAATTATTCGGATCGAGATGAAGACCCATTTCGTGAGCGAGTCGGAAAGCGATGCCGCAAAAGAGCCAACCCTTGGATGGCCGACAGTGGCCAATCTCGCGCTGACCAAGGAGGACAAGGGCTTGCAGAACAGTGAGATCGGGCTGGTCAAAGGACGGGAACAGGAGAGACTGCGCCTGTGTTGCGAAGATCTCGGAAAGACCACGGTCGGAAGGCTCGCCAGAAGCCAATGCGCCCATGGCGCAGATGGCATATAGGAGTAAGTCGGAGTAATAACGCCCGGTACCGCAGTCATAGTCTCGGAGAAAGTACTCGCGATATATGCACATGTTGTACTGGTACTGTTGTTTGAAGAAGGTTGCCATAAGTCGCTGACAGACATCATCGTGGGGGGCAAAAGGAAAGGGAGTTCGAGTCATCATGGGGCCAATATGATAGCTTGATGAATCTGGATTCGAGGGACTTGGTGACTCTTCACTGATCGGATCGCCAGTTGGGGCCAGGTATTCTCCCGACAGGTGAATTTGAAACAGGCTTGTGCCGCCGTAGAAACAGGCCGCGCTGCTCGAGATCCGCTTCCTCATTTGCCCGGCGGATGAGCGGGCAAGACTTGCTTCAGAATGCTCGGCGGCGTCTTCTGGCGATCTGACTCCCTGTGTCGAGGTGGTGCTGAGAGAGTCTTGAGGCGCGGTGTTTGTACTGGCAGGCTGGAAGGCGGCTAGCATATGGTCTCGCTGCTCGGCATCTGCGATGGCGACTTTCTTGATGAAAATCTCAAGAGACGCTACTTGATTCTCCAAGGCTTGCACATATCTCCGTGATATCGGCCTCTGCTTCTCTCCCGTCCCCGCGCGAGTGCACTCAGTGCCCGCCTTGACACATCGTGCGCATGGTTGCCTGCGATCGCATTTTATCTGATGCACGAATCGTTATTAAATCGGATGCAGATCGTAATTGGATATTTTGGTTAGTACTTGCCTTGCGCCTCCGGCAACGGACACATCTGACGTGGTGTTAACAGTGTATGGTCAAGGGTATGTAAGTTGGACATGAAGCGCACTCACGAGACAGTTGTTGCTTCTCCAATCGCTGTCTTGGAGCTCTCGACTGGACTTTGATCCATGATGCGGGGGGGCTTGGTAATCGGTAGAATCAAGGTTAGAACCTTGCTTGACCGTGAAGGGAGGAGGAGGGATGGTTGTGGAGGGCTCCAGATGAAAGTGCCACATGCCATTAGTCACTGACTCGTGTGCATCTTGATCCACTTCGACTGATAAAGGCTTGAAGAATTGCACTAGGCTAGCCATTTCGATCGAACCTGTGTGTATGTGCATCCCAAAAGCTGGGGATGACCAACTGGGCGGACGTGGCCCCCTTTCTCTCGAAGTATCCCATATGCATCGTCCCAAGGGATTCAAGCTGGATCGTTAACCTCTAGAGATCTTGTTGCCGGTAAGGATAAGAATTCTGTGGGCGCATTTGGATGGTTGGATGGATTTACTGATAGAATCTTGCGAATAGTGACGTCTTAGTCAATGGCTGATGCATGAGCGTCTGTGAATGTGCATCTACGATTTATTGGAATTGTCACGCCTTCTTTAGTTGCCATCTTAACCATTGAACGAATGCTGAATTGGAGAATTTTATTCAGCGTTTGCAGCTTCTTTGATCTATCCCCCATCATTTCCGAAGACCTGAGTTTATGGTTGTTACTAGACAGCAAGAGACTTCTCCGTCGTTCCATGCCTTGACGGCCGCGGACCTCCGGCAAAAGAAAGAGCCATTTCCAATGCACTAGTTGGATGTATTGCATTCAGAACTTATCACGAGGTCGGACTTCCGTGCAATCATCATGTGTTAGTCCCTGTAATGTTGCGTGTATCTGTCTCCACCTCCCCGCAATCGCGGTGGTGGAACACCGCTGCCGCGATTATCTTCGTCTCCGGTCTACGAAATGGAGTTGGCTGATCGGTGCGGTGTCGTGGAGGCTATATCATATCAGGTTTACCTTTAGAGATTACGATATGGTTTATCAACCCCCGTACTCTTTTGGATCACTGTGTCTTGACGCTAGATTTGATACGTCAAAGTTGTTATTATTCTCAATCATAGCATTTCACAATGCCCGCTGCCAACGGAAATAACGCCGGGATCTTGAAGTCTGGGCAAGATGTCCGTCTCTTGTCACGTTCTAACAACTGTGGAAATACCTCGGGCCTCGCCCCCGGCTATGTCCAGACTAATTTGATAGTCTTGCCATCTCGTTATGCTTCAGACTTTCGACTTCTTTGCGCAAGAAATACAGTACCCTGCCCTCTAGTTGCAGAGTCAGCTGCTCCCGGCCATTGGGGCAAGATCAAGTCACACTTGCCAGGCATCGATGGCGAAACTCTGGCAAAGGGCCTGGATATCCGGCGCGATGCACCTAAATATAACGTCTATGTCGATGGAAAACTTCGCAGACAAGATTGTGAGGACATTGTCACAGAGTGGACGGATGATCATGTCGCCTTCCTCATTGGATGCTCTTTCAGCTTCGAGACTGCTTTGGCTGATGCCGGGCTAACACCTCCTCACACGACCAGAGGCCGCAACGTGCCCATGTATCGCACTACTCTGCCGCTCTGTGCAGCTGGAGTGTTCCGAGATAGCACATATGTTGTCTCTATGCGATCATACCCGGCGTCTGAGGTCGAGAGAGTGCGAAGCATCACCCGGCCTTTTGCCTCTACACACGGCGAGCCGGTGGCTTGGGGATGGGATGCCCTGGAGCGACTCGGCATCCGGGATATTGATTCACCACAATGGGGGGATGCGCCTCTCACGACAATTGATGCAAAACCACTCAGTAGCTTCGAGAACAATGAGGCAGAAGTGCCTGTCTTCTGGGGCTGCGGTGTTACTCCACAAGAGGCTGTGATGAGAGCCAACCTCGAAGGCGTGGTGATGGCCCATTCACCTGGGCACATGATTCTGTTGGATACCCTAGATGTTGAAACAGTCCGCAAGTTTTGAAATAGCATGGAACGTAAAGTAAATGGGAAAATTATGCAATACTTTACATGGTTCGTCACTAACAAGTCTTCTCTTCCGTTACCACCGCTACGGGCGTATTAACTTCTCGGAGAACTAATGCCGCGATTCTTATTCTAAATTTACGTAGCGCTGTGATGCCACAGAGAAACATGGCCCGTTTCGTGTACATTGTGTTCCCTCTGGGATATCTATTTAGCGACATTGAATAAACATTAGCTTGCATAAGTAGCAGGTTAGTCTCGCTTGGTTGATCTAGTGAACACGGTTCGTCCATGTATTTTGGGATCGGAGAGCTATCTTGATAGTATATTTGTGTTAACTCATGGCAAGCTATACAAATTTCACCGGCGATAGGCATTCTTGAAGGATAGGAATAATCAGCCTGAGAGTCGAGATTATGCCTTGTGAGGGGCGGCGGGGATTAGAAAAGTATGAAACCCATTGCTCCAAGAGCAATAGGTGTTTGATTAAAAATAGACCAGCACGTAGGCTATAGAATAGAAAAAACCTCCAGTATTTTCGTCAGAGACAGCAGGTCCCTTTTCGCCTAATAGACATAGCGGAAATCAAGCGCTCCTTCCCCAGTGGTCTCTTTTCTATCGTCCTCGCGCTCACCGCTTGAAATCTGTGCCTTTTTTCGGTTGAGAGCCCTAAGATAAAGAATCTGAACCGCAATGAGAATGATACAGATGATTGAGGAACCGAGGGAGCACCAGTGCCCCAACTGATACGGAGCAGTTCGGTACACTTGTGGTGCAACAACACCAGCAATATTTCCCACGGTTTGCTGCAGACCAATTGCGGTGGCTCGGCGGTAATGGGGGGGCATGTTGTTGTTAGCCCCTAGGTTATATTAGCACAGACTTTCTGCACTTTGGCCCGTGATTTGTACACTTACAGATTTCGTTCAACGTTCAAACCTGGTCCACAATACAGGGGGATTGCAATGAGGAAGCATGCGAAATATCGTGCACCGGGGCTTTTGGAGACACCGAGCAGAATCGCATATCCAATGACGGCGAATATGTCAAGTATTCCGAGGAACTACCTCAAGTTAGTAAGAGAAAAGATATCCGATGATTCCACCAGGTTGGAACGTGGAGTCAATACTTACCGTACCACAGAGCTTATACTTGTCTCCTATAATTGCAGCGGCCTAAGAAAAAAGTCAGGTCCTGGACTGGAACATCGTATCACTAAGAGGGCGACTCACAAAAAAAGGAAACTCCTCCGAGAAAGTAGACAGGGACACTTAGGTATTAGGCTTCCATTGAGTTGAAACCAAGATCGAGATTAAGAATAGATGGCAAAAAAGTGCTGAAGCCATAGAGCACGATGTCTTGGAGGAATTGGATAAAAGCACTATAAGCAATAGATGAGTTCAATAGTTCTTTTGGATCTGGATAATGGAAATATACGTACCACAGCCAGACCTTGGGGTCCTTGATCGCTCGACCGACCTCAACCCATTCAAAATTCAGATTTCCAAGATACTCAAAGGCGTTGGCGATCCCGAGCAAGCATAACCGCTTTCTCTTCCGGTTTCCAGAATTTGGCCTCGGATGGGTTATTGGGTAATCCCCAAAATACCCAGGCAGCTGCGATGAATGAAATGCAACCTTCGATAATGTACAGCCAACTATTGTGGGAGTTAGACTATTCAAAGGGTCATCGTAAACTGCTCTCCGTGGATCGGTTTTACCTCCAGGCGTTCAGTCCATGAGCATGACCAATCTTGGTGATACCAGTGGCGAGCAGGCCGCCGAACATGCCGGCAAGGGCGACAGATCCGAAGAGGTAGGCCATCCGGCGACCCTGGATGCTGTCAGCCTGTAACCGGATGAAGTTGATGGAATTTCACATACTTGTTCCTCTCTCTTGTAAACCATTGTGATGTACAAGCTCAAACTAGGGAAGAAACCAGCCTCGCACAAACCGAGAAGAAGACGAACGGCGACGAGTTCCCCGTAGTTCTTGACAAAGGCAGTTCCGATCGTGATTGTCGACCAACCGATCACCATCATAGTGATGGCTCTGCTGGGCTTCAATTTCTTCATGGCCAGAACGACCGGGATCTCAAACGCCACATAGGTTGCAAAGAAAACACTGACGGCGGTACTGAACTGCGCACCAGTCAGCTTCAGGTCTTCGGTCAAGCCCACGATGGCGGCGTTTCCAACTTCGGTCGAGATAGGCGATGAAGTAGAGGACGGCAAACATGGGAGCCAGGCGCAAGTCGAGCTTCTGAACGACCTTTTTCTCGAGCTGTCGATCTGGTATGACGATGGTGGACGCGTCCTCGAGCTGAGGGTCGGCTATGGTTGCCTCCATGTCTTGTTTCGAAGACAATTCATGGTCGACATGCTCGTTCTCTGGGTTTGGAGACATTGTGAACAAGTATATCTGAGGTTGCGAAGTCCAGTGGTGGTGAGATGGATGAGTTGCAGTCCGCAGGATGGTTTTGGAAACGAGAAGGCGAACTTTTATGTCAAAGTCGTAGACTTAAGCCAAGTCCAGATCCTTGCCAATTTGGCCTAGACCCCCTTGTTCCAAGGTAGATTGCCAACTATCTTGCGCGCGATATCGATGCTGGGCTTACCCCGGGTTTCATCACGTATCTGGGGTAACTGTCCAAAATGAGTTCATGATGAAGAGAATCGCGGTGGTGGAAAGCCGCTCCCGTGAGTGAAGAAAGCTCTGGAGCGACATGGCCAATCAGAGCCGGATACGAGATAGCGAGTCAGGATCTATATTACGATGGTGGAGAGGGGCGCGGTGATGGAAGTCCGTCTTTTGGTCTTTCTCGATGGGGGTAGACTTCATATAAGTGGAGAATTGCAACTGATCGTCTTGGACTGACAAGGGAAGCGGACATGCGCCTACATGGCCAACATGAAGAGGTTCTTGTATGGAAAGAAATATAAATTAGATTTGTATATGAAGTACAGTATATCTAGTCTCTCGGTCTCGTATTGACGTAACGCTGAGCAACATTCTCTTTCATCATTTATTAATACCAGATTTCATTCATCTCGCATTAAGTCATGTCTCAATCAGAAATTCAAGTTGTCGGCTACATTGGTCTCGGCCTCGCCGGTGGACCATTGGCACAGAATGTGGCCCAGAAGGGTTACAAGACCATTGTCCGCGACGCAAACAAGGAGTGCCAGGAGCAATTTGTCAAGGACAACGCTAGTCTTCCTGTGGAATCTGCTAGTGATGAGCCCGACGCATTCAAGGACGCAGATATCATTATCACGATGGTACCAAACGGCCATATTGTCCGCGATATCTTGCTGGGCGACAAGGGCATCGCCCCCCACCTGAAGCCAGGTAAGATCTTACCTCTTGTGATCTTTGAGTTTCTCTCTGGAGTCGACGAGAGCATTATAACTGATACAAGATAGGTACAATTGTTGTCCACACTTCGTCGTCCGATCCCTTGGCACGAAGCAGTTGGGCAAAGACCTTGACTAGTACAAAAGCCGACTGATCGACTCCCCGGTGACGCAAGTGCGTATGCACGGTATCAATGATGGTGAAGCTACATCATGGTTGGCGGTGCTCAAGAGGATATTGACCGCGCGCTACCTGTCCTGAAGACTATGTCTCGCTGGCGCTTCGTCATGGGGCCTCTAGGAAGCGGTCATGTCATGAAGACGTTCAACAACTATGTCACCGCCGCTGGCATTGCCGCGTTGAACGATGCCTTCATTGTGGGACGGAAGATGGGACTCGACCCCGTTCAAATCACTGACGTCCTCAACGTGGGAACTGGACGTAATTACGGGACTGCCCACTCTATCCGAGCAGAAGGTCTCACCAGATCCTACGCTAGTGGTTATGGGCTGGGTCTGTTGGTCAAAGACTTGGGCATTAACCTGGACCTCTGCACTTCTATGGGTATCGACACCACGCTGGCCAAGCATATGCATGGCTTATTCAAGGAGGCCTGGGATGAACCCAACGTTGAAAAGAGTGCCGACTACACAGAGTGCCTGAAACTTTGGGAGCGCAAAGCTGGCCTAGAGCTTCCCACAGCCCCAACGAGTGTGAAGGAGGAGGATGAGCCCAGAACGTTCCAGTCCCCCATTTAGATTAAATAATAAGCTAGATTAAAATAGAATACCTCCTTTGCTGAGGCTTATACACTTATCTACTCTTTGAATAAACCTCAACTAAGCCCCTTATTAATGTAGGTACTTGACTTAAACACACGAATGTAGTGTTCATGCAAGCCAAGACTCTCACTAGACCTACAGAGATGGTTACAAAGTCTTACGCATTATGAATGAAGTATCTAAACCAAAGGTTTTGTATATAGATTTAATTCTACGCATAGTTGAATTTTTTGTAATAGTTATTAGTACCTCTCTATAGAGATGGCTAGATATCATACTACACGCCCCTAAGACATGCTATGGGTCAGTGCACAAGGCAGCAGGAGGTCACCAAAGTGTTATCTAGTAGTTAAATAAGTAATATGGGATGAGATCATTGATTTCACTAGCGAAAACCAGGGTGGCTTATGCTTTGGGGGTGTCCATGCATGGGCGGCGGTGGATGTCCGTTTGCCATGATACTCTGAATCTCGGGATGCGGACCAGCATCGCCGAAAGCTAGGCGGCAGATGCTTTATCACACTCAGAAAGATGCGCCGTTTTTGAACTATATGGTTCCCTGTTTGATAGTACTGTTTAATCACTATCATCTCTATTCTAGTGACAGGAGTTAGACGTACCCCAAACATGGACCCTCGGACATTCGCTCATATAAACCTGCCAGATGGCACTACTTACGAGCAACCAACAGGCATATTCATCAGCAATGAATTTAGACAGTCTCGCGATAAGACAGCGATCGAGTCTATCAATCTGTATACCCAGTTGCCCATTGCATCGATTGCTCGAGGAAAGCTTACAGATGTCAATGCTGCTGTTGCCGCCGGTAAGGCTTCCTTTGGTGGCTGGCGTGATACGACACCTCAAGACAGAGCGAAACTTCTTAGCAAACTAGCAGATCTCATAGAGCGAGACGTTGAAACTTTGGCCAAAATCGAGGTTTGTTTCGCAACCAAATCCCATATCAAAGCTTCCTGCTGATCAATCATTGGACTCTAGTCGATCGACGGCGGCAAGCCCGTCCACATTGCCAAGGGCGCCGACGTTCTCGCTTCATCTGCTTGCATCCGATACTACTCTGGGTGGTATGATTTTCGTTCCTCCTATCTCGGTGACTTCTCCTAATTGTATTTCAGGGCGGACAAGATTAAGGGAGACACTATCGAGACCGATCCTGACACCTTGAACATAACCATAAGAGAGCCACTGGGTGTCTGTGGGTTAATTATTCCGGTTAGTACACCCCACTGTGCGATTATATGACGCTTTGCATTTCGCGTATTATTTCGGGGTAGTCCTGACTGAGGGCCCAGTGGAACTTTCCGCTTCTTATTACATGCTGGAAGCTTGGGCCGGCCCTGGCTGCAGGCAACACCGTGGTTATGAAACCTGCAGAGCTCACCTCACTTTCTGCGCTGTACTTGGCAAAGCTTGTGGTCCAAGCTGGCTTCCCTCCGGGCGTTGTTAACGTGGTCACGGGCCTTGGCAATGAAGCTGGGCAAGCATTAACGGAGCATGCGGACGTTAAGAAGATCTCCTTTACGGGCAGCACGCCCGTTGGTAAGGCGATGCTGAAAACATCTGCCGATACTAATCTGAAAAAGGTTACTCTGGAGCTGGGAGGAAAGTCCCCCAGCATCGTTTTCGATGACGCCGATCTGGAGCAAGTCATCAAGGCAGTGAATGGCGGCATCTTTTACAATATGGGGTATGCACGTACAGCACCATGCTCATAAAAATTATAAACTAACTTAGTTGTTTTGCAGGCAGAATTGCTGCGCTAGTAGCCGTATCTACGTCCAGGAGTCTATATACGAAGGCTTTCTCAAGCGATTTGCCGCCCGGGCTCGACGAAATAAATTAGGCGACCCGTTCCACAACGATACTTTTCTCGGTCCGCAAATTGATAGCAAACAGCATTCCAAAATCATGAATATGATTCAAAGAGCGAAGATAGATGGTGTGGGAGTTCTCACTGGTGGCACCAGCTCCGAGGGCTGTTCATTGAACCCACAATCTTCCGTGACGTCAAATCTTCAGCCGAAATTATGCAACGGGAGGTTTTCGGTCCTGTCGTTGCTGTGGCTTCCTTCAAGAATGTAGACGAGGTTTTGGAGAAAGCACATGACACCATTTATGGCCTGGCTGCTGCGGTCTTCACTTCGGATATAAAACGAGGAATCCGCCTATCGAAGATGCTGCAAGCTAGTTCAATTTGGGTTAACAATGATAATATGATCTCACATGCTCTTCCATTAGGAGGATACGGGCAGAGTGGAAACGGCAAAGATTTGGGATTCGAAGGCATTGAAGGATACACACAGCTCAAGACCGTCAGGTTTAGTTTGTAGTATGCACAATCATTCAATCTATAAACTGAACGATGTGGTACGGCAATGTCCAGTAGTTAGCGCTTGGATCATGAATCCAAGATGTGCTTGAATATTAACTTAACCAAGTGCCTACATGTCAATACGTAATTTATTAAAAATCCTAACCAATAGAAAAATGCTCAGTTTCAGGAACTTTTGCTAACAACCCCGCCCCTGCGGCGGAGAATTGCGGTGACAGAAAAAGGCGAGCAGGAGAAGCCGGAGAGCGAGGGATTCAAATGGAAATTATATAAGCAGCTGACGCTGCGCGTTGAGGGTATGTACTGGCCGGAACACCACTGCACGCTGTAAGCAGCTAGCCCACGTGTGATTTAATTGTGTTTATTCCGGGGCTTTTGGTCGACTTCAAGTTCTATTAATATTGCCATCCCAACATTGAAGTCTACGAGAACCTTGCTAAGACCACTCAGACTCAAGCGGGAATCATGTCGCATCCCCGCCAGGAGAGAACTGATCCTTTGGGTGAGATACAAACTCTGAGCCCGATCGAATGCGGAGAAGATGCGGCAAAGCACTTCCTGCACGACTCCGACTATATTAACCTTAATCACGGTACGTCGAGACGCTTACTGCCTTGCTGATGGAATGTTTTGCTCATTCATGCCAGGATCTTACGGCACATATCCGAGGGAGATTCGCGATGTTCTTCGTTACTACCAAGATCGAGCCGAAGCTAGACCTGATGACTTTGTTCGCTATCAGTATCGTGTACACCTACTCAGAGAGTCTCGAGAAGTGCTTGCAGAGTACTTGGATATCCCAGCTGAATGCTGCGTCTACATCCCGAATGTATCCACAGGCATCGACACGATTCTGCATAATTTCGACTACAAGCCCGGAGATGTGATTATTGGGTTTCCCACAATCTATGATTCTTACGAGTCTACTGCCAAGTATCTCAACGAGGTCACGCCCGCAGAGTTCAAAAAGATCGAGTACACTTATCCAGTCTCCGATGATTTTATTTGCCAGACCTTCGAGGACACTGTAAAGAAGCTCTTACAAGCGGGAAAGAAGCCAAAAGTCGCCCTGTTTGACACTATATCCTCTCTCCCCGGGCTTCAGATGCCCTTTGAGCGTCTAACGAAGCTTTGCCGCTCGTACAACGTTCTGTCGCTCATCGATGGAGCCCATGGAGTTGGGATGATACCTCTGCATCTCCAGCAGTTGGATCCTGATTTCCTCGTCAGCAATTGCCACAAGTGGCTCTACACTCCAAGGAGCTGCGCGTTTCTGTACGTGCCGGTCCGCAACCAGCATCTCCTCAAGATAACATTTCCAACCGGTTTCGGTTTTCTCGAGTTTCCCAAAGACGAGGATGCCCGGAAGCTGGTGCCAAATAATTTCGTCGAAAATTTTGCCGATCTTAATACGAGGGACGACACTCCTTATCTCTGCGTCAGGGCTGCGTTGGAGTGGAGGAAGAAGCTGGTGTGGAAGAACAAGGAAGGAGAGGATGCTATCATGAGCTACCTGTACTACCTCGCGGAGCAGGCCGGATCCATCTTCGCTGCAGCGCTGGGGACAGAAGTGCTCAGCCAGGGAATCACCAGTATGACCAATGTTCGCCTACCTTTGGAGATAGACCTGATTACGGGAGGAGTGCCCGCAAATGTTGGTGAGGTGTCGAGATGGGTCATGAAGGAGATGATGGAACAGCATGGCACCGCTATCAACCTTACATTCTATAACGGTGCTCTCTGGATCAGGCTGAGTGCCCAAGTATACCTGACTGTGCAGGATTTTGAGGTTGCTGCTGGGCGTCTCAAGATTATTTGCGATACGGCATCAAAGCGCACTTGGAATTTCAGGTCTTCTTAATATGAGATTCTTGATTGTTTTACGAGAAGAGAGAATCATGGCTTCAGAAAAATGAGCTTGATCTCAAAATGCGATACTCCATCTTCGAACCTGTGGGTTCTGTGCTGCTCTATTGGCTACAGAGCACCGACATATATCAAGTGAAAATATAAATATCTACCTAGAGTTTTGCAATCTCATCACAAACTTCAATCAGCTTTGCTTTTGTTCCGAGTTCCTGTTTCCTTGTTAGCACAGCTCTTGGAGCGAGAATCAGCAAAGAGGAACCTTACATTAGCACTGTGTCCCGCATCAGGAATAATATGAAGTTTTGACTGCGGCAATCCTAGATGAAGATCCTGGGCAGTCCGAGCAGGACACACTATATCGTAGCGACCCTGGACGATATGGCCTAGTCAAGAATTAGCAAGAGATCAGTATCCGTTGGGTGGGTGAGTCGTACATGGAATGTGTTTGATGCGCTCCAGATTGCTCGGTTTCAGCAATTGCCCGTCCTCAAGCCAAGCTCCATGAAGAAAATAGTGGCATTCAATCCGTGCGTGCTGAAGGTTCCAGGTCTCGTTGCCGTCGAGTTGGGCGTGAAGTTCAGCATTCCGCAAGAGCGTACTTGCTGTGATCTCGTATTTGTTCCAAGCCCTAGATGCGGGGTTGTGAACAGCCGGATCATCGTCAGTGAGTAGTCGGTAATATTCCGTCAGCAGTGTTCGCGTCTCAGACAAGCTCTCTGCGCTTTTGGTTGTCTTCCCTTTCAGGTGTCCCAGGAGCTCGTCGTATTCTTCGGGGAAAAGTTGGTTAACCGCTCCATAACGAGCAAATGCATTGGCCAGTTCAGACTCTCGCACAGCGAATATCCCGCGGAGGACTAGAGACGAAGTGGTCTGAGGGTATGCCTCAGCGTAAGCAAGCGCCAGAGTACTTCCCCAAGACCCGCCAAAGACCATAGCCCACTGGGTAATGCCTAGGTGTTCTCGCAGCTTCTCAATATCGTCGACCAGGTGCTGGGTCGTATTCTCGCGGATTTCCGCCGCCGGGATTGACTTTCCACCGCCGCGTTGGTCCATAAGAACAACACGGTAGACCTTTGGGTCGAAGAATGCTGTGTTGGTAGGAGACGTCCCGCCTCCAGGACCGCCATGAAGAAAGAGGACTGGGCGGCCTGTTGGCAACCCGTATTCCGCAAACCAGAGTTTGTGGATGCTGCCAACAGGGAGGAATCCAGAGTTGAAAGCGTCGCCATGGGAATATCCCGCAGCTTTTGTGTTGGAGGAAGCCATTTAGAGATATAAGAACGTTGAAAAGTTACCAAGCGATCAAGGATCTGAAGATGAATTTTATGTTCGAATCGCCCTTCTTGATAGTTTCACTTGGTCTACTATGTCGTTAAAGGTTCAAGTCGAGTGCGGATCATTTTGTTCAACGCCAGACGCAATATCTGGGTCAAGGCTTCTTCAGACGGAGAAAGGATGTCAAAATCACAGTCAGGAGGAATGAGGGAGGGGTATTGAGCAATTATCGCGTGAGTCATTCGATTGACTCGAGAGGCAAAGCTGTTTGGCCCCACAAAGGACGATGCGCACTGATTCTAAGCTGACAAAAAAAGTCAGGCAAGGAAATAGTATTAATGTATGAGAGGATATATCAGCCTATATTATGAGATGATAATCTTTTTAAGCTTTCCAAGCCTCCATTTAGTTCCATAGGTACGAACTTACATTCCTCAGATACGGCCATTTCAATTTTAACCTTCTGAACAAACCCTTTGCTACTTTGCCTGACAAAAAGACTGTAAAAGATATCCATCAATCCAACTCTGATATGCTGACAGGCATCGCGATCTACCCAAAGAGGCAGTTGCCGATGATCTTGCCACCCCCTCACTTTTCCCTGAGACAACAGGCATGATGTAATCTGACAGATGAGCTCGATGTATTATAGAGCACACGAAGCCTCGGAACAAGTTGCAATTTATTATTCTCGCCCTTCCAACGATTGTAAGCCGATCTCTTAGCAATGCCGAATTACCAATCGTACTCAGCAGACAAGTTCTATCAAGATTGGCGTTACGCCGTGGGCAAGGAATTCACCACCCAGGATGGTCAACCGTTCCCATACGCCGAAAATGGCCATTTGCACTGGGACGATGAGCTCAAAAAATTAGAATTTGGTGGTCAAGGACCGTGGGATGCTTGTGTGAGCGGTGATGGACGGTCGCTAGCCGTAGTCTTGCAGAAGGACATTCATATCATCGACACAAACACCTGGGCGACCGTCTGTATCCTCCGCGGACATGAAGAAGCAATACAGGGCCTCGCCTTCGCACCGAATGACTCCAATATTCTAGTATCACATACTCCGCGTGATTTTGGCCCAATTGGAACTGATACAGAGCCCGTGATCACTGTTTGGGATATCAAAGAGTACCAGAAGCGTCACATTTCGATCCAAAGCCAAGCCTCACCGGATGAGGTCGCCGCCGCAGCAGCTCAAACGGCTGCTTCCAAAGTAGCTGAAAAAGGCGTGAAGCAGACCATCCAGGGACAAGCGAGAATGATTCGAGGATCTCAGGTCTTTAGTCCATCGGGGAAGAAATTTGCTTATATACCTGGAGGTTGGCTCCGATCAAACGATGTCGATGTCTGGGACATCAACATCGTTTCTACCAGCGATTTTCAATCAGACCGTATCGCCCTTCATGCTCACACCGACCGCATCACATGGATGGGGTGGAATCATGACGAATCTTTGTTCGCAAGTGTCTCCTGGGATAAGACGATTCGAATTTGGGATGCAATTACTGGAGAACAGCGATTTTGTTTTACCACAACCATGCAGAACTGGGCGGGTAGATTCTCCCCCGATTCCAAATACTTCGTTGCCACCTGCGGTACTGGTGCCACGCACATCTACAACCTGTCTGACGGCTCCACGGTCTGGGTCCTCCAGCGCGAAACCCCAAGAGGCTGGCGACGTGCGCTGGATTGGCACCCTAACGGCAAGTTGCTAGCCGTGGGAGGGGAAAAAATGGCTCCTGTATACTTGTTGGACGTGGAGAAGAAAGAGGTCCTTCAGCAACGACCCTTCTCGCCGGAGAAGACACATGCTCAAGGGGGCAGGGACACTGAGACTGTACGAAGCATGCTAGGGTCTTTCTTAGGTGTCCGCCAGGTCCGGTTCGTTGACAACGGAAACAAGCTGGCCGTTTGGACCTCTGGAGACGACAGCATTGAGGTGTATGACTTGGCTCGAGAAGTGAAATGGAGGTTTGCGAGAGGGGGGACGGATGATGGCATAGACAATACGAAGTGGACGGAGCTCAAGTGCCCATACAATTCCAAAATGTTGAATTGGGAGGATAAAGAGAGGGGACATACCATGTTTGCCAGCGTGGACTGTGACGGGATCCGAATTTGGTCTCTCCCGCTGACAGGGCCTTGGAAAGGCCCCTGACATGATGAAACGTCAACGTGGAGCCCCAAAACTTATGATCGGAATAGAAGGCACACTTTTAGGGATCAGTCTGTACGAGTGGGGGGCATTGAAACTTTGAGTCACGTACAAAGATTGTTGTTAAACTGGAATGCGATGGCCTCGACATAATTTTGAATAGCATCATTGGCAAGCCTAACCCGATACGATGGAATATATTGTGTCTATGAATGCTACCTCTAGGTTTTGAAAGCCACGCAAAGCTCTCTTGTTCCTTACATTTCACACTATTCCCCCTTAACAGTGTTCGATTCTTCTAAATAGGTTGTGATTTCCGTCTACGCTCTTCGATAGCCGATACGCTCATCCTAGTAGATTCGAGGAGAAGGCGGGTTTCGTGCGTTCAGCAATCAGGAGGTGTCAATCATAACTGATAAGAGGTCAAGACAGCTGAAGTGTTCAAATTTCGGAGACCCCAAATCATATATCGTCTATTTTAGTTTGCCGGGTCGAGTCGAGTGAAATTCAAACAAGCCTTTGGTATCATGGTCCGTATACAAAGCTGTGCTGGGTTGATAGGGGATCAATAGCATCATAATTCATCACTATCTAACACTAATATTAGAGCCTTATAAAGATAAAAGTGACCAATTAGTCCTTCTAAATCTCCATTAACTTGACGTCAATACTCCACGTTGTCCTCTAACTCTCGTTGCCCTTTGATGACAGCAATGAACCACGCATAAAAAGACAAACACTAATTGTCCATCTTCAACCAGAAAGCATCCTTTTTCGAGCATTAAGCGCGGGTCTCAACACTACGAACTTGCTGAGGGTTCGCAGAAAGCTCAGGATATGGCTGAGAGTGTTGATATGTTTCTACGTCAGAGCCCAACTCCATCAACGTTGAGGACGGCATGTTAGTCTCCCGATGGTTATTCTGGTGGGTCATGGGTATTCCCCCAGGAAAATAAGCCGATCCAGTTGGAAAGAGGGGTTTATTTATGGGCGTGTTGTCCGAACCGGGCTGTACATTCATCGACTCCTCGTGTCGATAGGATCTTTTCCCCCACCAGAACCCACCAGCTATAAGAAGACCGAGCGCAATCACGCCGCCAAGGACAGGACCAGCGATCCATGCCTGGCTGCTGACCGCCGAACTAGAACCGGAGCCTGCTTCCGATGTACTTTTGGGAGGGAGGTCGCTTGTGGAGGTCATTGGTACTGCTGATGCGGTAGCTGATAGCATTTCGGTCGAAGTGATTGTCGAATCTTTGGGCGAGGATGTACTCGTTGTCGACGACGTAATCGGTTCGCGATATACGGTCTATGCTGACCAAACAATACCGCAAAAGATATACTTGGCCATGGGACCGCCGGCTGGTGACGTTTGTAAAATTGTCATTGTCTGGCAGGAGGACAGGCCAGTGCTGTAATTACGTTAGCTTACGACACGCAAACGATTTGATGGACGAGCTGATGTGACAGTCGGAAAGACTGACCATGCACTATTGGTGATACCGGGTCCTGAAAGCGTGTTATCTTCACACATGGTGTTGACCTCACACTTAGATCCGGAGCTTGGACACGGACCAGCAAACTTTCCCGATGTCGTGAATTTTGTGTAAAATGGGCTTTGGGCCTCCATTCTCTCGACTGGACGGAAGATTAAGTACACATTCTATATTTGTTCTTTAAAAAACAAACTTACCGGCCGTTTTACCAGCGTCAAAGAAGTAGCCTATAAACCGTGGGTCTTCCAAGTCAGACTTGTTCGCAGATGCTTCGAGCAGGAAGCATAAGGTAACCAGACCCCTGAAAATAAGCTTGTATCCAGGAATCTCGATAGCAGTATGTCGTCTCAGCTGGTGAAGGGTTGGGAAGTAGGAGAAAGAGCCTGAGGAGAAAAGTATGGAAGATTCTTCTGCCTCTTATTGTTCTTTCGGGGGGAGTCTTAGTCATGGGACTCTGCTGATAAGCGCCAGCCTCGTTCTTGGCCAATCATAAATTTGAATGAACGAAATTAGAAGGATATTTTCGGTGGGCGGTCTTGTGCGGTCTTGTACTCTGGTGTAATCTAGCCATCCCGATTGGCTTTTGCTGCATGAGCTGAAAAAGATGGCTTTGTGACATGTAAACATTCGGTGGCCTGGAGGTACTTTTGACTTGCATACGAACGCGAAAGCGCCTCCTATTATCGAATTTATTTATAGTTTTATGTCGTGCTTTATGATATCCGTGCCAACTTCTGCAGTTTCTCATCGGAAAGTGAGCCAACGCCCCGGTCAGATTCGGGTACATACATCATGCCTTCCAAGAAAATGAGTCAACATAATATATGCATCTCCCAACGATCCGCTGTTTTTGCACCACCGCGCGACTTTAGGCTTCATGCCCTATTCTAAAAGTTTCCGAACCGAAACCAGCGTCGTTTCCATAAATTAGTTAGGAGAAGACATTCCACACGGTAGATCCATTTGCTTTAGAGCAACCTGAGATGAAATGTCATACGCCTCGCGCTCCCGATGGTATATTATTCGCTCTATAAATAGACGAACCAACCAGCTGATGATCTTTAAATATATGACTCTTGAGCCATCGGCAGAAAAGAGAAATCCAGTTACCATCAAGCAGTCTACTCCCGAGGATATGATCAAGGTTTTGGATGTTGAATCCGCGATGTTGCCTATTGTGATACGATGGAACCAAGATTACGGGATATCTTATATAATATTCTTCTTTTTAATTCTAAATAAATAGATTATCTATAGACCCTTATTAGATGATAAAAAATTCAAGTCTCCTATTAATTCCGCTTTAATTAGTAATCTCTAGCTGTAGCGAATCATTACACCTATCCTTAGTCTGTCATGATTAGATATGATGGCCATAATTCTCCCTCAATTGCCCGAAAATAAGATGCTGGACGGGCCGCGGCCAATTTTCTAACTAGCATAGAATTGGTATCGCGAAAAGGGGAGCTGAAAAGTAGCGCTCTCTAGCTCTCGGTTTGGAATGCATGCCCGCATTACGGCAGCGCCTGGGCTAAATGGATCAGATGACGCGCCAACGCACTTTGCGGCTGAACACTAGTAATGTTGGACAACATGAGACCTTCCCGCGTTATTCTGGAGGGGATGAATTCTCCCTCTCGTTTCGTATGATGATCAACGTGTGGCGCCAAAGGCGACAACTTCACAATGAACCAGTGGCCCTCGGAAACATCCCTGAACCTCTGCTCAGAGGTTATCAAGCCTCTTTGGTATCCATTTTATCTTATATTCGAGTACCTTCTACACCCGGTTTGGTCCTCATTGTATCCTTTATCTGCCTATCATGAAGAGCGGCGAGAGCAGAAACGCCTCGAGGCTGCGGCCAAGCGGCTGGACGACGAATTCCAGCAGCTACAAGTGAAAAATCACCATAAATTCCCAGCCACAAGCGCATCCACCTGTCCCTCAGGGCCCCTCTTCTCCAAAGTACCGTTTGATGTCCGACGTCAAATTCTTATTGAAGCGTTCGGGGCTCAGACAGTTCATCTTGATCTTGACGTGGTCGAGAAGACAAGGGGCCAGCGCAAGGTCAAATCATGGCAATGGATGAACTGTGTGTGCCACAGCGAGAGGCTGGATCTACCGCACGAATCCCTCGATCGGAGGCATTTTCTTCACCGGGGAACGCAGAGAGATCCGCTCGCATGCCCGGGAAGCCAGAGGAAGCCCTCCCACTTAGGGAGATGTCCCACAGATTCTCACGTCGGTGCTTCAGGTTGGCTATTATCGTGTCGGCAAGCGTGAGTTGACTCTCCCTGGCTTCGAGATTCTTGGAAACCAATCGAGCGAGGCACTAATAAGAAAATATGCCTGCAGTTACGAAGAAGGCATCGAAGTTCTATACCGGACGAACACAATACATATTGAGTCACTCTCCCTTCTTCGTGGTATGCATGAGTTTGTGGCCCCGTACAAGATGGCCCTCATTACCTCCTTTACGATAACCATCGATCTAAATCTTATGATATTCGACGAAATCTTTGGTGGTCTTTCTCCAAAAGTTTGCCCAAATCCATTCAGGTTTACTTCCTTAGCTCGTTTGCATATTATTTGCGCAATCAAATACAGCCTGGTGTATCTGATTGACCTCTTGGTTCCGAGAATCTCGTCATGGAGAACAGCCGTGCATGTGTTCTGTGCTTCTTGGGAGGTATATACAGCCGTCGATCTCAATCTGGCTGAGAATCAGGGCGTCGACAAAACAAAATTGCACTGGGCTGATGTTGGTGGGTTGCGATGCTGGAGAGAGATGACACCGAAAAAAGAGGGCGACTCCGATGCTTCACCAAGCGGGTACTGGATTCACCTTTCTAGTCAACTGATGCCCTCGCATCATGGTAGTAAGTATAATTTTTGCTTGTCTGACTCTAAACACGGCTAATGTCCCAAGACTTCGTATGTGATGGTCGACGCATTGGTCTCTATAACTTGCGAGATCACGAGCTCAGACCGAAAAAAAAGTTCATCAGTATATCCGAAGCCGAGGAAGACAGTACCCCGGGTAGCTCGTCTGGGTTTGCGTAATAGTTTGACTCATTTTGTCTGCACTTAGGCGCTTGAGCATTTCTTATCATAGGCTTTATTTGATGGCTTTGCCTTCTTATCAGAATCTACCGGGAATGAGCGCCGTATTTATGAATAGTGATGGAATGTTGAAATCTACAACCGTCAGTCAACATAGCGCGGATGCAACCATATTTTGTGCGCGGGTCACAGTGACCAAGCCTTCCCCCATCTCCACGTACATGTGGATCTGTGACAGAGCCCTGTATGCGGCCAAGGTCTCTTGCTATCAAAATGTTGAATCCCCAGGGTTCGGTTGCTCCTTGTGTCTAGAAGTCAGATTTGCATGGAGGTCTCCGCTCCGCAACATAGATTGCCAGACATTAGTCCTAAAACACGACGACCCGACCACCTCGGTTAAGACAACATTTCAAATGAAGTCCATATGAGTGGTCGTGCGCCGTGGATCTGCCCTGGGAGGGGGTGTTCAGGTTGTGCTTGAGCAGCGGGCAAGCAGAGTTGGCCGCGGCGCAACTTTGGCCGTGGCGTAACGAAAACCCCAGTACGCAGATCCAGCCCCTATCGATCTCTATCTCTTAGCTGCACGTCCTATCCAGTTCTCCACAAAGTTCAGTGGCAGAACCACACTCTGGGGTTCTCCACCTCCTTCATGCACAGCTGGTTGTTATCGTTGACAAAACCCCTGTCTGGTAATAGGATGGCAGTCTGTAGGGACAAGACATTATAAAAAGACATCCCTTCCATCTGCTGTGTCGGTGTTTCCTCATCTGAACTCCTTGCATCTCTCCCCTACCGAACTGTCTATCATTTGCCTTAGTTAAGATGGACTCGAAACCACTGTTCTTCCGCGAGCTCACGCGGCGCTTGCTGCGCATCTTCCTATTTCGGTGAGTATCTTCGTGATCTTGGCTTTAACTCAAGGCGAGGGCATCATTTGCTAACACCTGCATTACAGATAGGAGCAATGGTATATCACTCCAGAAGCGGTCCGGATGCTTACTTGGGCACATGCAGCTCACACGGCTCTTTAGAATTTTGGCTACGACAACAATTGGTGGGCTGGTGTTATCGGACAGCAGAGTTTCATCAACGATTACGGTCGTTACAACGGTCCTGGCCAGGACCGCTCCCTTCCATCCACCTGGCTCTCGGCAGCCAGTGGCACGCCCATCGCGAGATGGATCATCGGCTGCCTCCTGGCTGGCTACCTGACTAGCACGTTCGGACGAAAGATGACGATCATAACCATTTGTGTGGTGGCGCTTATTGGAATGGTGATCCAGGCTGCTGTTCTGAATTACTGGGTGTTGATGGTTGGAAGACTCATCAATGCGTTCTCGATGGGTATGCCGACCGAGCTCGAAGATGGCGAACTTGCATATGCTAATATACGGCTAATAGGTATTGAAGCGAATTATGTGCCTATGTACATGGCCGAACTTGCTCCTGCATCAATTCGCGGCGGTCTGGTCAATTTTTACCAGTCGTGGTTGTACATTGGTGCCGCTCTCGCAGCTATCACTGTTTATGCTTCCTCCATTACTTTGACTGGAACATGGTCATATAGGACTGGTATGTCGTAGTGAACAATCACAACCTGACTTGAATGGATACTGATTTCTGTTGATGCAGCTATCGTGGCTCAGACCGGTCCTCCCTGTATGTTCCTGGCTGCTATCTGGTTCATTCCCGAATCACCTCGCTGGCTTCTAGGTAAAGGCAGAAAAGAAGAGGCCGTGAAAGCATTGGCCTACATGAGAGCAGGCGCTGAAGAAGAGGTCGTCACTGAGCTGAATCTGATTGACTTGGCGATGCAGGAGGAACGGGAGAACAACCTCGCTACGAGCTATGCGGACTGCTTTAGAGGCACCAACTTACGCCGCACCATCATCGCCGTTGGCGTCCAAGTTTTGCAACAAGCACAGGGAAACTCCTTCGCGACCACGTATCTCGTCATCTTCCTTAAACAAGTCGGTGTCAAGGAACCGCTGCTGATAAATGTTGCCAAAATGTGCTGCAACTTTGGAGCAACTCTCCTCACCTTCTTCCTCACCGACATGCTTGGTCGTCGGCCGATGCTCATGGGTGGTTCTTTCTTCATGGCAGGCCTCATGTGGACAGCGAGTGGTGTGTCAGCATGGAGCCCAGGTGGCCCCTCTAATACTGCTGTGCAGGGAGTTGTGGCTGCAATTCTCCTTTATGTAGGTGACTTTGGTTTTCTTTTCTAAATCACTTTAAGTGTGTGCCAGCTAACGACTCTCCCGGGGAGCATTCGCTGCCGCATGTTGGGGTTCTGTGGTGTGGACTGTCACAAATAAGTCATCATATATCTACAAATCAACTCTGAAGGATGATGTTAACAACGTATTAGCCGAAGTCGCGACTACGCAGCTGAGAGAACGAACGATTTCTATAGCTACCATGTTGGGCTTTGTGACCAGCCTTCTGATCACCTACATCAACCCATTCGTCCAGAATTAGCCTGGATATCTTGGCGCAAAGGTTGGCATGATTTACGGAAGCATTTCGATTCTTGCTTTGATTTTCGTATTCTTAGTAGTTCCAGAGATGAGTGGTCGAAGTCAGAAGAGTTGGATGAGTTATTCCACGCCAAGGTCCCGGCCTGGAAGTCTAAGGACTATGTTTGCACTGGAATTGGCACCCAGATTACTCACATCCAGAATATTGACGGAAAGAGAGTTAGTATCGATCGGGCACAGTCTTTTTCAGGAGAGGCTCAAGGAGACAATGTGAAGAAGTGAGAAAAATTGGACTGTCAAGACTGCAAAGGCAAAGAGTGTAATCCAGAGCTTTAATCACCGCAACAGACTCTCAAAATCTATAGAAAAGCTTCGTGTAGTGTTCACATACGTCTTTTACACATATCCATGCATCACCTGAATAAGAAACCTTTACCAGTGTCCCATTATCCCACTGTGCATAGTATCTTGCTATCACTTCACCCGCCAAGGTGAGCAGTATGTGGCGGTTTAGGTCCTTTGGAACAGGATGGTGGGACTTCAGCAGCTTACAATTAATACTGGCCGAGTAAATGTACCTCCTCGATGTAACTTAATGTGACACCAAGCACTCTTTTAATCCACGCTCCCTTTGTCCCTCAACTTATCATCCTTTGCAAGTTCTGCCGTTATAAGTTCTTCCCTAATTGAGCGGAACACTGGCGCTGTTTCATAACCCTGAGCTTGCTTGTCTTAAGCATCATGACACACAATTTCGTGGCTATCACCGTGTAACCATATCCAAAACAAAGGTCAATGTATGCCAAGGTGGCAATAGAGTTCATAGCATCACTTCATGTCGTAAGATGCGACACGAATTTGGTGACAAATCCATGCTTAGAAATCAATCGCGTCATCCCCATATCTAACAGAACCATCGCCTGAATTATTAGTCGTCCTTATCCTTAAGACATCAAAGATCCCGTTTCCTCTCAGTCAATTAAGCTATTTGATTACCTGTAGGTATTGACACCCGTGAACATGGCTCCCATCCGAATCGGTATTGTTGGTCTGTCCGCCTCAGCCAAGACATCTTGGGCAGCCAACGCACATCTTCCCTACCTGCTCTCCCCTCGCGGCCAATCCCACTATAAGATCGTCGCTCTCTTGAACTCGAGCGTTGAAGCGGCCAAGAAGTCCATCCAGCACTTCAATCTGCCCCCCGAGACCAAGGCATACGGTGATCCCCAAGCCCTCGCAGATGACGGCGATGTTGATCTCGTAGTCGTCAATACACGCGTGGACGTGCACCACCAAACGGCTTTACCAAGTGCCAAGGCCGGCAAAAACGTCTATGTCGAGTGGCCTTTGGCCCAAGATGTCAAGCACGTCGACGAGCTGGTCCAGGCGGCAAGGCAGGGTGGTGGCCGCACTCTCGTCGGCCTACAAGGACGAGTTGCCCCTCCAGTGGAGAAGCTCAGACAGCTCATCCAAAATGGACGCATTGGAAAGGTTTTGAACAGTGAAGTCGTGGCTGCAGGGGGCTTAAATGATCGAGAACGTGCGCCACAGTCTCTCAAGTACTTCTTGCAGCGGAGAGTGGGAGGAAACGTGTACACCATCGGCTTTGGGCACTGTGAGTGACCGGATTGTTACTTTACCTCGATCTCAACTAACAACGATTAGTATTCGACCAGATTCAGCATGTCCTGGGAGACTTCACGAAGATTGAATCGCATCTTCAAATTCAGAGGCCAGAAGTTAAGATCTTTGATCCTGCCTCCAAGAATGTAGTCGAGACGATTCAATCAGACGTTCCTGACCTTGTTTATGCCATAGCCACTCTCCCTGCATCGGAGAGCACTCAAGCTGGAGCAAGTGCCTTACTTCGCTTCCGCAGAGGCCAAACCTTCAAAGGCGACTCAGCACTAGTGTGGACCATTCAGGGCACGAGGGGAGAGATCCGACTGACGGCCAGAGATGGAACAACTCTGCATGCCTCGGCATATTCGGGGCCTGTTACAATCCAGGTCTATGATTTCGCTACCGATTCGGTTGAAGACGTCCCGTGGGAGTGGGCAGATTGGCAGGAAGAACTGCCCATTCTCGCCCGATCTGTCGGTGAGGTATATGAGAGATTTGCGAGCGGGAATGGTTCAGTGTTGGCGTCGTTTGAAGAGGCAGGTGTGCGGCATGAGCAGCTAAACAAGCTTCTCGTTGCCTTTGATCATCAATGAAATTAACAATACCAGTCGATAGTAACTAGTTTGAGATAATGAATGTATGTCTGAGATCCCTACCCGTAGCAGAGGCACACTCTTCAACTTTTCTCATTGAAAAGATCAATGGGCAATAGTTGCACCATGTTCTCCCCAAGCCTAGGCATAGCAGTAATCTAGTTTACCATGCATGTCCCTTTTATCACCAGGGAGAAGTCACCCTCGATCCAACCACATTCAGAACCGCCTGTAGAATCGGAGACTAACAGATAATAATCACGAAGATGCATCAGTGTCCCCAGGGACTCGATATGAATGATAGAACGTCGGTATGCGTGACATTGAAACATGGAATAACAGTCAAACAGGCAAGGTAGAAACCAGCTTCGTACTATAGACTCCCTTGAGAATTCATGAATTCACGAAGTGATACAACACCTGACAAAAGGCCGATCATGGTAATTGAAGGGCTGTTTGCTTCTTTTGCCTTTTCGTCCCATCCCTGCACAAATTAGCTAGGAAGGCAAGATGACCAGCTGTGGTGCTAGGTTTCAGGACTGCCAAACCATGTTTGACAGAGAAACCCATGTCTGCTCCCAAACGAAGTATCTCCGCCCAGGTTCTTGACACTATTGGCAAATGTTGCACAGCGTAGAGCTGGGTTTGAACGCGCTGGGTAGTAAAACAAGATCTTTGATAAAGAACTCATTTATCTCGTCGAAAGTTCCAACTGCCGGTGCACTGTCCATCTTCTAGGCCTTACAGTGTCAGCAGCCATTGAACGTAAGGTCTGAGGTTTGAGAAACCTATCAAGATATTCCAGGTTCTAGGCCTTGTGGAGATGGCACACGGCGGTTACAAGTTCAGTTTCACAACGTTTCATTCAGAGTCAGTCAATGTACAACGTTGAAAAAGGTGATAGTTTATAGAGACGAGAATCGGCGAAGGGAGCAGCATAACCATCCTATCTAACCTTCATTCAATGGATGAATTTCATATAATATAGATATTGGGAGGCTTGGCAACGGTAATACGCCATGATGCGTGGTGATAATAATGAGTGCATTGTTTCAAGTCGATTCGTCCAATCGAGGGCCAAGGGCGTCTAGCTACGGTCACATAGAAGTAGATACAGGAAAGTAGCTGGATATGGAGGATTCTAAGGATGAGTTGACGGCCATTTCCCCAAACAGGCGCCAAGTGCAAAAGGGTGTGTATAGGTTCGTCGATGGTGCGCCATAGTGCGACCTGGCGCTCTTCCACCACGCCAGTCCAGATGGAGAGGCCTGGTCCAGAATACCAAGCGGCCACTCAAGTCTTATGTTCCTTGAAACTTTGTCGCATAGATTTCAGCTGCCAATGCTTGTTTTCAGCTCACACAGCCCTCCATCATCCGGCCTGTGCGTGTTTGCATGCTGGGGTCTAGACTCTGACCTTTCCTAGACATCGTATCTGCTGTCAAAGGTCAAAGTCCAAGAATCTTTGATATGCAGTATATCCGGGATATACGGGAAGCCCAAGAATATAAGAAGGAACAACTATGGCTTGAGCATAGTTGATTCCCATTCCTTCATTTCCAAGTGATTCAGAGCCCAGAATTTAGAGCCAGCAAATATGCATTTCAAGTCGATCCTTCTCTTCGTTGCAGCCTCGCTTCAGGTCGCATCGGCCAAGAACTTCACCTGGACTGGGTCCAATGAAGCTGGTGCTGAGTTCGGGGACAAAAAGCTCCCCGGGCGGCTGGGTTTTGACTACATCTGGCCAACGAACGAGTCAATTGATGTAAGTGGCCACGCTTGGTTGTTCGCGTCCGGTGGCAGAGGGACGAAAGTTGATGCAGTATGCTTCTTAGACGCTTGCGAGGACTGGAATGAACACCTTTCGAATCCCATTCAAGATGGAGCGGCTCATCCCGAAGAATCTGAGCGGCCCCATCAACGAGACATATTTTGATGGTCTCCAGAAGACTGTCAATCATATCACCGGCAAGTATGTGTCAGTCACGCAATACATCTTTCTTAGCTCGTATCTAACGCGTAGATGCAGAGGCTTGTATGCAGTCGTTGACCCTCACAACTACGGCCGCTACTACGGCAAGGTGATCACGAATGTGACGGGCTTCGGCGCGTGGTGGACCACTGTCGCGACCCGTTTCAAGAACAACAGGCTCGTCATCTTCGACACCAACAACGAGTTTTACGGGATGAGAAACGAGCTCGTCCGAGACCTGAATCAGGTAGCCATCAATGCCATTCGAGCCGCTGGCGCAAGGACCCAGTATATCTGGGTCGAGGGCAACTCCTGGAGCGGAGCCCACTCGTGGGTTTCAAGCGGCAACGGAGCGAGCCTTGTGAACTTAACTGACCCATCGAATCGCACTATCTATGAGATGCATCAGTATCTCGACTCTGACAGCTCCGGAACAAGTAGCATCTGCCAGTCTCCCACAGTGGGCAGGGACCGTCTAAGGGCTGCTACCGAGTGGCTTCGCAGGAACGGCAAGAAGGGAGTCATCGGAGAGGTAGCTGCGGGCAACAACAGGAACTGCAAAATTGCGATCAGAGGCATGCTGCAGTACCTGAAGGACAACTCGGATGTCTGGACTGGCTGGGTCTGGTGGTCAGCTGGCCCCTGGTGGGGGAACTACATGTTCAACATGGAGCCCCCCAACGGAATCGCTTATAGGCAGCTACTTCCGGAGATCAGGGCCTTCATTGGCATCTGATGCGGCCAGTCTCTGTGGTGTGTACTGAATCTAGATCGAGATCGTTTGATCTTGAGCAAGACAATGATCACAGAGCTTAGCGGGTGACGGAGGACAGCTCTTGTCTTCGCCCTATACAATTCCGTGCGCCTTTTCGTGACTAGATTTGATGTTACCTCTCGTACATATGTATTGGTGTAATCACCTTAACAGGCATGACCTATTTGATGATGAAATCCTCAAACTGAATGCCGTGCTATTGGACGAGGCTTCGGACGAAGCTGTGTTTCCGTAGATATCCTTCGGGGAAGCAGCCACTCTTGAGAACAATCAGCTATGGAAACACTCTAAACTCATTGGATCATTGCCAGGACCGTAGTTGTAAACAGACGGCGTCGAGGCGGGCGGTGAGGTAGTGGTTGCAACGGCAGTGCCACACCCATAGACCCGTTTAGCTGTTGTGATCCAAGACATGATCCTGCCATGGTGGAAGTTCGTTGCGCCTCATTGTAGTCCAAGCCCAGCCCATGATTCTCTAACGCATTGTCGAGACCACAGGGCAGTGATACAAAAGCTAAACAGCCAAGGCAGGCTGTTTGACCAGAGGAGGTCAGGTCTCGGAACGAATCAGGCTTGGAGAACATGCAAGGCCGGCAGTCACTTACGGGAAATGAAGCACTTGGCATCAGTAAATAATCAACAACTTGATCTAGTAGGTACCATCGCGCTTGAGAATCATGACGCGATGCCAAGAGACCATCACAAGGGTCTGAAGTTGAGCCCCACAAGGATTGAGAAAAATAAGGTCAAACACCATGGTGCGGAGAGATTTCGGTCACCGAAGAATCCACAATCCCCTCATTTGTAAGTAGCAAATGGCCACGGTGCTGCATGGATCATCCAGGTCGCTGGCCGGCTCGCCACATCTCGCTGCGCGACGAGAGGCGAGCCATTGATAAAAAACTGTTCTTGGGACAATTGATGGCCGTCTTTCTCTTCTACGATAAATCCCAACAGTAGTATCCAACACCAACACCAATCACAGTTAAAGAGTAACACATTCACAACACAATGGCCGTCATCAACCTCGCCTACACAGCACCAATCAATCCTTCGGGTGTGTCCCCCGTCCTCACAGAGGCTCAAGTCTGGACAGGCCTCAAGCGCAAGGTCAGACGGGCCTACGAGTTCGTCCCCGTGATCGTGGACTGCAAGGTCATCAGCGAAGACGGCGACACGACGATCCGCGAGGCCACCTTCAAGGGCAACCCAAAGCCCGTCCGTGAAGTCTGCGTACACTTGGCCCCGAGCCGTGTCGATTTTAAGCAGGAAGATGGAAGCAATATCTCCAATATTGTCTCAAAGGGCCCGGATGGAAGCCTGCAGATGACATACGCATTTGAGTGGCGCCACCCTGATATTACCGCGGGGAGCGAGGAAGAAACACAATTGCGCGAGAAATATGAAAAGGTGAGATTGCCCAGAGGTATCTTTCGAGCAGATAGACGAGGATGAGCTAACACGACGGCGCAGCTTTCCAAGGTAGCGGTTGAAGGCAGCATCGACACCATCCGCAGATTGGTGAAGGAGGGTGAGATCCACTAATCAGAGAGCCTTTTAAATGGTGCCGTAAGCGCTAGATTACTCCGTTATGTAGGGTCCAGATGAATAGATAAATGAACAAGATGAACCTCGCTACCACTTCTCCAAATGATGAGCGCGTGGGCACATCAAAATTCGCGCGAAATAGCCGCTGTGTTTGTTGAGTTTGGGCGCTATCAAGTGAACAGCCATTACTCCATGTCCCAATCAACAGGCTGCACGCCCTTGCCCTTGCCCTCCATCAGCACCTCTAGCTTATCCTCGTTTGTCACCCAGCCATGTCGCTTTGTCACAATTGCATACTTGATGGGATCCCGCCATTCTCTGAACCAACTCTCCTCGCTCTGGACTGTGAATTGCCGCCCTTCAGTCCCCATTGGTGCCGTCGCAAACGGCCATATTGCTTGCGCCACGTCGTACTTGCTTTTGGGCTTGAACATGGTCTTGAAGCTCGTCACAACCTTGTGCACCTTGTCGGCACTGCGGACAACGACGCGCGCGTGTGTCGTTGGGAACGTGATACTCAGGTTCCCCTTGTACCCAGTGGAAGAGATCAGACTCCGCAGCTGGCCCTCGATGAACATGGTGTCGAGATGTGCCACAGTCCTGGTAAGAACAAAGCTCTTGGACTCGGCAGGATCGGCCACGAATAGTCTGCACCACTCCTCCAACCCGCCGTCACCCACGACAGGCATCAGGGCGGGCTGGTGGCTGCCCCGGAAAGCCAGTTCACCCTCGCCCACACAACGTATGTAGTTCGTTCGCATGCGTCCGTCCTCGGGCACGAGGAGGCTCATCAGGTTGAGCTTGATATCGAAGTCGGTCTTGGTAGGGCGGGAGGCTTTGACATGTATCTGCGGCTTGGGCGGCACGGAGGCCTGGGCACGCAGGAAGGCTGCCAGCGCGGTGGCATTCTCGGCGAGGTTGCTAGATGTGCGGGTTGAGATGGTGATGCCATCGGGGGACAACTCGAAGAGTGGCGGGGAGTAGAGCTGGTAGTCTAATCGCGGGATGCCGGCATATTCTGAAGATCGTGATGACGAGCTATCGTGGCGGGAGACGGGGCCATGGGCGTATTGTTGCTGTGCGGGATTGGCAGGCGGAACTGGTCGGCGGGCTATGGCCTGGCGTTCTGAGGTAACTGGGATTGGGTCGCTGGACCATGAGGATACATGAGCTGGGGGATAGGGCGACTGAGGGTTCGGGGATGCAACAGGGCCGCCATCAAGCTCAGCGACAGGTTCGGGAGCATTGAACGCCATTGTGGTGACGATGATGCGGGGTCGAAGCAAGATGTCCGTCTCGGCTTCTGACGTGAGGATCAGACGAAAAGGATTCTTGTACCGCTCACGGCATCCTCCTAGCACAATCTCTAGGACCGGCACGTCGGCATACGTTAGAGAAGTGGGTAGCTGCTAGGGGTTGACGGCGACATGTCTGTCTTGAACGCATCAAAAGTACGAGATCGCGTGGGATGTTTGGCCGCGCCAGTATCCCTGATATCTCAGCCCTACATGCTGGGTCTCGGGGCTCAATGAGCCGGGAGTGGAAATGAGGTGGGAAGATGACAGGCTAAATGAAGCCAATAGAATGTCTTTTTCACTGTTGGGATCTTGGCTCTGCGTCTTGGTCTTTTTGGGTCAAATTACGCGTTGGTGGAAAGGCGGAATTTCTCGCTTCCGGTCTCGCTTCCGGACGAGTCTGGCGAGCGGGCCAATCAACTCCAGGAACAAGCCTCGAGGTGGATACGACATGCAGGAACTTTTAGATACATGCGGACGCGGATGACCCACTGATCTTGCACCGACTCAATGACCATACTAAGTACCGCCAGGTAGCTTATCTCTCGCAAGTCATTGATTTTTCGTCTTGCTGGCAATGCAGCGCGAAGCATCAATCAAGGTACCAGAACTCTGATAAGCCGCATCACCCTACCCTAAACTTCAAATACCAAATCAACATTTTGGCAACTTATGACAACCACACTCCTAATTGTGTCATTATCATAGCTCTTTGATGAAAAAAAAATTTACTTGCTTAGCTCGCTGAAGAAGTTGAGAAGAAGTTGATTCCCGATTAATCATTTCTTTGTAGTATCTACTTGCCGCCCTCGCGCTGCCGTCGTAGGTCTCCTCCTGCAACACGAGCCACAGGCATTGATCAATGAACTCAAAATGCAATCGGTAGTATAACAACTTGATTCAGATATTCATGTAAGACAAGGCGCCTCTACAAGGATTTCACTTGTAGTTCTTACTGGTCGACTAGTCCAATGCGACGCCTGTTGCATTCAAAAGAAACTGAGACAAGCATACGATGCATTGTCAGGAGACTTATATTAGTATCTTCCTATTATTCTCCTCGCAATGCTAAAGTTATATACTCTAGAAAAACAATCAAGAAGAGTTAAAAGTATTTTTTTGTTTTCAGAACTGGAAAATCAGCTAGTATACGACCTGCAAAGTTGTCTGCATATAATTCACTCTTTCTTTCACTCGTGCCGGTGATATGCCTATTCAGACTCGGTTGTATATAGCTGCTTGGAGCCTCAATCAAAGAGGACATTACTCCAGGCAACACGCACTCACTCGAAAGATGACCTTGGTGGTTCCCAGATTCTTACACAGTACGGTAACTTCTGATATAAGTATGAGATATAAGCCCGTCACAAAAAATTAAAATATATCTGAATACTAACTTATAGTATTCAAAAAGAATATCTCCCCAAGAAAAGCACTTCAATAGTAATATTCCTACTCTATCTAATCAGGACACTGTATAATGAAAACCGCAACTACTGTTCCAGACACAGGGTGATACAAACGAGATTATCTCTAGAACTATAAGCCACCCCATCGCTCTCAGAAATCTAAACCACAAGTCTCTCTTATGCTTGCCTGAACTTCTTCCTAAAACCTCACACAATCAAGGGTGTATCTGCCACGGCCCTCCAGAACGCCCCTGACAGAGGCCGTGGGCAGGATCCTTGAGACAAGGATCAGGAGCATTGTAGAAGGAGTTGCAGAGGGCGGCACCACCTTATTAGAGATCGAATTCGATGACAAGCCAGTCACGTTTTCCCCTGCCCCTACCCCCCTTTGGGTTAACGTTCCTAGCTGAAGGCCTGGGACCAGGCTGACCTTTTCCCCTTCCCTTAGCTGAGGATAGATAAATATCCGTCCTCCTCATACATATCGCGCTCGTCAAGTTCATCGAATAGATGGCGCCTTCGATCTATGTAAGCTCGGCCTGTGGGTTCAGATCTGGGTTTCTTGGTCGATGTAGTTTTAGGTATCAGCTTAGGCTTAGGACCAGATTCCTTCTTAGGCTGGCGGACAAGGATACCGAGCTGGTCAAGTTCTTCAAGCAGATTACGAGCCTCTAGCTCGTCTTCTTCGTTACGTTCCTCAAGCTCGGCCTGGGTATCACGGGCAACAAGCTCAAAAGCGTCATCAGGCTCAACACCACGAGCGATAAGATGGGTAGTCAGTTGAAGGCCTTCAACCGAGGCGATTTTGCAGATACTATACGGGCTATAGGGTAGTGAATACTTACCCGAACGGATGGAGGTTTTGCTCATGTTAGACGCGACCAATACGCATGGTTCGGTATGCCAGTGTTCTTTTGAAAGGAAAAGAAATTCCCGAGTAGCATCAGTACATATGAAACAGCAAGGTGGCTTGCTGAAGCTGGAAAGTTGGGTTGTTGCGCAAGCCTTGCCCAAAGCTATCGAAAATCGCCTCATGTCAATCTCGAATTGGTCTGGCTTGCGCTCGCCCAAATCCAACACCCAACAATATAAAAGTAATTACGATTTGTCTTCAGTCCCTTGGTTTTGAATTCTCCCTTTTGTATTTGTATAGATGTTACCTTATTAGCCTCTATATCACCCCTCCCCACCCTTTCGACGACAAGACGAACTTACATTCACTACCTTAGTATGAATAAACCTTTTACTTCTCCAAAGTTCACCTTGATGAACAGAGACTTCGCTATGAGCCAAGCTCAGAACGAGTTTAGAAGCGAGTCTGCCAAGCTTCCTCTGCTTCCCAAGAGCCGTGGCGGCTTATTCTTCTCATCTCAATTCTGCAAGAGATCTAAGCACCTGCCTCTCGGGTCGTCTGTTTCTGGGCACACACGAGTCATCACAGGCGCCAGCTCTGGAATCGGGCACGCGTGCGCAGAAATACTCCTTGACTTGGAGATCAGCCATCTTATTATTTCTGCCCTGACGCAAGCCGAGGCCGATTCTACCGTGGACGTTCTCAAGGAGAGCCACCCAAAGGCGAAAATAGACGGCTGGGTTCTTGATCTGACCTCTTATCAGTCTATCCATGATTTTGTTGCCTGCTGCGCAACACAGCTGTCACGAATCGATGTTGCCATCCTCAATGCAGGTGTGGCCTTTGGTTACTTCAAGCGTTACGAAAAGACCGGACATGAGATTGTCTTCAAGTTAATTTCCTTTCCACTATGCTTCTATCGGTGCTCCTGTTGCCGGTCCTCAAGTCGAAGGATCCGCCCGGGAAGCCTAGCCGTTTGGTTATTGTTAACTCGGAACGGCCATACATGGCGAATTTCCCCAGCACAAAGCCGAACGTATCCTGCCTGCATTCGATATTGAAGAGGGCTTTGACCCCATGGTGCAGTACGCCAATACGAAATTCCTGGCCCATCTTTTTGTAGACAAGCTGTCTCAGTTTGTGAGCGCTGATGATGTCGTCATCAATTTGATAGATCCCGGATTGACCAGCGGGACAAATATCCTCGAGGGCGCCAGCATGTCCACACAGATCGGCTTCAATTGGCTGAGGGCTATTGCTGGCCGGAGCGTTGAAGATGCCGCAAGCGCATATATTGATGCGATAGTAACCAGAGGGAAAGAGTCCCATGGATCCTTCATTATGGATTGGGACATTTATCCGTACGTTTTTCCAACCCCATCTAGAAAATAAAGAAGAGCGAGTGCTGACATGGAAGTAAGATATGGGAAGTTTTATTATGATGCCAAAAGAGAGGAGATTCAAGAAAAACTCTGGGATGAGATACTTAATGAATTTGAATTAGCCACGATACAAGATACTGTTAAGTGTATGAAGCAGCGATCATCCGTCTAGCTGACAGCTTTTTTTCTTTCCTTGTTTCTTTTTCTCGATTTTCTTCTTCTTTCTTTCTGTTCCATTTTGAAAATCTAGTCCAATATATCTTTGTCGAGAATAATGTATTTCTAGAGTTCATATCGAAATTCTTTGTTCTCAAGATCTGTGAGATCTAGGAACTCATGATTTTCCTGCACTACATGGGCGTCACCCTGTGCCTCCTTTTCTTGATTCCTCTGCGTGTTCCGCCTACTTAGGACCCAACGCATAACAAGAAGATCCACCGTGCAGAAGAAATAGATTATGCAAATAGAGATCTTAGCAGGAAGGTATCGAGGAGCGTCACGTGGCTGGAATGTCTGAGGAGATATTATATTCCCAACGGTATAGGCGATGGTTTCCAAACCTGTTCTCGAAGTTTAGCCAATGAAGGCGTAAATGGTTTGGCCCTGGAACCAACGAGAGAATACTTACACGCGACGGTCACCTTCTTGGTCGAGCCGGCTACATTTGAGCTCTTCATGCCTAGAATGGTGGTCCATCCGATAGGGATTCCTATAAGTTTAGAATTAGCTTGATAGAGTGTGGTTCCCACATGATTATTTCTTACCTCCAGTCAAGTAGTATCCAATGAGAGCAGCGGTCTTGTCCGTAGTCGCCATGAGGATTGCACCGACAATGGCAGGAATATGACCCGCCACGCACCAGTACAATCTTTGATGAGTCTTCATTGCCAGCCAAGTCAGACCAACGAGAAGCACCATCTCGTATGCTCCCAGGGGTGTGACCAATAATAACGACTCTCTGCTGGTATAACCCATCCCCTTGACAAGAATATTGCCAAAACTAGTAGCAGTCGAGTTTGGGATATTGGCGGCAAAGACCCAGAAGCAGTACAGCCAAGTCATAGGGTCCGTAAACGCCTCACGCACCTGCGCTAACTTGAAAGTCGGCGAACCAATCCCTTGCTCATTTCCTCGAATCCGATGGAGGTGAGCCCCCTTTTCCTCCGTCGAGAGGAACTTGGCCGTCGCAGGTGAGTCCGGAATCAGAAAGTAAAACGCGATACCAACAACAACCGTCAATAGACCAAGGAAGAGAAAGATAACCTGCCACCCGTCCAGAAGCGCATTCGGGTCGCTGCCAACATGCGTTGCCACACCGTACGCAAAGAATCCTCCAAACATTTGTGCCGTGCCGCACACCGAGAACCAAACCCCGACGCGAAATGCCTGCTCGTTTTTATTATACCACTGGGAGGTGAAGAGAACCCACGCTGGAATGACAGCGGCCTCGAAGGCGCCGAGGAAGAAGCGACAGGCAAGAAGTCCCGCGTAATTCTTGCAGGCTGCGAGACAAGCCAAGGTGACGCCCCATAATGATACATTCAATGAGACATACTTGGCCAAGGGAAACAACTGGAGGAGGCGGATGGTAGGGAATTCGAAGGCAAGCTGGCCAAAGAAGAAGATGGACGCGACCCAGTTGAACTGGTTTCCGACCAACCCTGTGGCCTCCGGCAGGCCAGTCACACTGCCGTATGAGATAGACGTCTTGTCAATATACTGCAGGAAATACACGATGCAGATGAGGGGCATGATGTGTCTATCAATTCGCCTGACAAGTCGCTTTTCCCGGGCTTCGCCGAATGGTTGTAAGACACCACCAGTCTCCTTCAGGAGCTCCAGGGCAGCGTCAGCACCGGATACTGATGCTGTTGGAGCCTTTGTGACTGGAGAAGTGGATGCATTCTCGTTGGTGACAGATGTATGACCGTCACTTTTAGGAGAAACAACCTCTTTCTCAGGGAGGATATCGACCTCCTTTTCATTGCCGGGCACGGCAGAGACTTCCTTCTCAGTCATTTTCTCTAGCAGATATGGATTTTGTATCCTGAACTTATACTCAGACCTGGAATGGTGTGGAAGAGCTCTTCTAGAAATGCGAGCCCTTCATTTTATATATCTGAGCCATGCAGCAGCCTGGCTCCATCATTAATGAGGCAGGTCAGAATGGCCCACAGTACACGGCTAAACCGGAAGGATCCTTTGCATTTCGGAACAAGCTGATCACTGAGTGATCCGATATCAATCTCGAGGCGGCAAATAAGATGATTTTCTGTAGTTGGACCAAGCACGCCACCAACTTCATCGTGCCACCAGGCCGTGAGATCGAGCACGCCATCCGGTCCGTGATGACACAATAAGACGGGTGGTCCACAACGGCCCCGCTGAGCGGACTATGGGCTCATGAAGCGTTCGGAGCTCTTTGAGGGAATTCTAACATGATGGTGAGCTCATCATAGCCTCTTGGGCCCATATTTGGAAAGATCCGGTGATTGGGTCATATGGGTTGCATTTGAGTCTCCAGTTTCGCTGAGCTGCATAGGTGATCCTTTGGAAGTCATTTGTAGACTAACTTGATATCTGTGATCTGCCAGTTTGTAGCTGTGACAATCCGAATATAAGGTTGTCAATGAGTGTTGAAGGAATGTTGGGAGCTGGGTGTCTAACTGACTACCAACTAGGCATGTCAAGCTTAGGCCAAGTTTCTGAATACCGGTTTTCACACCTCCTAGAAATCTTGAGAAGCTACCATGTACTAATCGATAAGACTGCAAAGTTTGAACACCTAAAAGGATGTAGGCTGGCTTTAATAAATTCTCTAAAGCTCGAGGCGTGCTCTATGCTCCTTGTAAGGCCACTGCTGCCGACAACTGTCGTGACTGCAAGAAAGTGCTGAGCTTGTATGGTGGAATGCGCCACAAGAATATCTTGAAGATGTATAGCATAATGAGAAATATTTAAGATTTCTCCCCGAGAGGAAGCTGCTTCTATTATGCTGAGTCGTGCTGATTTTCTTCAATTTATATGCATATCTCTGCGATGGCTTTAAGAAGATGCAACATGATACTATCAGCCGAAGTCTTATTTTCATGCAGCCTCAAGCATGTGAAGGAAGAAACTCTCTAGGTTTTGTGTTGAATTGAGTTTTGTTGTTCTGTTTCTGACTTCTAAGCCAAATGGTGATCGCCTCAGTTTGAACCATATCGGCCAGACATCGAGGAGATGAAGGTTACGCGGTAGATAGTATACAAGACAAGAAGAACAAATACTTAGCACGGTACCCAAGAGGAAGAGATTTGCGAAGGAGTCTTAAAAAAGAGGGGGTCAAGTTGATTTCCCCTAAAAAAAGGCACGGACCTGCTTATTAGACTGGAATATTGCCGACCCAATGGCAATTGCCGAATGCCAAGGGAATGGAATCTGGAGTCCCCATCAGAAGCCAATGAATGAGTGGAGATTAAAGCAGAGATGCCGAGGCTCAATTGAATATATCAACCAAGTCGTCAACAAACAACCGGCTAGTGAAAGTCGATCGTCCAAACAACACCTAACACTTCTTTCATCGGCCGTCAATTCACAATGAGCGGCTCTATCCCACAGATTGTGCTTTTCACCTATCCAGGGTCTCCCTGGGGCAACAAGGTGGTTTCCTATCTCAATGTTCGAGGCATCAAATATACAGAATGCCGGCAGCCGCCAGTGATGCCGCGTCCTGATTTGGAGGCTCTAGGCATCAACTACCGACGCATCCCCGTCCTGGCCATCGGAAGGGATATCTACTTTGACACGCGTTTGATCCTGGAGAAGCTGGAGCAGATGATACCAGGAGAGACACTGGGCTCAACCGACGCTCAGGGTCGCGCTTTCGAGAAGCTGTTTCGCGATTGGGCCGAGCTTTCGCTCTTCTCCTCAGCCGTCTTGACCATGCCGCCCGAATTGCCAGTCTTCCAAAACGAGACATTTATGAAGGACAGGTCGGGACTCACAGGTCGAAGCTTCACTGCCAAGGATCAGGCAAAGCGCCGCCCTGCAGCCTTGGTCGAGATGAGGACCCATTTCGAGCTGCTTGAGGATCTTCTCAGCGACGGGCGCAAGTGGCTGTCCGGGTCTGAAAAAATTCGTCTAGTAGATATTCACGGTATGTTGGAAAACAGAGATGGATCGATATCCAATTTTTGAGCTAACGAGTTGCCAATGAAGCTGCATTTCCCATCGACTGGTTGCTGAGCATGCCAAATGCCTTACCCACTGAATTCTTCGGACCAGATCTATACCCACGCACGGCAGAATTCATGAAGAGATATCAGGAGACAGACAAAGCAGCAGCGCGTGCTAATTCTGTTAAGAAATCTCGTGGCCAGGAGGCTGTCGCAACGATCATCGGCTCGGAGTTTGCAGATGACGCCAAGGGTGTTAACAAAGACCCCCTCGGACTTGTCGAGGGCCAGACCGTGAGAGTCTTCAGAACCGACGATGCCAGCTCAGCACGGCACCATTTTGATACTGGAAAGCTAGTGACGCTTAACTTGCAAGAGGTAGTCATAAGCCGATCAGCTGGTCCAAGTAACACTGAAATTCGCCTTCATCATCCTCGATGGAAATCCGGGGTGGCCGTTTTTAGAGAGGCTCAGTTATCTTAAATCACTTGATTCACAAAATCATCCGTTAGATTAAACCTACATCGACATTAGCACATTGTCCATCTCGATTCATCAATGGAAGGAACCATTCTCGTACTATTTTTTGTCAAGTTGATAAAATGCATCTACTCTGTCCTCTTTCTCTGATGCAACTTGGCTCTGCCTAGTCCATCAATTTTAGAATGATTCACACTTTGGTCTTGCTGTTAAACGCAAGACGATATTCTCAAGTGGTTATCTTGCTACTGCAAATAACTCGCTCCTCAGCCAGGATATTTGCCACGCAAGCTCCTTCAGTGGCTACGCCCTTGTAAATTTCCGAGTCGGGCACGTCTACGAGATCCAGATATCCGGTTGTGGAGTCGGCGCTGAGCTGCGCTAAAACTAAACCGTTGCCCATCCACGCGAGGCTGTCTTCGTCCATTGATTCGTACTCAAAGTCTTCCCATCTTGGATGTTCTAGCGCCTTGCGCTAGGGTCGTAGTGTTAAACTTACTTGGCCACAATCGTTTTCAGGTTCTCTCTTTGTAGCTTTTGGATGCACTTGATTAAATATTCGGCTACGCATTCGCTCATTTGGATGGTTGAACCAGCGCTAGATCCACCGTTTGGACCGACAAACAAGAACAAGTTCGGCATCTTGGCTGGGAGGATGGACATGTATGCTACGGGATCTGGCTGCCACACGTCGTCGATCGATATGCCGCCTTGACCATAGATTGGAGTCTCATGCATGTTCAAGGATCTAGGTAGTCGTGCAAGATCGGTAAGTTCGCAGTTATGCAAAGTAAGAGGAGGAGGATGCCAAGGGGAAACTTACGTATCGAAGCCGGTGGCGCAGACAATCGCGTCTGTTTCACGGAAGACGCCATCTGCATCGATAATACCATTCTCAGTCACCCTTTTGATACCCTTTGGAATGAAGTTCAGACTGTCATCCACAAGGCACTCAAGGTATCGAGATCCCGGAGCAACCCTTCGGCATAAAGGCGGATAGTCGGGTCGCAAAGCTTCCCGTACCGCAGGCTTGGGCGACAACCTGCGAATCATGGACTCTTCTGTCTCTTTTGAGAAGGACTTATTCATTGCGGAGCCTCGCCAGTGAACAAGCTGGGCGCGATTGACGACATCTTCAATTTGATGCCTGTATCGTAGGTAGATTTCCGGATGCTCTGACCAGTCTTGTCTTTCTGTTGCAGGATGTTCAACTATACTTTAAATCAGCTCCATATTCATACATAGAAAATGGGGCATGGAAAAGGTATAGAGAATATTGTGAATATCACTATTGGCTTTCCGAGGATCCGCTGCAACAAAGGCAGCTGGTGAGATCCAGGCGCGGCCGCGCACGTAATGGTCCATGTATTTGACTTGAGGCAGCATTGCCGGAACAATTTGAACGGCGCTGGAACCGCTGCCAATGGCAGAGACCCTCTTATCGGTAGGGTCAAAAGACGTGTCATAATTTGCTGAGTGCATAACTGGGCCCTTGAAGTCGTGAAGTCCTTCAATCTCAGGCCATTTCCACTTGTTCAAGTTCCCGGTTGCCTTCACGAGTACATCCGCACAGTCCTTGAACTCCTATATGATTAAGTAATTAGTAAACAATAAGTCTGATGGTGAATAGGAGCTATTAGGCAGGTCAAGGCAGAGTATAAGGTAAGAAAGTTGTTACCGTGTTGTCTTCCATTCGGAGAATAGTAACTTCCCACTTGTGGAGGTCTTCTAGCCAGACAGCCTTCTTGAACTCATGTTTGAACCGGACATATTTGAGCACGTCATGCTTCTCAGCAACAGTGCGGAAGTATTAAGAAATTTCCTGTCCTGGTGCAAAGAACGACTACCAATTCGTGTTGCTAGCAAATGTGAATTGGAAAGCATGAGATGGGACATCTTAAAGATAAAGACAGAAGCCAGTTAACACTCATTCAAAACGTATCATTCAAAGCCAGCTGTTAAGACGGAGATTTGTCTCACCGCAAGTAACACCTGGGTATCTATTGAATTAGGTCAGTTGATTAAAGCCCATTTGCTGATATGAAACAACTCACCTGTTTTCGTACCAGACACCTCCAACGTCGTCATTCTTCTCATAAATAGTCAAGTCAAGCTGTTCTATTCTTTGTGGAAACCGGACGCCGCATATGATATCGGACATGCCAGCTCCGATACATATTACCTTGATAGGCCTAACCGCATCGATAGGCTCAAACTGGGTTGCTGATTCTTTGACAGCCATTTGGGGTTTCCGAAGGTATATGGGGCTTTGTGATTTACGATATTCGAGAAGATACTTCAGGAAAAGACTCTTGACATGAGGCGAACTCAGCTGCGTCTTGAATTCTATGGAAAGATGCCCATGGGTAGCATGTCATAAGATATCTTTTGCCTGTAGATAAAGGAAAAGCATTGAGATGAAACGTCTGGGGTCAAAACTGACTCAATCCCTACCAGTCGCGTGAGTTAACGCATACAGGCTATTGCAACAAACCTTCGCTATCTAAACTAGGGTGTCGAGAGATAGGGTCGGTGTCTCCCGAGTATCCCACTCGGTCAACCCCGAGGGCGCCATCCTTCAAGCTCTAGCCTGAATGGAGTGCCCCGAGAACCCACTCACATCCTTGTTTTGTTTGTTAAACTCTGCGTCCACAACCATAGATATTGACCTGCTCAACTATTATTGAGTAGCGTACAACCCCTTGCACAATGGCCTCCGCTATCTGATGATACCAGATTGCCCAGTGACATGGGCCAGATAGACTAGGACCAGGAAGGTTCGGTGGCTATCACGCAATCGCCTATGGCTGAAGATTGCTTCTTCATTTAAACCATCCCTTACCCAACGACGCTGCAATTCTTCCACAGCTGCTGACATCCCAAATTACACTGCATTTCCTAACCTTTCCTTACCATGAGCGATCGAACAGAAACCAAACCTGGATTCACCGAGGCTCGACCCTCCAACTCCTCGATGGCTGAGGCTGGAGAGGAGCGGGATATTTCCGAGCAAGCCTTGACGCCCAGTCAGAATCGAAAGCTGTTGATCAAGACCAACTCCGTTATTTTGGTTGTGATGGTACTGGCGTCTCTGCTCGCCTTTCTAGACAAGGTAAGTAATACCATTACCTTACAAACGTATTAACAACTGACATGGAAATGATACACAGAATGCCATGAGCTTTGCTGCGGTCTACGGAATGTCCCAGGAAGTCGGCCTTGTGAACCAGGATTATAGCTGGCTTGGGTCTATTTTCTACTTTGGGTACATCGCCATGGAAATACCTGCTCTCTGGTTGCTGACCAGGGTACGCATCGGCAAATTCATCGGCACGATCCTCGTCCTCTGGGGAATCACCATTACGGCTATGGCTGGGTGTAAGAGCTTTGCGACATTGGCTGTGGCCAGATTCTTCCTTGGTGTCTTCGAGGCAGCTTTGTTGCCATGCTGTATCTTGCTCACATCTATCTGGTATCGGCGAGAAGAGCATGCCCTGGTTTCGGCTCTTTACTTCAACACTTTTGCCGGGGTAAGTTATCTAACCAATACAATCAATGAGCTCACTCCTAACCAGAACAAAGATATTTGGAGGCATTCTCGCATATGCTATTGGTCAGATTCAAGGAGGCCTGTCACCATGGAAGGTATGTTGTTCCGTCGCACTACAAACTCACTATTTCTGTACAAGCACTAAGCAGAAACTATAGTATTTATTTATAATTTATGGCTCAGTTACGCTGGTATTTGGCTTCGTAGTGTTGGCAATTCTTCCAGACAGTCCTCAGACTGCTTGGTTCTTTACTGCGGAGCAGAAGAAGCTCGTCGTCATCCGAACCGCTGAGAATCAAACCGGCGTCAACTCCAACAAGGTTAGGGTCGTCCTTCGAAAGCATACCCATCCGTCCAAGACTTCATCTTCTTGATGTACGCCTCAATGAATTCATGCTGATGGATGATATTCCAGACATGGAAAATGGGGCAGGTTTATGAAGCCCTAAAGGACCCCAAATATTGGGCTCTGTCTATTGGCGTTATGGCTTTTGCGGTTACAAACGCCGGCATCACCAACTTCAATCCTCTCATTATCTCTGGATATGGATTTTCTAGGACAAAAACTGTACTCATGGCTTCGCCGCAAGCCGCAGTGGCCATTGTCGCACAGGTAACTGCAACTGTCATCATGCTCTATGTACCGAATGTGCGCTGCATTATTTGGGTTCTGTCAACACTTCCAGCTATTGCTGGAACTGTCATGATTCACTGTGAGTCATTTATCTTCAACATTCAGATCATTGAAGCTAACTCCTTCTTGCAGTGCTGGATATTAAGATGCAGCGTGCTGCGTCCCTTACTGGTGTTTACCTTATGGGCTTCTACAACGTCTCCTTTGTTACAATGCTCAGCCTTCAGTCTTCCAACAATTCGGGCACCACAAAGAAATCGTTCGCGTCTGTGTCTGTTGCCGTTTGGTACTGTAAGTGATAATTAGCCCTTTGGGGGAAACCGGTGAGCTAAGTGCTAATGATGCTGGCAGCCGTTGGGAATATCTTCGGACCTCAGTTCTTCAGGACTGATCAAGCTCCATACTACCCTCTGGGGATTAATGCCATGATGACAGCTTTCTCTGTAAATGCTGTGATGGGAATGATCTACTTGTGAGCCGCCCCTTCCACCCATTTTTTCGCCAACACGTATAAAACTAATCTGTTTTCTTTAACAGTGCTTGCTGCTTTATCGAGAATAAGCGTCGGGACAGGGAGTATGGAAAGCCAGTTGAATCATCAGTTGCAGTGGGTCTTGAGGTCGACCTTGAGGATCGAACTGACGGGGAGAATCATCATTTCCGCTACACTTATTGAGGTATTCTTGAAGTTAGCAAGAAGCAGGAGGAGCGAGCCCAAGATGTACTGGACGCTTGAAGGGGAGAAGTACATGGATTCTATTGTTTCTTATTGACTTAATTGATACTTGACCTATGGTTATATTTCTCATTAGATGTTCTTGCAACTATATCATTAGTGTAACACAAAATATGTGATAGATAGGCTAGCGAGAGCGGCTTCGTAATGTGGATGTCCTCCTCTAGAATATCAATCAATGCTAAGTAGCTTGTATCCCTTTGGAAGATGAATCGTTTTTAGTCAATACTACTAAGAAAAGCTTTCCCTAAGGGAGGCAAAGTGGTAAGTCGTATCTCAAGATACTGCGTAACTGGTAAACTTTAAGTGTGGCTTGATACCTAGCTACAGATAACCTATTGCGAATAACCAAGAGTTTGATTACTATGAAGATGTTAATATAGGTCCTACTTTTGCCTGGTTTCAATAAGTTGTATTCTTTTTGAAAGTGTTTTAAATAACCGACAACACCAATATCGGATCACTTCAAAATGAGGATCGAATATTTAGATAATATCTATCATCTTTGATTCAGGAAGCTGGGAAACTTGAGAATAAAGCAGTGTCCTGAAAGTGACTGCGCAGATTTAGATTGTAATAGCAATATGTCAAATTAATTAATGAGGTGGTCACTTTACAAACCCTTGTCTACACCATTGGTAACACCATTGGCAACTCCATTAGGAATATGCACCTTCTCTAAAAAGGCCAAGTCTCGAGACCTGGTAAGCGAGGCCATTATTTCCTCCCTCGACCTGCTAACATCGCTTTTGACATGCGCAATGTAAAGTTGTTGTATCATCTCGGTAACTGCCCCGCGTTTGCCGTCACCAATCTGCCGGCCATCAACCTCGATAACATGGATCTGGCTGGGGAATGTCCCAGTGCAAAAGGCCTCATCCGCCCCATACACCTCTGTCAAGGAGAAATCGAGCTCACGGACCACGATGCCTGCGGCTCGGCAAACGTCAATAACTTTTTGCCTCGTAATGCCTTGCATCTGGTTATCCTTTGTAGGAGCCCAGACCTCGGAGCCTCGGACAATAAAAAAGTTGGTTGAGTTGCAGGTTTTGACAAATCCGCGCTGGTCCAACATAAGTGCCTCGTCAACACCCATGACATTAGCGCTGATGCAAGCTTGGACGTCCGTGGCCTTGGAGATGTGGTTCCACTGCTCATCCTTGACGTCAGGAGGTCCGCGGCGAACCCAGGTTGTGGCGAGTCTAAGACCCCGAGACTTGGACTCTGTGGAGACTGCTTTCACCTCGGGGATCATAACGATTAAAGGGGCACCGACGTTCACGCTTGGGTTTTGGTATGGTGTTGACTTCAGACCTCTGCTCACAACGAGTCGGATGTGGACATGGGCCTCTTCGGCCATGTCATTGGCGTCAATAGTCTTGTGAAGCAGATCGAGTAATTCTCCTTTACTTAGCCCCATATCCATGTACATGGCCTTTGCCGATTGGAATAGACGGTTAATGTGCTCGTAGGCAAATTGGACCCGGCCATGATTTGCACGGATACCCTCCTGTTCCCAGCTATGTCAGTGCCAATATTGCAATGAAAAGGATATTGTGGGATTAGGAAAGGGGAGAAGGTTGAGTGCACTTACCCATATTCCATCTCCAACGAGAAAATTGGAATCAAAAACGGAGATGGTAGCTTGTTCCCGAGGAACGAGCTTGAATTCACCGGTCACGCCATCGCGCATCCCAACCTAGGAAAATGATTCGTAAGCTTTGGATTCTCTCACACCCCCTTGCCAGCCGTGGACGTACCAGAATGGATTCATTCTTTGCGTTAAAGACGCTGTCGTGTGTCGCACCCGAGCCGCTGCTATGTCCCATGTTGAAAGATGTGTTGTTGGTACAGATATTCTTGATCCGCATATGTTAAAAGATAGCCAAATCTCACCGAATCAATCTGCAAGATGGGCTTAGATTTGTATATGCAGAGGAGTCCTCACCAAAACTTGATGAGCCTTTACCCCAAACATTGGTCGGTCACTGGGCTGATCTGAGTGAGGAATCCTCTTCGGTGTGCCCCGAAGGCGGGGCATCCAACCAGGAAGGGGGTCGGACGACACCGAGGTCTCGGGAGCTTCCGAGTCACGCAATCAGTGTTCCAGATGGCGATTCATGAAGAAATGTTTCGCGTTAGCGGAGACGAGGACCGGTTCTTGGAGAGCAGCCTCATGTGGTGCTATGGTCAACAGCGGATCCATTAGCCGCAGAAACCACATCCTAGACTGGCGTGATTTGTTGGTCAAGCATAGGCAGGCATAGACGAACATCCGCTAGCCTCAGGGCTACACGCTGGAGGACTAATGGTAAGATTGCCCATGTCATTGTGATTAGAGCAAAGTAGATTCAAGAAAGCTTGATACTTTCATTACACTCGTTACATCACCCTAACTCATAATAGCGTCGTACCAATTCGATAACATGTTATCGATGTCCAGCACACCAGCATCAAAAAGATCAGTCACCTCATTCCTATACGCATCTAGGCCCTCCTCCATCGCTGCCATTGGATTTTGTACTCCATACATGCTCGCGGGGTCTGATGGTGGGTTCCAAAATTGCGCCGGCTGAGCAAAGGCGTTGCTGTCATCTGAATCGACGCCCAGGGGAGTTTTAGACGATAGTGGCCCATACACCTTTAGGCGAGCTGCATGGAATAGGTCTCGGAACTTGGATAGTGCAGGTTCATTAATCAGTTTTATTCCTCTCTCAAGGAGGTCAAGAACAACGGCTGTCTCTTGACCATGGCGGTGGGGAGCCATGGACCCTCGTGAGCTCACACTCGAAGTAACTGATGAAGTTACCATGGTAGATTGCCTAGGTTTAAGTGAATGCTTTAGAAACGAGCATCTTTGTTCAACGAATTTAAAAGGTATCTCACCAGTCGCAATACAGGGCAGCGAGCCCAACGAGTAAAATAGAGTGTAGTTGGCGTGGGGATGGACATGCCGCAGAGATGCCGTAATCGACTGCCAGCTTGTGCCAATGTCGAATTGCGCTAGAAGCCGCCCCGGAGCAAATCGAAAGCATCTCTCGTGAGGGAACCATAAAGGTAGGGGAAGGTCTATTGAGAAGGAGCAGAATAATGCAGTACTCGATCTTCAGCTCCGAGTGTTCTCGGGAGGATTTTAATCCCGAATCATCCAGATGCTTCTTCCATTCTTCCAGCTCACGATGAATCTCTTTGGACATGTTACATATATCCTGGAAGGAAGCAGTAGGGCATCTCCCATCCGGCCCGCGGGCGATATATATAGACTCGAGTACACGGCCAGCAATCCTGCGCAGTTGAACGATGAGATTGAACGGGAGGATCTTCGAGGAGCGGAACACAGGTGCGGCTCTTGCTTCGGATTCAGTAAGTTGGTCTATACTAGACGGCGAGGCCATGAGAGCTTGAACAGCATGATCACGAACAGACAGAACTCGGCCCGTAAAAACGGCAACCTGCCTAAGACATATAAGCTCCCGCTTCGTAGCATGGTTCAAATAATATTTACCTCTCCAGCGCATACACAGACCACCACGTTCGATTACGAATCTCCAGTTCATCCTGTGGGAAGCACCAGGTCTTGTTGTGGCGATGTAGTCCAGTCTCTAATGCCATAGACATGGCATAACGGCTCATTTGCCAGAGATCACTGATGTGACTGCTCGAGTTGGAATGTAACATCCACACGCCCAGCAACAGCACTGCCTGAATATTAAATATTTGTCGATCATGGTCGCCAAATTGTGCAAAGAACCGGAGGCCAGTTTTGAAGTACGCTATTGGAGAGTTCAAATCTCTCATTTGCTTGTAATCTTCATTCTCTAAACTTTCCCGAGAACCCAGAGCGAAGACAAGAAAGACGGTGAATTTTTGAAACTCGTTGCATCGAGAGGGGTCTTTGTAAATTTGTTGTATTGCCTGCCTCAGGCTATAGAGGGAGAGAAAGGGCCACCATATATGTATACGGGCAATGTAGGCGTTCCAGAGTAACTTAGCAATAGTGAATGGCGGCAGACCAGCTGTAGCACTCATCGAGACAGGATCAAGGCCAGCTTCCAGTGTAAACAGAGTCGTGTACGGCAAGAAATGTAGCTGTTTGAAAAAGATGCGAACAAATGTTGAACCGGTGGCACTCCCAGCTTAAATGATCAAGGGAACAACGTCAGCATTATTTCATATGCGCACGCAATAACAAGCACTTGTATTGGGGGGGCGTCAGAGGTATCCTACCATAGGTGGTTTGTGACTGCTGGTTGGATCCAGCAACAGCGAGAATCCCGACCTCTTCAGCTTCCTTCAAGACATCGTCTGCTGCTGCCTCATTCTGGGTATACTGCGGATCCTGGGGAGCCGGGCCATCAACAGATGGGCCTCTTGTAACGGTATCCTGTATCCTGGCTGTCGAGGCGGCCTCTGCAAGCTTTGCATGAAGTACCGCAACTTGATTTTGAAGTTTCTCTATTTCAGCATACGGGTAGGAAACGTAATCGACGATGTTACAGTCTTCATTTTGCTTAGTGCAAGTTGAACATTGCGGCACAAGCATATCACACTAGGCAATGACATCAAACACTTTAGCAACCTTATCAGAGTGTGGGTAGGAGCCGGGGCAAGCACGGTGTCAGAGCACTGGAATTGGATAAGGCATCTCGATTCGGATGGCTTACCTTGACTTTGCGCGCACGACACCGACTGCATGCTTTAGAAACAGACGGCGTCGGTGCTGCCTCGTACTGATGATCCATGTTGGCATGGAGTGACTGTGGGGGGAGAAGGGGAGGTCCGAGAGGTATAATTATGTTCCCACTTGGGGCTCCATCATTCCAGTGACGCAATGGGATTAGCGACCCGCATGAGTGTAAGTCGATAAGATATCCTCGGCCCTCGTCGGGGTCTGTTCCGAGATCCAAGCGGGAGGCTCGGACCACACCGATATCTAGTCTACGGCGTTCCAAACCACTGGAAGCCAAGTTGATAAGATCCCTAACTTCTCAGTTAAAGATGCATCTTATGAGCAATAGGAACAACTTATCGAATCATGGTCGAAGTCAAGAAGTACTATCTTTTCCCCACCACGCTCATCCCTAACTCTCCCTACCCACTCCTTCATTATCCAAGATTTCTTGCTCCAGACACAAAATCTCCTGCGAGGCAATTTTATGATCTTCTCACGAGTCATGGCTGGCAGGCCCAGTGGATCTTCCGGTATGGCCCAACCCAGAAATCGCATTATCACTCTTTCGCGCATGAGTGCATGATAGTTCTCACTGGCCACGCAACAATTCGGTTCGGCGTTGCAGACACGACTGAGACATGGACGAGAACACTTTTGGCACGGGGTTCGAAGATGGCGGCGTTGAGCTTCACGTTCAAGCAGGAGACGTCATGATCATTCCGGCCGGTGTTGCCCACAAGACATACGCCGCCAAGCCTGATGCCGAATTCAAGCTTATGTCGCCAGGAGATGCACACAGCCTGCCTCCCGATGTCAGGTCTAGGCTTGGTGATATTGAATTAAGTGGTTTTACCATGATGGGCTCGTATCCTAAGAACGGAGGCGCGTGGAATTTCGCTGTCGGTGGTGAAGGCGCCGCCGCGTATGCCGGCGTCTGGTCGATTCCGCCTCCTGACTAGACCCAGTATTGGGAGCATCAGAGGAGGGCATTTGTGGGATTTGGAAGAAGAAGCACCCAGGAGGCGTTTCAGACTTTGGTACTCTTTTATCAAAGCTATAATGATTCATGCACTTGTTCTCCTCGAACCCAGAATGTCAACTCGTGAGTTCTCAATATTTTACTATGAGGTCATCAGTTTCCGAGAGCAACCGTATACCGCTTGATGCGTGTTCATGACTTACACACAATAGGTTCCGGGCGGATTGCATCTAGCATCTTTTCTTTCATTCTCTGCAGACTGGATCTACCCTATAGAGTAGTAGCTCGCGAGGTTTTCTCTCTCCAATCCACCCAGCTGCGGCATTCACATTGGTTTTCATCTTACTAACATGTATGTTGAGACGGTATGATTGGCGTAACCCGATGAGCCCTGGAGGATAGTGGCTCGAACGTTTGCAAGGAAGCGATGTCAACATGCTTCTTAACAAGTTTGAGAGTAAGGTAGTTGGATATCGGAAGGGCAGTTTGAAAGAAGACAGGAAACTGAATTCTAGTGGATAAATCACCATCATCCGTTTAAAAATCGAATATAATCCCTCCAAACATCTTAAACAGCTATCAGGCACGCAGCTTGGGGGCATATTATTTGTGAATGCGCTTGAGATGCAGAATGCGGACCGTGGGGCTCTGGCCAAGAAGTGAATTGTGCAAGCCTCGTATCAGCCAATCAACAGCGTAATTGGTTTAGTGGTAAAATTCTCCGTTGCCATCCGAGCAGCGTCGGGGAGCCCTGGGTTCGATTCCCAGATTACGCATTTTTGCTCTTCTGGAGCATTGGTTTTGCTATTACGTTTCATTTTCTTCTTATTTGGCTATTCTCTTCTGATTTGGGGCCGAAAGTGGATGATTTTTGGACAAATCGGGCTGCGGGCATTGGTTCTTTGTGCTTTTGGTTATTTGGCACTTTAGGTTGCTTGACCTTCATTTTAATAAGAATTATTTGAATAAGCCAACAGTTGTATGAATAATATATATGATCTCGAGTGTTGTGGTGTTTGATATGGGCAAACTTAACAGGACCCATAATGAGTACTCCAAGCACCACCCTCGCGGAAGTACACATCGTATCTGATCCGCGAGCCACTACGACGGAACGAATCGCGTGGATACGAACCATCAGACCATTTGAAGATCAACCCGCGGCCCTCAGCCCGCCCCTCCATATACGTGCACACTTCTTGGTGTGATTGATCAGAGCCCTCCGCCATCGTATGCGCCGCCCGCTTCCGCTTCCTCGGCTTGGTGTTTTTCTCCTTGATGCTCCGTTCTATATCCTCATCGGGGTCCCTAATCAGCTCCAGTTGCTTAAGAAACTCCTGACAAGCAGCATGGACCGCAGCGACGGGATTGTTGTCTGAAAAGTCAAGCTGGGCTGCGGCAGGGCTCTCTGGGGCGTCCCTCCTGGGGAACGTGTCGTCAACCCATTCCAGCTGGTCACGCAAGTCCTCTACTTCAGCCTGGGTGCTGACGACATACTTATAAAGCTCCTGGTGAACCTTGCTGAAATTCTGGAAAACCGTCTTCTCTACCCTTTTGCTCTGCGCTGTCGGCTCCAAATGGCCGAGGAAGTCGTCGACGGCAGCCTTGGCTGCAGACACTGTGTCTGCACGCACATTTTGCAGGTGCAACAAATGGAGGTTGCGGCTGGCACCTTCGACCATGAGAACAACGTCTGTATCGCGCATGCGGAAATCGTGTTCCTGCGGACCAGGACCGCCGTAGGACAGCTCCTGCGTCAGGCTCGCAAAGGGACCTGTGTCGTCATGGAGGGGGCGGTCGGCTGCCATAGTATGAGCTGAGAGGTATAGAAACAAATGCCAGCCCTGGCAAGATGTAGCCCTTCGAAGTCTAGAGGGCAGAAAGATCTAATCACACTGCCGTTATATTGCTGTAGTTGAACCTGGACTCGATATCGCGAGGAGTTGCTACACGGAATTCGTAAGTTATTAAGCGTTTGGCACAGAGGAGACCCACAGATGCTGCCTATTCTCAGCCTCCGACTCTGAACGCAGCAAACCCATGTTCTGGTGAGAAATGCCACGTTGAGGGCCATGGACCTACCCTAGCATCATATTTAGACGTAGGGAATTGGATATTATTAAGTTTAAAGCCTGGGCGGTCAAATAAATCAGGAGATTCATCTTGTTTTTCCGGCAAGGATGGTTAGGCTGACCTCATCTTGATTGGTAGAATGCTGGCTTACTCGTAAAGCCGGACTTGCATTGACTAACCTGCCCAATAGAGATTGCTTACTGCAAGGCATAGACGAGGTTTGAGCTTACAACAACGATGCTCATCCGCCCTGCCAACCCTATCCGGTCTGTTCAGTTACTAATAAGCTTTTTGTGATGCCTTTTGCGATGAATCTTGGCCGATAAAGAAAATATCAAAAGACTTTAGTCAACAGAGCTAATTTCGGTTTATTTATTTTAGGCCTGGTCTGGTTTAGATAACATAGATCCCTTCCTATCTGATCAGATATTACTTAAAGAGTTTTGTAAGAAGTGTGAGATTGTCGGACGACAGTCGTCATTGGACAAAGGCCTTTCTTTAACTATGGATGGCCCTAGGAAAGGACAAAATCTACATCTTGCAGGCCAGCCCATGGTATGCGTAGGTTTTAAACGGGCTAGATTTGGCAGTAAATATGCCGGGTCCTATATCATGCAGCACCACTTCCGCCCTGCCTGGTCATAATTTGAAACTACGAACGAAATAGGCCAAAGAACAGTCCAGAATAACATTACGGCATCCCCTAATGGGATAGGTGGGTTACATATACCGCAGGGGGCAGTAGCCAAAATTTGTGATATCCGTTGACTGATGACCTCAGGATATAGTCCATGGGTTCGGTAGATCGGCCCAGCTTTGTGGAGGCTTTGTACGGGTACCCTCATCCGAACCTTCTCTTCGCCAATTGTACATAAAGAGGGGATTTCTAGGGTGGCAACGAAGAGGCCAAACTAAGGCATAAGGTCATGTGAAATAGAAAAGGCACTACGTACATATGCAAGTGGAAGGTCACAAGCCAGTGAAATGCCCCTTGGCACCCTTGAAAATCGACTAGTCTACTTGAGATAAGACGACATCCGTCAACCCGCATCGTCTATGTCCTCTCCAGGAAGCACGAGTTGTGGAGATCAACACACGGTGACCTCACGTCTCGGGAGTTGGCTTGCCGATAGGATTAATTGACTCAAGTAAATGTTGCAACCATGCTACATAGAGTTGCAATGCGTACAGACATGCATAAATAGATTGGCCGTGACAGCCGTTTGTTCGACCAAATCAAGCAATTCGAGATGAATATCCCGCGGGTCCGCGGAATCACCGCGGGGAGTAGAGGCTGGGGAACTCGAGAGGTTGCAGAAATTAGTGATTGCAACACCTCTATGCGTGATTTGCTGTTAAGTGAAAGAGACCCAGTATTAAAAAGAATAAATGAGAGCTCGGCCAAGACATCCAGAGCTGGAGGAAAATTCTACCAGATAGCTCGTTTTACTTTACTGGATATTTACATTCGCACCAAAAAAAGACCGTTGCCAAGATGGCTCTTATTCATCAGCCCGACCAGCTTATGGCTGCAGGCTCTGTAGCCATTCTCATATCTATAGTCATACTCTCAGTGAGTCGATACATCGTAGTAGTATAGGATTACAGAAAGCAGAGGACGTTGGTGTAGTCGAGTACTCTAACGCATCGACTATAGATTGGACTCTACAGTCTCGGCTCTGCTATTTACTTGGTTGCTTTCCACCCGTTGGCCAAGGTCCCAGGCCCGAAGCTGTATGCGATATCCCAGCTTCCATATCTTTATCACCTTGTTCGGGGAGACTGGACCGCTGTTCTCAAAGATTTCCACGACTACTATGGCCCGGTTGTTAGGTTTGCACCCAAAGACATCTCGTTCACTACCGACGATGCAATGAAGAAGATTTACGGGCACAAAACCGTTGAGAGCGACACCTTTGAAAAAGATCTTCGCATGTATCGTCAAAATCGCCCTGTTCGCAGCATCATCACCTCTGATAACGAGGGTCACCGACGCATGCGCCGACTGATTGCTCACGCGTTCTCAGAGAAGGCACTCCGCAACCAACAGCAGATCCTGGATCACTATATTGAATCTTTTATACGGGGCCTTACCGAAAGGTCACGCCAAGGTGCTGATGTTGACATAGTGGCCTGGTACAACTTTGCCACCTTTGATCTCATTGGTGACCTTGCGTTCGGCAAATCCTTCGGGTGTCTTGAGAACGGAGACTATCACCCATGGGTTCGGAAGATCTTTGACGGCGTGAAGTTTATAGCCTACGGCCAGGCCATGACACGACTCGGGCTGAAGCGGTGGGCTACAGTACTAGCGCCGCCTTCCTCACGGAAGAGCGCTGAACAACACATGGAATTTTCTCGACGTACCGCGCTCGCCAGGATCGATAGCGGCAACACATCACGAGAAGACTTCATGTCATATATTCTTCGCCACAACGACGATGAGAAAGGCATGTCCAAGCTTGAAATTACGGAGAACTCGGCCACACTTATCTTAGCGGGGAGCGAGACCACAGCAACACTGCTGAGCGGGGCGACATTCCTCCTCCTAAAGAACCGGGATAAGTATGAGACGCTCACAAAGGAAATCCGTTCCGCGTTCAAGTCAGCAGAAGATATCACACTCGGCAAAGTGAACCAACTTGAGTATTTGTTGGCTGTACTGAACGAGAGTCTGCGCATGTGTGAGTTTATCTTATACCTCCAATCGGAAAGAACCAACTAAAAGCTCTTGACAGATCCTCCTGTACCAATTGGTTTGCCAAGGCTTGCTCCGGCCGCGGGCGAGTTCATGGAAGGATATTGGATCCCGGCCAACGTAGGTTTTGCTGGCGAGTTCCCATTTCGCTCCCCTTCCGCTAAAACTTCCGGCACAGACTTCAGTTTCTGTACCACATTGGTCAGCATACCGATCAGCGAGAAATTTTCGAGAGCCGGATGCTTTTGTCCCGGAAAGATGGCTCAATGACCCGCTCTATGCTTCCGACGCAAAATCGATTCTTCAACCATTCTCTTACGGACCCCGGAATTGTATTGGCAAAAAGTGAGTACTGACCAACCGTGAACAGGCACTGGCTTAGGAATAGATGAAGAACAGCACGTAACTGACATTCATTGATAGCCTGGCATACGCAGAAATGCGGCTCATTCTCACACACTTGTTCTGGAAGTTTGATCTTGAATTAGACCCTGAGTGTAACGATTGGAGTAACCAAAAAGTTTACATCCTCTGGGAAAAGAGCGGTTTGAAAGTGAAGCTTACGGAGGTAATTCGAGCGGAGAAAGAGTAAGGAGCTACCGACATTAGCCGTCGCTGCTCACTCTTGGAACAAGGTAGTAACATTGATTTAACTTATCTTGAGATTCAGACATGCAGTATCACCACCTATGTTTTTCACTAGTGTTTAGTGGGTAAACTTCCAGAGGCACTCTAACTCTACGTTGTAGGATTTTTAGGACTAGAAGCAGATACCGTCGCTTGGCTAAAGATTTTGTTCACTGCTATCCAAAATTTGGTCCTGGTGAGAGTCTGGTTACAAAGTGAAAAACACCAAGAGAAGATGCCAAACCAATTCTCAGAAATTCAGCATTGTATCCGCACCAGACTGGCAATGCAATTGGAGTATGGGGGTCGCGCCGAGTGGCTGAAGCAGTGAACAACCTTCACTGATCGCATGGCTTCATCAAATCATCAATGCGTATTAAGTCGTAGCTTCCATGTATCCTGCCCATTGTTGTGAGCTATGAAGAGAAATAGGAAAGGACTGGCATACGATTTTCAGACTTCCCATATGCCTTCCGCATCACCTATCATAACACCTAACAGGTCAGTTTGAACAGAACACGAGGAGAAATGATGTACTTCACCTTGTATGGGTGTAGTTAATTATGCTTTGTAAAACCCTGTTTGGGATTGGCTAAATCAGCATGGGGATCGAGGCTGACGAACTCTTTCACTCTACATTTTTAAGGTTGGCTCCTTACCCAATTGGAAAGTACGTTATAAAAATCGCACGATCGATTTCACGGCGTTCTGTGCCAGCCCAAGCCTCAGTCTCACCCGCATTACAGCTCTCATATTATCTAGACTCGAGAGACGCCACACCTCACTATCAAGCGGAGAGGGGTGGGTTCAACTATTGCAGCTGAAATGCTGAGAGTTAAATCCTAAATATAGTCAATCTTGGCTATGGAGCCCTGCTAGTCATTGTCCCGGAAGAACTAGTTAAGCTGCGTAAAGAATGGCTGCTGTATTCGATACGTAGAAAGCGATAGCTTCTGAACTTTTAAATATCCGATCACTGATTCAAGCGGGTTACTCTGGGAAATGGGGACATAGGAGCACCAGGGTATTGAATTCCAACATCAAGTCTCTACTATACTATGTTGGGTCTGATCCCTCACGCCCCTCGGTGATGTACGGCAAAGCGCAAAGGGGGCAAAAGTAATGTTTGCGCAGGTACCATGGAATAATGCAGCTCGAATGGAACACATGGCCGCAACATAACCGGCGAACGCATTGCTCGGCCTTCAAAGGATCTAGACAAATAGCACTTGTAGAAGTGTTAGCAAAGCGAATTCCACACAATAAATCCAGGCTCCTGTACCTACCACGCGTAGTATGACTCTGGCCAGACAGGTTGATCACCTGGCTTACGTTGCTTCGCCTCTTCCCTGACCTGGGCGAAGTCCTTTGCTGGAGCTTCTCGGTCTAGGATTTCGAGAAACGCTTTCTGCGATGCTGATGAGTCGGTCGACGAAGCGCTCGCCGTCGACTCAATATCATCGGATTCGACGTAATCGATTGGAAATCGGACAATAGTGCTATAGACCTCGGATGTCAGTCGTTTGATTGAAAGGGAGCTCCAGGCTCCAGGGTGGAATTGGCTTACCAGAGAAAGCACATCAGTAGAAGCAACACAATAACACCACTGATGATAAACACTGGTAAGGCTTCTTCTGAAAGGCTTCTAAAGTGGTCTCTAGAATCTGACGATGAGTTTGCGGCTGAAAGGCTGTTGGCGTTCAAGTCCGTAGTCCGTCGGGACAGCATGGTAGTCAAATGGTAGTTAAACGAAGCAAGATAAGTAGGAGACAAGAAATTGCGAACCCAAATATATTCTTTGACAATAGTTGTCAAGCTTTGATACTATCTTGCTGGTTCTTAACGAAGGGAATTCCATGTCAGCCTTCGGAGACAGAAAGGGATAGGGTGTTCAACGAATTAGTTGATCAGAGGGACTAGGTCTGGACTGCCCCTTTGAATCAGGATCAGATCATTTTTCAAGCTGCTCTCCCCAGTGGCGTTGTGGCGTATCGCGTTTGACATCAGCTGCTCTGAACATTTGGACGAGGTGTGGCACGTCGCGGGCGAATGGGGCCGAGGGGTGGATACAGTGATAAACTCTATTGACGCCTCCCAACGGTTTTAGAGGCCGTTATGAAGGCTGGATCTCATGCCTTGGACAAGAGAGAGCCCGGGTGTTGAACGCGAAGTCATGGTCTCTACTTCAAGTCATCCGGATTATTGGTGATGTCAATTAACGCCAGACCGTTCAATGCCCTATTGACTTGCTCAATGCCTCAATGAAATGATACACTGTGGATACCTCGAAGCTGAGAGTATATCCAGGATCAGACTAAGGTCAGCAAGGTTCAGTTCTAGCCCTCAATCCCTAGTAAGCAACCTCTTATCCCGTCGGATCCGGCCGACCTAACATGTTACTGTAGAGCAAAGCCTGCTATTCCCATAAACAAAATACCCAAAAGGAGACACGCTAGAATGGCATCCAATTCGATGGCTGTAAGTTTTAGCTATTCCTGACAAGCTAACAGGGTTCGAAATCCGGCCGTTCGTGGCTTGGGGTAGCATGGAAGGGGTAGCCATGGAATTCCTTTGTAAGCTTTTCTGTCACACACATCCCTGGCTGGAAATGCTATACCAGATTGTTACCGAAAACATACTCGCTCGGTCTTGCATTAGGGTCCTTCGTATTTATGTTTGTCTGACGGGTGTAATGTAGATGGAGATACCTAGGTAACAGAATAATAACCACAAGACTGGTGTTTTCCGCCTTTTCATTTCTGTTTAGAGTCGGGATTTATATTGCTGAGTGATAAATTGAGCGTAAGCCAGTTTTTGCCCCAAATGGAAGGGAAAATATGTAAGAATGAAGAAAATCGAGTATTCAGATTATTATACAAATTCATCCAAGTCATATACATATTTCCGGGAAGAAAGCCAAGTATCATTGGGTGTCTTAATATCAATTCCAGTACCCTCAAAATCAGCTTGCATCGAGGCAAGATATTGAATGATATCCCAAATGAAAATCCTCAGAGAGCATCAGAAATTGAAATTTCAACAGCCATACCGGTAGATATGAGAAAGAAATCAGAAGATGCTAGACTCGACATCTCAACACAATGAATAAAGGGTGTTCAACACTTGGTCGCTTTCTCCTAGTATCACCACGCTGACATCCCGCCGAAAGCGTCTGTAGTCGTTCTCAAGTTCGATGCTAGCATAAACAAGGTTCTGTCAGAATCGTCTATATATCCATCATCGTAGCTATAACTGTGAATATATGCGATGTCATCGAGATACTGCTAAAGGAGACGAAGATAGGAACTCACATCACAAGCTAGGAGGGCTGGCTTGTCCCTCACTAATGAGGCAACAAAATTCGGCTTAGTAGCTAAATATCGTTGAGAGCTCCTCTGCCGGCTCGAAGCTCGCTATTGCAAGAATGTATTACTAGGTCCACGTGCCATAATCTTAGGACACATTATTGAACTATGCCAATTTGTCCTAATATGGATAAACATGCCGAGTCCGCAGGTTCACCCACATCCTGAAGTCCCCTGGTTGCCGAAAGTTCCTGACCAGTAGTAGAGCAGAAATCTCAAATTCAGCCGGGCCACAGTCGCCCAGTGCTACGCTGGGACCCGTACCCGTAAGTCATGAGTTTGAGCACTGGGATGAAGTTAAACGCGGCATGACTCAGAACAGAACTGTTGGTGGTCAGCAGGTTAATCCACCTATCGTGATTCGCTTGGCTTACATACCGCTACTTCCGATCATCCGACATATCCCCATCGTTGCTGTACGATTCTGATAAAATGCATAAATAGTCTACTAGACAAATCTTCTACCTCGAAACATCAGTGCATGAGCACATAGAACCTGGTCAAAGAATCAAATAAAGACACTCAGCATGGAGTTCAACCCCACCAAAGCCATCGTTCACAATGAAGATTGTGACTTGCATTACTGGTACCAGGGCAAAGGACCCCTCATCACCTTTGTTCCCGGAGGAAATGGTCATGGGCGGCAATTCAACCCTTTAATTGCGGCCCTTTCTGACAAGTACACTTGCGTCACTTTTGACAGGCGTCAGATGTCGGCAAGCCAAGTGAAGGTCAATAAGAGGCTCAACCCACCACAACAAGCACGAGATATTCGCGCCGTTATTCAGGCCCTCGGCTTTGAGAAGTCCATCATCTTCGGAAGCAGTAGTGGGGGTATCTTCTCACTCCAATTTGCGCACGACTTTCCCGAGATGGTCGATCACTTGATATCTCACGAAGCACCCACGGTGACCCTTCTCCCAGATGCCTCCAGCCTAGTCGAGTGGTTTCTTCATCTTATGGAGGTATATGAGACTCGTGGACTAGAGCAAGCTGCTAGCGAATTCGGCGCCAAACTGATAGGATACGATGACGAAGGTATCCCCAAGGTAGCGAAGCCTGAACCAGAGAACCCTCGGAATTTCTGGGACAATGAGTTCCCAGTTCTGCTGGGTTACATGCCCAATCTATGGCGGTTGGTGGAGAATAAGACCAGCGTTGGTGTGATGAGGGGGGTGCGATGCAAAGATGCCTTCTTCGCCAGGACGACAGTAGAGCAGGCAAAGATTTTAGGCTGCCCGCTCCTCCTAGTGCCAGGGCACCACCAGGGTTTTGAGGCTGAGACGAAGGAATTCCTTCCATATTTCATCGAGATGCTGGATACTCTAGAAAAGAAGAGACGGACAGCTTAGAAACCACCAAAGCCTCGTTCTTTCTAGTCTCTAGACAGGGTCTACGTTGCGCTGACAATATAATATCTTTCACAGTTGCTGTCACCTTAAAAGTATTTGAGATTAAAGGCGGCTAATACGGAATTGCCGAATTTTGATTCTGTATTAAAACTAGAAATCAAGTATTTATGTATCCATATTCTTTGCGCTCTCCAGTGCCATTTACTCAGGGATGACATGGTCTTTGGCAGCAACACCTGCAGCCCAATGATACTTGGCTGCAGTATGGTCTGGAGGCGGATAAGCACGTCCTGCCTCCTCGTAAAAGTTTTCACGGTAGGTGCCGCCGGGAACCGCGTAGTCGTCCCAGAAGAGACCTCGTTGCCGAAGTTCTGGCACAAGCAGCTCAGCGATATCCTTGAATGACCGGGGGAACAGGACATATCCCTATATAGCTGCGTTAGAGTCGTTTATCGTGTTGGTCTGCGAGAGGATATCCCACTTACAAAATTGAAACCATCTACATCGGCTTCACGAACCCAAGTCTCCAGGCTGTCGGCAACCTGGGATGGTGTTCCAACGAATAGGGGGCCGTTTCCTCCCAAGCTGACATGCTCGGCAACAGTGTGCTTAGTCCATTTCGAGTTCGCGGGCGAAAATCTAGCATATCCTTCCACGGTAGATCTAGAAATACAGGGTGAGTTTATTTGCAATTATCAGTGGTTGAATCAGCGCGGGGCCACTCACTTGACAGCATTGCTTTCAACCTGCCTCAGCTCCTCTTCGTCTCCGTACTGGTTGAGGTCTATGCCCGTCCATCCACCAAACAATGACAGCGCACCTTCCAATGAAGCATATTGCTTGTAGTCATTGTACTTGGCGAGGGCCTCTTCCTCCGTCCGACCGAGGATGGGAGTGACCAAAGCCAGGACCTTGATCTTGGTTGGGTCGCGCCCAAACTGCTCCTTGGCCGTCTGTCGGATTTCTGCAATATTCTTCTTGCAGACCTCTGGTGCATGGGCCGACGTGAAGATGGCTTCGGCGTGCTGGGCAGCAAACGCCTTCCCGGCCTTGGAGGCACCCGCCTGTAGGAGAAGGGGTGTGCGCTGAGGACTAGGGTGTGTGATGTGCGGGCCAGGGATGTTGAAGAACTTGCCCTTGTGGTTGATCTCTCGGACGAGCTCTGGGTCGGTGTAGATGCCCTTCTCACGGTTGAGCTGGATAGCGTCATCGCGCCAGGATGACTGGAAGAGCTTGTACATGACCTTCAGGTACTCTTCCGCCAAGGCGTACCTGTCATCATGCTAGATAAGACCATTAGTTAGTTCACCTCTAAGACATAAGCCGATCCATGGGTATGATTGGTCAGGCGTTGCTCGCATACATTCAGCTGTTCAGTTCGGCCGAGATTCTTTGCAGCCGAGTCTAGATAGCTAGTAACGATCTACACTGAGTTAGTTGCGTTAGGATCATACAGGCTACATGCAGTGCTACCCACGTTCCACCCAAGTCTATATTACATCGAGTTAGTATGTAAAGTTAGAGTGAGTGGATGGATGGATCAAGGGCCATGGCGACAGACCTTCCCTTGGTGAGATGATCAACGGTCGACAACCTTCTAGCGAGATGGTACGGCTGCTCATAGGTCGTCGACACCGTGACACCGAAACCAATGCTTTTTGTCACTGCAGCCATTGCAGACACAACAGCCAGCGGCTCTGTGACGGGCCATTGCGACCCGGAGACAATAGCCGGTTCAAGAGATTTCTTGTATACGTCATATCCGCCTATGGGAGAAGGCAGGAGTCAGTGGCTGCAAGTGAAACGAAACGGAATCTAGAATCCTCCCCTCCGGATATAAAACGGATAGCTCGACAAACAGGGGAGATGACCAGGGATGCGGATGCGGAGAAGGCGACAGGGGGGAATCTATCTTACCCAGCACATCTGCGATGAAGATGCCGTGGAACTTGGCCTCTTCGAGCGTTTTGGCCAGCTCAACCCAGTGCTCGGTGCTGTCAAAGCGCCACGACTGATCGTCAGGGTGCCGCCAAAGCCCAGGGGACTGATGTCCGCTGCCTGTCAATTGGATACTCCCTCGTCAGCGCCAGAACCGATGCTCGCAGAAGGAGGAGGTGTGTGAGCATGGACGTCCGACCGGGGGATAGGACGGCTGTATCTTGATTGGACCTACACATCATAACGAATGCATTGAGAACAAGGCGCTTCTGCACGTCACGGGGTCCATCGGAGGCTGCCATGGCGGTTGCTGGTTGGTGGTGTTGGCTGTGAGTGATGTGTCGGTTCAGATGGCAGACGATAGCTTCATCTCGATGTGGAAAGGGGCCCAGCCACCGTCCGCCAGGGACGGAACGCGGGTATATCTTTGTAGGCAAAAGACAACAGCGTGCCCGATGATCGGAGGCATCAACACCGGTTGAGCCTGGTGGCCGTTGAGGACTGGGCCGGTGGTGGATGTGAAGGGGATTGCGTGATACGTTAGTTTCCACCAGCCCCAGTCTATCTGTGATCTCGCCATCGCAGCAAGGAATGATGCACTTGTTGATTACACAGCAGAGTCGTGTCTGTCCTCGGCCATCCATGCAGCAATGCATCGATCTCGTAGTCAAGGCCAATAGATGAGATAACCGACCCCGGCTGGGGCGGTTGTTTGATTGCTGGCTTTAAGTGTCATTCAGACGCAATCTGCATCTAGTTTTGTCCTCTTACATCCATCCTCTTTTGCACCCCTCCTCCATCTCGAGGTCCCTGGTCGGTTTTTTATTTTATTTATTTTATTCTATTTTTTCTTCGGGCTTTGATTTATACAGCGCTCTCCGACCTGCATACAGCCTTCGCCTCAAGCCCTCCCATCCATCACTCACATCAGAATGCCTGAATGGCTCTCGTCCAGACGCTGGTCTCTACGGACACGCAGTGAGAAAAGCTCTCGCACGCCCATTGAGAAAAAGACTGGTGATATCACGACTGCTCCCGCACCAGCCAAAGTCCAGCCGGAAATCCAGATCCCCGACACACAAGCCGCAGTTCTTCTACACGCACCGAAACAGCCATACCAACTAACCAGCGATCATCCCGTGCCAGAGCTTCTTCATGAGCATGAGATTCTGGTGCGCACGCGGGCGATTGGCCTGAACCCAATTGATTGGAAATCACCGTAAGCTCAAACTTGCGCCCTCCGGTGCCTCCGCGCCATGTCTTGCATTACATGTGACGTCTCATTATTCATCATCTTATGCTAACGCCCGCTTCCAGAGACTTCAATTTCGGTATCCCAGTGCTACCGTTTCTCTCTGGCCGAGAGCTTGCCGGAGATGTAGTACGTGCAAACTCAAAGGCCGGCTTCGACGTTGGTGATCGTGTAAGTTCTACGAAATTTCAAGGCATTCCATGTAATAAAAGATACTAACATCATGTCAGGTCGTCGCCATCTCAACCGACTATCGGGACCAGCGCAAAGGCGCCTACCAAGAATACGTTGTCGCCCCCGACTATAATGTTGTCCAACTACCTTCCCACATCTCATACGAAGAGGGTTCAACGGTTGGTGTAGCGTTTGTCGCCGCCGCCCTCGGTCTTGGTGTATCAATGGGTGTGGATTTCTCACAGGTCGCTGGCGGTCCAGACTTATTCACGCTCCTCAGAGATATTGACGAGTCGAGAATACCGTCAGACGTAAGAGCAGAGAGTCTGGCCGGTATCCGCAACAAGGAACGCCCGAAGAAGGGTGACTGGCTTGCAGTTTGGGGAGGTGAGTTTTGCTTCTACAACAAATGGGATGACCACACAATCTAACACTCTTTCGCGTTTAGGTTCTTCCACCTCAGCACATCTAACGATCCAATTGGCAAAGCTCGCGGGACTCAGAGTCGTGGTAATGGTTGATAAAGCCAAGCACGGCCTGCGCATTTCCAATCACCAATCTATCCGACCTGACTTACTAGTAGACAGCCATGACCCGGAGAGAGCCATCAGCATCATCAAGGCCAACACCAAGGGCAACCTGCGGTTTGGTCTTGATACACGAGGAAAGGAAACGGCAGAGTATCTGCTGCGGGCCATCTCACCAGAGTCGCCTCTGACCAAGCCGGGAGTGGACGAAGATAACCTGCCAACGCCGCCGGGAACACCGAGCGTCGACGGCCACAGGTCTCATCTTATCGGAATGAGTGGCCTTCCAAAGATCGCACCTGGCCAGGAAGTCTTGCTCCACAACGTCCCAATCAAGTTGTTCCATGATGTGCCCGAGGTTGGCTCGGCGTTAACATCTTGGCTTGGCCGTCTCTTAGGCGAGGGCATCATTACCCTGCCTGACGTTCTGGATGTAGAAAAGGGATTCGAAAACATCAATTCGGGATTAGACCGGATGCGAAGGGGAGAGATAAGCGGTGGAAAATTGGTTGTAAAGGTATAGACGATAGATTGCATCCCAGCTCAGCTGGCCATTTTCTAGCATAGTTTGATCATTGGGAATCGGTGCCCATTTATTCCACTAGTCATATTCAGTCAGGTATATATCCCACACAAACTATCTCTTATCAAACCAATACGAAAATGCTAAGTGTGACCAAGAAAACCGCAGCGTGGATTAACCCATCGGTGCGATCGGAGAGGCCCATCATGGTCTAAAACGATTTGCGGTTCTAGTACACATGTAGAAGCTGACCCAGGTCAGTGGTTGCAGGGATGCTTTACGCAACATCTCTTGAGGCCCAATCGATGAAATTCAGGTTCTATTTATCTATCTGTGTGCCTTTTAAGACCCAAGGCACATACCCTTGCTTATGTCCAAGTTCTATCGTGAATCTAATCTGTCGTTGTTCGTCTATGTAGCTCTCAGCCCCGTTTTGAATCAGGCTCCTCGTTGACTTGGCCAATCTCACTAGGCGTTTCTGATTCATCAGTCTCGGAAAGGACATGGTCCTTAGTACCAAGCTTCCGAATAACAAGCCAGGCAGGAAGGATAGCGACTGCCCAGAGGCCAAAGTTGAGATAGACGGCCCCAATCTCGGCAATGATCACCTGGGATCCAATTCCGTAACTAATAGCTTGCCAAGCAGACTCTGCTCCGCGCAGGATGGCAGAATACCGAATGACTTCCTGCTTGTCGGTTGATAGGTTCTGAACAATAAAGTACCTGAGAGTTTATTAGCGTCAATGTACTCTTTCAGATGCCATATCTAGATTTTCAACTTACAAAAATAGGTAGTTCAGTTGAAAGCCCAGGGTGAGGAAAATGAAGACACCGAATCCAGCACCGAAGCCTGGACTAGACCAATCGTATGTGGGCCGAGTTTTGTGATATCTGGTGACTAAGACTGTGGCCCAAGTCCACCAGGCACCTTGCAAGGTAACGATGACCCAGAACGCATACCTGGCTCGGGTTTTTAGAGGAATCGCAGTGCGATCAATCCAGGCCTAAAGATTCGAGTTAGTAGATGGCTCAGTTTATATGTAAGACATATACATACCCCAAGAAGATTACCTCCGGTGACAGCCACGATTCCGGAAAGGAAAGATCCCAGGGCTCTTGCGCGCACACTGAACCACACTATTTTTATAAAGGTCAGCAAAACCAGTTCAGTAGAGTATGAATAAAAGAAGCCTTACAGGATAAGTAGGTGAAAAACACTGCTTCCGAAAACACGGCTTGACCAATGAAGAACAGAATAAGGAGGAAGTCCTTGGTGAAGAAAAGCTTCGTAGTCCGCTTAATCTCGGGCCAAGGGCTTCCGTCAATTCTCAGGTTGACTTTCTTTCCATCCAGACGTTCAACTTTCTTAGGTGGTGTCAAGAGCATCCCGAAGAAGGGTCCCAGAGCCTGGATAGTGATGAAGATGATGAAGACTGTATAAGAAACCTTGCCGGCCTCGGAGCGGTCTGCGTTCAAGCCGAGATTGATAGCTCCGCCGATGATCTGCCCGGACAGACGATAGGTAAGCCAGTATCCAAGAGCTTTCCCCCTGTTCCACGGTTCTGGGTACGCGATGGCAATGGCAGCTTCAGCCATCCAGAACACGCCGGCGGAGATACCGCAGAGTGCAGCCCCAAGGATTACTAGCCACTCATTACCAAAGCGGTTGTTTGCATATAGGCCGGCGGCATAGGGCGCATAGCCGATACTGAAACCCAGTGTAAGTAAGATCCCAAGAAATTAAGACAGTGCAGTCAACATACGTTCCAAAAATGAGAGCACCCTTGATTCCAATGTAATGCACCAGGGCACTGGATACCCAGCAGGATACAACCATAAGACAGAACGTCAAGGCATTTGCAGTGTTGACCAGGTATGGCCTCTGAGCTCCACCTGCTCCCAGGGAATTCATGGCAGTCCAGATACCAGGAGCCGCAAGGTTGCATAGACCCAGGATGGTCATGTTGTAGAACGTAGAACGGTACCAACGCACTGTGATTGGCACATGTGAGCCACAGGGGATCGTCTTCAAAGCTAGCAGCACTATTTCTTACCACGATGCGGGCCGCCAGTGGCAGGGGCGCCGCCATTCTCGCTATTGTCGACGGCTTGTTCTGCCGTGGAAGCCATGACTGGTCAGATGGCGTATGGATCAATGCAAGGCTACACAGATTAATGCAGGACAGAGCGGAGAGAATTGCTCTTTTCCCATTTATTCAGAACCTGCAGCATGACGACCTGTTCTTATCTTCTACAAGCCCGTTTGTCCGAGCACAATCACGCAATAGCCTCTATGTCACTCTCACCTTGGCAGTGGAGAATGAGGCATGAAGGAAAACACCCTTTGATAGAACTCCTCATATACCTCGATTGCACGCTGTATGTGCCAGTCAGAAATTATAAACCGAGTCGCAAACTTCCCGCGAAGCTACCGGACCTGGCCTCCCAGCAGGGTTAGGCAGTATCGAGTAATTAAATACGATGCGACACTGGTTCCCTCGCGTTATCACAGCTCCAAATGGCGCGGGTGGAAATGCGAGCTGGTGAATGGCTGGAATCTGCCACGCGCAAGACCAGGGACCAATGTCATCATCGAGCGGGCACCAGATTGGTGTGCGGCCGTCGACGATCTCCGGGCTGCCGGTGGGATGTCTGCACGAATGCCGATAGCGGGCAAGCTTTCCCCTGCCAGCTGCTGCGGATCTCAATGCCAAGTTCCAGCAGCCGGCCGGTTCCATGTGGCCCAGACCCGGCCGACTCGAAGCTTGGTTGACGCTGCAAGGAGCTGATTGCAGCATGTTCGCTGATCCGGTTGCCTGTGTCATGCTGAAACGTGCGCCAAGACACTTGGGATGTCAACGTGAGAAAGAAAGACGCATGATTTGGAATAGAACGACACATAATTAGCCTCGGTTGCATCAGCCCGGCCAGGATATGCTCGATGAAGTTGGATGTCATCGTTGCCGCACGACCGACGCTGTTTCTTCGGTGACAAAGCGGTCTTTCTTGTAGGATTTGTCTTCATCAAACTTGCTCGCACGCCTTAATGCTCGAATTAGTGAGTACAGGGCGTTCATCTATTCTTGATCCTCAGTGGGATGTACCCGCCCCTCCTGGTTTCGGCGAGAGTGTCACGGCTGTCTGATCGAGGCAACGCACCCCTCATTGGTGTACTCTGACAGAAAAATTAAAGAAGTAAAGAACGCTTCTCCTTCTTCTCTACTTTTTCCCTTTTGTGCGACCGTGATGCGATATAGTTGCGTTGCGTCTGGCTTCGGTCAGCGATTCTCTTCGATCTGTTCATGGCCTCGACGGCTAAAAAGCTCAATCCTGTAGCTCACGACTACACAGCCGGGCACATATACTCCGTAATTGCCATCGTGATCTCTCAACCCCTCCGGTTTGTGCTCATGTTCAACAGCAGAGGGTCTGCGGTAGGATCGCTCGGCTGACCTCGCTTTTCAGTGAAAAGAAGGGGAGAAGGGATAATATTTAGCGTCTATCCGGCCTCCTTCTCATGTTCTATTTCACGTTTCAAGGCTGAGATTACCGGAACATCGACCCTCTTGCCGTCGCTACTCCAGTATGAGATCGGTAATGAGCATATCAGGATAATCCTTGGACTGCTCTTCCGGCTTGCGGTTCCGGACTCCTACCGTTACTTGTTGCCAAAAGCTTCAGTTAGCTAACCAAGCTCTCCATTCTTTGTCAGTTATGGGCCAGAATGTTCCCTCAGGTTGTTTGGTGTTCCCCAGGATCACAAAGTCACCTGGATTCAGCGCTGGTGCGCGAGGCTCATTTCGGCATTGATATTGTCCCGCTTGAAGGAAAGAATTACCAAAAATTACCAACAGGTACATATTGATCAGATAAGATAAGATCGGATCGGACCAGATCGCTGTACTCTGCTCAAGGATCTCTTAGAACCGGCCTTCCGGTGCGCTACGTGCAATCGGAGATCAAGCCATACCTTACATAGTCGCCACTTCAGCATCTCCGGACTTTTGTGGAGAATGATAACTGGACGGAAAGAGACCCGGAGTGGCGCTGAGCCAAAAACAGTTTGCTCGGACGGGTTCTATTCCGTAAGGGCCATCGCCGAGTCATTTCGAGGCCATACGCAGATCGGCTGATAACCGAGCCGTATAACCACGTTCTCGGTAACTACCCGAGACACGCTTCGGCTGTCAGCCTTTGAGTTGAACAGAAGTCATGGAGAAAGCCATGACTCTCAAAATACTAGTCGGGCTCTACAGCTTTGGAAAGATCCGGAAACTGTCCGGTATCGGGCGGCAACCGACGAAGAATCGGCAAGGCTGTTGAGATGTCTACCGGAGCTCAAAAACTATAGATATAGCTGGTTGACTCTTCAAATGGAGAGATCATTATCAGTAATAACAAGCCACCAACGAAAGGCATTTTCTATTCTGTACAGCATCTAATAGCATCTTTCTTCCGCGATTCCATTTACTATCGCCACTATGGTTCTTGTTCCTCATCGACCCGGCCAGTTCAAGGTCCTTGGCGAGGTCAACGATGCAACCAGCAAGATCTTGACTGAAGAAGCTTGCCAGTTCCTTTCTATCTTGCACAGATCTTTCGAAGGAACCCGCAGAGATCTCCTCTATCAGCGTGTGCTCAAACAGAAGAGATGGGATGCCGGAGAACGACCTGACTTCCTCCCCGAGACCAAGGACATCCGAGAAGATGGCCGATGGCGTGGAGCCGCCCCGGGTCCAGGTCTTGCCAACCGTCGTGTTGAGATCACCGGCCCTACTGACAGAAAGATGGTCGTCAACGCCCTGAACTCCAATGTCTATGCTTACATGGCTGACTTTGAAGGTGCGCAACTGGTTTCTGATTATTACTATTGGGGATCAAAACTAACAATCTAAAGATTCTCTTACACCCACCTGGAGCAATGTTGTCCAGGGACAGATTAACCTCTTCGATGCTGTCCGCCGCCAAATAGATTTCACGCTTGGCGAGAAGGAGTACAAGCTACGCACAGACAGAACTCTGCCAACCCTGATCTGCCGTACCCGTGGATGGCATCTCAATGAGGAGCACTTCCTCGTCGATGGTGCCCCAATTTCAGGAGCATTGTTCGATTTCGGTCTGTACTTCTTCCACAACGCCAAGGAGCTCATTTCTCGAGGTCTTGGCCCCTACTTCTATATTCCCAAGCTCGAGTCTCATCTCGAGGCAAGACTCTGGAATGACGTATACAATGTCGCCCAGGACTTCATTGGAATTCCTCGGGGGACCATCCGCGGTACCGTTCTGATCGAAACCATCACTGCAGTATTTGAAATGGATGAGGTATGTGCTTACGCTGTGGCCCGCTATTCGGGATTCCTCTTCTAATCGTACGAATAGATCATCTACGAGCTCCGTGACCACATCGGAGGCCTCAACTGTGGCCGATGGGACTACATCTTTACATTCATCAAGATCTTCCGCAACCGACCCGACTTCATCCTGCCAGACCGCATTGATGTCAACATGACCGTGCCGTTTATGGACGCCTACGTCAAGCTCCTAATCAGCACTTGCCACCGCCGCGGCGTGCATGCAATGGGCGGAATGGCTGCCCTTATCCCCATCAAGAACGACGAGGAGGCAAACGCCAAAGCCATGACCAATGTCAAGGCCGATAAGCTCCGGGAGGTGCTGGCCGGGCACGACGGAACTTGGGTCGCTCATCCGGGGTTGGCGTCGCTTGCAGAAGAGATCTTCAACACGTACATGCCGACGGCAAACCAGACCTTCCGCCGACCACCCCTGGCGCAGGTCACCAGGGATGATCTCCTGAACCCTAATGTGTCTGGAAATATCACACTCGACGGTGTGAAGAAGAACATCCAGGTCTGCCTGGTATACATGGAGGCATGGATCCGCGGCATTGGCTGCAGTCCCATCAACTTCCTCATGGTACGTAATCGTCCGACATCCCGCTGCAACCTGACCGATTATCTAATAATATGTGCCCAATCTATAGGAAGATGCGGCTACCGCCGAGGTATCACGAAGTCAGCTCTGGCAGTGGGTGCGTCACGGGGCCAGCACGGTGGAAGGAATCCGACTGGACAAGCAGTTCGTGCTTGGCCTTCTCGACGAACAGCTCGCGAGCCTCACATCATCTGCGGCAGCAGACAACAAATTTGAGCTCACCGCCGGATACCTCAGGAAGGAGATCACAGGCGAGGACTACTGCGGCTTTTTGCCAGAGTGAGTGTCTTCCGAAACACCCGGATCAATGCGGGCATTGAGCTAACACAGTTGCGTTTAGATTACTCTACAATGAGATTACGACCAAGAAGTCGGCATAATCTTGCATGTAGGAACATAGAGCGCATTAGAGAAAGTATCAAAATCATGAAACATGACCCAAGTAGACAGCATAGTTGAGCAGAAATCCTATTTTTCTCCATAGCTACCCGCCTGATCCAACCCTGCCTGATGATCATTGAACGAAAGCCCAGAAGTGGAATCACAAATCGTTCGAAATAACTGGCTCCTCGGAAGCCTTGGGTCCGAGAACCACTGACTGAATCTTGTTGTTAGATTATGCAGGGGCACAAATATGTTTAAGATCGACAGCAAAAGTGGTCGCGTTTTCCGTCTTCCAAGGATCGGCGCCTTCTTATGCTTTATTCGCGGGTGAATCCATTGAAACACCACCAACCAGACCGTACGATTCACGAAATGAGCAAGGATTGCCTTGATTATGGATCCATTGTCAGTCTGCCTGCATCAAGTGGCAGAGCAGACGCCTTGCACGGCCCTTGAGGCCGTGATCCATCCCCGGATTAACTCCAGCATTCGTCGTAGCCGCCGCTGAGTATTCTCCGGCTCGTCGCGAGGAACTCCGGCAGAATTGGAGATCGGATTTGCCGCTGCACGCTGGTGCTGACGTCGGCCTGCGTTGCGTTGCATGCGTCAGGTACCCTTTTCAGCCCCTTGCCGCCAACTTTATCTGACCACTGGATCACAATTTGGTCCAAAGCGTCTGCTTCGAGCCATCCTCCGAGGACTGGGCATTCCTCTTATCGTCTGCCTCTTGTTCCAATGATCTCACGGCGATGACATCAGATAGATGATGACCCCTCAAGACATACAGCCAAGGCGAAACTGCAACGACCCCGGCGATTATAGCGGACAGGGCAAATTCGATGGCTAAATTCCTCCGTGCTTGCCGCTGTTGCATCCGCCGGGTTTCAATGTGCCACCCCTTAACTTTTCCCTGAAACAGATGAGTGGCAGGGATGGGGACTTTAGTTTCCCGAATCCCCAGGATTTTTCTTGGAGATTCAGCACACATGACACATGGAGGGCCAAGACCAATAAGGGTTCACCATATCGTCCATGTCTATATTCAAACTCCCCCACAACGGACCAAAGCTTGATCAGTCCGTTTTAGGAAGGCTACCGCCATTCTCGAGTCTCCTGGCTTGAGTGCGTCTAGCGCTTAGGGAAGAGATCTGCTAGGTGACCTGCACCCACACAGCTTGTGGATCCCAACTTGTCGTGTGGTCTTACTTTCGCTGAAGGAGAGAGTGGGAGCAATGAGGGGCTCGACGGCCCGGGAAGACGGGAAGAGAAAGCGAATGCTGAGACTTCTCTTGACCTCTTGCGGCTTGTGTCTTCCGTTTGGAGTTGAATCCGAAGTGTTTGATGCCCTATGTACCAGAAACCGAACCGAATATAAATATGGCTTCCGTCCGGCCCCTTTGTTCTTCAAGTCCAGACACTCATCAACCAACATCTCATTCTCCAGTATCATAGATCTCAGAACTCGGATACAATGCTCTCTCTTGTTGCTCTCTCTCTTATTTCTGCGGCTGCGGCCCAGAAGGCTGGTACCAACACCGCCGAGACTCACCCTTCTCTCACATGGAAGAAGTGCACAGGTGCCAACTCCTGCTCCAACGTCAGCGGCTCGATCGTCATTGACTCCAACTGGCGCTGGACCAACAAGGGTGAGAAGCATCAACATATCAATCCTTCAGTATCACGGACCATTGCTAACCATCCTTCCAGACGGCACCAACTGCTACGACGGCAACAAGTGGACCAGCGCTTGCAGCAGCAACGAAGACTGTGCCCAGAACTGTGCTCTCGAGGGTGCCGACTACTCTGGAACCTACGGTATCACCACTAGCAGCGATGCCTTGACCCTCAAGTTTGTTCAGGAGCACGCCTACGGCACCAACATCGGCTCTCGAACATACCTCCTGAACTCTGAGTCCAAGTACGAGATGTTCAATCTGATTGGCAACGAGCTGGCTTTCGATGTCGATCTCTCAACCGTTGAGTGTGGTCTCAACAGTGCCCTCTACTTTGTCGCTATGGAGGAAGACGGTGGCATGGCCAGCTACCCCAACAACAAGGCTGGTGCCAAGTACGGTACTGGTTACTGTGATTCGCAGTGCGCCCGTGATCTCAAGTACATCGGCGGTCTTGTAAGTCATGAAGACTTTTCTCTCCGAGACCCCCAGAACAAAACTAACCTCTCGATTCACTATAGGCCAACTATGAGGGCTGGGAGCCTTCTGAGAGTGATGAGAACGCTGGTGTCGGACAGCGCGGTGCCTGCTGTGCTGAGATCGATATCTGGGAGTCCAACTCTCACTCCTTTGCTCTGACCCCCCACGCTTGTGAGAACAACGATTTCCACATCTGCACTGCTCCCAACTGCGGCGGTACCTACTCCGAGGACCGCTTCGCCGGTGACTGCGACGCCAACGGCTGTGACTACAACCCATACCGCATGGGCAACCCCGACTTCTACGGCGCCGGCAAGATCGTCGACACCTCCAAGAAGTTTACGTGAGTCTTTCATCTTCCCTTTGCTGGTCGGAACAGCATGTAGCTAACGGCATCTATAGCGTCGTCACATCCTTCACCACCAGCGGCCTCAAGCAGTTCTTCGTCCAGGACGGCAAGCGCATCGACATCCCCGCCCCCACCCACGCCGGTCTCCCCGACAGCAGCGAGATCAACGACGCCCTCTGCAGCACCGTCTTCAACGTCTTCGGCGACTACGACCGCTACACCGAGGTTGGCGGATGGTCCGCCATCTCCGACGCTCTCTCCAAGCCCCATGTTCTGGTCCTGTCCATCTGGGCCGACGTAAGCTCCCCTGCTTTCCCATATGGCCTTATTCCGTATAGTCTTGCTAATACAGTATCTTTTTTTTCTTCCAGCACTACGCCAACATGCTCTGGCTCGACGGTGTCTGGCCCAAGGACTCCACCAGCCTGGGTGCCAAGCGTGGCGACTGCCCTGCCAACTCCGGTGTTCCCTCCGAGGTTATCGCCAACTACCCCGACTCGTAAGGAAAACACTCATCTCGAATGTGCTATATAAAACCATGTTTGCTGACCTGAACCCTCTCTAGCTTCGTCACCTGGTCCAACATCCGCTTCGGACCTACCGGCTCCACGACTGGTCTCTAAGCGACTACTCTCGAAGACTATCTGTCCCGGAACGGGGAGAAAAATTGACACACTGGGAGAATCAAGAGATTTTACGAGGAGGATGCTTCAGTTATCTATATTCGCAATCTTTCAACCATTTTCTGTATATAGCTCTTGGCTCTAGACGCCATGATTTCCGCCGTGGCAAGTATCCGTCTTTTTCTGTGGAACTCGACGAGGCCTATTTCATAAGAATAAAACTCTATCCTATATCCTCCGAAGTCCCACTTGCGTGAGCTACATCATTACTGCAAATTGTGAGAAAGGTAGTTATCAAACTCGAAAGAGGGACAGTTATTAAACTCAGAAACAGTTCAAAACCTTACACCAAATCACATTCTTCCTGCGAAGTTGGGACAGTCTAACTCATACAATCCAGCCCAGCTACCTCCACAACAGATTCAATAGCTTAACGTAATCGGCACCGGCATCCCGCCAGGTTCTCTTGCCCTGTCCCGCCGGCCTCTTGGTAAGAGCTTACTCATACCGTCGGGATACCATGGAAGCCCTCATCACGAATCGCATCACAGGTGCTCCGGACCCCACAGTTTTGACCCAGCATGATATTCCCAAAACAGTGATTGGAATATGAGATCCGGGATGCGGTCCCACAGAGGGATGTCGAACGTACGTGTCACATCTACAGTCTCAGGCCCGCCCGTCCGTCACCTGCCCCCCACAGATCCACGGGGTCGATTGGCTTGCTCGAGAGAAGCATGTTTTGCCCTGACGAGGATGTGGATCTCCTGCGAGTCATCACAGTCTCGCCAGTGGACGGCTCGTGCAAGGTGAGCTACAGCGCACTAGGAGTCCGTCATATAAAGTGTTGGGTATATAGAGACGTGGCATTTGACTCCCAGGGAGATCGATGCCTAACCACATCGATCACCCTATCGCCTAGATGCACGTAGATTCAATGCCTGCTTGATTACACCGCATTGCTTCTGTCTCCCACCTATGGAGTAGATGCATCGAAAAGGCACTCAAGGTACTGATTGGTCGATTATAGGGTTCCAGATGAGGGAATCAAACCAAGTTTACTGCATGAAGACTCAATGCCTCCTTGGGACATATCACAATGAAGAGTGGAGTTGGATTCACGAGAAAATCTTGATATCATAAGAACAAAAACTTAACGCCTGTCGCTCGCTAATATGCCCAAACTAAGAAATGCAAATCCACAGTGCAGTTATAACAAAAGAAAATGCATGCATAGAAGAGAACAGAAGGACTCAAACAACCGGTGGGATGCCACCCCTGCTCGTGAAGAGATAGTGATGATTAGACCGCAGCTGCAGCTGCAGACGACGAGGCGGCCGCAGCGGATGAGCTGTTGGCGATGGACGAGCCCTGCGCCATCTGCATCTCAAACAGGCGGATGAAGGACATGACGGCGACGATCTCGAACAGCTCGCCCAGCTCGCCGGTGGAGCCCTCGTTGTGGAAGCGGAACTTGGCATTGTTGTAGCGCCAGCGCTCGCCGGCAAAGACCGCCACGACAGACCTGCCGTCGCTCGTGACGCCGGCCGCCTCGTCATCGTCGCTGCCGGTGTGTGCGCTGGACGATGAGGCCGCGGGAGGGCCGTGGAGGCGCACGAGCTTCAGGCCGAATTGGAAGCCGCCAACGAGGTCCTTGACCATCCTACCCTTGCTCTGGCGCCACTCGAAGGTCTCCAGGTGGCCGTCGGCGCCAACGGGGACGGCGAAGTGGTGCTTGAACTTGTAGTTGCCGTCCATGCTCGTCTCGAAGGGTTGCTGGAGGCGGCTGCCGCGGTGGGGCATGACCCTGAGGGCGGTGCGGGTCGTCTTGCTGCCCTTCTCGACGCCAGCCGAGGCGAGGGGCGCGTCGAGCTTGTCGGTGCCACTGAGCAGGACGATGTCGGACCAGCCCATGGACCAGCGCGGGATCCTGACGAGGAGAGGGGCTGGTCCTTGACCTCGCCGAGGTGCGAGTGCGAGCGCCCCACGCGGTAGGTGAAGACCAGCTGCTGAGGGAAGAGGATTGGCCTGCCGTGTCTATGCTTGGAGTCGGAGACGGCTTGGTAGGATGGGCTGGCATAGTTGGTGTATGCTGGTGGAGCGCCAGCCGGAGCGTCGTACCGCTCCTCGGATTGGAAGTAGTGCTGGTGATGGTTCTGCATTGTGGCTGGTGGGTGTAGGTGTGGCGGTGGAACAGAAACTTCTAGGCAATTGCTGTAAAGCACTGTGAATCTAGATTTGCTGCAATGAGACGAGATGATGCTAAATCGATACAAAATACGAGAGCTTCCATCTTTATATATCCCCCATTGAATCAAAACCCATTCCGTCAAAATATCCATGGTGCCGCTAGACATCTCGGCAATGTGATGCCAAAATTAACAAATTCGGATATTGTCCCTTGCGCCGGAGCACTCCGGCCACTCCTGATTGGCCAGTTTCTGTTCGGTCGTTCAAGTGGCTGTGCAGCCACCCGCTGTAGCGTTGAATCGTCGCCGGCTTCCAGGGGAGCTTCCAGCGGATCTTCGCGCTGGGCTCGGGGGCATTGCCGCTCTGGTATGAGCACAGCGGGGCTGGAGACTAAGCTAACGCTGATTGGTCGGTTCGCTGAATCTCAAAACGCACAGCCAATCAGAGGTCGCGCTGGGCGATCTCACTGTTCACTGAACAGTTCTCCATTGCCCATCAGTGTCATCGATCTTCATGCGGCAGATGAGCTGCCGTCAGCTCAGGAGGCCGCTGCAGAGGCCGCTCGCCTTCCAGAAACAGCCTGCGGTCGTTCCATTTCCTCGTGCCATGTTGCTGCTTCAGGCCATCGATAAATCTTGTTGCAGAAACGCAGCGGGTGTCGGCAGTTTCACCAATGAGCGATACTAAGTACCTGCTACTCGATGTTGCAGCCCGTATTTCCGGGTTGTGATCAGTCAGGTTTCACTGCTTTCCTCAATCAATGCTCATGTTAGCATTGATGGTGGCTTCTCAGAATGGCAGCATCGACGGACACACATTTCCCCTCTATTCATTTTCGTTTAATTTTTCAACAAAAAAACACGACAACTTAGGTCCATCTTATTTCTTTTCGCATCATTTTCTTCGTTTCCTTCCTTTTGTTGCTCGACTTCAGCCCCCGCAGCTGAGTCTAGGGTATCTGCTAAGGTATGCACAGGAAATTGAACCAAAGGCCAAAAAACCCCAAAACACCCAATTTATCGTGCGCCAGCCAGATCTATCATATGCGCGCGTGCCACGTGTTCATCGTGCAGAGCATTTTATGATGAGATTGCACTAGCTGATCATGCGATGCGTTTTGCTTTGCACACGACACCGTCTCTTCTGCCAATCACCACCGCGCGCCCACCTGAAGCTGAAATCCAATCGGGAAGCCACCAAGCTCTAAGGATGCAGCTGAACGCCGGTGATGCTAGGAAAGGGGCCTCGTCCTAGTCGAGCTGGGGTCAGCAATACCCGCTGAGGGCTGCACCGCCTCGAGTGAGTGGGTGGACGAGAATGGCGAGAATGGAGTGTGATCACCGGGCCCCGCTGTTAGTGCTCCCCCGCCTCCCACACCGCTCCGACTAACAATGCCCGTCGCTGGTTTGGGTCAGACACAACATCTGCCTCTCAGGTCTGGTCAATGCGTCGACTGCCCTCGGATCACGCTCATTCAGCTCAGCGGGATCTGATCTCATATCTGTTGCATTGACCCACCATCTCTGCTTAATATTGACTCGTTGGGAGCAATATACAGGAGGGCCTCCCCTGCCCGGCTAAATCTTCGCAACTCGCTTTCGTTGCTGTGCCGTGCGTTGGTCGGTCATGTCATGGTCAGAGCAGAGCCAACTGGCAGAGAGGGCACCGTAATCATTTCTCGACTGTGTTCATAAAAGCCCCGGATCGGCCAGCTTCGCCAGACCTCGACGATCTACGCACGGGTCCTGACCCTGGTCTTGTCTTCGCGCTACTGCAGATCAGAAATTTACTCGCATCCGTTATATTCCACCAAGTCGCCTCCTTCTCGGCCGACCACGACTGTTACTTTCCTGAGGCTAGGGGTAAATATCGCAGGGATCGTAAATCGCCCGGCATCATGGCCGAATTGACACGCGAAGATGCTCCCTCGCCCTCGCTCTCGTTCACTTCTCTCGAGTCTGATGCGTGCCCCTGCCAGCCGTTGCCCTCGTCATGGGAGCCGCGGGCCGCAGTGACATACCTGCCGCGGGAGATACTGCACGACATCTTTTCCCGGCTGCAAAAGCCAGATCTCCTGAGCCTGCGCCTCCAGTGCGCGTACTTGAGCGATGTGGCCACCGCGCTCGCCTTCAGGTCCTTGCGACTCGTGGCGTACGGACGGTCGCCGCTGGATTTCATCCACATTGCGCGTTCCGAGCGCCTGCGCGGGTTGGTCCAAGAGCTGACGTGCGACACCGCCATCCACCCCACGATTGTCGACTTCCGCGCCTATGGGTACCAGGAACCGACAGAGATGCTCAAGGCGCTTGAATTTGTGCGGTTCTTTCATAATTTGAAAGCTCTCCATCTGAGGTTTACGCGGGACTACTGGTTCGTGTATGATGGCGAGTTTGAGTCCATGGAGTTCCGGTTGCGGTTTTTACACACCGTCTTTTCTGGCATAACTGGGGAGTCGTGTCCAATTGACTGGGACGCGAGCTATGAAGACGAGAGAGAGTACCATTATCACACGAGTGAGAACGATGAGCAGGAGGCTGAGGAGGAGGGTCGGAGCGTTAATGAGGCTGGCAGTCGACTCGGGGACGATGAGGATGGACTGCAACCCGATGATGCTGAACACGAGACAACCGATGGCGTTGTGGAACCAGAAGTAGACGAACTTGAGACTGAAGATGACGAGGAGGCGAACGACAATGATTTTTTCGATCTCCTACAAATACCCTCCGAACTCCTTGAGAACCTCCCCGATATCCCAACTGCCCCAATCAACCTTACTACATTCACAATCTCCAACCTGGCTGCGCAAAGAGACGCGAGGTTATTAGAGAACAGAGTCTTTTCTCAAATGCTCTCCTCGCGTAGTCTGGTCAACCTCAAACTACTAATCACACCATCCATGGCTGGTATCGGAGGCTTTGCGGGCCGCCGAGCCGACATGAAAATTTCCATGTACGGCCACATGCCCTCCACGTGGATCATGCCATCTGCAGCCGCAAATCTAAAGGAGCTCTCTCTATACTCCCACGAATACTGGGGCTGGTTCCCCAAGCTGGACCTCCGGGAGCTGGGCGAATTGCCTAATTTGAAGATCCTCGCCTTGGGCCACTATACCTTTAGCCACCAGTGGCAGGTCGACTGGCTGGCTTCTCTTAATCTAGAGGAACTGTACTTGGATCATTGCGCAGTGCTGCACCAGGTAGAAACCTGGGAGGGGTGGGTTGATGGAAGCTCGGCTTACACCGAGGAGGATGATGGCAATAATACGCCAGTGACCGTACCGAACGAAGGATACCTCAACCCAGACTGGAGGTTCATGACGCGCGGCGAGGGTAGTGAGCTGGTCCTCTCTTATCCTCTGCGCTGGCACACCATCTTCCGTCAGTGGGAAGAGTCAATGACCTCCCTCAAGGTTCTCAAGGTCGGCCTGGGCGCGTGGAGGGGCCCACCCAAGGAGACGGTCGAGGCAAACTACCCTCGTGCAGAAGCGATGGAGAAGAGACAGAGATTTTCACACAATGCATTTAGATACTATAGATGTCCGCCCCCAGGTGGGAGAGGCGAGCAGTATCGAGAGGGCACTGGGATCTGCGAGGATCACGAGCTTGCTCTCCAGTACTTGTATTTCGAAGGGGCAGGGTTTCAGACTTGGGACCACTGGGATGCTCATGGCAGGGTTGTGAGAAGCCAATCTGGTATTTCCTTTACCGACTGGGTATTAGAGGATGGGTTGGGAGATAAGGACCGCTTAGCACAGAGGCTCTTGGTTTCGGCGATTCAGTCGCGAGGAAAGTAATACTAATACGGGCGCTACTAGGTTGCCTGTAAACACCCAATACTACCTAATTGTTCAAAAGCTCCTCAAATACAATCGTTAGACTGGCCGAGTATCCAGTGGACTATAGCCTAGATATATTGGCCCCGAACTCAACACGAAGATCATATTGCGTAACAGCACAGGACCAATGGTAATTATTGGTTCAAACGGTCAACTTAACGCTATGTCTGACTTGATCCGAGCACCATCGCTTTATCCGACAGCTAAATGCAGTGGATTGAGACTGCAATTCGATCGCGGAACTCTATGAAAAGTATCAAGACGCATATAATCATTTTCAAGAAATAAGATGGATTGCTCTCCACTGTTAGATATTGGGTGAAGTATCGCCGGAAGTGGTGGATATGCTGCCCCTTTAGCTATAATGCCGTCAGTATTGCCGCGGACTTTTGGTTCTCGCCAATATCACACGCTTAATTCTCCGGCCTTGAAATATCGAGACGATATAAATAGCGGCCAGGAATGTCTGCTATATCGGAAAATATTCAATAATACAAGCTCATAAGCTTTCTTCCACTCCCATCTTGAACATCGAGCCAGGTTTACCACCGTCTCTCTTGTCTGTCCTTCTCGTCATGGGTGTCCTCCCCGAGACGGATAACTCTTCCTCCGAAGACCTTCGCCGAGCCAAAGACTTACCCCGACACCTATCCTGGATCCAGTCTCTTCTCTTCCATACGCTCTCCAATGATGTATACGACCACAACTACCCCGGCTCCGGCACGGACGAGGATCCTTACTTGGTTGACTACCTGCACAACGACTCCCAGGACGCCATGAACTTTACGAACGGACGGAAATGGGCCATAACCATTCTCCAATCCCTGTCTACGTTTGCGGTGACATTTGCCAGCTCAGTGTACGCCAGCGGCATCCAAGGTGTCATGCAGCGCTTCGAAGTGTCTGAGGAGGTGGCCACGCTGGGGCTGTCGCTCTTCGTGCTGGGCTTCGCTCTGGGCCCGCTGATCTGGGCGCCTCTGTCCGAGGTATACGGGCGCAAGTCCATCTTCGCGATTTCGTTCGCGGCATACTCGGCGTTCAGCGTGGCGGCGGCGTGCGCACCCAACATCACGGCCCTGCTGGTCCTCCGCTTCCTTGCGAGCGCGTCTGGTTCGTCCTCGATGACCAATGCCGGGGCAGTCATCGCTGACATGTTCAGCAAGAAGGAGCGTGGAATGGCCACGGGGCTATTTGCCACGGCTCCTTTCCTAGGGCCTGCGCTTGGTAAGTGGCAGATAACCTTGCTCTATCCTGGCACATTTGATACTTGCCTTGACATTTGCTAATATTTACTCCGATTGCTTCTATTTTAGGACCCATTGCTGGTGGATTTCTCGCCGAAACTCAAGGCTGGCGCTGGATCCTCGGTTTGGTAGCCATACTGAGCGGTGTCATCTGGATTGCCACGATGCTCGTCAGTCGCGAAACATATGCGCCGTTTATCCTTCGACATCGATCCAGGGCCCTCTCCCAAATCACAGGAAGTGTACATGTGTTCCGTCTCGACGCCGGAAAGCGGCCCAAGACAGTGACACAGCAGCTATCCAAGTCCTTCACGCGACCGTGGGTCCTGTTGTTCCGCGAGCCCATTGTCCTGCTGACGTCGCTGTACATCTCCGTCATCTATGGAACGCTTTACATGTTCTTTGCCGGGTTTCCCATAGTTTTCCAGGTTACCCGGGGCTGGAGTCAGGGCATTGCCGGCCTTCCGTTCGTGAGCGTCGCCGTTGGTGTCTGCCTTGCTACACTCGTGGGCGGCGTGGACAGCAAGCGTTATGGACGTCTGTGCGAGGTGGCCGAAGAAGAGGGTTCGACAGTTGAGCCGGAGGCCAGGCTGTATCCGGCCATGGCGGGCTCTCTTGTCCTTCCGGTTGGTTTGTTCCTGTTCGCGTGGACGACGTATCCGTCGGTGCATTGGATCGTGCCCACCATCGGCGCCATGTTCTTCGCATGCGGACTTGTTATGGTCTTCATCTCGCTGATAAGCTACCTGGTCGACTCTTGTACGTTTCTGGTCCTCTCGGCGCCATTATCTGCAGTAATTGACATGTTGACCTGTTTACAGATGTCCTCTATGCTGCTTCCGTGATGGCAGCCAATTCGGTGATACGGTCCTTGATTGGCGCCGCGTTCCCGCTGTTTACCGCTCGGATGTACGAGAACCTCGGAAATCAATGGGCGAGCTCCATCCCTGCATTCTTGGTGCTTGGGTGTCTACCTTTCCCATTTTTGTTCTACAAATACGGTTCACAGATAAGGTCGAAGTGTAGGTATGCTTCTGAAGCAGCCAAAGTAGCACAGATGATGCGCCGCCCTCAAGCTACTGTGGTCGGAGGAGAGCCAAATAGACAGGAGGAGGCTTAACGGGCTGTTTAATGAGAGATTATAATCAAGGAGGCTATGGTACGGCCTATGGCACATAGTTGCGTGGGGGACATAAAGGCATAGATGGCGTTTATGCAGAGGGCAAACCCTCTTCTATTGTGTGTATTCACTAACCAAGATTGAATTGGGGGAGGAGAAAAGACATTTGCAGGACACTATTAATAGATTTGTACACGTTTAATAAAGACTAGGATATATGCAGTGCCACGGTGCCACCTCCTTCCAAAGACAACTCAGGTCAATTAATATCAATTAGTGAACTCCAGGTCACCAACCTGCCACTCATCCAAGAAATCAAACCCTAGAAAGTCCATATCAGGAGACAGGTTATTCACGGGCGGCTCTACTTGAGACGAATCTGCGCCCATCTGTCCACGCGGCGAAGTGTAAGCGTCTATGGCGTTGTCTTGCGACTGCGGCTGTATAGGCTCTTGATGTAGGCTGCCGAGCGAAATCAAGGACAATTGCTTCCGTGCAAGAACTTCTCCAAATACTGGAAGTGCTCTTTTCAGTGCAGGTATTTCCTTTCCGTGGTTGAGAATAATCATTATCTGGCTGATGGATATCCCAGCCATGGAACGTATGAGGTCTGTTTCGGTTGGGTCAAGAGCCGATTCGATATGCAGAGCGAGCAGAGCGGCTAGCGTAGTGATACTGACAACGCTGTTATTAGCACGAGGGCATCTACTAGATGTACAAAGAAAGGTAAATAGGAGACGAGTTGGGGCACCCACAAAGACATGGGGAAATTCCGAAGGGTGCCACTACTGAACACCCTCATCGCAATCGTGTCTAGCTCAAGGATGGCTGACCGTAGCCGTACTTTGACCCATTCGCCCCGGTCCGTATGCTGGGATTGCTGCCAAACACGTCGCATAAGACGGTACAAGACACACTCAAACCGATAGCTCATAGCTTGTATATTCAAATAGTAGACGTCAGTTCCAGTATCCTCGCTGACATGCATCTTGGCAGCGAGGGATTTGCGCCACGCATCGAGTGAGTGCATAATTAGGCGAGGATCTTGCTCTGGCTTGTTCATCATATCGGACAAGCACTGCCCAACTAAAGGGTGTCAGTTATGCTTATGGTAAATATTAGCTGCAGATGAAAATGGGAAAGCAGAATAAAAAATAGACCGGAAAAACACTCACATATTAGAGATAACTCGCAATGGACAATGGGTAAAGCTTTTTGCTGGGGAGTGACGGCAGATAATAGGCCACTGGACGATGCTGCGGAGAGATCATCTGCTTCCCAGTCATCTTCCGTCCTCGGCTTGATTTCAGGGGTATTTCCGAGCAGTCTTTGGCGCCTGGTATTGGCAAAAACGTGAAATACGTCTAAACACTGCCTCACTACATTTAGCATAACTCAAGCAGACGAAAGTATGGCAATCAGTAGAGAGACTTGCGTAGAGAGCCCACCACATCCTTCGGTACAGCTTCAAGACTCGTCGAGGTTTACTTTCTCGGACACAGCTATACAGGGCCTTGTTGTCAATTTTTATACGTTTAATACATAACACAGGTGGCATAGCCCAGGAGAGAGGCACGTACGAGTCGTGTAGATTAAGCTTGGTGGCTAGATTGATGGCGTTGTGGAACCAGTAGCCAAAGTCCCGGCTCGTGGGGTGGTCAAGAATCACCGTGCACAAGATGATAGATCCTTGTAGCATCACCAACGGGTCGTCGTCACCGACAAGGTCATGGAGCAGATTGGCCTTGGCAAAGAATGACGCTTGCGCAGCTGAGCAGCTGGAAAAGCCACAGGCCGATAGCACATCTACTGATGCGTGGAGGCTGGCTGGTGTCAGCATAACACGGAGTAGGAACAAAGAGCAGTCCCCAGACTCATAGCCGCGTATAAACTCTGCTCTGTTTATCACAGGAAGAAAAGGGTGTACGTGGTCAAAGTATGCCTTCACGAGGGCATCTCTATTGATTCTGTCTGTGAGTAAGAGGAAGACAGATGATAAAAAAAAGGGGATTCCAAAATTGTCTTACAGGTGATGTTGTGAAGGTAGATCAAAGACCCCCTTCTTAGCAAGATATTCGTTGTCAATATCATCCAATTGGGGGAGCCTGGCCCAACAACAGTTGCGAGGAGTAAGACTGGGTTGAAGCTCTGAACGGTACGGGGCGTCGGAAGCGGAATGAATTGGGCTTGATGCTGCAGATGCCTTTACGGCGTCGTTCAGAATGTTGATGTAGAGCAGATCTGGCTCAGTCTGATGGGGGCTTCCATAGTCCGGGGAATCGGCATTAGCGGAGTGTTGTGCTTGATTGGATTGATGGAGTTCATCTGGGGTATTGCTGTTGAGGGCAGCTGGGTTGTTTATACTCTTTCGACAGGTATCAGAGGTTTTGTAGCATCGCTCAAGTAGTAGACGGAAAGGTAGAACGCAGAGGAATTTCGCGTGGGATTAGAGTGGGAGCCTGTAAAATGAGCATTACCTTCCTAGTAAGCCCATCCCATGTTAGCACACTATTGATGAACTTGAGCCATCAGGTCAATTTACCACTAACTTGGTCCGGGTCTTACGGGTCGGCAGTACACAGTCATTCATACACTGCCTAGCGGAACAACTACCGCAGGGGAGGCCGACCATGGCCGCATCGCACTTGATCTTGCGCGTACGGCAGGGCACGCAGGTCCTGTTGATTTTGAGCGCCCGTTTTCGGAGCTTGCTCGCCCTCTGAGGCTCACTGTCAGCGGCAGAAGTATCCATTAATCCGATTGATATGTATCGCCTCGACCTAGCTGACCAGGGCTTACGTGTCGACGAGACGGAGTTTTCTATTTATGTTTTGAGATTTCGGCGATAAGTCCAAGTCGTGTGTCAGCTCGGCATTTTGTATATTGCCGAGCCTAAACCCGCCTTCAATGGGTTGCTCCGAGAGAATATCCCGGAAGCTCAGACCATCAAGAAATATCTGGATGGACGCGCATTTTGTGCTGTCTCGCCCCGACATGCAACCTTAATGACCTTGATCGCTGTTGCGAATGTGCAAATGGGCTGCTGGCTGGGTGCGTAGAGGGTTGCGTGGGAGATGAGCAAGATGGTGAAGGAGGCGAGAGACCGCCCCTTGCAGGCAGTGGGCCTAATTTTCTCATTGTGTGCTGTAAGATGCACATGGATTAGAGTTGAGAAATGGGTAGATGTGTTTGGCACTTTGGACCTCTCATTGTCCGAATGAATTAAATCCTGAACAGTCTGGGAAAGGTACGCCTGAGGTAAACAGTCAAATTGATTCAAACTTTTTAGTGCCTGTGCCAATGCCGAGAGGGTTCGTTTCTGGTGAGAAACAAGCGGCCATAATTACTCATATGATTTATGTAGGCTAGGTTATCAACTTCAAGCTATAGCGCTAACAATGAAGCCAACAGGCAGGAGAACGTACTTGTCCAATAATCTGGTGGAATGTATTGCGAAACAAGAATAATTGTAACATTAATACTATTGGAGCATACCAGAGCCCAAAAGCGACTTGGACGCAGAACATAGGAACGTTGAGTTGTGTCAACGTTTGGGGTATTCAGAGTAACGGTGAGCGTTAACCAGGGGGGTTCCGCATAGAGTTGGAACAAGAAGATATGCTAATTATAGGATGCTGAAACCTATCAAACTCAAGGATATGCCAGTAGCATCCATTCCGAGGCAGAAGTAAGCAGCCAAGAGCTGACAACAGACATAAGCCTTAACTGTATCGCCAAGGAAATCACAGACCAATGCAAAATCGCGTAGATCGTGCCCATGTTGAGTTACCTAGCAAGGCAGAAACCAGAGTTCATAGGCAACTACGTGAATTACCAGCCCCCTTTTAAATCTCCGACCAATAAGTGAGATCAGAGTTGCATCCTGTGGAGTGGCAAAGTGTATAAATGCTGACACCGTACAAGGCCGCCCTGGCCAAAGTGGACCTCTTTGCTGCCTGATGGTCCGCCCGTTGTACATTATTTATTTAGAATAGGTTCTTTCTTTTACTTCAATTCATTCAAACTCTCATGCCCTTCCTCTCCTAATCTTATCTTATTATTGTATGAGAGGACAACGTTCAAGATGACGACTATTGACTCCACCGACGGCCTGGTAGAGACCAGCGCTCGTAATGGCGGTCAAGACAGCAGCAAAACAGACTTGAACGGACTTCCTGGCCAATCCCAGTCACCTATAGGACTCATTGAAATTTCCAGCTCCGATGATGATGACTCACAGTCTGAGGATGCGCTGCCAACGCCACCGGAATCCAACGATGCACCGTCGCCCAACTTGGCTCCCTCGCAACCAAAAGATCTGGAATGGCCCACAGAAACAGAAGAAGCAGGCAATCAAGAGGCGGAACCGGCAAAGGAAAACCATGAACTGGGGCTGAATGCGACTGATGAGCTGGAGAATAAGGCTCAAGTTGTTGAAGGCGGCGACAATAATGAGAATGAAAACAGAGACGGGAAAGAGGAGGAAAAGGAGGAGGCCGATGGAAATGAAGGAACTCGCAATGGCGACGGAGATGAGGAGCAGGACAGCAATGAGGAGAAGCAAGAAAAGGTGCAACCTGATGGCGCTGAAGAAGAGAGCAAGGAGAGTGAAGAAGGGAACAGGGAAAATGGAGGAGAGAGTAAAGAGAATGAAGAAGAGAACAGAGAAAATGGAGGAGAGGGTAAAAAGAATGAAGAGGAGAGAAAGGACGATAACGCCAACGAAGAGGTTGCAGAAGATACTGCGGCAAAAGAACTGGAATCTTGGGCTCGCATCCTCGTTGAGGATGAAGATCCCGAATCCATGATGGACGATTCGCCATCTCGACTTGAATGGTTGCGCTTGAAACGAGAAGACAACCAGGAGAATGTTCATCTCGATAAAATCATGTCAATGGTCGGCCATGAAAAGATAAAGGCCCATTTTCTCGCCATGAAGATGCGCATGGACATGGCCAAGCGCTGGAAGGTGGACGTCGAGGAGCCAAAAGCGGACTTGATTCTTTATGGCAACGATGGGACCGGTTAGTAGAAGATCTCCCCCTTAATATTACCCGACAAGATAACTTACTGATCTATGACTGTTAGGAAAAAGAAGGATTGCGCAGATTTACGCCGAGTTTCTTTATAGCATAGGTGCTATTGCGCATCGCACTTTTGAAAGAAACTCGGGGTACTCTTTGGAAGATAATGGAAGCAAGGCAACGGTACGACTTCCTCCTTTACATCAATACTTACTGAGACTCCTTATACCCTGTTTTTGTGTACCGGACTAATTTGATGGTTCCATTATTGCTTAGGTTACATTCTTCGACCAGGCAGACAAGATTGATCGAACAACCGAAGTCCCTGCTATCCTCGACATAGTGGAAAAGAGAAGTGATCCAGTCGTTCTGATCTTTTCTTTCACAAATTTGTCAGAGGACTCCAGGAATGCACTTTACAGCACCTCCAGGTGCCGGAACCGTCTCCCTGACCCAATTGTTCTCGAGAACTACAACGAGAACGAGGTGTTTCAGCTTCTCAAACGAATGGCCAAGACAAGGCCCGATTTCGAGCATGTGCAGGAGGAGGAAAGAGATGCAATCCTTCGCTTCTTGGCCCGAAGAATCCGACAAGGTAGCGAGGGCGCCATGTCGAAAAAGTTTGCCAACATCCATACTCTAAAACAGGAACTCGACAAAATGACTGTGCGATGGAAACGACGAACGTTACGAGAGTTGGCAGAGTGGTCCAAGAACTACGCGTCTACCCAGGGGGGTGAAGTGGACGAAAAGAAGATCGAAGAGCAGAGGACGAAGCTGGGCGGTGTCACACTAGACGATGCAATCGGGCCCAATCCGCCCGATGTGAGGAATGAGAGCAAGGCTTGGAAGACGATTCAAGCTATGGTTGGCTTGAAGTCTGTGAAGAAAGAGATTGAGCATCTCTTCAACCTAGCCCAGTTCAATCACAAACGCGAGCGCCAAGGGAAGCCTGGACTCCCCATTTCTCTCAACCGCTGTTTCTTGGGAGAACCTGGAGTGGGAAAGACCACGGTCGCAAGGCTCTTCGCCAGCATTGTCAAAGAGTTGGGTCTTGTTTCCAAAGGACAGATGATTTTGAAGACCCCCAACGACCTAAGCGGCGAGTATATCGGCGAGTCCGAGAAATACACCAGGGATGCGCTAGAAAAGGCTCAGGGGAATGTTCTCATCATCGACGATGCACACATGCTGTACAGAAGCAATGGATGTGGAAGAAATAACTCAGATCAATACCGCGTTGGCATTATTGATACACTAGTGGCCAACATTACCCCTGGGGAGGACAGATGTGTCATTCTCTGTGGATATCCTCAACAGATGGAAGAGATGATTCTCAACAGCAATCCTGGACTGCAGAGACGCTTTCCCATGGAGAATGCACTTCGGTTTCACAACTACAACGATGACGAGCTCTGCCAGATCCTTGATCTAAAGCTGGCTCAGGATCAAGTGGTCGCCTCCGATCATGCACTCGAGGTGGCACGTCAAGTATTGAGCCGGAACCGAACGAGACCGCGCTTTGGTAACGGAGGCGATGTAGAAAACCTGGTCTGTCGAGCGAGGCTCCGACAAGTTGAACGGCTACGTGCATTGAACGAAAATTACATGTTCGAAATGCAGGAAAATCCACTGGGACCAGAAGACTTCGACCCTGATTTTGACAGGTCTACGCGTGCGGATAAGAACCGTGATGATGTTTTCCGAGGCATGGTGGGATTCGAAGAGATTGTGAAGCAATTCCGAGGGTACCAGAAGATGGCGGATGGAATGCGGCTGTTTGACGTCGATCCGAGACCACACATCCCGTGGGCTTTTGTTTTCAAAGGACCGCCAGGAACTGGCAAAACGTGTGTATACTTCCCCCCTTCATCTTTGACTAGTGACTATTCTGCCTTCGTGGGTTTTGTTGCTAACTTTCTTTTAGAACGACAGCTAGGAAGGTAGGCAAGCTCTTCTATGACATGGGCTTCCTCTCGGCTGATGAAGTCATTGTCTGCTCGGTTTCCGACCTCATTGGGGAGTATTCAGGCCAGACCGGGCCAAAAGTGCTGGCTCAGTTTGAACAGGGCCTCGGCAAGGTCCTGTTCATCGACGAAGCCTACCGCCTCCAGGGAGGTTGCAGCTCGTTTCACAACGAGGCGATTGGAGAACTTGTCGATATAATGACAAAGCCACGCTATGTAGGAAACATGGTTGTCATCCTGGCTGGATATGGAGATGACATGGAGAACCTTCTGGCGTCTAACCAGGGACTTCGGAGCCGATTCCCCACGCACATTGTTTTCCCACATATGACGCCTGGCCACTGCTTGCAACACCTCAAACACACGCTTTCTAAACTGAATATCACATTTTGTGATGACAATATTGAAGACAGTACAAGCGCCAAGGGAGATATCGTCGCTGAAGCGTTCCGGCAACTGATACGTACCAAGGGATGGGCAAATGGCCGTGATGTGGAAACTGTTGCCAAGAATATCATTGGATTTGTCTTTATGAAGGCAGCTGAAGAGAAGGCTTCCGGAAAACCAAGCCTTAGTGTTTCTTTTCCAGATCTGGTGCGGTTCTTACTAGAGATGTTGAGAGAACGAAATAACATCAAAGGGGGCAGTCCTGACCCACCAGCACTGAAGGATTTAGCTCGGAGAGCTGGTTTGATCTAGGTATCATTGATTGTAAATAATGCCCGGTGGTTTATATATTTCTTAGCAACGCTACGGTAGTGTTTCTAGCCACACTGGGCTTTGATTCGAGAGACATCAGTCAATATTTATTGTTCTTGTTGACATATGCTTACTCTGGGGTGCTCGGCACATTATCGAACGAAAAGATACAACTACAAAAGTCTTTGTCTTATAACCTGACATATTCCATCATATGAGAATCAATAACTCAGAACTGGGTGATGACTAAGTACAATCTAGTTTCGTCTATGACCGAGCAACTGGCTTCAAGTTGTTCTCACCGCGGACACAGGCAATATCTCAAAGCGGTCCACTTTGATCCAGTCGAGCGCTCTGATAAGTTCTTTGCTAGCTTGCTCCATTCGGCCATGTAGCTCTTCGCTTCCGACACTCTCCCCTTCACGCCAATGAAAGCAACCCCGACTTCGGTTCCACACAAGAGCCATGTTACTTTGCGGGCTCGCAAGCTCCCACCTTCCACCTGATAGATGGATATCGTCCCCGTCCCTAGAGCCCGGCTGGATCCCAACGATGACGTACAGCGTCTCCATGAGAAACAAGCTTAACAACTCGGCCAGAATACTGCTGTCTTGATACAGCACCTCTTTGGGTACCGCTATACGAGCCAAGTTTGGCTCGGAGCAGCAAATGTGCCCGAACATGCTCGGGAGGGAGGAGGAAAGTTGGTCGATTTCGTCAGATGGGATGTAGACCGTATCGCGGTCCATGTCGTACGGGCGTAAAAACGCATGGTTTTGGCTATCCTCACAGAGAGTCATTAGAATCCCCTGCTCTCGGATCCAGGCAGCGGCGATACGATTCGCCTCGCGATTGACGAAGAAGAGAGGGAGCTCGAGATGAACGTCGGCGAGACTGCTCTGGTGTGAGATCAAGTTGCACCCGCCGTTTTCTGAGTGGTCCGACCCTATCCTGTCGGAGCCAGTAAGGGGGGTAGAGATGCTGCGACGTCTGGTGTGTAAATACAATGTTGGCGCATTGTCAGGAAGCGTTTGCTGCCATATTACGTGGCGAAGTTCTGGTGGAAGGCGGGGAAAAAGAACGAAAGACGATAAATGTGGCATCATTATCACCAAGGTATAATAATTCTAGTGTGCAAAAATAATCTACGAGAAAGTCTTGACAACTTTATCTTGCACATTGTATTTTTAAGGAACACCGCCATTTATTTTGGGACGCCTTACGTGGAGGGCGTGGCTTGGCGATGGATGTTACTTGTAACTATGATGACGTATAGTCCTGCAACGAAATGGTCACGGGGGCTTGGCTCCAACTTTCGCTTTCAGAAGATAACTGTAACCAGGCGTGGGAATGTGCCATGTCCTTCCACTGAGTGGTCTATTATTTCGTCGTCTTGGTGCTATATCATCTGGCCACCCGGAACCCAAACGAACGGCCCAAGGATTCTCAATCAAGCAATGTGAGCCACCTTTCTGGTTTCTGGAATAGCTTTGTGATGCTAGAGCACCTGGTCCCTCATCCATTAATGAATCGCGTGTCCGTCAAATCTGTGACGATAGATGGCCAGTCATATCCTACCACGGGTTGCTATTCGTGCTGGTATAATCACCTGGTTACTCGGTCACTACTACTGTTAGCGTCTTTCGACCTTTGGTTCTAGCCACATGTCGTAGCAGACTTGATGTAACCTCAACGCTGTCGCGACGTGGCGAAAGCATTACATCACCTACGTAACGAAGAGCGGATATGTTGGTCTCCTACCCGATGGCTGGGCTTACGTGCATCATATCACATTGTGGCTATATATTTGAGTATCCTGCTAGTTATTGTGAGAAAATACCACTTGGTTGGATATCTTCATCTGTTTTCTTAATCTTCATCTGTTTTCATACCTTAATAACCACATAATACGTGCAGGTCTTCATCACATAATACCTCTGCTTCAATGGCGATGGCAGCACACCACGCCTTAAAGCTGATGCGAGTGCTATGCATAATGTCCCTACAACGATTGGGTTGCATTGTGGAAAAGGCCACCCGGCTGTTCGACCATCATATGTGTCGCCATACCGTTGACAGGGCGTAACGCTGTTTTCAGCACTTTGGTAGTACGGGGGACTGCGAGAATCAGGAGACACGCCGCTCTCAAAGTCTGGAATGGCAAACAATGTCCGTACATTAGTTTAATCAGACTTCAGGCCATCTGCGCTTCCTCGAAGGGGGATCGCAGCTGTTAAGGAAGAAGCGAAGAGTGACCATCTTGAAGTTCCATAACGCAATCAGCTATCACCTGAGGTTCAAACCCCAAATAACTAATTAAGCACCCTAAGAACAGACATTAAGACGATTATGCTGAAGTGGTAGCTGATTATGAGCAAGTAAGGGACCTGTATGGAATAGCGAAAAGCGGAGGTAGTATTTACTCTCGAGTATAAGGCTCTTTCATAGCTTAGAAACGCATAGAGTCATGCGATAAAGTCATGCGGTCAATGAGCTAACCCAAGACCTGAAAAATGACCTACAGGCAAATTTTATTCAGCCCCAGGGAAGGGAAATGATTCTCGGGGTCTTGTGATGCAATATTACATCCCGCTAACATCTTTTGGATGGCAAGTGCTACATTCTGTAGCTAAAGACACTATTGAATAACCTCTTCTTTATAGTAACACACCTAGTGTTCCAACTAACGACGATTGTTCTATCCTCCCACTCACGGCACGGTCTCGACGCAGACGCGTGCACGAATGGTCGGACTATGCGCTACGCAATATGGAACAAAAGAAAGATCGCTTAAATATTGGGGTTTCAGACACAAAGAGTAAGATCAAATGATTTCGTAATTTGTTGTAAGCCAAAATCTAATTATAACATACCACATACCACCCCTTAAGATAATAGGAGCGGCGACAAACCAAACCACGCTCCTAAGAGAGACGTAGGCTTTGTCCAAGACGATGTTCAGCAAAATGTAGCTGCCTTTATTTGTGAAAAGGTCAGTTTTAAGTGTACCGCGTTAAGATGGTGATTTTTCGCCAAAAATAGCAACAAATATCCATCTACTTAAGAAGATGTTGCCTGCACTGGTTTTGGGTAGGTTCTTTGTCCTCTGAACGCCTACTTTTCCTCCAAACCTTGGTACCGAGAGGAAGTTTCCTACAGTCAAAGACGTAGTTTCGGCGTACTTAGCAGCCTTGAAGCTTCTGCACATACAACTATCGTCTTCAGCACGTTCATCTTTATCCTGAAGAGAGAAAGACCTAATGGCTAGCCAAAGGGGAGATTTCCCCCGGTTTGAGCGACTTCCGCATGAGATCCAATTGATGATCTGGACAGCGGCATTAGAGAATGTCTGGGTTGGCGTTTGTCCAGGAATGACCCAGTTTCGATGGAATCCGGCAATGGTCATGTCAGCGGTTTGCAGAACATCACGAGAGCATGTCAAAAAAACCCATCACTATCGGTTGGTACGATCCGGTAAATTCCCCCGCCGCAGCAATCGCCCGGACGAGGTCCCTACAAATCCGGACACGGATACCTTCATCATACCAATCCAACATCATACGAGGGCCCCTTTCCCACGGAATTATCATCCTGACCAAGCCAAAGAAAACGTCGATCCTGATGTCAGATCGATTCAACACATGAGAAAATTGATTCTCTTTGAAACGACAATGAACCACAAAATTTCGGTGTTTGGGAAGGGTCTTGAAATTCGTCCATTATTATCGGAGCTCAATCTTCCACCACAAACGGCATTGGCGCCGGCTCAGCCTGGACATCAGGATGAGCTCATTTCCATCGACATGAAGTGGCTCGAAAGATTTCCCAATCTTAGTGATTTAACTTATGTCACAAGAAAGGCGCATTACAACTGGTGGATAGGTGGTGAATACCGCGTTCATGGCCCTGATGTTGTGAGCAGGCCAGCTGAAGGCTGTAAATGGCATGGGGAGCCTGAAAAAAACATAAACGCAGCCTGGGTTGAAGATTATCTGGAGGGCAATCCCAAGGATCAGGGGCTCGAATATTATGAGAAGATGGGTATTTGCGATGATACAGGAACAACATGGGCATTTGACGGAAAGAATTCTTTCGCGCAAAATATTTGGCAGTTCGCGTGGCAACGCCGCTTGGGCGTTGACCCAGGTTTAAGAGAGACATATGCGTATACTGATAAACGCCGGGACACCATGATTCACAAGTACTCCGACAATGCTTCGGCAGCCGTGCCAAAGATTGGGCTTCGCGGATATTCCTACAACACTAGCTCTTGTGGTGGCTTTTGGGCAGGCTACAGGCTTTATGTCGGAAATCACCCTCGGCTCGAATTCTCACCTCTGGCCTGGGACGATGTCAAAGAGTATTTGGAGTCGTTCCAGACATATGAAGACAACAGGGAAGATGCAGAATTCGGGAAAGAGGAGGCGGAAACTGTAAGCAAACGTTACAAACATGGGAAGGATATCAAACCCAGCTCTCCGGAAACGATCGTCAAAATAACCATCATCAGACCAGGGGAAGAGGCGCCCCGTTCACACCCACATCATTGCTGGGAACCAGTGGCAGGTGACTTCAACAATTGTGATGATCTTCAAGGTGTTGATTGGCGTCAGGTATTCCCTGTTAATCCCCCACCCGTTGGGAAGGAATTCAAGAAGTTCATGGCACCCGGATTCAACAGACGTCTTTCCGACGAAGACAACATGCTGCTGTGCAGCCGAGAGGAGAAATTATTGAAAAATCTCAACAGGTTTAGAATTCGACAGATATTCTATACTGTCATGCGAGGAATTTATGGAAATCATAAAGCAGGCCTCCCAGCCCCATATCACTTTCATGAGAGCGAGGTACCCTCAGGAAGTACGAATTGAATGTTGCTATTTGATGGAAAGTTATTATTTGGAATGATTAATTTGGATTGGAATCATGGCTTTAACTTCCTTATATATATTTAGAAGCTTTTGAAAAAGTTTTGATGGAAAACCGTTGGTCTACGGGGAGAGGCGACAAAGAGGAGCGTATAAAGCGACAACAATACAGGTAGGCGAGGCACGACAGTCTTCTTGGATTGGATTGACTACTGGATGCTATTGAATTTAGCGTTAGCGCGCTAGGGATTAGAGGATGATCCCATATAAATCCAATTACTAAAATATGTATTTATCCAAGAGGTTGCTTCTATGAAGTTTTACATGGTGCGATACTGAGCTATATCCGGTGTAGTCTCACATTGAAGTCCCTTTCTCATTAGCTTGTTGTACTGTTAATGAGAACTTCGAAAAAAGAAAATTTCATTGCAAGCCTAGCTAGTCTCTGCTCCGTTGATACATCTGCTACTATGCAGCAAAAGTTGGACAAGCTACCAAAGAAGCAGGCAATGTAGGCAAACATTGCAACAGAAAGTATTCATCGATTTTCGGGAGGGATCTCCTCATAGTCAACATTCACCTTGCGCAGCTCAAGCAACACGTTATCAATGAACCAGATACTCAGATCCACCTTTTCATCACAGGTTTGCTCTCCAAGGCGTTGGTCGCTTACAGTTAGACATGCACGGACGGCTGCGCTGAAGCGGTGACCGAGATCATCAAGCATGTCGTCTGCATGGCCGAGCAGTTCCTTCGGCGTCAACTTGGATGGACGGAGAAGTGGACTTCTCGTGGAGTCAACGGTCCACAGTTCTCCAGGCCCAGGAAACTCATCCTGCTTGGCGAGAAAGGAATGGGTGGAGCCAAGCTCGAGGAGACAAATGCCAAGATTTCGGATGTCGTCCTTCATAGTTCTCTGGCCACGTCGAGCCAGATTGTAGTATCGGCTGCAAGTGTAAGGTGTTCCGTCCGATGTCCTCCATCCCCAATCACCAGATGGGTCGCAGAGAAATCCGTGGAGGAGGGCCTTGGTGGTTGTAGCAACAAGCACACATTCGGGCATAATGCTGCCATGCTGGACGTTGCAAACGTGCAGGCCATGGACAGCCTCGGCAATGCCGAAAGCAAACTTTGCGTTTTCGTCAGGTACAACAAGATCATGATTCCACAGCGCCGTGCGAAGGGTGTCCAAGTTATCCACTTCCACCTCTGTCTCGAAGACCAAGGGCGTAGGTGTTTGCCGGTGGACTGGCAGGACAGCGACGGCATTCATCAGAGACGACGAAAGTGCCGCGGCGTTTCTGAGCCGGTTGGAGAGGCTGTTCCCTTCGTGAAAGTTATTCGATAAAGATGGATCCTCGTGATTCACGATCAATCCATGCCCGTCGACAATGACATTCCTTCCTCGGTGTTGGATATTCAGATGCTGTATAGTTGAGTTGAGAACAACATGGTGTCCATAGAGAGGCCCAGTAAGAGTCGTGGGCCGGTCGTTGGGGGTGTGGCCGGGTAGGCATTGGATCAACGGGGTAGGGTCATCACCGTAGATAGCAAACAGAAACCAATAGCGATCGAACTTGTAGCTCCAATCTTCCAACATGTCCAGCAGGTCCCCCATGGTCTCTTCGTCCGGTTCCGAGTCCTCGTATCGGCGAAGTGTCGTATGAAGCTTGGTGACTAAACGAACCAGCCGATTGTAGTGCGTCCACGTGGGAAGGATTGTAGTGTCGTCTATGAAGGAGAACTGATTCATGATCTTGAGTGTGGAGCTCGCAATCTTTTCACGGACCGTGTCGTCGACATTCGCGGTAATTGCGTAGCGGTTACCAACGTCTTGGACCGAGCTTCCCGTGCAGATGATGTTAGTAAGGGCATAGCTCAAAACGATCTCAAATCAGCTGATCAACATGTACATACTCTCTACATGAGCCCGCATAGTACTTGAGATTATCCAAGGCTCGCTGGGAAGCCTTGACAGAGCTAGGGGCCATTTTGGAACTGTGTGGTTGGGTACGGTACCGTTGCAGTGTATCCGCTGAGAGGAATGTACGAAGACAAGTTAAGTTTCAAGGAAGGACACCACAATTGTAAGGAAAGAAGAAGTAGTGTAGGGTGAACAGGCGCCTTAGATTGGAAGATGGCCTTGTCTTTGCTTCTTTGTTGTCTGAGGCGACCCCTCTTATACCCGACTCGCGGGCTTGATCATGCACCCGTTGTTCCCCTTTAGCCGCAAGAGATGCTCAAGCAAAAGGCGAACCAGTTCGGACTGTCTTACTGTTCCAGGAAATCTTTCCGAGAATGACGGCAAAGGGTAATCACTCGTAGCTGCAAGGTGATGTGGCTGCAGTCACACCCAATATTATGGAAATGAGGAGGCTTGACCCACTGGCCACAGCAGAATAAGGGGCCTAGACAAATTTCCCGACCGGTGTATGACAGAAAGTGCTCTTGTATCCTCTCATTTATGGCATATCAAGGCGGAGTTTGTCCTAGCCTGGGTAGGAAGTGGCATAGTTGGACGAGATGTACGTCCCCGTCGCGTTTAATTACCAATGTGGTATGCAGTGCCGGATGAAATCCGTTCATTGCTCCCTGAATACAGCTAATGTATCCTATGCCACTTTTGAGAGATGTATCACAAGAAAGCCTACACCTCTCTTCGACGCAAGCCACCAAAAGCTCGAGAATCATAATTCATAATGAAAGCATTAAGCTGGGAAGAATACAAGATACGATCGCTCGTATTTCAAGGCAAGCAACCAACCTTTCTATTCGCATATCTTGGAGAGAGAGATTTACCAAACAAACCCTTTTCGCCACGTAGGTCGCAGGCCGTGAGGTCGGAACATTTGAGGGTAATGGCATCTGTGTCCCCGGCGGGCTGACTGTAGATCATGACCCCTTGAAACCAGCCACACGGCTACCTTCACCGGATGATCCGTAGCCTAGCTGTACTGGGAAAATACAACAAGGTGCCTATCCGTTGAATGATACACAGGTTTGAAGTTGGATTAGGAGTATCCATGATGCCCAAGGAAAATGAACACTGTCATCCCTTGTGCTGCAGCATTTCCTCAATGAGCTACAATGCCGAGCCCAACACACGGATGGCAATTACCGACGTGCATGAGTGGCTGATATAGTCTCGGAGAGCTGAATATGCTGTGTAGGACGAAGGCTTGCACTGCCCCAGGGCCTGTCTCAGCCATATCACATCACATGCATGCCTCTTTCCTATAGGACGACCACAAGCAGAACTATGGCCAGCTAACGACATGCTAAAACCAAAATGATGTGGGACAACAAGTGTGCAACATTTTGGGCGGAGGATGGTGACAGATGGCCGTGCTAGCCTTGTGAAACCAATCTGCTTCCCTGACCTGCTCTTCTTACCAAGTATAGGCAATCTCCTCCGACACGTAAGTTGGCTGCCTATCCTGCCTCCATCATATGAGAACCCACCCTGTGCAACCAAAACAGCCCGCAAAACAACCTGCGGCAAGGTGAACATGGTTCAGGGGGAGCTGAGTAGCGCCCTTGGCCATCTTGGTTTGTCTTGTTTAGCACATGCGGAATCTAACCAGGAAGCATGATACAGTGCCCTATATCGGGCTTCTGAGTGGAAATCAAACGCAACCGTCGTCCTATCCTGTAGACATATGCCACTACCCAATTCATCGCTTCATAACTGCGCTTCTCCACAACCTCTAGGAGCTCGTATTCGTAAGATTAGTGTGACCATATTGGCGAATAACAAGAGCGATATCCGAGTTTGCAAGTCTTGACGTGGGCGGCGTAAGCCACAGTGATAGTGACAGGACACAGCAAGCGGAGACAATAGACCCACCTTGTGATTGTCGTGCCCGCTGTTTTTCGCTGGCGAGCTGCATGGTTAAACTGCAGTAGTCACGTCTCAGGATCTGCAAGAACGCGGTTGGTGAGGAGCGGCATGAACGGTCCCAGATCTCTAGGGGGCAAGAGGGCCGTCCCGGCATACGGCGTGACGTCACACACCGAAGCTCAAAATCCAGGAAGTGACTTGCTGCTAGGCCTAGTGGTGTAGTGGTTAATGCGAGAGAGACTGGTGTTAGCTTGGCAAACGTAGCTGTCCCTAGTTCGAACTCAGGCTGAGCAACCCTCTTTGTAGAGCTTAATCCTTTTGTGAGCTGCGCCGCGTTTTCCATGCGTACGTCGCCTAGGTCCTGTTAGGCGTTTTTACTCAACGATTCTTACTTTCTGGCAAATTAGGGTTTTCCCGGCCCACTGAGTATCTGGCGAGTTTTCCAGGCAATACCTATTTTCACTGTGTGTTAGATACCCGTCCTAGACAGACCTCACTTGATTGATTGATAGTTTACTGCTAGTAGAGCAAGGCCTACGGCGCGGCAGCTAGAGTGCTGACTCACGCTCGCTGATGTACGCCTCGAAACCCGAGCCGGTAACACCTCATTGCCTGATGATTTCGATTATGAGAAGGACACCCACCTCCTTGAATTTTGGGTGACCTACAACGGCCCCGAATGCATCCCAGCAGAGTGCGTTGATATGAAAGACGTAGGACGAGAGTCCTCGACGCAGCCATCCAGTTTATAGACGGATAGCACTGGTCCTTTGAGAACAGTAGGTTGGAGTGGGGGTCTGCGTACCTCATAAGCAGCTCCGCTGGGAAGAAAAACCAATCCGCGCCGATTTGTGACAACCTACTGTCTGCGAATGTACGGCGATTCGATCCTTGGTTCGTTTGCATGCCGAATTGATCTCTCTTCTTTGACTTAATATTGTCATGATCAATTTCTACATAAAATGGTTTTTCCTCTGGTCAGTATTAAATTAATAGGGATGATAAATCCAACAGTACTCCAGACCTGAGTAAACGAGAACCGAATGGAATCAATTTTAACGAAGCATGCCCTTATATTTCAATTATCCTTCACTGACTACTCAACATTCCTATGTAAGACATTCTTTTCTGCTACATTTCGTTACGAAGGCTCTCGGGCAGCTCATGGTTCAACTGCTCGTCGGTCTCAATCACCGTGGAGCCTGGTGTGAAGGAGATGGATGGCGCTTCCCTACAGAGGGTAGCCACCAGTCAGCAGTAGGCTGTAGGTTTAGCTACGGAAAGGTACGCCTGCTAGGTCAAAGTGAAACTACTTCTTGAACATCGCGTGGATGCTTTCCGCAGGTGAGGTCTGGATTCCCGACAAGCAGAGTGAACTCGACCTACCAACTGGTCGATGAGAGGGGGGTGAATGCACAGCGCGCGTGAGCGACCGCAAATTCAGAGCTCTCAAACGATTGGATGCCCACATAGAAAAAAAAACATGATTGCTGATTAAATGAGCTATTCCAAATATGCACTTGACCACGAGGCCGCCGTACCCTGATTTGCCTCTCTAGTACTTTGCCCTCCAGTGACCTAGTGAGAGTAGTATCAGCGGCAAGAGCGGGATCGTTAATGTTTATGGGGATGATCTCTCACTTGAAGCGCCCTCTACACATCTTACAACAATACAATTCGATCGAGGGTTTCAAGGAATATAGGGCGATATATGCACGGGTATCTAAGTCTTCTATGACCACTTTTGATCGTCCATGGCCTAGCTAGCCACGGATGTATCGGAGCACAGTAATTAACGGAGAATATCATTGTTTTCATTTCTTTTGATTGATATGTTTACGGTGGGATGCCCTGGCACTTGATACATCTCCAGACGACAAAAACCACACATGAAATCAATCAATAAGTCAAAGGAAACAACTGATTTCATTCTGTTTTTATCAATCACAACAATCGAATCAGACTCCAAGTGACTAACCCAGTCTCAATACTCGTGGCTAAGCTTGAACTCGGCTGGACCGTTCATTCCAATCTGCCTACCCAGAGGAGTCATGTCAAGCAGGTGCATTGTCGGAAGCACCTTTTCTCCCCCCCTTGCCCAAGTCGAATAGGAATGGTAGATATTGCCGTGTTCATCCTTGAAGAAAACACTGTATCCTGGCACGTCGCCTTCATACCAGGTCTTTCCCAACCTTTCAGTCTCGTCCTTTGACCGGAAGTTGATCTCCATTGGGCCAACGGACTCATCGTTTGAGGCATGGAAGTCATAGTTGAAGGTGGTACCTCCGCAAGAATACCAAGGCCACTTCCAACCATTCTTCTCCTTGAACGGAGCCAAGTTCTCAATTGGGGCACGTGAAACACACACAAGGTTCGTGTTTTTGAGACGGAGGTGGTTGACGTTTGGCAGGCTCTCGCCGACGTGGCAGCAGCCTCTGCAGCCCTCCTCCTGGTCGGGGCCAAACATGAAGTGATAGACGATCAGCTGCGGGTGGCCCTCGAAGAGATCGGCAAGAGTCACCCTCTCTCCGTCGAGGGATTCAAAAGTGTAGTTCTTATCCACCTCCACCATCGGGAGCTCTCGGCGCATGGCGTTGAGGGCATCGTTGGCGCGGGTGTGCTCCTTTTCTTTCTCAAGAAGGGACTTTCGGGCTTCGAGCCACTCGTCCCGACTGACCACGCGGGGCTTTAGTTGAGGAGTCATTATGGGCAGAGCAATAGTTGATTGTTCAGGTTATGCAGAACCTATCGTTAGACTATGGAAAACGAGTAAAACAGGAAGAGGTGTTGTGGCGAGCGTTGTTTAAATAAACAGCAGCTCAACGTCATTCTATCGTCGTAAATTTCGTATCATGGCTTGTGTGGAGCAGCTCAAGAGTTCATTAGAGCATAAAGACATCATTTTCCCGGTGGCGCCCAATGAAGTGTGAGCCTAGAATGAAAATGCTCGATCAAATGGTTGGGATTAAGACGGAATGCGGAGAAGGTGTGCAATTATCGCTAGCCGTGAACGCCACTGTATCGCTCGGGCGTTATACGCTCTCTAAATTTGTCAGGGACATATGTATGTATTCACTAGGACGAGCAGTGAAGGAGTTGAGAACTGACCACTCATCGGACTAGCCTCTACACCCATTCCACGCTGCTGTCGAAGGCTGATATCACGCCCAACGAATGGACCATGTGAAAGCAGTACGGTGTTCATTCACCTTTACAGGAAAGAAATGACAGTCGTTATTCCGTCTATATAATAGAGTCTTCCTTTCTAATCGGTATCTATTCTCGTGAGCGTCATAGTAACTTGGGAATCCCGGCCGCCCCCAACAGTCTGGAAACCCCGGTATCCTTCCACTGCTGTACTTTCTCGTCGCTTTGTGTCCAGATGGTCCCCAACATCCCTCCGGAGTTTGCACCCAGGGGATCTATCCCCGCAGCCCTTCTGGGAACGACAATCATTCGATTCCGGTCCATGATCATGTTGTGCGGGGGCGCCCCATCCTCCAGGGTCGTTTTAGATCCTAGCGATCTCTCCACGGCTTCAAGACCAGCTTGGTAGGCTTTGAGATAAGCTTCAGGGTCTGGGGGGGTTGTGAACCTGGCCTGATAGTATGCAAACGGGACAGCGTCATTGTCGATGTTGACCCAGGAGTTGCCATTGAAGGACTCATTGGGTATGGCCTGCAGGTGTTTATGCACCCTACTACAGCCGCCCTCGACCCTGCAGTTGTAAAACACTAGGTAGTCTTGGTCCATATTCGATAGGAACTGAGTCGCAGCTCGGAAATCGTCTATGTCGAGAGGCTCCCACTGTCGCCTGTAACCATCATTCGTCAACATGAGAAGATGAGGGCGATACGACGAGAACATATTGAGAGTGAGCTCATGGGTGCCATTCAAATTTTGGACGCCCAAGCCATTGACATTGATGTCGCTTCCAGGTTTCGGTCCTGTTCCAGGCTCCGTGGCTACATCCAGAGTGGATGTCGTCTGCCATGGTTTGCTTGCAAGAGCCTTGGAGATACGGAACTCGACCTGGAGATCTTAGCACTGCAATAGGGTCAGGGGTATATCTTATAAGTTAGAGGTCAACTCACCAGCATTTTCTCGCTCTGCGCAGTCTCCGTTCTGAACGCGTAGTCGTAAAACAGTCGGCCAGCTTTGGCCAGCTGGTCAAAACGCGCCACAACTTCAGCCTCAGTCAGGTTTTCCGACTTCCCAGCATGTTCCAAGGTACCATTCGACGCCATCTTATCGGTGTGCAGCTGCCTATAGGACTGACTGCGAGTCGTTCTTTGGTTCACGCGACCAGGGCCGATTTGGAAAGGGGGAAGCCAAGCTTATTCGCTGGAACAGCCCCATTGGACCTTCAGCTTAGCAATCATGCAGCTCCACCGCAATTTCAATGTCAGTCAACATTCACTGATGGTTATAGCGATCTTCGATGCTACGATATTCCAGCTATAACGATACTATCAGTGAAATCCCAGTCACTGTGCGAATTGGGGAAGCCAGCTCATTAGGCCCCTCAAGTAATTAGAACTACTTCCCGAATTGCTAAACTATGTAAAAAATTGGAACTACCAGTTGGATTTTCCCGATCTAGTTGGGCCAAGAGCTGTGTATTCAACCCCAAAATGGCCTGAAGACGTAAATTACAAACTTGCTACCACACGAAGGCGAAATATTGCTGAGTCCACGCCCTACATTAAAGAACAATGCCTTAGAAGATTACAAAAGACACAATAGACCCCCATATATGAGATCAAACTTGACCAGTATTCACTGTTGTCCGTTCACTAATTACTGCCGCTGTGGCAATTACACGGCCAGGTTCACGGAGGTTGTTTCGACTGGAGATCCTTTTTGACCCGGGCTTGACTTTTAAACACTACAGAAAGGAGGGAAATAAACGAAGACTGAATGAGAGGAATTTAAAAGAACGAGTAATCTTCACCAGCTGAAAAATTTCCATTCCATACGCATGTCTCCACGCAACGATAATATAACGTCAAGTAATAACGGCTCGGGACCAGCCACTCTACAGATCCACAGAATCCGCTCGTCCCCAATTTAAGTGAGCTGATGATTCGGAAGCAGTGTTGCACCAAACGTGCAGAATCTACCTCAGCATGGTCCTTGTGACTGCTTCACCTCCTTAGTTAGGTGGTAGCCAACACGAGTAGATGGAAATCTCCGGGGGTACGCAGTATGTTCCACCTCGCCACTCCGGCTCGAGAAAATTGTGCACTGCGGAGATCGCGCTGGCATGGGTAAGGAGGGCGAATCTGGATCTTCTTGCGAGAGCGTGGATTTACACCATCGCGCCCTTGTCAAAGGGGGTATGTCTTGCAGGGTATGACGGACCGGTAATTAATATTTGCAGTATGTAGTGGCTATCGATGATGTGTGCAGTATGTCCAGGAATTGTTTTACAAAAGGTGAGCTTTCTTGTGTGCAGCTTAGAGATATGATGCGAACAGTTCCCGGTACTCTGCACGAGTCTTGCTGCTTCCAACCCAGACGACCTTTGCACGGTCGACAGCCTCAATATGGGTTCCAACAAAGGTGGCGACCATGCCTCCGCCGTAAGCCTCCTTATCGATGAAGTTGTGCTCATCCGGCTCAACAACCTCAAGATAGTATGGGTGGGACAGCATCGCAGCCAAAACGTCAGGGGACTCGTAGAGAAACATGGCTATGCCATCAAATTCAACGAGCTCGTTGGAGACGGGTGTCTCGCTGCCGGTTTTGGTGGGAAGGACCTGGCCTCCAACCTGGACCTGTTACATTGAGAGAATGAGCTGTGGAGAACTAGAAAAAGCAATATGTAGAATGGACCATAGCAGCAAAAGGAAACCTTAAAGACTGCATAATGTCCACGCATGCAGCTTTAGGCGCCCTGGACATACCTGTTGATAGCGAGTAATGTTGAAATATGTGGCCAACGGCACAACTTTTGGAGCATGCTGCGTCTGCCAGTAGGCCCAGAATTCCTCGCGGGTCCAGTCAGGGTGGCGCTTCACGTAGGTCACCATCTGGGTGAGGCCGGTGTTGCTCTTGCAAGAAGCAAAGGTTACCCCAACCAGCATGACAAACACCAGGAGTTTTGATTTCAATGAAAACATTGCGAAATTATGTCCTATGGATTTGGGAAAACTTGCGAAAAGATGAGAAAAGAAGACTCGGGAAGGCAAGAGTCGACCAGAGCGGGCTTATGAGTGATACTGCGGTGGGGAGCAGCCAACCTCAAGCACCTCCATCAGTTCATGATGCTCCGCATCTTTGCCTTAGTGCCATGGCACGTTCCCAATGGCCAGTGGGTCATTTGTTGTAAGACTCCTTTTGTAATGGACGGCTAAATGTCTAGTCCCGGGAGAAAGGCTTATGTGTACTGCTGAACGCATGCATGTGCGGTCGAGAGGCCCCTATTTATGGTTCCCGAGAGCTTTTCTTATACCGAAATGAATTGTTTCCAAGTAGGTATTGCGTTTGATTTATTAATTCCATCTCTTCTACGTGATAGCTGCGGTGGCCAATCCTGATACCTGGTACGCGATGGGAGATCATGATGCGGGGATTTTCAGAGGGTTGGAATCTGTGCATCTACATCTCTGGATGTAACACCAACGGTGATGAAGACCGAGGATACAGCCATGATTTCCCGCATCGTCCCTTGCAGTATCATGTATTCCTTTTGAACCTTGCATGATTCCTGCATAATAAGAGGACATGACACCCCACCACACAAGCACGCCTCCTGGATAAGCAGCACAACTAATGGTGCCATGGCCAAGCTGCATAAAGATGGGGAAAAGTAAATCTCGGAGTTGTGCCATCTTTGTACACGAGGGGAATGAGGTGTCAACGGGGTGGGAGCGATACGCGCCGTATTTTCTTTTCTTTTCCCATGCTTATCATTGGACCACCCGATGTTCTCTAGGTAGCATTCATGCATGTCATCTGCAAAGCTTTCAGGGGAATCCCGGAGTGCCAGAATGGCCGCAACCCCAACTGTCCTGGAGGTGGGCCGAAAAAGAAAAGACTTCTGCCATCACATCGCCTGACCACCCAGCAGTGCTGAGACATTTTCGTCCTGTCGATTGGGCCGGAGAGATGCGGGTTCAAAGGTCGTCAATGCAGACGTCTCTCTGCCCGGCTGTTGGCCGGTTCAAGATCCCTGCAGCCCACTTGCATCAAGTTGAGCAAACCTGCCACTTTTCTCGACCGCAGGGAGAAGACAGCTGTCCGTGTCAGTGGCTTGGACTTTGTGGCTCTCCGTGGCCCCAGGAAAAAGAAAAAATCTCGGGGTTGAAATGATAAAACAAGCCGAGCAGACTTAGGCCGGTAGACCACATACATAGCGAGCTCATGCCATTGACAATTTCGTAACTGCTCTTGTTGATTAATTCCACTCCATGCGTTGGGTTTGCAGGACGATCCCAAGAGGAGAATTCTGCATAATTTGGACGAGACAAAGAATAGCTTTTGATGGCTCCCGACTGAAACAATTGCGTGTGCAGACTCTCGCCAAACTTTCGATTTCTGCGTCACTGCTTTCTTCTTTGTCAATCTACGTATCAGGGAGGCGGGCCGAGCAGAATACTCCCTCTGGTATGGCTACCTTTCCCATCACGAATGGCATCACGACATATCTCCCGCCGCCCGAGGGAGTCGAGGTAGATTTCGAGAACCCCCGACGCCGTCATGCGCTCGACCACTATCTCATTTTCGCCCTCCTGGGATCACTAGCCTTGGTCTGCTTGATCCAGAGGTTCTACACGAAGCACTACATTGTCGGAGGATTGAAGATAGATGATTGTGAGTTGCTATGAGCAGAGAACCGATTATTATTGTCTTGGCTAACCATTATCCAACAAAGATCTGATCACTCTTGCCTGGATGGCATCCATTGCGATGCAGTCGACGCAAATCTGTGAGTAACGAAGCTTCTCTCGTTCATATTACCCGCTCACTAACTGAACGCAACGGGCAGGGTCTGTGTCAATTGGAGGACTGTGTCATCACGCTTGGGAAATGCCCATCAGTGTATACACTAATCATATGCTTGTATGCGGGCTCCTGATACCTACTCCCTCCATAGTTTCTAATCTGCTTACATTGTGGAATACAATAGAGTTCTTATATTGCGGCACCGGTCTTCATCGCCTGTAACGGCTTAAGCAAGTCCTCACTTTTAACATTCTATCTCCGGATCTCTACTCAGAAATGGTTCAAAATCAGCATCTGGGCTGCCATTGCCATGGTGTGCGGATATACGTGCACAATCGCCGCTCTTCTTCTTTTCGGCTGTCGCCCTATTCGATCAGCCTGGGATCCCTACGTGCCTGGAAAATGTGTAAACCTGCCATCACTCTACATCGCCATCGCGAGTGCCAATATCGTTTCCGATGTTGTTCTTTTCATTATCCCAATCCCAACTGTCCTGGCCCTGAAAATGCCGGTTGCGCATAAAGCCGGCGCAGCGATAATGTTCGGAATTGGGTCCATGTACGTGTATCAAAACTCATTAACAGGACTAAGGGCAACTGTTAACTCTATTTAGCACCGTTGCAACATCGATCGTGAGAATGGCCTACCTTCCATCTCTTTTATCAGCTGACGATATCCCATGGGTCGCCGCCTCGGCCAACGTCTGGTCGTAAGCTTAGATTCACTTAAGTCCGAGATGCTTCTAACACCTTGTCTAGATTCGTTGAGGTCAACCTATTCATAATTTGTGGTTCCATGCCTACATTTCGCAGGTTTCTCCATCAGTTCGCCCCAAGAGTACTCGGGTCATGGGATTCACAGCCATCAAGGTCCAAAACCCATGAAACGTCTGCGAGCAGATCCAGACGTCACAATCATACCGGGTACTCACAGTTTGATGATGTTGAAATGAACAGCATATCTGAACAAGAAACAAAGGATCCCAAAGTCAATGTCGCAATTGGTGAGCCGGCAACGACGACGGTAGATTGCGAGGCCGCACCGCGAAACAGCCATGATGGATCTAGCTCAGAGGGAATCTCCTACACCCGGACCTTTGAGGTCCAGTATAGTAATAAATAAATGTACGACTAGACGCATAAATGAATTAACGAAATAAATGGATCGATGATAAGAATAAAACAATGTAATTTGTTTTTATCAAACCTTATTTGCATTACAGAATCTATGCAGTCTCTCCAACCGCCAAATAGTCTCGCTTTTTCATACTGGTGTTTGAGTTGGAATATAAGAGTGTCTCCATTTCTGAGATATAGCCGTGAATTTGCCGATCCTATATCCATAGAATGTCCAGCCCTGTTATGAAGCTTTAATCCCAAGTCTTGGAGAATGAGATCCTATTCTAGGAGCTCCGTTTCTGTCCTTGAAAGCAGTTCAAAAGAAGGTGGGAACTACGAACAATTCTGAAAGATTAACAGACTAGAATGTGGCTTGGGTTTTGCTCTGAACCAATACGACTTGTTCATGATGTAGATAGTGCATTTTCTCTACTATATTTGGTTGCGTATTCCAAATTAGTTAAAAATTTCAAACCCAACGAGATCTGGCGCCCACGCCTCTCCACCATGAGAAGCAAACGCGACAGTGTTTTCCTTGCCCTTCTTGAACCCATCCAGCTCAATAGTGAGGCGACCAGATTCGTACCAGTCATTTCCACCAAGCGGAAAGGCCCAACGTTTGGCTTGTTCGTCGTTGACAGTAATAGTCATGTTACGTGTGTTTGTTCCTTGTCCCCAGGCTTCTTTATGGTGGTACTCGTAGTTGATAAAGTCCACAGCCACCGTCAAGGATCCATCAGCAGGTGACTCAACTTCCTTGAACGAAACCTTGGCGCCTGGGCCAATCCGCCCAACCTTACTTGTAACAGGAAGGCATTCTCCTTCAGCGCAATCAACAAGGGCAGCTGACCCTTCAAGGGTAGCGTCCACGACGGAGAAGTACCCGCTAGACTGAGGAAGATCTACCTTTTCGATGTCACTCAACACCAACTGGCGCAACTCGTGCGGTTTGAGCTCAAATGACTGCACGCCGCCAATTTCAACGTCCTCGCTGGCCCAGACGTCGTGTGCCCGAGCTTTTCCAACGCCAATAAGGCCAAGGTCAACTTGTACAGTCTGGGTCTCGTTTTTCCAGTTGGCGATCCCCAGAACCTTGCGTCCAGATGAGAGATCACCAGCCCAAACATCCCACTCTTCCTCGGTGTGTCGAAGTACGAGCTCAGCAGCCTTTCCTAGCGGGTCCTGGTTTATGGCTATGACCTCTTTGTTGGACATGATCTCGAGTGATTCGTGAGGAATTTGAGAGCGGTCCATGACACCTCCAATAAAAAGAGGGGACTTCAACATCGACCAGAGGCCAAAGTGAAATCTCTCTTCATCATACGAGAGGGCACTCAGCCCGACGCTATATGTCATGTCAGATAGTCCCCGTGTTTGCAAGTACATTCTCAACTCACATGAGCATATCAAGGTCTGCGAACGCCCCTGGAACCGTGTACCTGGTGTGAGGCACAGCCTGGTTCACGATTCTCCAAATGCTACGCCACGCATTGAAGATGTCGTTACTCATCCTCCAAGTGTTGCCGATAGGGGCCGACCTGGGCTATCTCAGAATCCACTTTGCTTGGGTTGGCGAGAGATAGAACAACTTACCACTGGGGCACGTCCTCTCCTATTCCCCACTGGCAGAGAAAGTACTTGATGTCGCGGTCCGTCTCATCGAGAGCCGCTGCCATCTTGACGAATCGTGCTGGGCTCTTTGACTCGTCGGAGTCGACGTCCACCATAACATCTCGAGAAGTAGAATAACAATTGTCATATCTGGTAGCACGTTAAACCCCTGGCTCTCCATTTATACTTTGACACACCTTACTTCAGCGAGTCGCCTCCCCAATCAGCGAAGGACTGAGCATCGATCTCTTCATATCCTAGTACGTGTCAGACAATGATAACCATATGGGCTGGTAAAGGAATGTACCCAAAGACGCTGGAAGGTCTGTTGAACCACACTGAAGATATCCAGCGCCAGAATATAGTCCAAATTCCAATCCAAGATCATGGATGAATTCTCCAAGTGCATGCGGTCCGGAGGGGAATAATGTCGAGTTCCATACCATCCGGCCATCAGAGTCGCGGTCTCTGGCAGGCCAGCCACAATCCACTGTAGTTACAGTATACCCAAGATTCGCAAATCCCAGATCAACCAAACCCTGTGCATTCAGCTTGATGATTTCCTCATTTGGAGAACAGCCGTACTTGTTGTAGCTGTTCCATCCCATTGGAGGCTTGGCAGACCTGACCGTCGCCGCACTGGCAAGGGGCAAGGCAAATGCCAGGAATTCGAATGCAGCCCGATTCAGATTCATCTTGCTGGTGTGATCGACTCTCTTTAAATGCTTATGAGAAATCGGCGTGCTGAAAACAGGAAACTGGGGGCCCCGTGGGGTTCTTTAATAACCGCAATCCCACATGCTTTCAACAACCTGACCTTAGTTAGCACATCGTACCTTATTTCATTGGCCCGCTTGTGCAACAGCACGATGCTACATATTTCGGGGGGATCATCTCTATTAAAGGCAAGAGAATGATTCAATTGTGGATATCTCGCGGCGAGATGCACAGTATCATCAACATTAGCCGGAGACTTGATTGCCGATCCAATAGGCCAGCCATGAATATGGCGAAATAGGCTAATAGGTGCCGAATTAACTCGTATTCAACTGTTCGATCCGCTCCTCTTAACTTCCTTGCCTATAGCTACGTATCCGGCCAAATAGTAAATGGAACCACGTCACAAGTGGCTGCTCTCTGATTGGTTTCATAGTAAAACCATCGCGACACTCATATCAATAGCTGTAATGCACTCAGATATTCGGATAAGCATCCAATGCCATAGTATGTGATGATATGATTCTGCCCCTTCGAGCATTGCCAGAATACCCATCCGTGATCATCCGTTCATGACTTCTGTGAGCTCCACCAAGACTCTCTTCCCATCTCGCACATGAACATTGGTTAGAGTAAGCGACGATCCAACAGTCTCAGTCCCATCCTCCTTCTTGGTCGTGGTGAAATAACCAAGCTGTGCGACACAACCTCCGCCTAGCCCATCCGGAGCGTTCCAGGTATGAATCTCCTTGTTTGACTGGACTGCGAAGTAGTTGGCTTCCCGGGCGGCCTTGATAATCCCCCAATACTTGGCTTTTCCTAGCTGGTCGTGATTGATTCTGGCAAACAACGAGCAATTAGTATTGTTCAATAATCACACAGGTCGACAGCATGAATTATCTTACCTGATGACCGCGTCGTCAGAGACACGTTCTTCGAATGTCTTCGCGGCTAGTGCATCATCCGGTTGGAAGAAGATGATGTGGGAGAACCCATCAAACCAGTCAGCGAGCGAGCTGGAGTTGGACAGGGAATCAGAGGAAGCCATTGTCGTATAAAGTGTTCTAGGTTGGAAATTGAAAGTTTTGAAGGCACGATGTCTAAGGATCTTAGTTGCCATTTGGGAAGTCTATCACTTAGACTTTGTCATCGTTTATATAGTTGATGATCATCCCAGAGTGCGAATTCCGGCATAACATTGATTTCTAATCGTTCTGATATCTTACTGCGTGATTCTGTACAAGTGGTGGAATTCCGCAGCACAGAGCAGGATAGAGTCTCCAGCGCATTCAACAGTATGGTCTTCATTCTATTTGTACCAGAGGCACTATCCAGTTCTGAGTCTTCTCACACCGGCGGAGCTCATCGCCGCATCAAGTAGCTTGAACCAATAAAGATGGCGAACCAGCTCCACGACTGTTACAGGCGGCGGGCAAATGTGGGGGAGCGGACAAACGTGGGTCTTTGAGTTGCTGACATTCAGGAGAAGACGTAACTTGTCGAGTCGTTCTCACGTGCGTGCTCCTGTTGTCGAGTCGGTCAGCGCCCAGGCCGGCGTTCGTTCACTACGCCCGGGCTCTTCTTGTCTGCAAGATCGATTCCCGTTCCAGGCAAGCGGCGGAGTATGCCAATATGTCATTAGAGAAGTCATCCCAGTCGCTGCGGCGCAAGTCCTGCGGCGCATGTGTCCGCTCCAAGAGGCGGTGCGACCTGGCCGAGCCCGTCTGCTCACGATGTCAGATGAGACGCATCGATTGTATCTACCCTCAACGGCTTGGGGTCGTTGACCAGGCATCCTCCGCTAGCAGTTCCAGCCTAGATACACCATTGCCCCAGACGTCCGGGTATGGCGGGCAATATCCGACCAGCGTCGCGCAGTTCAGCAGCCAAGGGACGCTTACACTTCCTGCTCCCACCTCGCTGCTCGTGGATGACTACACCAATATGCATATTCCTACTTACTTGTCACCCCCGTCTGATCCATTCGGGCCCGTTCCTCGGCCTCTGTCTCCGGGGATGTTCTCCCTTGTCCAGGACATCCTAGGCGAGCAGCGGTTCACTTCCCCGTCTGACCTCGGACTCTCGGCCGGCTCCCGCGGTAACCCCCTTCTACCCTCCGCGGGCCAAAGCAGCTCCTGGAGCAACGACATAATCACCGGCAGCCACTTTCAGCCTCGCACAGAATATGCTGCGCGGCTGATGGCTGACCAACCCGCCACCCTGGCCCAGAACGGGTACAATTGCTTCATCCATCACACCCAGGCCAATTCATCTGCCGTTCTGCAGGACGCACTGGCGGCAAGCGCCCTGCAGGCAATGAGGAACCCGTCGAACGCGGGTATCGTCAGAGCCGAAATCATGAGGAGAGCAAGGCTGCTCATCAACGCGGTAGAAGCGGCGAGAGAGAACTACCTGCCTCTATTCAACATGGACTTCCTGCCGCCTGTACAGGCTCTGCTCGTCTACCAATCTATGCGGCTGTTCTCCGTGGGAGATCCTGCCTTGGTCGCGCAGGCCGAGCGGGACCAGGAGAATCTTGTCGCATGGACCGAGGTGCTGGACAACGAGATGGACCTCTTCCGCTCCGCCCCGGACAGTTGGGAGACCTGGATACGTAAAGAGAGCGTTCGCCGGACTTTAGTTTATGCCGAGATGCTCAGTGGTGTGTATCGGTTCTTGCGGAGGGGCTGGGACTACGCAAAACAGGAGCGCATGGCGAGTTTGGGATTCTCCGTTCAGCGTGCTCTCTGGACGGCGAGGACAGCCAGTGAGTGGACAATTGCTTGGAACAATCTCCCTAGATTAGAAACTATCATGGCCCGCACGCCCAGGGACATGAGAGAGGCCACGACTTACGATGTAGATGATTTAGGCGTGATGCTACGGGCGACTTACTTTGGGATTGAGAGTATGGAGAGGTGGATCGGAGAGGATGCGTCTGCTCTGGAGAGATGGGGATTGAGGCATTCTGGGCGGGGATGGCGACCGGTGAATCCGAGTCACGAAAGATAGGATAGTCTAGTTCAAACAAACCAGCCGGAGCCGACGATGCGAGCTTTGCGCATGTAGAAACATAAGTACTTTAGATACACGATCATACCCATTAATAAATACAACAACAGTCTATTCGGCTCTGGTGCCACCATGAAGCTATTTTCACCTCCATTGTAATAGAAATGAAGCTATTAAGGAGACAGATCAAACTGTGGCAATGCCTCGTGTCAGAGACTTGTGCTCGGGACATGAGGCCAAAACAATGGCGTACTTTCGGCGCTACTCGAACGAGACTGATATCATCTTTCTGCCATGGCCTCCTATCGATTTAAGTTGCCCGCCGAACGAAGAGCTGGCGGGATTTAGGCATACCACTTACATCTTCCGCTTCGCGTTTCTTACGACGCCTAAATTGGAATAACATATGTGTTAAAGACAACGACGCACTTAGGCTCTTTGGGATGAATGTTCGCAGTTGCTTCCGTGGTCAGTTCTGATCCGGCTCTGTCAAGGCAATAGAGTTCCGATCACTTAATTTTTGTCATTACTGTAGAACGCTATAATTAATATCTATCCCGTTATCCTCCATTCGCCATAGTTTGTTATTTTCTGTACTTTCAAACTCTCAATGCCCTACTGTCTTTCTGATTCCATTTAAAGACGAATCGCTCAAGCTGCCTTAGCGCCTTAGCTGGATTCCAATGCGATCTGCTGATGTGTACCAACATACTAGAATTGCAACATTCTATTTGGGTTGACAATCCTCTCAACGTTGGTTTGCACCGCGCGAAACTTCATGAAACCACACGACTCGCTTTCCAGGTGGTTGATGGTTGCTGCGAGCGTGGTGAAGTCACGGCGGCAGCTGGGGTTAGGACAGTGATAGAGCGCCTGTTGGTGGACAGGAGAATTGAGGTGCTGGTTCAAGCCATTCAGCGTGTTGAAGAGCCTGTGACAAAGGTAGCACTCAAAGGCTTCGGCATAGGGATTCCAGGCCCGCTCATTAGCCGAGTAGGACGATGAGCCGGTCCACTCGAGCAGCTTCTTTGAAACAACTCCGTTGGGATCATACTGCCTCACTGCTCGGTAGAGGCTGTCCCTATCCAGAGGGGCCCGAGGACAAGAACCCCGCTCCAAATGGTGTACCAGACCCGTGGCGGTGCCATGCTGAGATTTGCAAAAGGGGCATGTGACGTTCGTCTGGCGGTGGATGGACGAGTTCAAATGCTATGCATCTAGCAGTCAGAATGATGGGCGGTCAGGCATGGTCGTTGATAAGGAGATGATCTACCTGGACAAGGTTGTTCCGGTTCATGAAGTCACGGTCGCATGCGCGGCATCGGATATGAACATTTGCCTCATGCTGCTTGGCCTCCTGCTCAGTTGGGAGGAACGAGTTGCAGGCATTGCACGGGACAGCAGCATCATTCCAATGGCGCGAGATGTCCATGTGCCTGCGCCGGGTCTGTTCATTGTCGAAGATAAAGTGGCATGTATCGCACTCAAAGTCCGGATGGCGGTGCCCTTTTGCAGAACAATGTTGATCTCTGGCTTTCCAGCCAGCCCAGAATAGGCGGTCGCACGAGCCACACTCAAATGCCATGACTGCCCGAAATAAACTACCAAGGTATCCGATAGTGCTTGGGTGGTGGATTTGTCCGGTCGCTCTTGGAACTTGGAGTGGGAGAGCAACCGGAGAGCAACAAAAGAGGGGAGCACGAAGGATAGTGTTTGGGTGCGCTTTGACCCCGCACTCAATGTCTCAGGTTCCGCGTCATAAGGAAGCCTGTGGTCAAGCTCGACTGCAGGAGTGGCTGGTCTATTGAAAGCTGCATTTTGAGTAAAGGGGTGACAGTAAAGAGGCAAGGACACCACCCCTGGTATCTGGATGTTGTCTAATATCTGATAGCAGAGGCCTAGCTTCTAACAGTTAGTGGCCCGTCCGCCGGAATAACCCTATAATAGGGGTTGAGGTGTCAATGTCACTTACGCGTCGCCTGAGCGCGTTGATTGAATTCACATCAGCCACGGCTCAGCTTCTACAGGGTATCTACCTCCGTTGAGCGACCGCTAAGCGAAAGGTCCGGGCGGTCGTCAGCAGAGTTGGATGTACAAGTCTAGTTGGCAGCTGAAGAATCCCAGTCTTATCTGTGCTTCTAAGTAAATACAGGCAGTTAAACCCACTTGCCTAACTGAAGCGACTTCGTCTTCCCGTTGACTGGGAAAGCATGTAAGTGCGAGTCGCATTGTGGCCGCCAGGTTGCTTATCTTATCAAATCTTATTCATGCTTTATGTAAGCGATTAACACGTGATTTCTTCCGGAGTGCACCACCTACCCTAAGCCCAGCATGAAGAAAGGTATCAATAACCGGCGTCTGCATTATTCACTCATGATCAGTCCATCTGTATGTATAACTAGGCGTCTTAGTAAAAGCAAAACATTGAAATGTGAAAGTTTGGCGATATTTTAATCTTAGTTTCCCTTTCGTTGTGTTGAACGAGCATTTTCTTGGCGAGCGGTGATGCTCGACCAAATCAACCCTTGATTCTGCTAAGCTCGTGCTGTAATCCGATTACGAATATAATCTACTTCGTTTCGCTCAAAAACATGGTCGCTTAACTCAGTTGGTTAGAGTGCCGTACTAATATTATCATCGATATACTTAGTAATGCGGACGTCGCCAGTTCGATCCTGGTAGTGACCATCCATTTTTGCCCTGCCCCAGAAAATAGCATCTCGGTTGATTATTGGGGCAACCGATTTTTCTTTTTGCGACACAAACCAACAGTTCTGCTGGCGGATGTCACCAATTCACTCAAATCCCTCAAGCCGGACTGGCGGATAGACGCGATCATCAAGTGATACAATATAGCCTCTCAGGGGCTGGCAGTGCTGGTCACTGCTTCAGTCACACCCCCGCGATTGGGCAAAGAAGGCTCAAATCCTGCCTATCCTTCCCCTGGCCCTGACTCAAATGCACAAATGGGGAGGCGAGTTTGCACATGATATTCTAAGCGTGGGTTTCCCTTTCTGTCAAGTTGCCAGACCGATCAGGTCACCATGAAAATCTATACCGGAATGATACTGAACCCCTATAAGCTGAAATCGTCTGGAGAAGTGATTTGCAAATTTGGACATGACGATCGCTAAAATGACGTAGATTTTTCCAGGGTCCATTGTTTGACCCACTTCGAAGAGCAACAGACCCAAAGATGATGCGACGTAATAATCTGATACAATGCTGATCAGTCTGTCATGGTATTTAATTCGGTGAGGATGCTGTTTTGTCTGGGCTGAAACACATTTTCATCCGATGATTTTTGGTGGGCTGGATTTCTGAGCTTTGATCCGCCTGCTCTCCAAACCTAAACTACTGGATCGCATCTGATATACAACCTCCACTCCTGCTCGGCTAATATTGATCTTCAAAGATCTCCACGACGCATCTGTATCGTTACCAGGAGGATAACGAAGGCTGCGGGGCGACATGTCCGCAGCTATTGCAAGAACGATGGCCTCCCAGGACCACGCAGGCCACAATGGCTCTGTCTCTTCTCGACCCCTTCCCAGCCTCACATTATCAAAGAACAAGGAGCTTCCCCCACTCCCCCAAGAACATGTGGGGCCACAGCCACCACATGGTTATGTCGAAGGCTACTCACGGCATGGATTCGATGTTCCCCCAGTTCCACCACCTAAACCTAGCCAGATCTCGGCCCGGAACAAGTCACATCGCGCTGCCACCGTTCAACCCCAGGTTGGGTTTCAGAATCTTGCCCCGACCTTCCACATGTGGAGCAGGGTTAAGTCCATCACAGGCAGTGCAACGATAGAGCTGGGAAACCAGCCACTGGCCCATCCGTCTTACACGGCCAAGCTGGGCACGAGCGGCGGAAGGACGACAGTCAGAGATACAAGTTTCGGCCAGGTAGTGGCAGATGGCGCAGAGAAGAACCCCATGAGGTCCAAGTGCACCCTTTCCGTGAATGGCTTCGACAGTGAGCTCCAGAGGAGCGGCAATAGTCACTATTTTTCCGCACCTGTCCGAGGCACCATCGATACCTTCGAGTGGCGGAAAGGGAGAATGGGTAGGGACTGGACGCTTGTTTCGGCAGGGTCGCCCCTCGAGGCACCTCCACTGGCCACCTGGCACTGCAAGAGCGATTACGTCAAGAGGAACACTGAGCTAGGAGTGTTTGAATTCCATGGGCCCGCGTTGAGCGGAGAGATGGGGGAGACATTCTTGGCACTGGCTATTATGGCACTGGTGAGGATCTACCACAAGTCATATGAGTCCAAGGTTGCAGCGGGCAGCTCACCTGCCACCGAGCATGCTGCATCGGTACCTGTAGCCGTGGCATAATGTATGAATATGAATTATACCGGGATTTGGAGCCTTGAATTTACAACATTAGTAACAAAAAATTGATCTCATTATATAGCACGCCTAGTTTAAGTTGATATCTAGTTTTATGAACATGCGGTAGCTACTTCTGTGCACACCTTCAAACCTGTTCAAGCAACAAATATACTGTTCAACGTAATGCGGCTGGTTAGAGTAGTGGTGTGGCACCTCTAACGGCTACTCGCCCCGCTGATTCGCCAACTTATATTAGGAGTTTACAGCCGACTAGCTCTGTGGACAACTCCCTTGTCAAGTAGAGAAACACGCAATGATGGCCAAAGCTAAGAGATACGAGGATTTCCGGAACACCCAGCACGTTTCGCACGTACGTGGAGATGAGGGCAGGCACTGGAAAGCCGTGAGAGAAATCTGGGGAAGGTAAGTGAAACATCCGTCTCCATAGATGTTTGAAACTCACCTTTTACGACTTATCTGTGAACATATATAAGCCGGCCGAGCCCTTGAAGAACAAAGTACGATCACATCTGTAGGAGTATGCTTAAGGTAATGTCGTTTGCGGAAGCCATCCGATAATATCGTGATTCATACAGAAATGAGAGAGCATTCGATAGTTTAGTCTGAGATGGATGACATCAAGGATGAGTGATTAGCTGTATGGCAATCTAACTCAAGACCTCCAATAGAAGGGACAATCGTCGAGCGCCAACTGTGAGGGCCTGGCTAAAAAATCATGCCCGGCCTATGTTTTCAAATGTGATCGGTACGTACCACGACAGTTATTGTTCTTTAAATCTCACCATCCATTTTGGGAATCCAATCGCGTGTTTCAAAATACATAATCCTGGGCCATGAGGAAATCTCATCTGTATCTTCCAGGCCAAACAAAATCGCCTAGCTGTTTCGAGGAGAGAAGCCGCAAGAACACGAATAAGAATAAGGGCTACGATGAATGGGATAAAAGGGTTAAAATGGCGAGTAGCAAATAAGTAATCTCAGCGCGCTTGACGCTGGTACATGTCACCATTCAGGAGAATCCTAACTATCAGCCTTAATTTTCTCAAGTTATAGTTGTTAAGAAGTATCAAAGGACATAACTGGGTGTATAGCCCGACCAAGGCCACCAAAAGAGACTTGCGACCAAGTTCAACATACTAACCGGGCTTCAATGTTATTGTGTGTTTTATTGTGGTTATTGTGGGCAAATAAAGAAGGCCAGGACAATAACTTCCAAATTAGAAGCTGGTCTCGTTATGTCATGTGCTTGGTTTAGGTCACTCCCTCCACAGATACTATCACGCTCTTCCTCTTTCTGTATTCATAGTAAACAGCTTGCCGGAATCCATAAATACTTGGATATGACTCGCCGCATCCTGTTACAACGTGCAATGGACAGACCAGCTATGTAGACGGTCTATCATGCAACGATCGCTCCCCTCAGTCCATTCTCATAGAACCACAATTTAGATTTGGATGTATATTGTATGAGCTTGAGATTCTATAACCGAGATTTTCCACCTAATGTATCCTCCACCATTGCTCATATAGTGCTCTGAGATCTACAGGGCCAGGCTTAGACAGATACTCGGTCATATCGGACTCAGGATCAACCTCCTGAGCGGTATACCCTTTCCCAAAGTACCAAGCAAAACGATTCTCTGGTGTCTTGTACTCATATACCCAGTCTTCCCAGCGCGGATCCCTGTGAACAACACTCATGTGTGCCCCGCTACCAGGCCAGAGCCCATGAATCCGGCTACCAGCTTTCCCGCTGTTGTACCAGGAGCTGCATTCTTCTGACAGGACAGTCTGGTTGAAGAATGCGTCTGCATACTGCACGAAATCATCCGCAGCTTGGGCCGAGGGTGCTATAGCTTTGATCCCCTCCCTGGAAACTTTGCGCAGGATCTTGGCCACGACGGTCACATTCACCTCTACAGCGTGCGGGACGCTTCCAGACTTGCCCGCCCCGTTGGGCCCAAGAAGAAACAGGAGGTTGGGGAACCCTGGCGTGGCTATCCCGAGGTAGCTGTATGGGAAACCGTGAGCTCCCCCTTCACGCCAGAGATCTGGTAGATTCTGACCGAACGCGCGGATGTTAAAAGGAGGGACCATATCGACGTTCGCCCCAGTCGCGCAAAAGATGGCGTCCACTTCTCGATGTGTCCCGTCCTCGGTTTCTATTCCCGTCTCGGTGAACCGCTTGATGCGATCTTGGATGTAGTTGACGTTGTCCGAGGTGATGGCCTCGAAGTACCCAGGGCCAGGTGTCAACCTCCTGCAGTGAGGCGGGAAGTCAGGAATGAGCTTTTCAGCCAGGCCCGGTTTGCTCGCCGTCCTCTCCTTCGCAACGTCTATGAGTTCTTTGGTGGTATTGTCAAGTCCCTGAGATCCCTTGTAGTTGTTCTGGAATCCCCTCCAGTACTTTCCTTCGATGGTTTTCCTGTACTTGAGGTAGACATCGGGGTCGCTGAAAGAATCTCGCAGCTCCTGCGGAATAGTTTTGGGCTTGATGTCCGTCTCGTCGCCTGCGAATGACTTGGCCACCCACTTTGATAGATATCTGATTAGCTATGGACCGTCAAGGCTAATGTATGCTACTCACTGTTTTATTCCGGGCGTAATGGTCTAGAGATGCGACTCGAGGCTGGATGTTAGCCACAAGCTGGATACCGCTCGCCCCGTTTCCAATAACGGCAATCTTCTTGCCAGATGGATCAAAGGTTGGGTCCCAATTTGACGTATGGCGTAAGAGACCTTTGAAATCAGAAATTCCTGGATAGTCTGGCAGACGCCAAGCGTTGAACCGACCGATGGCCGTAACTACGAAATCAAATTTCGCAAAGTGCGTAGAGCCGTTCTTCAAGTCATGGGCCTCAACCGTCCATTCGAATGCGTCCTCATTCCAGGATATCTCGTCCACTCTGTGACCAAACTTGATGTGATCATACACGCCGTACTTCTCTGCGATTTTTTGCCAGTACCTAACGACAGACAGGTTAGATGAAGGGGACAGCGTAAGCCGCTTGGAATAACTCACGCTCGAATCTCGGGGCCCTGCGCAAATTCCTCCGTCCATTGCGTGTTGGGCTCATAGCTGCTCTGGTACACATGCGCGGGAATGTCGCACCTCACGCCGGGATAAATATTCTCAAACCATGTGCCTCCCTAGATACATCAGTAACAGTATTGGGATGGATTCAAGTGAGCGATCCTTACCACGTCGGCATTCTTCTCGTATATCACCAGATCAATATTGGGAACCTTTGCCGGGAGGAGGACACCGGCCTCGATGCCCGTGAGGCCGGCACCAATAACAGCTACCCGAAGACGATCAGGCTCATCAATGAATCTGCTCTGGATTTGGAGCGTAGATCTTGGGAGTGGCTTTTCCCTGAGTGGCAAGGCAAAAGGATTGGGCTTTTTCGTAGTTGCTGGCTTCGGCTGCTCTGGCAGAGCGCTGTCATCGACGGAATGCGGTGCCATTTTGTCTTATGACGAGATATTCACCAACAGCGTCTTGTCCTGACCTGACTATGGGTGCGATATTTTTCAGGATTCAACAACGGGAGACCGAGATGATACGAGGCTCAATGAGCGACTCACCAGGTATTCATCATCTTCACTGTGGAGATCCCCTCTTCCTGCATGTTGATGATAACGTCTAAGAGGCTCTTGATCACGCCATAATGGGGTTGTATCTAGCGATTATCTCCAACTAGCACGTCACCAGGCGATCAGATCACGCCGGCTGGTCCGGTTTTCGGATATGAATTTCGGGCCATTGGTAGGAGTATGATTTGCATTATTTATGGTCTCGAGCGTTATTTTCCAGTTGCGGTCCCTTGTCTTCATCTTCACCCCACAGATACAGATTCGGTGCAGATTGGGTTGGGACATGGATGGCAAGATCCACCACATCTCAATCACTTTGACCGAACCACGTGAAATAAGTACATGAAAGTCTCCTAGCTTTTGACATTATAATTATCAACACTCTTTACTGCAGATGTCAATCTGTCTCCAACTTTGGTACTGTTGTCATCTTTGTTCCGAATAATTACTGTAGAGACCGATCCTTTCCCTCCATCACCTTAGTCGAAGAGGTTCAGATCGGCCGACGTAATTGACTCGCCATCGGATTCATCAGGCGGAGGATCGCGCGGCCTCATTCGCCTTGGAGGAGGTGGACTGCAGACATCGCACCCTGAATTCTCGGGGATTTTCATCCGCGGCGGCTTTCCAGGCGCCATCTGACAAGCCAGTATCTTCACCCTCGACAGATCTTCAATGTTGCTGCTCAGGCTGTCGAGAAATTCAAACGGAGAGCTTTCATCCGCGTCTATCTCCCATAGATGCATATCATCGCGTCGAACTTCGACGTAGGTGGTATCATCCCCGTAGAACTTCTTCCTCTCATCGTCCACTATCTTCTGAATTGCGAGGGGCTGGCTGGACGGGCCCGGCGTTGCTCTGGAATCGACCACGCGCTTTTTGAGACGATGGTCAACGAACCAGAGGCTCCTACCCGCCAGCTCGTGTAGCAAGGTGACCATGTCCAAAATGCCGGGCTGCGACATCTTCAGGGGCCCGTCGCATCGATGGACGGGGCGACCCTCCATGAGATGCAGCATGGCTGGATCGTAGTCGATGGCAATGTTCAAGGGGAGAAAGCCCGCCTCTGACGTGGAGCGGTCCAGCCCTCGGTAGTTGATCAGGGGCAGATTATCTGAAGCGTAGTGGTGAAACCAATCGACAGAGTCCACTCCTAGGGGATCAAGATGGACCAGGTCTTCACCGTGGAAGGTGATGTACCGCAGACTCCCGTTCGCTGGGTCGGTGTATGACGCGGTGTGCGCTGCCTCACCCTCATCACCATACTGGCCACGTCCTGCGAGCTTCTTTGGCAGTTGGCCGGGGTGCTCTCTGTGTGCGTCTGCCCACCATTCGTTCTTCTTGTATCGCCTCAGCATGGCGGCCCGCGAGGCAGTCGAAGTAGTCCATAACGCGCTGTCGAGAAGATAGGCGGAGTCATTGTTGTCCCACGGCACAAGCAGCGTGTAGGCCGTACCGAGCTTCAGAGGGCTGCCTTTGATCGAGCTCAGTCTGATGGTCCGGGTCAGAAAGCCCTGGCCGTGGATGATGAATCGATGAGCGGCAGGTGCCGGCACAGGGGAAATGGCTAAGTCCCATATTGCGTTTTGTAACTCCTGCGGAAGTTGGCCGAATTGGGGGAAGGTGGGCTCACTCATGCTCGGGTAGGCTTGCGCTCGGGATCAAGGCCCGTGTGCTTACTGGCTTGGTATGGTATTACGGCAGCGTCAGACCAGCAGAGGTCGCGATGATGGACGAGCGAGACGTTGTTGTGGCTGAGCTGGCAATATCAATTGCCCAGCGATTAATTGGTGTCATGATCTGCTACCCTAGACTTGACATGACTCGAGCAACATCCGTCACAGCGCTGGTTTCTCATAAGCTTGACCACACAGCCGCAATGTTGTCATCTTTTCGGCTGCCGCTAGAATTATTCAGCATACGGTCGAAAGATGAAACTTCAATGAGAGTATGATGACGTTCAAAGAGTATACAACCATCCCTGGAGGTTAGGCTCCTCAACAACGGACACATCCCTTACCTGTCGAACAATGGAACCGAGTAGTAGATAACAAAAACACTATCAACCGACTGGCGCTTGATTGAGAATAGACGCAGTTGTTACCGTCAATTTTCAAGAATCAACGCATTTGTGATTCCTCAATGCTTTCGTAATAAAGGCAGGTTCTTTAACTTTGCGCCGTCGAATTCTTCTTTAGTGATGGGCAGACTCTTCAACCTCATGTGACAATAGTTCCGTTGTCCTCAGCTTTTGCAGATTGCTACAAAGACTTATCACAAAGAAGACTCATGGAAGAAACGCACCTGTACAAAAACACCCATGGATGGTCACAATGAACCCTCTTTTTTATACAGACCTACTCTCATAAGCATAGATCACATACCATTGAGAACACCTCGTGAGGTATCAAAAGTGTGCAGTTTATCCTTGAAATCTCCCAAGCCTGTAGAGAATCGTGTATCAGCACTCACACCATCTTTAGCTAAATCAATGTTTTTATTTTTGCCAGGTTTGACGCCATTGTCAACATGTTGAAATGAGGCAATTGTTAAACAAAACATCAAGCTACGTCCGCGCCAACTCGCAAAATTTGAATGCTCAAAGGAAGTAATTTCTTTTGCTTTGTTTTGATAAGTAATTACCCAGAACGCCAGTGCTGACCTAAAGACTACTTCGTAATCCTCCCAAAGTCGTCCACCGAAGCACTGCCACCCGAGACACCCTTCTGAAACTCGGGCTTCAGCGGCGTCATCTCCGTCTCGTACATGGAAGCCGGGGACGCGCGCCCATTGTTCTGCGCCGGGGGAGGTTCCAGCTCCAGGATCGTCGCCCTGCCCACCAGGAACACGTCGACGATCCAAATATAAGCCGTCCACAGGGCGCTCAGGAACACGAGGTTGGACACGAGCACGGCCATGACGAGCCGCGCCGGGTCCTTGAGCCTGCGCACCTTGCAGAGGTAGGTCGAGGCCAGCACCGACGGCGTCACCTGCATGTCGGCGTCGGAGTAGTCCGCGGCGGAGAAGGCCTTGTCGCTCGGGAACTCGGGCCCGATGCCCCATTGCCACGCGGGGGCCAGGCCCTGCCGGGTCTTGTTCAGGTCCCGGCTCAGCTCCTCGACCAGCGCACGGCGGCTGAGCAGGTTGGGGATGGACCTGTCGTCGCGGCCGAGATCCGCTAACGTGGTGTAGTACACGGCCTTGGAGAGGATGTTGTACGACGACCAAAAGTCTGGCATCTCCAACGCCCCTGCGCCGCTGCTGCTCAGGGCCGTGATATTGTTGTTGCCGTTGCTGCAAACATCGAAGTCGAAGTCACCCCTGGCCGCACCGTCGCCTTTTCTGTTGAAGAAGCACGAAACGTAGAAAAAGTCGGGGTTTCTCATATCATCGTCTGTGATCTCGGGCCTGGTTGACGAATACTTGACCTGGAGGTTGGCGCTGACCCAGCGATTTTTCTCGTCGCTATTCTTCTTGGCGAAGTTCCGCATGATGTCTGCCCAGTAGATGCGCATCAACCACGATCCCCAGTATAGGTTGGCTTGCTTGGTCGGGCTGCTATACAAGAAGTACTGCACCGAGCTGTTCGAGGTGGGAATAGGGTCGTAGACGGATGAGAGCTGGAGGAAGGTCCGGCCATCTTCGCTCTCGAAGAAGCACTCTACCCTGGTTTCCACTGCTCCTCCGACGGGTATTCTGGCTAGCTGTGATGCCGAGCGAGTTTGGACCTCGATGTTGGTCTCGACGAAAATGACCCGGCACTCTTGCAGCGGCTGGTTATGATACACCAAGGATCCCAGAGTTTCCTTCCCGCCCCCTTCCGTTCTTCTCCATACTCTGTCGACTGTGTACGGCAAGGCCGAGTTGTTTGTCTTTAGTAGGCTCTGCAATGGTATGATGGTGCTGTCACACTGTGAGCGCACACCTCTGAGGAAGGACGGCACGGAGCTGAGCCAGTCTCTCTCAACCAGAGTGGAATTGGGATCTGAGGTTGATTTGGCGGTGAGTTCGTAGCCATTCGTGGCAACGTTGAGCAATGAAAAAAGGGTTGTAAAAAAAAAAAACCCTATGACGAGCACCGGTGTAAACCACCTGTAGGGGTACGGCCGTGTGAGATTATACCCGTAGAAAGACTGGTGCATGCTGAATTGATTGAAGAAAGGATGGAAAGGAAAGATGCGGAATGCAATGCTACGCTTGTCACTGACTGAGTGGCGATGAAGGGGCAGCCACTTATTAATGCGTTGGGCGAGAGGCGGATCGTCGGCGCTTGCCCAGCCTCTCAGCAGCTCGGTCATGTCTTGCTAATGCAATGAGCAGGCTATGCAAGCGCCAGTCCCGATGCCTCATAGTTGGTCCAATGAATTTAAATGTCAGGCCTATGATGAGCCGGAGAATATGCTGCTGACGGCCGATTATGGCGGTTGAGACCACCCCTAGCTCTTTGCTGACCACCTTGTTTCGGATAGACAATAACTAATAATACACTACAAGTGGTCAGGAATGGCTAGAAGGCTGTGCTTTTGTGGCAATTCAGCCCCGACATTTCTGCGGGTGCTGGCCATGGCGCTTGAATTTGCCAATCCTCTATTATGATCGATCGATCGGCACACATTTCAGCCATTCCGGCCGGCCGCATTGGCTGAGGCCTGTTTGATATGCAAGTTGGCCGGCGGTAATTCAACATAAGGAAGATGAGGCAGGACGGCGGCCGGCTCATGGTTTAACTAGCTGAGCTTGGCTCTTCTCCAGCGTCAGCAAAATGCGAGATGATAAATTTAGACGAGCTAATCAGCTACAGCCACTGTTGATACGCGTAATTAGCCGCTGGGGCCTATTACTCTGCCCCCAAAGGCTTCAGGCAGTGCCAGTCATTCCCGCCGGACTGACCACGTCGACCCTGATAGACGCCCTAAGTTATGAAGAAATAGACTCGCGGTTTCCATGGCGAAGAGAGCTCGCCATCTGTGCACTATTTCTGAAGGCGAGGCGCTACGAAAAGGCATTCGTAAGGAGTAGCTCTTAGTATTGGGCTAATTATCATGATGCATGCTGATGCTAGCGACAAGCGAGTGCTTATAAATTGATCCCCGGGCCTTGGCTTAGGTGCACGTAATCCGGCCATCATATTCGAATATTTCAAGATAATACTTTAATCACTTTGGTTACCCTCACCTCAAGGGACCTACAGCTGCTGTCACAATGCTCTACCGAATCTACATGAGATTTACTACGTCGCTATACCAGTGTGGCATTCAGCTGGCACGCCTGCAATTCTGGCATTTTGTCTGGAGTTATCAACAGAGGTAGAGTTAAAGGGCCTACTTGCGAGACGAAACAACTCGTTGTTGTATTCTGATACCGGCTAGGCATATGCCGCTACTTATCTTTTGGTGTAGTAGCGCATGAGAAGTGCATCCTACGTCGAATTTCCCACTATATCGGTTGCGTTTATCAGTCTTCATCGGTGCCAACTCGTCGGGTGGGCAACGCTGAAAAACTTGGCTGAGGGCACCAGTATAAGCGCTCGCCCATTTGGATAAAGCAGAACTGGACAACCTCGACGAATGTATGGAGAAACTTCTGGGCTTGATGGGCAGATCTGTGCCGGCCGCTTGGTGTTGATATCTTCCGCCAGGATTTGCGATGAGAGAGACGGGGATCCGATACCGTCTCTATTCCTATCATCGCAGGTTGGAGGCCTTTTCTATTTGCCATTGCGCCTCACGTGGCCTAAAATACCATTTGAAGATGAAGATGGGTGCTGTTTCATGAACATACTCTTAACCTGGTATTCATTGTATAGAGATCAGATCTGGCATCTCCATTACTGTTTTTACTTTATACTAAAACTCTCTCATCCGTATGCCTTTAACCTGAGCATTTACTAACGCTATATCTGATGCCCATCACTGAAGCTCATCCATTATTCATTTCACTACGGGGCCCAATCTAGCAGCTTGAATTCACCGACTGCGGAAAAGAAAATTGGCAAGTGCTTACGATTACATTCCAATCTTAGGTTCACGCCTCCTTTGTATTAAGCCCATCCGCTGGTCTGAATGCCAGGGCTGCCAAAAGCGGTAGAAACAAGTCAAGCATGACTTATAACTGATCAGATCACGAGTGGGTACATTGGCCTTCTTCAGGGAGCAAACCATGAATATTTTCAAGCTACCTATATTCCGAAACACCAGACAAGACTAGCCGAGCGATTTAGTTGTCACCGTCAGGATGGATCTGTCCGGATTGAGTCTCTTCAGCTGGCACCTGCGAGCATTCTAGCAGCTTCTTCATCTGGACCACACGAGTGCGTATGGCTTCTATAGTAGCCTGCATTTCCGGGGAAGGCGGGAGGGGTAATTCCTGTTTGTGATAATTGCATTCTCGACAGGGAGACCGACAGCCACGTGGAATATACCCCAGTTTATTGTCAAAGATTCTTTGAGTGGCACATAGCTCTTCTTGAAGCTTGGTATCCTGAAATCGCGGATCCAGATAGAATCGCGGCCCAAACCAGCTATCTTTGGCAATTTTCCGGATAAGCTCCTCCCTGACTTTGTCGGTGGTTTGTGTTTCAAATTCGTGCATGAACTGCAGGCCGTGGCATACGATGCCATGAATGACCTCCTTGTCGTGCTTCTTCCGGGCTCCCGGATCGGGCCTGAACCGACTCCTCTCTATTTTTTCTAAATACTTGTCGCAGACTGTTCAAAAGCCTAGGTCAATTATAAGACCACAACAGAAGAGTACTGGATACATACCTTGAAACATCCGATAGAAAAACATTTCATACAGCATCTTGGCTTGGCTTAGTTCCATATGAGAATAGGGCGACACCTTGTCTCTATCATCGTAATAGTGAGTCTTGGCGTGAATGAGTAGCTGGTCGGATTGACGGGTGACCTCGCAAATTGATTGGAGACGGTGAAGGGCTCGTTGGAATAGGCGTACGTCCTTGTCAGCCACCGGCGGCAAGGGACCAAAATGGCTGCTCTCGTTCTCGGAGAAAACGGGCAGGAGGAGAAATTCCCACGGAAGCAGTTTCGTGTAATAATCAATGGCCGGCTGGAGAGCTTTTACAGTTTCCAAGATCTCCTCAGTGAACTTAAGTTCCTTTCCGTCTCTGATAGCCTCGAAATACCTTGCGAACTCGCCGGGGGAAGTGGCCGAGCGTTGGTATCTTTTACCATAACTAGCTGCCATCGCGGCCAGTGCAGCCTCATTCCGGGCTTTATTTTTCTCGATCAGTTCAGCCTTTTTCTGGGCTTTTTTCTGGGCTTCTTCGCGCTTGACTTCAGAGCTCGACAGTGTGCTCTCTGTTGGCACCTGGGTGTCCATTGTCCCAGCCATGATTTATGATTGGAAACGTCGACGTCCTTGGATTTAATCGAGCGGGCTCAGTAGTGTCTGATGGTTGTACTGCCTTGAATAGATTGAAATTATGCCAGTTCATGTGGGTGTTTAAATAATTAATTCGTCGACGAACGCTGAAGAATGTATCAAAGGGTCGATATCGTTAAATAAACATCGTTTATTTATCGGAAAACAAGAAGTTCTCTATATGAATATATTCTCTTCTTCTTCTCCTTATACTTATCTTCTTTCTTTCTTTTTTTTTCTTTTTCTTTTTCTTTTTCCTTTTGGGAAGGAGATGTAGGGGATTGCTTGGTTCATGTAGTGAAAGGTGGAAATAACAAAGGGAATGTTCGCATGTGGCCCATCAGTCAATAGTTTGCCTTGTGCTGCTTTTGAATTCACCAACTTGCTAACGAAATTAGAAGAAAAAAAGACTAGATTGACCCAAGCAGCTAGAGAGACTCCTTTTCCTATCCGATCGCCGACAACCTTCTCACTCTAGGGCCCACTCAAAATCACTAGGACGTACGACCCAGCGCCTCAGTTCACCCAGGTCGAGCCTCCTCGCAATTTTGCGAGCGCTTCCCACCAGGATTCCTTCATCTTCTGGGAATTTCTGATCATTGACCCCAACGAACTGTTGTATCGTGGCATAGGCGTCATGCTCCATCTCCTCAAACAAGTCCGTGTCAGGACCATCAAGGCCCTCAGAGTTGATGGTCCTCACGCAATTGTATTTGCTTCAGTGGCAAAGAATCCATCAGTACAAGGCTCTAATCACCACTGGCTGTTTAGGAGTAGTCTTACCTGTAATGAATAAGATACCACACCGTGGCACATAGCCTGCAACGGTCCCTTGTGGACTGGTTGGCTTGATGATGCCCCATGAAACGGCATGTGAACGCTTGATTAGGTGTCAAGTCCAACCGGTTGGCAAGATCCATCCACTGGGGCAACTCCTCCAAGGAGCGGGTCATGGTTTGTGTCATGGGTTGTGTCATGGGCTGTGTCATGAGTTGTTCCATGTTTTGTTGTCAGCAGTGCTGGATGGCAGAGAATGATGCCCGTATGAATAGGGATACAGGAAAACTGAGGGGGGCGGGAAGGATGGAGAACAAAATGACAAGAAAAACCAAAGCAACGTCTCTTGATGTAGGATATGGGAGGAAGAAAAAGATCGAGAAGAGCCAAGGTGGGAGGCTGGGTATATATGGGCGTCGCATGAGGTCGTCCGTGCCTACGACACCAAGCTAGCTGCACCTCAGGCGTACCGTACGTGCCCTCAATCCGCCATGCGTTGTTGGCCGCCGACCAAAGCAGGGCATGTGACGGGGATGGGAGCGCTCAGACGACTGGCTGCACGGCATGGCGAAGCCGTAGCCAGTCATTCGAGCCTCCCGGTGGAGGGGTGGCCCTTCTAGAATGCTAGAAGGACTAAGAAATGGCAAGAGAACGACCGGGGCATGCATTCCGGCTCAACTTGGCGCTGTGGGATGATTGTTGGCGAAGGCCGCGGCGAGCTGGGAGTGATATATCACATTGTCCTGAGGCAGCGACGGGCAAGGGGCCACGACAAAGTCACCAGATATGGGCACTGTGCCGGCGTGAAAAGGGTCCAGAGCGCAAATTCAGGAGCTCACGTCAATATCAGATGCAAAGGGGGCCATGGATCCAACTACCTGGATTGCCTCGCTTCAGTGTCTGCGTCCCGCCTGTGTATCTACGAAGTGAGGTCTGGGGAGGATTGGTCTGTGGCCTGGAATGAGCGCTCCTGAACGCCTCGCACGCACACACGGTGTATGTGGCAAGACGGCGCATATGACCGACGCTGTGTAACCTCCAGGCCGTCTTTGCTTTTCTTGAGCGTCGTTGTGGCTCAAACCGCGGTGGGGTCTAGCGCGTTGCTGCGTATTATCTAGCTCGCTCTGAGCTTCCGAACAATCAAATGGGAGGTGCGGATTGTCAGACGTAGGGCAGGGAACAGGAGGCATCCTGGGGGCTGAGTTGCTGCTTGCAGCTGGGTCTGGGAGTAGGCTCTGAGATGTCCCGCCTAAAGCGCCGTAAGAGTGTGAGGTTACCAAGAGAGAGTCAACAGGCTGGCTCGGTAATCAGCACCAAAGGTCACAATGTTGGAATTTGGCAGAAAGGGCTTGGAGTGGCAAGCGGGTATCTCTCCCGAGTGAGAGGAGGTTCTGGGCAGAAGCAGAGGTTCTGGCCGTGAACAGAGACTCAGGCCATGAGCAGAGGTCCAGAGCTCCCCCACGCTGACCGGCTGCATGGATTTGCGTTGATGCACTCCACCAGCTGTCCGTGAGATGTGGGTGTGGTGCCAGAGCTCTGGTGCATGCCGTACACTGGTAGCAGACATGATGAGTGACTCATGGGAAGCTGTGGGAACGCGCCCCCTACGTCAACGCCTTGTATCTATCAGGGGCGGCAGACAGGCACCCCCAGCAAGCTGCAGACGATATGGTTCTCATGTTTGCTGGAGAAGAGAAGGCAGCCAGCTCAGCGGGGACGCCAGGAGGTGATACGAAGCCGGCTAGGGCTGCTGCTGTTCGCATGGTGCATGTAGGGACCAATCAGGACCTGTGAGCGTCTCTCTGGTGGCTCGCCGACCTGAGACAGCCATCGCCAGCCATCGTCAGCCCTCTGGTGCCAAGGCATTTTGATCCAGCATCAGCGCAGAGAGAACGTCACCACAGGGCCCATGAGAATGATCGGCGGCAGCAGCCAAGACGGTAGACTGGCGAGTTCCGACGCCCATGCCCATGCTCATGCCCATGCCACCAACCAGCGAGTTCCGACGCCCACTCCCACTCCCACTCCACGGCCATGGAGACGGTGCCTCAGTGCTCTGCCCGTCCAAGACGACAGGCTGCGTGCCTCAGCTGGGTGTCTGGCCTCAATTGCGCTACGGCTGCTACTGCACTCTGTTCCTAGTGGCCGGGCGCTGCCGCTGGTGTCCACCTCAGGGACCACCAACAGGCAATGGTGAAGAAATAAAGTGGAGAACTTGAGCAATTGGGATTAGCCGAAACCCACTGAGATTATTTTCCTAATCAGCACTAGCGCAGTGTGAGGGCACCTATTACAGGCCAGCCCGGAAGGCCGCCCAGCCAGACCTGTGCCTCTGGCAGGCCTGTGCTTCTGGTATTGAGGCCTCAAGTGGGTGGCATAGCAGAAGATCTTTTTGAGCCATGTACTGCGGCCAGAAACCCCCAGACTTCGGAATAAAAGTATTAATATTTTCTATAGCCTTTGAATTATGTGTTGGTATTTTATCAATTTATTTACATTGGTCTGGGCTGGAAATATATCGGATAAAACATAGAGCCGACGCTTGAGGTACTGGTTTGGTGTCTCATCTGTTATGCCAAGATGCTATGTGCACTTCATTAAGCTTATATTATGCAGCGATGGCAGCGTGGATCATCAGTGCACGATTTATTCTCCGCAGCGGCGATTCCCTCTTCCTGGTCGCTTCATCTGAGCTTAAATGCCTACAGGGCGACGGAACGATTACTCATTCGTTTTTTTCTGTCGCCATCCAAGAATGAGGCCAGCTGGCCACGTGCAACCCAGGGATTCCAGCTTAGTACCTACCTGGGTTCTCCAGCGCCCACTCTGCTGGATTCGCGCTAAAGTTTCTGCTACTCTGCATGCTCACTATTGATACGCGAGCGAGTAAAATCATTTCCAAACGCGTTGCGAATATAGCCTCAATGATGCCAAGCCACTAATTAAAAATCCGTGAAAGGAAACACGTAGACCGGGTTCACTCGGAGCAGCACCGCGACAGACAGCCATGTTTAGGTCAGCAGTTGGTCCACGACGAACTGGATCGCCATCTGATCTGAAACAGGTGAAAATGCCCATGCAGGCAGGCCCCTCAATGTACTCTCCTCCCGCATTTTGACCATGCGAGATCTGAATCCGGCATACCCTTCCTCTCCGCATTTACCCAATCTCCATCTTTTCTCCAAAAAACGGAGGCGCAGACGGGTTTCTTCTTCCTTTGGCTTTCCCTTGCGACTCCAAGACCACCAGCCACGTGACCGTAATTGTCGTGAGCGACTCTGCTTCAACGACAAGCCTCATTCCACCGCATCAAGTAGGTACTTCACCTGAAAGTCGATGCCTCAGCCACTGGACGAATTTTTACAGTGGGGCCCGGAAGAACACGCTTCTGGAGCAGAGGAGAAGAACGCAAAAGGAACACATTTTTGCTCAATGGTTGCCGACTCCCACATCAAAATTAAATAAATCCCCAGCAGTTCATCCATAGTGCAGCACGATCCGCAACATTGTAAAAGCAAGTCGCAAGTCTGCAAAGAGTCATGACTTGCTCGTTTTGGCGCAGATCAGTCGAACAGTCAAGCAAAGATGAGCCGTAGTACAATTTCCAACATTTGATTCAAACAAAATTACAGACTTTTACCAAGTTCAGCTCCGCCAATGCAAACAGGACCATTATGACCAATATCTTTAGCCAACATATCAAAATTCATCAATGCTCATCTCATCCCCTGAGCTCTCCTCACTGTCGTCCACATCCATCTCGTCAGAATCTTCCTCAGCAGAGCTTTCGTCCTCTCCCTGATCACCCTGCTGAATCCCCCAATCGCTATCGTCATCGCTATCATCGCCAAGGGCGCCGTCTATTCCTCTGCCCGCGCGCTTAGACGAAACAACGCCATTGGTTTTAGCAGCGGCCGCCACATCAGCTTCATCCAGTGAAGAGGCACCGAAGAATGAGTGATCATGGCGTAGCTCCTTGCCCTGTGCCACAAAACCGACTGGAGTGTGAAGTATGTTGAAAGTGTTGTGACAGTGGCTCAGCCAATCGAGCAAAAACTTCCTTGCCTCTGCAAGATACAGTCCGCCGCATTGACTGGCGGTCTCTTCACCCTTGGCGCCCTTGGCCATTCCTAACCAAGCTAGCAGCCCCTTGTATTCAAGCCATCCAAAGTAGAGGCGTGCAGAAACAATTCCAACCTCCAAAGTCATCCATCGAGGAACCTTGAATTCTCGGTTGGGTGGAGAGGGCACTGTAAAAAAATTCAACCTGTTGAATATACACATATATCTAGTTAATGGGGCGGAGTAGCTCAACAACCAGACAATTGGTTGGTTTTCGCCTCGCAGCACTGGGAGAAGGAGTTCGGCTTCTTCGGGTATGATAATTATACCCGTCTCTCGATCAGGATACCACAAAATCCATTCGACAGGACGCTGTTTCACATTATTAATATCAGAACCACTGACCGAGCGTATAGAGGATCATCTGACTTACCACAAGTCCCCTGTTTGTATTAGAGCCACCAGAGGCAACCGTCTTGGTGAACTGCTTGGAGACGAATAGCTGGGACGAAGTCTCCCGGACATCGTATTTCTTCCCTATTACGGTATTGCCAATGTAGGCAAAGGCTTGAACAATCGTACTGGCATCTGGAAGGTCTCCATTCCTGACAAACTGCACAAGCTGTTCACTCACACCAGGAAAGGCAAGAGCTTGCAGCTTTTCTGGCCGTTGTTTTTCCCGGACTTGTTCCACTTCAAATTCTACCTCTCGCTCTTGCTCCACCTCTTGAAAGGCTGTGTTAACCCCGGACGCTGCCTCCTTTGAGAGTGTGGCTCTTTTTTCTGCAATTCGGGACAGAACAGAATTGAGGCGCGAGGACTTTGTTTCAATCGGTTCCGTATTGATCTCTGCATTGACTCTTGGCCCGTATAGTTGCTCAAGCGTCTGGTCTTCCTTCTCTAGGATGGTCCTCAAGAGCCTGACCCTTTCAACGCGATCCGTCAGCGACTTGGTAGCTTTCCACTGGGCGTTCGTTCGGCGGCAGAAGCAGAGGCCTTGTGATATATGAAGCGACATCATCTGATCGTTGGTCTTGCAACTTTGCTCTAGCAGCCATCGGACTACGTCAATCGAGTTGACCTTGTTGGATGTTTTTTTCCGCGAGTCGAGGCT